AACACACCCTAACACCCTAACACCCTAACACCCTAACACCCTAAACACCCTAACACCCTAACACCCTAACACCCTAACACCCTAACACCCTAACACCCTAACACCCTAACACCCTAACACCCTAACACCCTAACACCCTAACACCCTAACACCCTAACACCCTAACACCCTAACACCCTAACACCCTAACACCCTAACACCCTAACACCCTAACACCCTAACACCCTAACACCCTAACACCCTAACACCCTAACACCCTAACACCCTAACACCTAACACCCTAACACCCTAACACCCTAACACCCTAACACCCTAACACCCTAACACCCTAACACCCTAACACCCTAACACCCTAACACCACCCTAACACCCTAACACCCTAACACCCTAACACCCTAACACCCTAACACCCTAACACCTAACACCCTAACACCCTAACACCCTAACACCACCCTAACACCCTAACACCCTAACACCCTAACACCCTAACACCCTAACACCCTAACACCCTAACACCCTAACACCCTAACACCCTAACACCCTACACACCCTAACACCCTAACACCCTAACACCCTACCCCTAACACCCTAACACCCTAACACCCTAACACCCTAACACCCTAACACCCTAACACACCCTAACACCCTACACCCTAACACCCTAACACCCTAACACCCTAACACCCTAACACCCTAACACCCTAACACCCTAACACCCTAACACCCTAACACCCTAACACCCTAACACCCTAACACCCTAACACCCTAACACCCTAACACCCTAACACCCTAACACCCTAACACCCTAACACCCTAACACCCTAACACCCTAACACCCTAACACCCTAACACCCTAACACCCTAACACCCTAACACCCTAACACCCTAACACCCTAACACCCTAACACCCTAACACCCTAACACCCTAACACCCTAACACCCTAACACCCTAACACCCTAACACCCCTAACACCCTAACACCCTAACACCCTAACACCCTAACACCCAAACACCCTAACACCCTAACACCCTAACACCCTAACACCCTAACACCCTAACACCCTAACACCCTAACACCCTAACACCCCTAACACCCTAACACCCTAACACCCTAACACCCCTAACACCCTAACACCCTAACACCCTAACACCCTAACACCCTAACACCCTAACACCCTAACACCCTAACACCCTAACACCCTAACACCCTAACACCCTAACACCCTAACACCCTAACACCCTAACACCCTAAACACCCTAACACCCTAACACCCTAACACCCTAACACCCTAACACCCCTAACACCCTAACACCCTAACACCCTAACACCCTAACACCCTAACACCCTAACACCCTAACACCCTAACACCCTAACACCCTAACACACCCTAACACCCTAACACCCTAACACCCTAACACCCTAAACACCCTAACACCCTAACACCCTAACACCCACCCTAACACCCTAACACCCTAACACCCTAACACCCTAACACCCTAACACCCTAACACCCTAACACCCTAACACCCTAACACCCTAACACCCTAACACCCTAACACCCTAACACCCTAACACCCTAACACCCTAACACCCTAACACCCTAACACCCTAACACCCTAACACCCTAACACCCTAACCTACACCCTAACACCCTAACACCCTAACACCCTAACACCCTAACACCCTAACACCCTAACACCCTAACACCCTACACCTACCCTAACACCCTAACACCCTAACACCCTAACACCCTAACACCCTAACACCCTAACACCCTAACACCCTAACACCCTAACACCCTAACACCCTAACACCCTAACACCCTACCCTAACACCCTAACACCCTAACCCTAACACCCTAACACCCTAACACCCTAACACCCTAACCTAACACCCTAACACCCTAACACCCTAACACCCTAACACCCTAACACCCTAACACCCTAACACCCTAACACCCTAACACCCTAACACCCTAACACCCTAACACCCTAACACCCTAACACCCTAACACCCTAACACCCTAACACCCTAACACCCTAACACCCTAACACCCTAACACCCTAACACCCTAACACCCTAACACCCTAACACCCTAACACCCTAACACCCTAACACCCTAACACCCTAACACCCTAACACCCTAACACCCTAACCTACCCTAACACACCCTAACACCCTAACACCCTAACACCCTAACACCCTAACACCCTAACACCCTAACACCCTAACACCCTAACACCCTACACCCTAACACCCTAACACCCTAACACCCTAACACCCTAACACCCTAACACCCTAACACCCTAACCCTAACACCCTAACACCCTAACACCCTAACACCCTAACTAACACCCTAACACCCTAACACACCCTAACACCCTAACACCCTAACACCCTAACACCCTAACACCCTAACACCCTAACACCCTAACACCCTAACACCCTAACACCCTAACACCCTAACACCCTAACACCCTAACACCCTAACACCACACCCTAACACCCTAACACCCTAACACCCTAACACCCTAACACCCTTAGAATCATCAAGTCTATAAATTTTGGATGTTTGAAGTATTAATCAATCTTAAAAAATTTATTTTAAAGGGAGCTTATTCTAATTTAACCAACGTTTTTTTATCAAGATCAAATTTGAAGTAGTATTCAGATGATGCATAGTTTATGCACCCAATACATATTTCTCCTTTATTATGCGTTCAATACACTTGAAAAGGATGAATATCAATTGGCGAGTCTCCAATTTTTCTCCAATTGGTGTAGCTTTCAATATCGCTTTCATAGATCGACCGATTCCGACTCTCAATCAAGTACAATTTCTTTTCTGCATTTATCAGGATCTTTCTTTTATTTTTTGCAAAATCATAAGGAATTGTAGAGAAAGAGTCAGTATCAATTGAATACAGCAAAAGATTTTTAATAGAAACTCCAGAAATCAAAATATTTCTATTAAAAATTACACTGTCGCAATTAAAACAAGCTTGTGGCATTTGAGTTAGTTCAATCCATCAATTTTCATCCAAATCAAATCTACGAGATAGGGGTAAACGATGATCATTTTGATCCTTTCCTCCAAAACAATAGATACTATTGTTGAAAAAGATAGCTGAAGATCATCTACAAGGCTTTCCAGATGGCAATTTGTGAACTAATCAATTTTCATCAATAAGCAAAGTAATCCCCGAGCCTTGGTATCTGCCGTAAAAGAATAACTTACCATTTGGAAGCTGAGCCATACATGTTCCGTAGTCTAGTGGTTCTGGAGTCTCCAAAATTTGTTTTTCCTTGGTATTACTGTCAGCGTTGTAAATTAATAAGTTATGGGAGGAATCTATTAAATAAAGTAACCCTTTTGGACTAGAAGTATCGATATAATCTTGAAAAGTCTGTTTAAGCTTTGGAATATGCCCACTGGGATCATTCTGATGCGCCACAAATGTTTCGCCCGGCTCGATGTATTGCTTGTCAACCATTATCTATTATAATGATTGATTTATAAGGCTTTATTACATTATATACTTATTTAATATTGGTGAGTAATTTTAGATTGTAATTTTTTATATCACTGTCTTATTGAAGTGCAAATAGAGGTTGTTATATTTTTTATGCTTTGCAGAATTTTTCAGGCTAACTTATTTCAAGCTGAGGAGATATAAAATGTTAATAATAAGGTGAGTGCGAATTATAAGATAAGAAAAGAGTAAAGGAGCTATTTTTCAAAATTCCTCTATTAGTATTCTGTGAAAGTTTGAATTTCCATTTAAAATTTTAAAAATTTCCCTTCTTCAAGTTGGAATCTACCGAATGCAAGAGGATTAAAACAAAGCCTTTTACAAAATTCCAAAGCTTGAAAACAATTGAAGCAATGGATGATTGTGATGAGACAGCATGGCAAGGTAGCGCTCAGGGTACAATAGAGAAGCGTGCTCGTGAGTTGGCGATAAAAATGAAATTCCAATGTTGCAAGGATAGTGACATAGATTCAAGCAAAGAAATGGGCTAGCCTATCGCAAGGTCATAGCTTCAAGTTTAAAATTCCTAATAAAAGAAGTATAGCTTTCAGTCAAGTACTTTGATGACTTGGAACAATTGCAAAGCAGGTATAACTCTGAAATTATCTAAAATTTTGATGAGTAAACATATATAGATATTGTAATTTTATCTAATAAAATATAAATTAAAATGTTTAATATATTAAAAGAGTAAAAAAGCGAGTATATTCTAAATTAGAGTAGAAGCTAAATCCTTTTAATAATAATATAAGACAATCAAGTGGATTATGCAATTAAGGGCAATTGAAAATTGATGTAAGAAGCATTTAATCCTAAAATCCATAATTTAGAAATAGTTTCATCTATTATTATATGAGCTTATAGCATTATTACGAGCTAAAATATTATATTTTGCATTAAAAAACGCAATGCTATGTGATAGGATACATCAAGTATTTTTCATTTTATTTTAATTGGCTTTCTTTGAAGATACTAATTGGACTTGAACACTGTAAATAAATCACAATAAGGAAAATTATATCTTATCAGCTGATTTTTATTAAGAAGCTTTTATTATGCTTTGATTATATAAAATCTTGCAGTCTCGACTCCTATATTGGTTACTATGATCTGTATATCTTTTAATCAATTGCACTCTAAGTGCATTAATTATGTGCAATAAGTATATTTTAGTTAATTAAATTATTAGATATAGCATAACTGAAGGGATTTTGATTACAAATCATAATTAATATCAAAAATTTTTAAAATGAATATAGAGTCTAAAAATAATTTACTTGATGAAGTTAAATCAACTAAATGAAACAGTAAGTTCATTTCATTTGATATTTTTAAATAGAAGGTTTAGCCATTTACAATGAAAATAGCATGCCTTTGACAGATATACTGGTCTTTTAACTATATATCAAATTAAATTTTAGGTTATTATATTTTCAAACACTTATTGCACTCGCATGTATGCAAAGTTGTTAGTGAACAAAATTTGCCTCATAGATTTTAATACAAAGCCACAACGCTTTTCAAAATGACTAACAATTTAATACTTTATGATGGCATTTTGGCATCAATTAGCTAATTTTTATTTCAATCCTAATAATTTCTCCTTTCAGCAATTGGAAGGCCATCAGATATAAATGCCTATGAAATTCCTTTGATCTAGTATAAAATTTACAAATTATAGAGGAGAGAAATAAATAAAAAATCTGAAATATAAATCAAAATAATCAATTTTTATTTAATCAAATCTGTTAATTAATGTGACACCTTTAAACTCATTCTGATAGTATCTCAAAATTTATAACTCCAAAACCGATTTTAGAGTAAAAAAATTTTAAATTTGGTCAATTGTAAGATCGTTAAAATTTCCTGCTTTAAAGAGGCTTTTTTTAAACTTTTATTTATTGTGAGTAATCACATCAGAAATTCGTTTCCAAAAGTATGGCGCTGATTAAGATTGTGTTATAAATATGGTTAATTTGAATCTGAGTATTTGCTCGAAATGCAAGTGTCATCGCCTTCCTTTTATCGTAGGATATATATTAAAATGAAGGCACGTTTCAACCTACCTCTTGGCAAATATCCAGACCTTATGGCTACGGCGAACTGGGACAGATTATTCTAGAATCAAGTGCAAGCTCAAGAGATGTGTATCTGAGTAGGTTTCAGCTGCTTCCCTGGTTGGGATGGAGGCGCTCAGCAGCCTCCTTTGGATCTGAGGACACACATCGGCATTTCTCTATCGAGAAACTGGGGGTTTCGGCCCAGATCGCAGGGAGTAGTTTGTTCCTGTAGTTTTCGAAGGAAGGCACTTCGATACTCGACAGACTCCAAGGAGCTGATCCATGGTATCAAGCTACTCCAATCGCCCGTAGTAGGAACATAAGAACTCAAGACTGAAGCAGGCAAGGAGGAGACAGAAGGTGCCAGAAGAAGGGCACTCGTATTAGGGATAAACTCTCTGGACTGGAATCTAAAAGCAGTAGAACCTCCCGTACGGGAGGTCTTTGGTGACTGCGTCACCAATATTGCTAACCCCTGATTTTATAATCCTAATCCTTTATCGCAGAATGCTCCATAGCGTAAGCTCTATTTTAGATATACGCCGAATCAAAAAATGATGACTCTAAACAAGCTGAGCAAGATTACAGAGTTCATCCCCTGCAATTTATTGAACCAAGTGGTCCTAGCTGAAAAAATTGCCAAGATGATTGAAAAAGCGATCCAGCCCAAAGGTGTGCTAGTGATTGTAAGAGCTTTACATCCTTTTACGAAGTTTCAATCAGTTGTCGAAGAAGATTCCGAAAATTGTTCTGTTTTTGCAACAGGCGAGTTTTTGAAGAACCAAGGCTTGGCAGACAGCTATCTCGAGAAAATGCAGCCTTTCCCAAGATTGTAATGCTTCTATATGAAATTATATGAATTATTAAATTTTACGTTGTGTGTTGTTTTAATAAGTCTTGTGGTGCTTTTGGCATTTCCAGAATTTTTTCACATGATTGAATGCCGAAGAGTATTGTTTATATTTAAAGCTGCTTAAAAAGACTTATAGATAAACTTTTGAAACCTATAATTTAAAAAATTGAAGCCTGGTGCTTCTTTTGGTGTTATTTCCAAGTTTTCTCCAACATTTATGAATTTTGTGAAAATGCAAGAAGCTGCTATTAGCGTAAAGAATGCTTATGCGCTATTACGACTTAATTATATATTTGCAATTTATTTATAGCTTTTTGAGTTATCTTTTGTCAGAAACCAATGATTTAGGTATCATAGGAGGCAAAATTCGTGCTTGCTTTAATTTCTTTTTCTCAAAGCTTAAGAAGGGCAAGTAGTATAATAGATATAGAAGAGCTAGCCCAATAGAGAAGGCAATAGTAATATAAATGATCAGATCTAGCTGATTTGCAACAACATCTTTAGAACTTGAATTAATAAGAGTAAATGCATCTGACATCGTCTGTTGTAATGAGCTAATGTTTCTTATAAAGGCATATATCTCAGTGGGACCTGATAAATAGGAAGAATCAAAAATTATACTCTGTGCTGCACTTCCAAGCTTTCCGCAAATATTTAGAGTTGGGGATCTTGCTACGGCCTAAAGCCAAACGAGCAGGAAGAGATGTCAGTACTGGACATTTGTGTTTGAGTTTTGCCTGGCAATCAAGACTTTGTTTCTTCTCGATGGGATTTTGGGAAAAAGCTTCCACCCTTGGAGAAAAATCTGAAATCGACAATTGTAGAGTCGGTGTCGATGCTAGCTATGAAGTTTATCCCTAGCTAGAGCTCCAGTCATCGAGGCAGAAGCCGTACATTTCTAAGCTATGTCTGATAATGAGATAGCATCAAAGACCAGAGCAGATCTATTTCTAAAATATTGACCTCCCAGGAGTTAGCCCATAGCGTCTTTTTGTATTGGGAGAGGCATAAACATAAGCTCTAGCCTTTTTAACTTAACCTCTGCTGCACTTCCAACACCAAACCTAGAAATATCATCAGAACCACTAATTTCTTCATAAAGACGTATTTTCAAGGTCTCACTCATCAGTTCTTTCAAACCTTCTTTTTTCACTCTGGAATATTCTTCTTGATATTCCTTAATCGAGGTCTGAAGACCAATATTGGAATTCGGAAATGCATACGTGCTTGGATATAGCTGATTAAGTGATGGTCTCGTTCTCTCTCTGGCGTAAAAGGAAATTCGGGAAAGCAAAGCCCTTCGAGAGTTGAAATTTTGAAGTAATTTTGGTCGATTTATCATGTATTTTTGGCAATTTTCATATAAATATAAATAGATCAGCAGATAGTATGCTAGTGATATTGAGGCAAAAAAAAAGAGCCTTCAGCTGAACTTTAAAACAGTTTTTGACTTGATGTGGGAGTCTTGATTCTGCATGGATTTTATATTGCTGTTGTTATCAAAAGACAAATCAGTCCCATGAACTCCTGAGAGCCTGTCCAAGGACGCTTGCTTAAGGGTAAAGTAAGCAGATATCGCTGCCTTTCTAATAAATTCCCAAAATTTTTCATAAATGATTTTTAAAACGATAATAAAGTATAGAAGAACTAGAAAGCAAACACCCAAGACTAGAATCCCTAATATAAGCAAAGCATTTATAACGGCTCCGTTTTCCTTTATCCTCACACTTTCACAATTTACTAATCCGCTTAGAGCAGACTTTATATGGTCATAGGAAAAAGTTAAGCTATTGATAACTAATCATTGCATTTCGCTATTAATTGAGGATTTCGTCTGTGCGTGCTTTATTATATCTTGATTCTAAATAAATATTACATTTTCAATAGTATACAAAAATGTGGCAGCAAGAAACTAATCTTCACAGCTGAGATAACTTTATGTATATCCAGGTATTATTTTTGGTATAGGGGCGATCAAATGGTAGGGGTAACCTTGGGGCGACTGTTTCCTTAGGTTCGTTACTTTAAGATCTTTTTGGTAGCAAAACCTAGGCAAAGCTGGCTCAAAGCGACTTACTGCTCAGAATGTTAGAAGACCTATGAAAATTGCTGAAGCTGTTAAGCTTTTTCTTATTTGAAATGATTCAGTTAAAAGGAAAGGTGGTAAGGAAGTAGAGAAGTTATCTTAGAGAGCAATCTGATAAGGCTTTAAGAGCAAGCAAAACACGCACTTTGAAAAATTAGTCCTTTAAGAGCGAGGAAATGCTTTTAATATAAAAAATCTGCTAGTTATATAATTAAAAATTATTATAACTAATTTTATTAAATTTTATAGATTTAAATGAGCTTTTTCTTTAAATGTTGCAAATTAGTTTAACCCAATAAAAATTATTCATAGCACAATAAAATTACCTTTCAGAACAAAAAGACCTTGACGCTCTTAATGCCTCTTCTATCCCTCTGCAGGTGGTTTTGCCCCTTTAAAAGGGTTTTTTTCCTACTGCAACACATGGTAGCAGGCGCCCTGCTGAGGGTCAAGACAAAGTGGCTGGAGTAGAGTCTTACATCTTATATTATCTATAACTTTTAACATCTCCTACGGGGTTTGCACACCTCCTGCTACTGCAGACGTCGCTCTGGGGTTTCCATTTTCTCAAGAAGGACTTTTGAAATAGGCCTCAGAAGGAGCCTGGATTCAAGCTTCGACGGGGGCTGGAGAAGAATTAGTGAAGCCATAGATGGAGTAGGTGGAGAGTAGTCTCAGCCTACCTACTCTAGTAGCGCAGGCCTGCATGTGCCACCTGCATCAACCGAAGAGGACCCTGGAGGATGGGATTCGTACTGCAAGTCTGTAACTATGAAGCTGAGACATACTAGTAATGTTCTAGGGTGATCCTGATCGTTCTGATCGGTATACAGATCAAAGTTCTAAATAAAGTATAAGTCTATATACCTTTGCACCTTAGCTTTGCAGAAGTATGAGTATAATATCAACCATTAATTTAATCTAATATAATACATTTTCGATAAATAATGTAAATGTGTCGTAGAGGTTACGGTAGCTCAGATGTGGCTTTCCATCAAATTCCCAAACTGGTATAATATCATTAATTACAATATCTGAGCTATCACAATATCTTCATTTAGGAAGATCGTCCAAAAGAGTGTTTTGCAAGCTTAAAAGATCTTGAGTGACTTTTTCCAAGTATTCAAGATCACTTGTTAAATTATAAACTCCATAAGTAAGTTCGAGGTTAATAGATTTAATAATTCCCGCTATGTCGCCGATATAGAATAAAGCCTCCCCAAGATTTGAAAACGTCTCAAGTTCATTAGTATGTGACACATCGTCCACAATGTAAACTAAAATTCCAGCATTCGTAGCAATCATGGAAAAAATCTGTATAGAAAATACAGTAAAAAATAGAACAAGCTGAAATACTTTGATTGCCCGTTCAGTCTTTTGAATATAAGCAAAAGCGAGTTCTAACTATGAAATACTATTGGTTGAAGCAATGGATTGTGAGACATTGCTTTGATTTTGTGAAACAGATTTTTCTTCTTCCTCTAGAAGCCCTACATTTTCGTTCCCAGACATTGCAATGCTTCCAAGTCTCTCGTCATGACTGATTGAGCTCAATATTTCTTTGGCAAACTGAATATGGATTCTTTCATAGTTCCCGCTTGGTGTCTGGTCAATTATAGACAAAGATGTATCAGTCTTTAAGATTTTATTTAAATGGTCAGTTTGCTCAGCTGCCTGTCCATTGCTCCAGATTTCAATTTCTTTTGGGTCATTCACCACTAAAAGAGCATGGAGGATGACTTTCCTTATTTTCTTTGTGATGTGTATAAGTGCAAACTCCTTATCATTTAGCTCAATAATTCAAGGATCATACAGAAACATGCTTGATATCTGAAGCCCAGGGATGAATTGAGAAATATCTCTGTTTTGCAGCTGCTCACTGCGGACTCCAAAGAAGTGAGGGATGAGCTGAGAAAATGCATGGATTTCTCCAGAATCAGAGAGGAGAATAATGCTTCGTTTGTAGCTGCAAGGAGAAAATGAAGTAATAAAATAGGCATCATTTTGGAATGCTGTCAACTTAATAAGGATACTGCATTCGAATAGATAACCATCATGATCCAGGAGAAACAAGAAGGATGGATGCTTAACAAACGTGTCGTTGCATGTGGACAAGTATTTTTTCATCTGCTGGTTGTTGGTAGTAGAGTAAGGCTTGGGAATGAAATTCGCTAAGTTAGTGCCAATGATTTCAGCCTGCGAAACTTTTAATATCTGTCCACCTTTTTCGTTGATGTAGGCAATTGAACCAAATGAGTCAGAATTAGCAGATATCAGCATAATCCCTGAATTTTCGTCATAGTCTCCTAGTTTTCGACGATAGCCAAGCATAGAGTCAAGGGCGCCAAACCTTTTTTTTCTCTTCAATATTGAGCTGCCTTCTTCAGATTCGCCTAAAATATTATCCAAAAAGGATCCATATAATTCATAAACTTCTGAGTATTTGTTTTTTGTTATCAGAGATCCATATACTTCTCTGATGTTCTGGGCCAAGTCTGACACCTTTCTTGTGATTCTCATAAGCTTCTCTTCATTTGCATTTTTCCTCACAATTTCATCCCACAAATCTAGCAGGCTATAACAAATTTCTTCATCTTTTTCTTTAGCTTCATTAAGAAGGAGAAGATATTCCAAATATTCCACTTCAGGAAGATATGCAGAATGCTCTTCTGCTAGTCTTTTGAACATCCTGGCCTTTTGTATGTTCCCTTCTAAGCTTGGCTTTAAAAACCTAATTTTGGTCAGTTTTACTCTCCCCAATCTTTCGTCTTCAATTACATCAAGGCAAAAATTCACCTCCCAGAACACAAAGAGCTCATTTTTTTTAAAGCTTTTACTATCATAGCATTTCGAAAATACATCAGTTATTGATGATTTATTTTCAAGATTTTTGTTTATTAAGTTATGCCTGATTGAATGCTCAAAGGAGAATTGGTCAGAAAAACTAATGGTTCTTTTTGCTAGGGTGAGATATTTCACACGCATAAAGTGAATTGCAAAAGCGATTATAAGGGCAGGGACAAAGAAAACCATAATTGTGAGAACCCCTGCGTCGTCGAGGGAGTATCCAAATAAAAATATGAAAGCGATAGTTGAAATTGCTGAGAGTTTGCCACAAACTATTAAATTTTCCAATAAGTTGTAGTAAGGTAAAAATTTGAACAACTTTATTAATATTATAGAGCTCATAAAAAGTACCGTTACTATGTAATAAGGATAATTATTTTCTCCCACCAAAACATACAAGCCACACTCAATAGAGCAAAAAATCACAAAAAGCAAATCAATTACAGAGTTTGACCTGGCTTTTAAATTTTTGTTGAAATTCTGGTGGCGTATATCAGCCGTAAACAGTACTTCTGATAGTGCAGATAAAATCAAGGCAAGGATCGAAAAGATGCTAATTATTGCTCCGATAGGCCCATAATCGAAATCACTTATGTGCGAGTTATAGTACTCCTTAACATCTGTAGCATGAAAAGTTGAATATTTAAATACCACAAAGAAAATGGTGAGGCTTGGAATAAAAGCAATAGTCGCTAAAAGAGTCAAAACTTTTCTTGCAAGCCATCCTATGAGCCAGGGAGTTTTCTTTTTCGAATGTCTCAAAATACCGAATAAAATTGCAGCTTTAATTGGAAAATGTATAATTACTGAGAGGACTGTAAAGCAGCTAGAAAAAATGCCGAACTCGACACAATAATTATCGAAGGACAGAATTCATAAATAATTCCAAAATCAGGAGTAATTATCTCAATTGCTCATACTCATCTGGGAATTTCAGAAAATTGAAATGGTTTGAATCGTCATAATGATACTTATTGATATTTCAGTTGCCAATTGAGTTCTTCATGTGCTTTCAGTGCTATATTTTTGATTTATTATATTTATCATCGAATCAATCACAAAACTGTACACTTTCGGAAGAAAATTCTGATGCTGCTTTTCTTCCGAGGTGATATTTTCTTCGAATAATTGATCTCTGGCTTTGAAAGAAGACATTTGTTTATAATTTATGAAAATAATAAAATTAATTCAAGACGTTATCCAGCTGAAAAAAACCAGCTATAATTATTAAAGAAATTAAAAGGTATTTGCAAAAGCCTTCTCACTTATTAAGATTTAATTTAAAAGGATAAGAAACATTTTTGTATTTATCGTAAAATTAATAAGAATCTAGATTAATAAAAAAGAAATTTTTATTTAGGTAAAATGGCTAAATTAAAGGAATAATAACTTTTTATTTGATGTTGTGAATTGCTAATTATTGATTATCTTAAAAATTAAATAATGAAACTTTTTAATAGAGCGATTTATAAATGATATTCTAGAAGCGGAATCTCATAGATAGTCTATTTAATTCCATAATCATCAGTTTTTTTAACGTAAATGCTTTTTTATTTATGTATATTTAATTAAAGAATTTTCTAAATTTTCCCATCATTTATAAATTCGATAATTTTTCTCATTCTGTTTTAATACAAAATTATTTTATTTTAATTGCCTTAAATTATGCTAATATCAAATGTTAAAGCGAATCATGCAAGCTAAATGGCCTAATTTTTCACCTCGACTATTTTAATGCACAGAGAAAAGTAATGAATTCTTCTTGGTGTCATATTTTTCAAATAAATTTCTTTTTTTAAGCCCATCAGTAATATTATATATAAAGAAAGCTTCTTTACTTACAAGATGGATATATCAGCTACACTAGAAAATTTAAATCACTTTCATCAAAAAGCAATTGAGCATGATGAAATTCTGCATTTCCGAGAAGACGTTATTTCACTAATCAAAGCATCCAGCCAAAAAGGCCTCTTTAAAGGTGTATACAACCAATCAGATTTTATCCAAAATCTCAGACCTCAAAAGCTAAACAGCATCTTGCCTAAGATTTCTCAGCAGAGGAAGCTAAATCTTTATGAGTTATTTGTAAAGCATGCGGATGTAGCAAGCATTAAGGTCAACATCCCAACTACCCTTCTAAGAACTGGCGAAACCTCAATGACTTTTTTAGTCCATACTCTTAAAAATGGAAATGTGATCTCTAGGCCCTGCCAGCAAAGCGAGTTTTTCAAAATCAAAGCCGACAACTCAGGTGCCAAAACGCCTCTTTATTGTTTCAAAAAGATTAATAAAAAGGCAATTCCGCTTTATTCTAAAGAAAGCGCCGAAAACATGTGAAACTTGACCAAAGACCCTGCAATTCTGCAACTTTATATTAGAAGGACGGCAAAAATGAGGGTTAAGTGAAATTCAGATACAAAGTTGGAATATATACCTATTACAAAATCAAGCCAAATTATTGACCAAATTACAGAAGAACCGATAGCAAGCCCTTCCAAACCATTCAAAAAGCGACTACAAACAATAACAGATATATCTGAGCTGAAATACACAAAAGCAATGCTTCAAAAATCAAAAACTTTGAGCAAAGCTCGGCTTAAATCAGTCACAAAGCCACTTTTGCCTCAGATAGAAAGGAGCAACAAGCCTCGTTCAAGATCTCAAATTGTCCGAAGAAGCCCAAGCTACAAAGAAAAAGAAGAGACAAGCTTTGATCAATCCTTGACATCAGATGGAACCCTCAATACCCCAGTGAGGAAACTTACATCTTCTGATGCAAAAATAGACGATGAGGAAAAAAATCAGAAAATTATGGAAATTGAGTCTATGGTCTCCCAAACTGTTCTAGATGGCGTAGCTCATCCAACTACGGGTAGCGAGTGCATATCTTCGTGATCAGCCGGGTGAAGCGTAATGGATGAAGGTAGACCGAGGGTAACTTTAGGTAATACGGCAGGCCTCTCAATAATAAAGTTAATGCTAATGGTTTCCCAAACTGTCAATTTTTTCAATACAGCTGTTTTTCGTGGGCATGAACTAAAAGAGATGACATTTGATTTTATTCTAGATAAAAGCAAAAATTGGGTACTGATTAAATGCAGAGAGTATAGTTTAAACTGCCAAATAAATTTGAGCTATATTAACACCCCAAATGATAAGCATAGGAGAAGGAGAAGCCAATCAAACAGTGCCATAAAAGCACTTAAGGAGAGTACGCCAATACTCTCTAAAAAGAATTCGATGCCCAAAATGAAAACGAAACTGAATGAAAGTGATGAAGACGTGGAAACTTCAGTAATTTCAATGCCAAGACATAGGTTGATACTCTCAAATGAAATTAATGAAAAAGATGTGTTTGAAAAGTATACTAAAGCAAGTGAAAATATAGATCACATCATAAAACGGCAGGCAACCAAGCTGGGAGAGCACAAACCGCCTGCTGCTAGCTTCTCAAATCCTTTAATTTCTAAGTTTCAATGCCCATTCAAAAACCATGACCACGTCGAGCATGTTAAAGTCCACAAAAATAAAAACTGAAATGAAAAAATCTGCACCCTCACCCAAAGCCATTTAAATGATGCCATTAATAGTTTAGACGAGCTAAAGGTAAATTCTCTGCACACTCAGCAAAGTTTAGTACAAAAATATGGTGGGAATGATTTTTGGAATCAGTTCATTCTTTCGCTTTACAACAAGATTTTATCAAACGAAATTTTACACAAGTATTTCATCAGTATGAAGTTGGAGAATTTCAAAATGATTGTAAATGGGATGTTCATTATTTTTAATGGAGAAGTAAGTCCTGAATTCAGAAGGAGGGTAAGGATGGCTCACCACCGATTAGGACTAGCTGAAGCAGAATTCAACTGCTATGCGGATATCTTTAAATCCCTCATGGTTAGAGAGCAAAAAATGAAAATCTGATCCTTGAAAAAATTTAATAATATTCGTAAGATTCTATAATATGTTACATTTAAAGCATTTTGGTATTTTTAAAGTCATTTCATTATTTACAATTTTGTATTTTTTGAATAAAAATTTGTTTTTGTAGGAAAATTTAATACACAAACTAACTCCCCTGCTAGAGAAAAATAAAATATTATTTCCTGGCCATGGGAGAGGAGTAAGAGCACGCTGAACGAACAGCAAGTAGAAGAAAGTGACAAGAAGACGATTATGTCGCAAGTAAAATCAATGAAGTGTCTAATATGCAGGTAAAGATTTTTAATATTAAATATTGATATAATTTTTATTATAAATGGATATATCTCAGATTTAACATATTTCTGGTCTAAAAAAACTAATATCTACTCCCCTCTCCGTGAGCGAAAAAGCCATTAGAAAAATCCCTATTTTTTGCTCAAAAACCACCTCCATAGCGAACTAAAATTATTTTATAGAAAAATTTTTTATGAAAAAAAATTTTGATATATAATGATAATTATTATAACGAAATCTCTGTTTAATTTTAAACAAATTGCGTTTTTAAACATAAATTTTGCAATTAAATTGATATTTGGTTTTCATTTTTTGCATTAGAATAGTTATAAATTTGAAAAAATAAATTTATATAAATTTATATAAAAAATATTAACCCCCCTCCATGTGAGCGAGCAAGAATTTTTTGTTCGCTCACAGAGGGGGGGAGTTAGTAATATCATTCATTCTATTTCATAAAATTGATTTTCAATAATAAAGATGATGCAATATATATTTTCTTGGCTAATTTTAAATTTTGAGAATTTTAGTTCTTATTGGAAATCAGCAAAAACAATAAAAGATTTTTAATTTTAGCATTTTTCAGCAAAATCAGTAATCATAAAATCTGAGGAAAACAAGATTTTGCCAAAAGATATGCTCTTAAATATGGACTTACTTAGCAGAATATAGCCCATACCTCAATATAGATTTCTTTATCGAAAAAAAATGCAATGGATGGTTGAATGGCTAAGACAGACCCTCTCAAAAAGATGAGCTGAGTCTTATAAAGGTGAGTCAAAGAATGGTTAACAAGTATGAAAAAAAGTTGAAAAATAAACGAGCCAATTTTTTAAAAATGGCTTTATTAAATTTAATTTTAATTTCGAAACAAATTAGACTGGGATTGATTAATATCTTACTTAGATTTAAAATAAACGATGCCAATTTGATTATGATCAAATGCTCTATAAAAGCCAAAGGTTGTATTGAGCGCTTATAGTTCTTTATGAAGTTCTTAATAAAGCAATTAATGCTCGTTATAAAATATTTATGGATTTAAAAATTAAAAACTTATCGATTGAGTTGCTTTTTTGCGGAAATGATCAATTTTTAAATCAAAAATGCCAATTGTGATCACATGCTCTATAAAGTCAAAGTTTGTATTGAATGCTTGCTGTGCTTTATGAGGCTCTTCATGATCATATTAATCCTCTCTAGCAAATTTAAATGGACTTAAAGACTAAAAACTTATCGAATGAGTTGCTTTAGTGCGAAAGGATAACTTTTTAAATAAGCAATAATGTTTTAAATTTATTATCTCCAGTCGAAAAGGGTATCTTAAATTTAAAATTTGAAGTGCTTGCTTGCCAACTTTTTTTCGTACTTTATGTCCATTTTTTTAACATTCCACTTTTTTTTAACACTAATCTTTAAAAGATCCAGCTCGTCCCTTTGAGCAAGTCTGTCTTGGTCGTTCAACAATCCATTGCATTTTGCTCGATAATAAAATCTATATAGAGGTACGGGCTATACCATTAAAATAATTTGACCATGATATATATCTGTTAAAATAGACTGTGGTTTGAAAATGGAATTATGATAAATACTTACTAGGGAACCTTGCTTTTACTTGAATTCCGGGTATTATTAACGGCAGAAGATCATTTCTTTCTTCTGACTCCCCCCTCCGAGAGCGAACAAAACCATTAGAAAAACCTACCTTCCATGAGTAAACAAAAATTTTTATGAAAAAAAAAAATGGATATATAAATGATAATTATTTTTAAACTAAATCTCGAGCTAATTCTGTTTAAATTTCAAACAGCTTGCTTTTAAAAATATAAATTTCACAAATTAAATTAATTTTTGCCTCTCAGTTTTAAAAATTAAATTTTTTTTAAATTTTGAAAAAAAAAATTTAAAAATTATATATATAATTTTATAAAAAAAAATTAAATGTGAGCGAACAAAATTCTTTGTTCTCTCACGAAGGGGGCGGAGTGAGTAAATCATAAAAATAACCTTCCTTAATGGGAATTTACTTGTGATGCCTGTAAAAGACACTCTTTTAAATTTAATTTTTTTTGCAGTGCCAACATCCTGAATTCTCGAATTTCTTAAAATTTGTTCATTCTTGCTTGATTTTATAATCTCTTTTGGAGGCACTTCATATGTAAAGGCTTTTATCCTCAAGCTGAAGTTCAGACTGTTAAGGTTCTCTATTCCGCAAATTGTTACTTTCAATGAGAAGGGTTTATTTTTGTATAAGACCTGACCAATTGGTGAAGCTAATTTTATTACGCAATTGGTATTTGGGATCTTAAAACAAACTTCTTTAAGGGCTTGAATTGCATCCCTTTCAAGTTTGGCTTCTTGCTGGGCTGAATCATTTGTTATACTTTGTAATCTTGTGAGCGTAAATTCAAATTCCTCTTCAAGTTTCCTTCCCTGCTCCAGCATAATTCTCAACAAATTTTCTTGCCGACCGAACCAGGAATCCAAAAGTTGGTCGAAAGATCTTTCATTTTCAAGAAGGCTGGGATGCAACGGGAGAGAAACAGAATGAGCAGATTCGTCAAAGCCAGAATGGCTGTTTCCTGGGTGATAATTTCCGTCCATTGATATAATAAATGCCCGGTGATGACGCTCAAATGTGCAATAATCGGGCAAAACCAGAGAAGGGCTCCACGCGGGAAATGGATTCCACATGGAGCCCTTTTGACACGTGGAAAATCCTCACTTCCACGCGCCATAAGGATCCACACGTGGAATCCATTTCCCGTGTGGAGCCCTTTTCTGGTGATGCCCAATGACAGCACATTGAGCGCTATCATCGGGCAACCTGTATATTAAGAATTAGTTAATAAAAATTCTGACTCCTGAACTGTCTGTTTTTTACTTATATCAAAATTATTATAAAATGAATACAATTAATTATTTTTTACTCGACAAGGTTTCAAAGAAGTTTCGAATATATCTTATAATAAGGCTTACTATCTCCATTTAATAAGAGCAAAACCTAATTTCTCCTTCGGCCCAGTGAAAAATAATTTTGCTCGCCCTTAAAAAGTTTTAACATAACTTTTATAGAAATTTAAAAAAATCTCAATAATTTAATGCATTTGTTTAAAATTCAACAGAATTAGTCAGAGATTTCATTATATATTTTTAAAAAAATTTTTTATTCTCTTAAAAAATAGGGATTTTTCCATGTTTTTGCCTGCCCTCAGAAGGGTCTCTATATATATATTTTATAAGATATAGGCCGACTAAATGAGCAAATAAAGCGTTCGCTATTATTGTTCGTGCTAGAGTCGTAAACTATAAATATTTTTTTATGAATAATAAAACATTTTTATAAAATTCAACGTCACAGAAAGCTGACGTTTAACAGAAATATATTAGACCTTTCCATTTGTGAATGCATAAATTGATAAAAAACTAATAATTCGTAAAATGAAATTAATTATAAAGCATAAATGAAATTCAACTCAAATATTCCAAAATGAAGCGGTTATTTTTTGCAATTATTAGACTTTAAAAGCACCAGCATGCAGGATGCTTGATGTAGAGCTCTTTCCCAATAACACTATTCATGAATTTAATATTTTATATAAATTATTGGTTTTTTTTTATGAACGACATGGCATCTTATAAGCTTCAATATGATCAATATTGTAAAGATTAATATTTCTGAATCAACCATTTAATTAATTCTGATTAATTTTTCTGATAATTCTGTTTCTTTTATTTATGAATTACCTTTGCTTTGAATGGTGATTTTACAAGAATAAAATAAATAAGACTTAAGCCTTTTGTATTCTCTTTTATAATCTTTACTTTCTGCTAGTAAGCAAAACAACAAAGAATATGTAGCCATAATATCGCATCATCCAAATTTTTTCTTTCTCCTTTTATAAATATTATAATTGCAATTAAAAACAACTTAAAATTTTTGAAAATCCTTATTCGTTAACGATTCTCAATTAAAAAGGAAATGATTCTGTACAATTTTTTGTTTTATGTTTATTTAATATTGTCAAAAATCCAAAAAAAAGTTTTAGATAGGGTTGCTAATGTCTCTAAGAATTTTAAAAGGATATTCAATACATCTAAACTTTTTCTCTGTGCTTCAGCAAAAGATTATTAATTGAACAGAAGAGGAAGTAAAATTATGCAATGCGTGATGAATTTTATAGTTTTGACTATTTCCAAGAATTCACTGGCATCGTTTTTCTTTAAATTTTTTAATAGAAAATGTAAATGCATGATGAGATTGATCTTTATGAATAAGGTGCAGCCTCATTAAATTATGCCTCCTTATTCAAAATAATTTTCCTCCAGAAGATGCATAGTTTACTAAATTTGTTTTGAAAGCGCATGAGACAGAAAATTAAGGGCTATGTTGATAAGGTTTACAGATAATGCAGATAAGTAAGCATTCTGAATTACCAAAAGCTTAAATAGCATGGTGTGAATGCGATGTCTAAAATTAGGTATAAGATTCTAATTGGTCTTAAGGAATTTGGCTCGTTTAAACTAAAATTGATAAATTTATTATGCATTTTTAAAAAAAAAATAAATACTATATTTTAAATAAGTATTTCAACTTTGGACTTTATTTTCCTAATTAGATTGCCATTTTAGCATAAATGAAGGAATATAAAAGCAAATGATTTGTGCTCAATTCTTTTTTATACTTTTGCTTAAAGTGTTTTATTTGATTGACTCAGAAATATGTCTTATTTAAAATTTTCTGTCCTAATTGCAATATACAATAATTTAGGTAGAAATAAAAAGCTTTATCTATGTGAAAATTATAATTTACCCAAAGTCCAACATATAAAATAGCCTTCATTTTAATATTTATCATAATGGCATTTAAAATTAAATAATTAAATGAGCTCATCAAGTGACGAGGACATTAGAATCGGCCCCACAATCCAAGGAAGCAACAAAATGACCCCAGAAATCGAGCAGCTCCTAGGCCAAGCAAACCAATACTTCGTCTTTCACCAATTTGACGAGGCTTACGCAATCTTAAAAGACGTCATTACCAAAGCCCCATGTCTTCCAGACCCATACCACGTCTTAGGCCTAATTCACGAAGAAAGACGAGAGCACGACAAAGCTGTCAACTTTTTCATGCTGGCTGCCCAAATGACTCAGCACGACAGTGAACTCTGGAGTAAAGTCGCCCACATGCACAAAGATTTTGGCCACTTTAAAGAAGCTGTCTATTGCTTTTCAAGGGCTCTTCAGAACAAAAAAGGTCCTGACATCGAGCTTATGAAAGAAAAGTAAGCCATATTTAGAGCTGTCTGCTATGAAAAAATCGGAGACTATCGAAAAGCAGGGAAAACCTATTTCAAGATCCTCCAAGTTTCTGATCCATGCGATCCTACAGTTGCAAAAGCACTTGTAGAAGTCTACAACATTTTGGCTCAGCCTTCCAAAGCAATTAGCAGCTTGCAAGAAATCCTTGAAGAGAAATATGACCCGAACTTAGTTAATTTGCTTTGTGATTTGCATATTCAAATTTCCAACTACCAGTTTTGTATAGACTATCTTGATAAATTTTCAGACCAAGAGTTCCCGATTGATATACAGACAAAGCTTGGCTACTGCTTGGCGAGGGTTGGGAGGGTTCAAGAAGCTGATTTCTGCTTTGAAAAACTATTAGAGCAGTCTGTGAAGCACTTCCCAGACCTTTATTATTTAATCGGCTGTCTTTATCAAGATTTAGGATTTCCTGAAAAGAGCTTGCAGTTTCTAGAGCAGCTTAGACAAGTAGACAGCTATGACAAGCCAATTCTCTGGCTTGCCTGTGGGAAGCTTTATAAGGAGGTAAAAAATATGTAGATTGAAGATTATTCGTCTGCTGAGGATGCATTGAATTTGGTGCTGTCCAGCAATGAAGTAGGCTTACATATAGAAGCAAGAGTCTGCCTATCAAAAATTTACAAAACCAAAGGTGAAATAGAGAGGTCAATGGAAATCCTGCAGACCACTGATATCCCATATATCGACACTTCAGAGCTGACGAGCGGCTTTTTGGACTCTTTTATTGCTAAGGCAAAGCTGAAAATAGAAGAGGCGTTTATCCAAATTCAAATCCCAGCCACTCTTCAGTTTATGCATCAGATGATTGATATCCAGCTCAAACTTGAGATTTCTAATAAAACTGGGATCATAAGTGAGATAGGGGAAGAAGTCTTTGTGAGACTCATTGAAAAAATAATTTCAGACCTTGAAAGTGAAGAAAGTTTCTATAAGGAATTAAAAGAACTCATAAATAGGCTGCTGAAGCTAGAGATGTATAGAAAAGATAGAAGGTTGAGGATGAAAAAAACTTTAGCGAAAATATGCATAAAAGATCAAGATTATGAGCAAGCTATTAGTGCATATAAATTCATATGCGAAAAAGAAGATAGAGGGAATAACTGGGCTGTTCTTTCATGCTTGCTTAAAAAGTCAAGTTCAACACAGTTGAGAACGTGGCTAAGCAAATTAAATGCAAAGTTCCCGGATCATTATGCAGTTCATATGCTATTAGGCAACAATTATTTGCAGACAGGATATTTTTCACATGCCATAAAGCAGTATAGTTATCTGTATGCTCAAGATCCTGAATCCCCTTTCCATGAGCAAGCAACTATCGAAAAAATAAGTTAATAATTTTTAGAAATATATTTTATATATAAGTAATATTTATTATACGAATTCTCGAGCTACTTCTTTTATATTTGCATTCTAAACATAAATTTTATAATAAATTTACTTTTTCTTTAACATTTGAAAAGATTAGCCCCTCTCTAAGAGAGCAAAATAGTTCTACTGGCTCGTGAGGGTTGGAGTGATTAGATTAAGATTAAAGGGCTTAAATTCTTCTAGATTTGATGCCTCTGCACGATGCGACTTCCGGAACCTGCTTGTCGGAGAACTCGACAGCAGTCTACTCATGGAGCCTGGGGCTTGCACCGATGTCCTGAGCTTTGACGATTAGGGAGACTCGTCTTACTTCGCGTCTTGCGATTGTTATTAAGGAAAGGTCAGATCGATGTATCCTGTCAGCCACCTTGAGGAAGGGTGGCACCCAGGAAAAATGAAGGAGAAGATCAGTAGCCTAAAAAAACTATCTGGATAACTAATACCTGGATTGGAATGGCCGCCAGCTGACTCCGAAAGCTTACCCATCCCATAGGGCAGCGATTGTTTATACTAAGGGTTAGGATTAAGGACCTGAATCTTAGTTTATGTTTCAAACCATTTTGGCGCCCAAAGTGTTTCATCGCCACCACCATATTAATTATGGGTAGAAGTGAGGACTCATTAGTTAATCTAAACCTTGGCTTGTGCTACTTGTTTTCCTTATCCTCAAGAAACCTACAAAAGAAAGAAGATTACTATGAAAAAGCCATGCAATACTTAAAAAACTACTCAAGAATAAGGAAAAAAACTGACTATGCAGAGGCTAACTATAACATCGGCAGAGCTTTCCAACACATCAATTTTCTCACAAGAGCCACACATTACTATGAAAAAGTCCTCATGTCATATTCCAGGAACTTAAGCTACGGCTTATCCCTCACCAAGAAAACAGAAAAATACAGCAATCTGAGTGCGAGAAATCTCTATGAAATCAGAAAGCTGCTAAAAGACGACGAAGGGGCTCAGCAAATATACGAGAATTGGCTAGAAAAGTAAATTTAATGATAAAATAAATTATGCTAGTGAAATCTCCTTTCGGCCCTGTGAAGCTATTGACCCCACTTTTCAGCAGCAGCGGACTGGAAGATGCCCAATTCTTCCAAGTCGTTGACACAATTAGAGCGAACGACCTTTTTCGGCGAATGAGAAGAGAAAAATCAATCGAGTTTATCGTCCCAGAAGCACAACACAGCAAAGTGGTCGCTATTTACAAAAACCTCAAGTATAAGTGGAAAAAGATCCACCCAAATTATGGAGACAAGTCCCCAAAAGAGATTTTTCATTTATACCGCCGCTTCAAGCAAGACAGGAATCATTTTTTTGGGAGATTTGGGTTCATCATCTCTGAAAACTACCAGATCAAGCTAAAGTATCCTCCTGATGTGTCGATAATGCCTTCAGCCATTCGAACCTTTATAGATGAGCCACACAGTGTCTTTATGCCAATGAACTTGTGGGAAGGGATCTTGTCGACAAATGAATGGAACTCTAAAGGACTGGTCATTGAAGCATTAGAAGAGACTATTCACCCACTTTATGGAGTATGAAGCCCTACAAATCAGGAGTTTCTAGGACTCTTTAAAAAGTACCTGGATGGGGTAGAGCTGCAAGGAACTGCAATCGATTTGGGATGCGGCACTGGGGTGTTAGGCTTTATGCTTGCGAAGAAAGGAATGCAGGTATTTGGGGTAGATTCGTTATTCCAAGCAGCGAAGTGCACAAATTTAAATGCTCAATCCACCCCTCTGTGAGCGAGCAAATGAATTTTGTTCGCACTAAAAAATTTATATAATTATTATAGTAATATTTTTCAAAGTTTAAAAAATCCCAATTCGCAAAAACTCAAAAGCAAATATTAATTTAATTTGTAAAATTTATGTTTTAAAATGCAAACTGCTTAAAATTAAACAGAATTAATTATGACATTCAATATAATATTTATTTACTTTATATATCAATTTTTTTTTCATATATTTTAAAAATTTTGTTCGCTCAAAGAGGGTGAGCTTTTACCCAAAAATTGGGATTTTTCCAATGGTTTTGTTCGCTTACAGAGGGGAGAGTCAGAAGCTTGAGCTAGACGTGAATGCAGTGCATGATGATGCGAACAAGGTGGATTTGCCCATGTGCGACGTCATTGTGTGCAACCCACCTTGGATTCCAGTTTCTAACTCCCAATTTGAGAGCGAGAACGAATTTTTGCTCATGTAAGCTAAATTTTTTAATATATCTTGTATAATTTTTGCATTAATTATTTTTCGAAATCCCAACTTAGAAGATTTGAAGAGAAGAATACAATTTAATTATAAAATTCATCCAATCTGTTTAAAATTTAATAGCACTACCCAATATCTCATTATAATAGCTATTGAAATATTTTATATTTTTTGATTCGCTAATAGAGGAATTTCAGATTTGTCCAAAATATTTGCTTGCTCAGCAGAGGTAGTAAGAAAACTGCGTTGGACAGTGGAGTGTACGACCCTGATGAGAGCTTGCTCAAAGCAGCCTTTATGCAAACAAAAAAGCTAAATGCCAAAGGAAAGCTGCTGCTCTTTTACAGCAATTTCGCAAGCAAGATCGGACTCCAAAAAGAAAATAGAATCGAAGAGCTCTGCCAATCTCACCAAATGAAAATTGCTAACAGACTCGAACTTCCCTTCCCTTACACAACAGACACAGACCACCCTCTAAAGAAGTTCAAAGACTCAAGCCACATTTATTTATACGAAATAATAAGAGATCTCTAAACAAGTATTTTATTCTTAACCTAACCAGTACATAATTAGCGTTTGAATCATATCAACATAAGACTTCACCATCGCGTTTCTCTGCTGCCTAGTAATATTCATCAAGTTTAGCAGCTCTTTTGAAGTGACTTCTAAGAACTCAGGGATCACAATAAGTTTGTAAGCATAAATCCTTCAGATCACGTCTTCAGCTGCTGGGCCTAGTGCCGTTCGCATGACAGCGGTCGGCACATACTCGTCTAGAAGTTCTTCGACCTGAGAAATAGGAATGTGCTTTGCTATATCCTTATAAGGCTTCCTCTCGTCGATGAAGTGCTGCAGTTTTGCTTGTGTAAGATAAGGGATTTTAGGGATAGTCATCATCATTTTGGTCTCGTCTTTGACTCTCGCTAAGTTTTGGTACTGTGCAAAAAGATCGTAGACCCCTTTTGTGAGACCGAATTTTTCGATTACTTCGGAGGATCTTTTTTTATTAATAGATCTCATTATTTTCGCTTTGAGCACTTTAATTAATTCGAAATCTGTTGGCTCCCAGTCATCAGAAAGCTCAATCACTCTGGTCCTTTTGGCGCCGAGTAAGACTAGTTCTTTGAAAGTGTCTATTTTAATAAATATTTGATAATTTTACCTTAATTATTATCTGATTTGTCTTGTCCTTTGATCATCAAGTTGTCTAGTTTGTCGTGAACCGTTTGCAAGATTTGGGTTATGTCTTCTACCTGGGCTTCAACGGTGTTTATTCTGTGGGACAGGCCAGACACTTTATAATCAATCGTGTTGGTCATGGCGTTTTCTTCTTTATAGTCGTTGAAGTCTCTTAAAGCTGTTTTAATTTCTTTCCATTGGTCGTGCCGTTTTAAGAGGCCTACCTCTTTGGAGTTATAGTATTTCATAGCAGTGCTGATTGCTTTGGATGCGACTTTGCTGAGCAAGATCCCGTCCAAAGCTTTTTTTTCATTGCTTTTAAGCAACAAAAAGCTCCCCATCGCCACTGAGGTTAAAGAGAGAATGATGCCTCCCCAAAATGCACTCAAAACGACCACGACTCTGCCAGATATAGTTGTAGGAACTGTGTCTCCGTATCCTACTGTCGTCATTGTGATAATAATGCCCCACATAGCGTTTCCTGCATAGTCAAAGTCCATGTTTGGCAGCATCATAGGCCTTTCAAAAATCCTTGTGATCAGTCCAAAAATAACGACTCCAGGCACAATGAAAAATAAGGCAAGCATAGTCAGAGGCCTCTGGTTGATGTAGCATTTCATTGAAAAAGTTGGGGAAGGCTTCACGTTGAACTTGGCACAGTACCTCATAGCTGCTTGGTTTTGGAATTTGCCGTAGTTGAAGAGAGACAAAATCAAGAAAACGATCCTAAAGTACATGATAGCATAGAACAGCTCAGCGAAGAAGTAGCAGACCTCGACTTCTTGGTAAGAAATTTGTTGAGGGACAGTATAAGTTGCAGAGAGCCAAGGGTAAGGGAAAATGCAGTAAAGCACTATTGCTGGTATCATGTCATCGCCCAGCCACTCGCCCATGCTTGCTTTTTTCCTCATTTCAAAAACTTGCATAATAGTCAGTTTATTCAGAGAAGGCAGTTCCCTAAATGTCCTGGGAATGTGCCTTTTTCACTTACTCCTTCTCTATTAGGGAAACCATTGGAAAAATCCCCTAGTTTTTCGTAAGTGAGAAAAATTTTTATATTAAAAATATTTATTATATAAGTAATGAAATTTATTAAATTTTAAAAAAATTGGTAAATATAAATTTTACAAATTATATTAATTTTAAACTTAAAAAAAATTAAACTATTATGCTGGCCCATAAGCGGTTAATTCACTAGCTACTGCCCATCTTGGCTCCAAAATATCGCCATTTTGGATTTCCGACCTGAAACACCTGTCCAAGTAATCAACTCCCTAGGGCAGATTCACCGCCTGTAGAGTGCCTTGATGGTTCTATGAGGAAAGACCATGTGGTAGGCAAAGCCTATCTAGCCCATCTGGCAGGGATAGGAAATCCATTGGGGTAAAAACAAAACTTCCCTATTCGGCAAGGTATCCCCAAACCTGAAAGCCTACTTCAAAAGGAACAGAGACCCTGCTTTCAGCTTCATTAGGATAGCTCTGAACTGCTCTGTCAACCTCACCATTTTATTTCTTTCAAATTATGATTGTTTTAAATCTATAAAAAAAGTTTTTAAAAAATTAACCCTTAATTAACAAGCGAAATTTTTTGCTCGCTCACAAGGGGGAGTTAAGAAAATAATACCTGTAAGGAATAAGAAATGCAATCCCAAGCAAGCTCAAGGCCATTACAATATCCCTAGCTGCATAAGTTGAGGAGTCATCAGTTAGGCAGTTTTCTGCAGTTCTTTGTTCTGAAAAGTGTAGTTCGTAATCCGTTGCAGCTGGAATGATTGCACTTCCTCCGCATAAAGCAGAGAGCATCCTAAAAAACCTTCATTTATTGAAGAGTCGGTTCAGTTCGTCGAGCTCTGACACAACAAGATTCTTTTCTAAGAGAGGAGTGCGCGTGTCGCCCATAATTAATTTTTCGATCCAATTATTCAACCATTTAAATCCATTAGGAATTAAGTTAAGCTGGCATAAGCTGCTTCAAGCTGAGAAATCTCATAAGGACTACCAATGTAGCAAGGTGACCTTTGGTGGATGTGCTCAGGGACAGTGTCTAACAGTCTTCTCTTGCCATCAGTGGCTCTTCCGCCTGCGAGCTCAGTGATAAAGCTCATTGGGAGGACTTCGTAAAGGAGTCTGAGTTTACCATGAGGAGACTTACTATCTGCAGGGTACATAAAAATGCCTCCGTACAGCAGAGTTCTGTGAACATCTGATACCATTGACCCGACATATCTTAAAGAGTAAGGGTTGCCGTCTTCTGGATGCTTGACTGAGTCTACAAAATGAGTGATGGCTGGGTCCCAAAACAAGGAATTTCCTTCATTAACTGAGTAGATGTGCCCTCTCTCTGGGATCTTCATATTTGGATGGGTCAAAATGAAGTCTCCAATTGAGTTATCCAAAGTAAAACAGTCAACCTTTCCGTTCTTCGTTGCGAGGACAAGCTGAGTGGAGCTTCCATAAATGCAGTACCCAGCACATTCAATTTCAGTCCCATTTCTCAAGAAGTCTCTTGCAGAGACTGGGGCGCTTGCATCTGGTCTTTTCCAGATGGCAAAAATAGACCCAATTGAGACGTTGACATCAATATTGGAAGACCCGTCCAAAGGATCGAAAGCAATGATGTACTTTCCTGACTCAGCGCCACCCATAATGTAGATTTTATCTTCTTCTTCACTGACCAGTGCTGCGATTTTATTGGAGAATTTCAAAGAGTTGATGAAAATGTCGTTCGCAATGATATCAATTGGCTTCTGGGCTTCGCCTTGGACGTTTTGACTTCCAGCAAGTCCATAGAGAGAGGAGATTCCAGCTTTTCTGACTACATTGCTGACGAATTTGCAAGCAAGCATGATGGAGTTAAGAATCTGCGTCAGGTCACCTTTGGCGTCTGGGTTGCGTCTCTGATCCATCATAATGGATCTTGTCAAAGTGACTGGGTTGGTATCGATAGGAATATGGATCTCTTTTGTCTCAGCCATTGTTTATATTAGAATAGATTTATTTGTAAATATCAATTGTTATGAGAAGGATCCGGACACAGTCTTACACAAAACACCCGTCTAAAAAAGCTAGGAAAAATTCTGGGAGCCAAACATATGAAGAAATTCTGCTTACTCCCCCCCCCCCCCCCTCCGTGAGCGAACAAAACCATTAGAAAAATCGCCATTTTTTGACCAAAAACCCACCCTCCGTGAGTGAACAAAAATTTTTTTAATAGAAAAAATTTTAATGGAAAAAAATTTTGATATATAAGTGATAATTAGTATAATGAAATCTAGAGCTAATTCTGTTTAATTTTAAACAAATTGCGTTTTAAAACATAAATTTTGCAAATTAAATTAATATTTGCTTCCCAATTTTTGCAAATTAGGATTTTTTTAAATTTCGAAAAAAATATTTTTTATAAAATTTATATATAAATTTTTTTTAAAAAAAAAAAATTAACCCCCCTCCGTGAGCGAACAAAATTTTTTTGTTCGCTCACGGAGGGGGGGGGGGAGTTAACATAAATTTAGATTTGGCTGCTGATTTTAGCACATCTGATGTCAAACACGCTCAATCTGAACAACAGACGATTAAAGATCTGCCTTGTTTTATTAAGCTGAAACAAGGCACGCAGCTGATAGGCACTGGGAAAAACACAACAATTGTGATCATGGACAAGATTTTTGTACTCCCAGACAGTCCGAAGCCATATCTATCGAGAAGTCAACTGTAATTCCGAAGGACCTATGTCCACCTGTAACCCCATCACCTTCTCGCCAACTATACACAACTTTAGAAAGGAAACTCCTGCCTGGCGAAGGTCTGCACTCACACCCCGTAGTGGATGAGTCATACAACATTGTCGCATGCCTAAAAATGTTTGCCCGCAATGAAAATTTCAAATGGTTTTAATCTGGTGAGCTCTTGGCCAAAATGAAAATCCGAAGCCCAGGGCTAACTCCTGGTTTCATTTGGAAATAGTCCCGATTTGACCAAGAAACATTTCTGGCTCTGCTGGGAGATCCCTTTCCAACTCTCGACCCTTAAGGTAAATCATGGATCTGGAGTAAACTTGCGATCGGCTAGCCCAGCATTGCGTTTTATAATTCAAGAAAAACATGGCTGGATACACATTCCCGAACTCCATTCTCCCTCGAGGTTCCTACGCACTCTGCAGGATGCAGCTACAGGAGCTAAGAGATGGGCTGGCTCGCCCCTCCATTTTAAATATGACCCAAAGGCATATCCAAATAAGAAGTCAAAGCCAGATGAGGTGCCTATGAAGTATTGAAGCCAAAGATACAGCATTTTTTCTAAGTTTGACGAAGGGATCAAGCTGGATGAAGAAAGTTGATACAGTGCGACTCATGAGCCAATAGCAAAACATATAGCGAAAACATGTGAGGATGCTGAAATCATTATGGATGGCTTTTCGGGAGCTGGAGGTAACGTTGTGCATTTTGCTAAAACTAACAAAGTGATTGCAATTGAGCTAGATCCCAAAAAGATTGAGCTATTAAGGAATAATGCTGAGGTATATGGAGTAAGTGATATGATCCAGTATACACAAGGCGATTTCTTGGAAGTCGCTGAAAATTTTGGGTACGTTGACGTTATTTTTATGTCACCTCCATGGGGAGGTCCTGAGTATTTAACAAATCCAAGCTATGACCTTTTTAAGTCAGTCACCCCAGACATTAAAGAAATCATGAAAATTTGCGAGAAAATTACAAAAAATGTGATATGCTAAAACAAGTTAAATTTTTCTTCAGAAAATAAACATCATTTTTTGATCAAAATTAATTCAGCACAGCATACTCTATTTGCCAAGAAATTCTGATCCAGACCAAATGATAGAGCTCCTCGATTACGCCCCTAGTTTACAGCGGCAAATAGAAATCCAGCTTTACTACTACGGAAGTAAGGTCAAAACTATCGGATTATTTATAGGCGACATGGTACATCCTGACTACTTTGAGGTAGCCACCTTACTTTTACACAGAAACGGCTCAGAGTGTTCCTTTATGGAAGCCATGTCCTTGTCCTACGATATGGAAACAGAAGGTTTTAATGAAATAATTAACAGAATGTTCTAAATATCAGGGACTTGAATTAGTATACTTAACTAAGATAAGATAAAATTTCATCCCATCGCGGCTTGAGCTTCTTCTGGTGGATCTGAGGAATCACTGCAGTAATTGCTCTCCTTAAGCCCTCTCTGAGCTCAGGCTCAGCTTCAAGCGCAGCAGTCCTCAGCACGTAGCAGCCATATGGACACCCTAGCAAGACTTGAATTTTTCCGCCAGCTATGAGTTCATTGATGATCTCCCTCCTCATTCTTTCCTCTTTCAAGCACTTTTCCATTACATTTGACGAGTACTTCTGAATACAAAGCTGCACGACTTTTCCTTTAATGCAATTAATGATTTGAAAAGAGCACTCTTCTTGCCAAGTATCAATCATATGCTGAAGTGCGTAGTTTCCGTATGGATCTTGCATCAGAACAATGGCCTGGCCAAGCAGCTCATTGAAAACTTGGGGATCGTTGACGCATTTTTTGATTACACATAAGCCCAGCTTGTCTAGTGCAAGCTCTCTGATGTGGCCTACGATTTCGCGGATGATAAAATGACGGTTTTTGAGGGTGGATAATAGACTTTGAATTACATGAGAAGCGTTGGTTTCCATGGAGAGACGAACAATATGGCCTTGGAAAGCTCGCTGGTAGACTGCTTCTTCTTCAGGCAGACTGGCAAGACGGATTACAGTCTGCAAGGAATGGGTCCCTCGAGGGTTCTTGGAGACTGAAATTAGGTCGTCCTTCATTCCATTCAGAAGGGTTAGGCGTTGCCTTGCGGAGCAGCTCTGAAAGAGAGTCTGGCACATATAGTTTCCGTAGAGGTCTGACATCAGTTCGCCGAGATGTGGGGAAACGACCTCTACGATGTGCTCGATTTCTTCTGGTCGACTTCGTGCTATAAATTGTTGTGCTCTCTTGCTGCCTGATTTGGATCTGCAGAGGAAAGGAACGTTTGTGATGGAAAATTCAAAATCGGGGTTATTTGGGTCGAACTCTTCACTGTAAGATAATGAAGGCTCTTCGTCAAGAATTCCGCTTACTCCATTTATTAAAGAATAGTGTATTGTTATATGCTATTAATTGAATGCATGGTAAATTTTTGGACACTCCAAGCCTAGGATATATTAAAACTAAAATTATATAAAAAAAAATGCTTTCAGTGGATAATTTTCGATTTAAAATAAATTTTAATTTCTATTCAATAAGCAAGAGCTGGTAGGGTTTTTTAATGGGTGGAGCTAGGCATTGAGATACTGATGCATGGATGAGATCTGATCGGGAGCTGCTCCTGGTTGTGTTGTTGGTCCCATCCCAGCTCCTGCCTATGAAGTCTTCTGGGAACGATCCGCTGCTATTGTTCGTTGGTACGTCGAGTCTAGTCTTTCTGGGTTCCATTAATTTTTATACTTTGCTAAAACAATCAGTATTGTGAATATGCCTTAAATGGTAAACTGTATTTTACTTAATTATTATCACATAAAAGCTCTATAAATTAGAGTTAAGGCTCCTCTTCTTAATAGATAAGCAACAGCATCAAGTCCTATCAATCTATAATGAAATTGTCAAATTTTAACAATAATAAAATGGCTGTGTATGGATGGTTCTCTCTGTGAGCCCTTCCTCCTTCGTGATATTTACTATTATAAGGTTTAGTTTCCCACGTGGACTCGTATCCAATGCCAATATGAATTACAGCATATGGCCTAAGGATATTTAGGAAACATATTTTTTTACTACCTAGCACACCTGAGGAGGGTGAATCCTAGCTGGAGTGCGAGCGGACTTAGGCTCGGATAGGTCAAACCGTCCAAAAAAGAATTTCTGGCCCTTTTGGCTAGTTTTCTGAAATGCTTGCTAGATAGGAGGACTGCTGACGGCACCAATCGGAAGTTAAAAGGTTAGGTTTGCATCCTGCTGAAGGAAGAATCACTTAAAAATAATAACTAGTAGTAGTCAAATTTTAAAATCTAATAAGTTCTATCAAATTTTATTTAATTTTTACATCAGAAATCTAGAATAAGATCGTTTTACTTGTTTATTGTATTTAAATCGCAGCATTCTACACAAAAATTGGATTGTGGCAGATTATTTAGCAGAATATAATCAGATTTTATAATAAGATTTCTTTATAACATTGTCAGTAAATTTCAAGCATTGATTGCTGTGATTTTTTTCTTAGTCCAAGTTTTATAATTTATTTGCAAATGGTTTATGGCATGCTATTTTCTATTTACAGTATGAATCCCTCTTCTTTCGCAATTTTGACGCTGGCTTACTTAATGCTGATTTTAAAAGAGGTCGACTAAATACTTACTTAAAATAATAGTAAATAATTGTTTTTAATGCAGATCTAAATCATTGAATTTATTTATATAGGAAATAGACATCAATTATCTTACTCTCACCACTTTAAGAGTGAGCAAGAATTTTTGCTCGGTCTTAAAGTGAGGCTATTTTATCCAAAAAAGTTTTATTTTAAATATTTGAAAATAAAATCTAATTGATTTTTTTATAAAATTGATGTTTAAAAGCAAGTTGTCTAATATTCAATAAAATTAGCTAGAAATCTCTTTAATTATAATATAATTATATTTATAAAAAAATATAAAAATTTGTTGTTTGGTCTTGGGCAAAGTATAGAATAAATTATTTATCTAAATTAATGCAAAAATTGATTGAATATAGCCTTTATTAGTTTAATTTGAATGCTATTTGACTTATAGTATCTGAATTGAAATTACTTTATTAATTAATGCTCCATGAATGAGTAAGCTGTTTTAAAATAATTGATAATAATTTATATATTTAAATATTTTACATAAAAACATTTTATATAAAGATGCTTTTTCAGGGTTTTACGATTAAATTAGATAAATGCTGCATGCTTAAAGTCCCTACCTCCATAAGTGGCATTCTGCACAGCTTCGTTAGAAGCTGTGTGATGGCCTAAGCGAATTGAGTAGACTTCTATCTCTGGTATCTCTGAATCCATGCTGAAACTCCTTGCTTTGTGGTAGTAGCTGCTCTGTTGGGTCCGCAGACAATAACTGGGCTAGATAGCCCATTTAAGGGATCCTTTGCTGGAGGTATCGCCTCCAAGACTAAAAAACTGCGGTTCTATGCTTAAGACCCTTGCTTCGAGTCGCCAGATGTTGCTATCCCCGGATATTCATCATCGGAACCGTCTCAGGAGGGACTGGTCGAAGTCATCGCCATTTAATGTATATTTTTTCAGGGGTTAGCTTCCCAAAAAACTAAGATTTGCTCGATAATTTTGCTTTGCTTAAAATAGGAGGAGTAAGAAAACTATTAACGACTGAAGAATAAAATTTATATTTTACTAGACTTTGATATTTGTGAGATTATTCCAGATAGTGAAGGGATGTTTGATAACTTTGGCTTTATTCTTTCAAACCTCTTGCCAAATTCTTCCATTTCTGTCGTCTTTTTAGAGTAAATAAATAGAGCTGCCAAAATATTTTTCAATAATTTATTCTTTTCCTTGTTTTTTATTTTTTCATCTAAAATTTGTTTTATAGCTCTGAAGAGTTTTTTTGCATCTTTGTCATTATATGGCCATAACTTGATAATTTTCTTTAAAATTTCAAGAGTCTCAAGCCGCTTTTTCTGGTCTTTTCCAGTTTTGACATAATTGTGCAATAGATTCAAAATATACTTATCGAAGCTTAATGCTAAAACAATTCCGCTCAGAACATCTAAGCTCAATTTAGGATTTTTCGCAGTCATATAATTGCTGATTGTGTCGTTTACAACTTGGGTTGCTTCTTCATGGTTGGCTTTGTCTATAATTTTTACCAAATTGAAAAGCGTTTTGGCTAAAAATTTGTTTACTCTCCCATTCTTAACTGAATTATTCTCCAAATTTTTGAAATAGCTTTAATGACAAAATTCATATAAAATTAAAAAATTATGTATATAATTTGTTTTAGACCCTACAATAGCGTAATTCAATCAAAGATGGGAACAAAGTTAGATTTTTTTCTCTCATAACACATTTTACTGCTGCAGCAAAAATCCCTCCTAAATCGCTGGTCTCACTTTTATCAATATTCAGCTCAATTTTGGAAATTTCGTCCATTAAATAGTGGTATCGTTCTGCTAGTCCAGTTCTCTTTTTCCTTTTAAATGCTGCTTTGAAGCATTTTATGAGGGTTTTGTATAGTTTTAGTAAAATTGAGTGGTTTTCTGTATTTTTGATAATGATTTCTATCAAATCGCATACCCTCAGAGATAGATCGCTCCTAAGGGTATTAATCCATATTTGTTTTTGTGAGTTATCGCTATTTTCAGGCTTGAGTTCAGATAAGTTTTCAACAACTTTTTCTTCTTTTGAAGGCTTTTTCAAGATCTCTTCAGAAATATTCATCCTGCTTTGTATTTGTGAGCAGAGCTTGTCAACAAAATTCATTGAAATTTCACCAACAAATTCTTGGAAAGTCTTTTTAATTAACCCTCTTGTGTATGAAACGGATTTTGTGTATTCTTTGTAGAGCATATTGAAAAGCATGTCTAAAGGATTTTCTTCTTTTTGTTTGCTGGGTTTATTGCTTATTAAGGCTGCTATTAGTTCGGTGAGCTGGTCACAAATGGAAAAGTTATTAAGATAGAAACTTTCAATACCGAGAACTAAACCAAGCTGCTTTAGTGTTTCTAATTGGGATTGTGTAATTAGGCTTGAAGACTTCGCCTTTCTTTTTCCTAAGCGCTCATCTTCTGAGTCAGAAATTTTAATTTTATCAATCTTCGATATAAATCCAGCTAAAATTGGATAATTTTCGTTTTTCAGCTCTTTAATCAGCTTGTAAACAAAAATTGAATTTTCTTTATCTAACTGCCCTAGTGCAACTAAAATCATCTTCCTTGCGAATTCAGCCAAATTTTGGTCTTGTGAAATGCCTATCTCGAACAATTGCTTATTCTCTCCATATTTATCGTACCAAATGCTTTGTTTGTATAATTTTTTTCTATATAAAATATTTTGTGCGCTATACATAAGAGATAGAGTATAGTAATTATGTTATAAATTGCACTAGAACCGTATATTTACGATCATATTGCATAATCTCTAAATTCATTATTATCAAGGATAGGTAGTTAGATTTTCGGTGAGATTGGGATGAAAATAACTCGATCATAGGTAGTTAGATTTTAGGTGAGGTTGGGATTATTTTATGCTTGACCACATGAAAATCGCTCGATCAAGGATGGAGAGTTAAGCGAGTCTTGCACCAGCTCTTGACTGATATCGCTCTTTTTAGCAAAATTATAAAGTTGGTTGACTACAAAATATCCTGATTTTTCTTTGCCAATCCTCCCTAATCTAGAAATTGCCCACTCACATCTTTTATTATCAGCCTTTTTGATCAAAGTTTTTGTGATCGTCTGCAATAGCTCTGCTGACTTTACTTTACTCCCCCTCTTGTTAGCGATCAAAAAATCTAGGGGTCAATTTTATTAAAAAAACTATATTAAAATTTTTACAAAAATATTTCGAATTTTTGGATGAGATCTAAATTTAATGTCTAAGGACGCAGACTGCTTAATTAAATAAAATTAGCTTTAGATCTCATTTTTATAATAATTAAATATTATTTCTAACACAATCCATGAGGGTTAAATTTTCCCAAAAGTAGGAGCCCCTAATATTTTGCTTGCTAATAAATTAGTAGAGTTAGGGACTACAGAAAAAATTTGTCTAAAATACCCAGTTGTGTTAATCTCAGTTGTTTTCAATGTCGACAAAAATACTGCCAGCAATTGAGAAGCCTTCGCATGAGCCCTCAATTCCTTATCCTGAAGATTCTCTTGCCAAACATTCAGGAATTTCTCTGTCAAGGCCCAGCTGACATTGCCTATTTGGAGAAATTCGCTAAAGAGCCCAAAACTAAAAAGAATGTTTTTGAGTTTTAATGACTCGTCATTGGGCAGCTCGTTTTCTGAAAAAGTGTCCCACAATTCTTTTTCTTTGTCCACAGATTTGGCTGCAGAAACAATTTTTGCCCATATTGGGTGGAGCTTTGGGACTTTTTTGAAGCTTTCTTCCATAATTTGGTCTTTTTCGTCGAAGCATTTCTGAAGCATTGATTCTGGATCAGAAATGTTAGCGAAAATTGTTGAGAAGAGATCAGAATCGTTTTTCTCGTGATTTACTTCTACGGCTGATGAGTCTGGAACCGCCAAAGAGGATGTCTGCTCATCTGCAATTTCTCTTTTTGAGCTAAGTTCCATTATAAGATAAGCTATACAATATGCAATTTAGGAAGGAGTCTGTGTGAATGCTAGTGAGACTGCATATAATAGATTGAATGGATAATTTTGTGTAGATTCTATAAATAGAGGCTAAAATAACTCAAAAGTTAGATTTAGCATTCATAAAGTATAGAGACCTAACTTCTCCCGCTCCGTGAGCGAGCAAAACCATTGAAATTCTTATTTTTTAGGTAAAAATGACCCTCTGTGAGCAGACAAAAAAATTTTATTATGAAAAAATATTTTGACATATGAATAATAATTATCGTCATGAAATCTTTAGTTAATTCTGTTTAATTTTAAAACAAAAATTTTAAAATTTGCTTTCAAAATAGGATTTTTTGAAAAATAAAAGTTGCTATATATAAAACAAGTAATCATCTCTGTGTTATGAAATTTTTAGGAGGGGATTAGAGAGGAATAAAAAATATTTTGAAGCATCAATAAAAATAATTTAATTGGTAATTTTGATAAGTTTCGTTACTGATTTATTATTCCTTTTCAGGCAGAATTCCGTAATTTGCTTTATATCTGGCCTTATGAATGCCCAATGATATATAAGATGACAGCAAGCACTTTTCAAATACGGAAATAATCATGCATATTCTTATAAATTTGAATAATAAATTATTTAAATTGCTAATCAGAAACTTAGATTCAAATTCGCTAATTTAGAGAATTTTGATCTAAAAATTTAATGATGTTGCATATTAGAGTAACTTGAAAAGTCGTTAAAAATTTAAATGAAAAAATCTCTTGAGATTAGTCTAATCAAAACAGAAGGATTTTCTGAACTAATTGAAAACTTAGTTAGCTAATTAGTTAAAAATTAAGATGGCCATAAGCAGTTATCCACTAGTATTGACCTGCTTGGCTCTAAAGGCAGTCTCCAGGGACATCAGAAAAAAGAAGGCTGCCATTTCGGATTTCTGACATGAACCACCTTTCCAAGGATTAGCTCCTTAGGGAGGAGCCGCCTTCTAAACGATTCCCCAATGATTCCAGCAAGCAGAGATAATTTATTAGACAAAACCTGTCTAGCCTATCTGGCATGCACAGGAAAACCCTCAGGGTGAAACAAAACTCTCTCTTTCGGCAAGATTTTCCCAGAACCCTAGACCTACCTTAAAAGTGACAGAGGCACTATTTTCAGCTATATTGGGATAGGCTCTATCTGCTCTATAGGGAGTGAGCCTTGCAGTCCTTCTGCCAACATCACAATTTTATTTCTTTCGAAAACTTAGGCTGCTACATTACAATTGATGACAGATTGCACGAAGTCGTGACTCCCTTGCATGTTGAAAACTGTGAAAACAGTACAATTGAAATCCCATCCTTTGGAATAATCCGCTTTATAATCAAAGGTGTGGGCCATGAAAAAGCAGAAGGCAGCGTTTCAATGGGCATTTCAGTTCTTCCTCAAGAAGGAACTCTCTGACTCCCCTTATATGACAGTATAAGCGAGGACTATATCACAATGATTCCTACCCAAACTCAAACCCCAAGGCTGTTAATTTCAATGAATCAGTTTACCTTTTTAACTCCAGTCCCAGACGTCACTGAATGTGACCAAAGCTCTTTCCTTGATCACGATTTTTCCCGCTTTTCCTGCAGGCTTAACTTAGATCATTATAGAGCAGTTCCCGGCCAGCCATTTCTATTTTCACCCTTTGTTCGCTTCACCCTCTTGCTTGCTGGTCCGATTGCACGGCCTGAGGGAATGTGCTGCTTGCTCTGGACAAGGGCTTGCACTCGAGAGTAAGGGTACTGGCCACCATGCAAGGTTGCCCTATCCGACAATTCGAATAATTAATTTTCTGGGCAGACAATAAGCCAGAATGAACTTGTAGCCAAAGCACAGCTGCTGGCATCCACTGAAAAATTGCCCGATTGGCCAAGCGAACGTCCTCTGGCCCTTGCTAGGCTATCCCATCAACTTACAAGTTCCATTATCCCCCGAGGTAAAACCTCATCCTTGATGTGAGTTTGTATTGGTCAGCCCGACATTGTGCTCCAACAGACCACCCGCCCCTAAACTCTCACCAGACTCTACTCTCCCTTCCATAAAGTCCCCAACTCAGTCTGGCTACAGTTATTAATAGGGCAGGTGGTTTGCCACGCCACTTTTAAGTTACTTTTCCTTCAGGCAGTCCCAAGAGCCTACCAACAAATTTTTAATGGAAAATAATAAATCATTGCGTGCAAAGATATTAGAGTTAGAAACCAAGCTTCAAGAAGAATTCGCAGATAAAATCAAAGACAGTGTAGAGCTGACTAATGATAACATAACCTTCCAGGTAGAAAGCTTAAAATCACAATATAACCAACTTTTAGAAGTGAAAAATGATATCGAAAAGCAGGCAAGGTCCTTTGAAACTTTATATAAAGAAGAAAAATACCAAAGAGAGCATTTAGAAAAGCAGGTAAATAAGCTGGCACAAGAGTTCGAAGTATATGTTGACACTATTGGGAAAAAAGAAAAAAGCATGCTCAATGAGCTAGAAAATAAAGAAAAAGAGATTGGAGAAATGACACAAAAAATTTCTGAACTGAGCATGAGGCTGAAAAACGCTGAACATGAAAAAGAAGAGCTCAAAGAAAAACTTGAAATTTCGAGCTGCAAGGACTCTGCAAACAAGCTACAAGAACGGCTCCATCAAGTCCTAGAACTATTTGAGGAGTCTGAGTTCCAACGTAAACTTCTCCAAGAGAAGCTTGAACAAGCTTCTTCTCAAAATGAAGAGCAGCTCAAAAATTTCACTGAAAAACTCTCATCCTCCACCAAGTACCTAGAAAATGAAATTTCCAGGCTAAACAGTGACTTAAGAGACTCCCACAAGAAAATTGCAGAAACTGAAAATACCCTAGAAGAAAGAGAAAATGAGTATTCTGTCAAGCTGCAAGCCAGCAAAGTTGAATCCCTCCAGCTAAAAGAGACTTCTTTTAAGCTTGAAGAAAAAGAAAAAGAAAATAAAGAGCTCAAAATCCAGCTCACAACTTTTTCCAACAAATTGCGGCAAAGCTATGACGATATTGGCCAGCAAGCAGAACAAATAAAAATTTTGACTGATAGATTAGCCACGACTAAAAAGAAAAACTATGAACAATTCCAGCAGATCAAGCTCAAAGAAAGTAAGTCACGGGATACCACACCTAGAGATTCTTCCTTGTCTAAGTCTAAACTTCTGTCTGAAAATGCTGATGAAAGATTTATTGAGTATTTAAAAAACTATGGCGTAGAAAACCAGTTCAATAAAGTTGCTGAAGGGGTTTATGGGTTCGGAGGGAATAAGAAAGTAAGCGTTTCTATTAAAAATGGGTCCTTGGTTTGCAGAGTAGGAGGAGGGTATATGATGATTGACCAGTTTTTAAGACTGTTTATTACTCAGGAAAGGAGAGGTGAAGATGAAGATTCGCATAAGCTGCTTGGCGCTTTAATTTCTCCTAGAGATAGGATATTTTCACCAAATACATTTGTGCATAAGAGGTCAAATACGTTCTCGCTGTATAGTGAATCCCCAAGAAGATCTAGAAAACAGCTTGAGGAAGAAGGAGAAATCTTGAATGAGGAAAATGATTTTGTGTACCAGGATACAGATAAAAGTGATTTAAAGACGGATAGAACACAAGGATCGCAGGTGCTAAAGGAAAACTATGATAATCTTAACACACCTTCACCAGTAAGACTGAAGATCCCAAAAACTACTGAAAAGCTTGCAAAAAGGACAGTAATTCCAACTATACCAATAAATAAAGAGAAGGTCATCACTCCATTGAGCAAGAGTCTGCAATCTAGCTTTTCTATTTGATAAAGAGCAAAGCCTATCAGAATTTTTACTTAATACATAGAAGATTCTAAGGTAAAAATGTACTTATCTTATCTATATATTAGTAATTTTTAATAATATGCTCCTAAGAGTCTGATTTTCTGTTTAAGTTGTGCTCATTTTATAAACTACCTATGCAAAATTACCTCATGGAAACCATGCATTGATTTTCTAATCCTGAGCTAGATAATAAACAATTTTTAATCATATAATATCAAAATAATTTTAAAATTAAAGCATATAAAGCTTAAAACATCCTGCAAGCCTCTCATATCCAAATCATTTATCTTCATAAATAAGCCACATTTCTCATTAAGTTAATCCTACACAATATTATGGTGAAGATTAGACCATTTAAAGGCTACGTCGTAGATCCTTCAATCGCTCACAGACTAATAGCTCCTCCATACGATGTCTTGGACTCTGACGAAGCCCGCATCATGGCACACGGAAATGAAGCCTCATTTCTCCATTGCAATAAACCAGAAATTGACCTTCCAGAAGATGTTGATGTCTACTCTGACATCGTCTACCAAACCGGCCACAAAAATTTGCAAGCCTTCATTGCAAACCATTGGCTAATCCAAGAGCCAGAAGAACTTATCTACATCTACGCCCAAACCATGAACGGAAGAATCCAGTATGGGATTTTAGCTGGAGCCTCTGTCGATGACTATGAAAATGGCCGCATAAAGCGTCATGAATTAACCAGAAAGAAAAAAGAAGAAGACAGGACCAAATTAACTGATATCCAAGGGGCAAATGTAGGTCCAGTCTTTTTAACTTACCCTGCCAGTGAAGAAATTGATAGCGTTGTGTCGAGCGTGATAGCGAGAAATGCATTTGCAGATGTGACTACAGATGATGGGATTAGACATACACTTTGGAAATGCACAAGTGAAGAGTCTGCTGTCCTTGTGAACTGCTTTGAAAATATCCCGTTCACATATATAGCGGATGGACATCACAGGAGTGCTTCTGCTTTTAATGTAGGAAAGCTGAGACAGGAAAGAGCGAAGGCTGCAGGACAAGAGATCACAGGAAATGAAGATTTTAATTATTTTATGGCTCTGCATTATCCTCACAATCAATTGAAGATCTTTGACTATAACCGAGTCCTCAGGGATTTAAATGGGTTAACACCTGAGCAATTTTTAACTGCTTTAAGGGAAAATTTCGATGTTTATGATATCTCTGAAAGAGCACCTCCTGCCAAACACCATTATTCTTTATATCTAAACGGCAAATGGATAGGGCTTAGAATCAAGCCAGAAAAAATCATAGGGACTGACCCTGTCAGCAATTTAGACTCATTTCTGCTTACCCAGCTGTGCCTTGCCCCAATCTTGGGAATAGAAGACCTTACTACAAGCGAAAGAATTGATTTTGTAGGCGGAATTCGAGGACTTGACGAGCTTGAAAGAAGATGCGACTATACCAAGCTTCCTACATACCAGGAAATGAGACAGCAAATTTTCAATGAAATCAATAATGCCCGCACCAGCCCTCAGAAGTTTGCAGAGAGGATGGAAAACACTTTGAATTTGTATAAAGCAAATAAAGTGAAATGCAGATATGGTGCTGAGCCACTGTTTACAAATGAAGGAACTGAGGCTGCAAAAGAAGCCATTTTGGAACTGAAAAGCACTGAGCATATGCATGCTTTGGAGTGATCAGATGGCCTGAGCAAAGCAAGCCAGTTCTTTTGCAATGAGAGTGGCTCACAAGGACTAATTGGCCGCAATGAAGGCAACCAAATGAGTTTTGCTGACAGGATTGCGAGGTTTGGGCATTGGTCTGAGTCGATTTTTGAAGCTATTGATTATGGCTCTGTTGACGGCTTTGAAGTTGTCTGCATGCTTCTTGCTGATGATGGTCTCAGCAGCCGCCCTCATAGAAAAGCTATCCTAAACCCCCGCTTCAAAACTATTGGTGTCGGCTGTGCCCCTCACACAAAAACCAAAACCATCGCAAATGTCACCTTGTCTGAGCATTTCATTGAAAACGCCCAGACAGAAGCTGTCGAAGTAAGCCACGAAAGGATCGAAAGCATCATAATCAATGATGAATGGCCTGAAAACGCTCTAAAACTGACTTGTCAAGTCCACAAAGGCTGTGAAGGTGACAAAAAGATGGAAATCATCAAGAAGACATGGACACTGGCTGATGGCAGTACTATAGAAGCTCAAGAAGTGCATGAAGAAACAGGAACCAAAAAAGACTGTGTGGCTGCAATTGCATTGTACCCTGTTATGATTGAAGAGGTTATGGCAATTGCAGACGCTGGACAGATCATGCCTCCCAAGTCCACCTGGTTCGAGCCCAAGCCTAGATCTGGAATGGTCGTTAACGTCTTCCAGCATTAATTAAGAAAAATTACATTATTTATGTTTTTTTGTCGCAATAAAGCTCCTCTGCACGTTTTTCGCCATGCTTTCATACCTGTCAGCGTCTGATAAACTGTATCTTTTTACAGGTGTTTTTGCCCCACTTCTTGTGGAGTGTCTGAAATTCCTTGACCCTTGTGAATTCTGGCGATTCCTCACAGTGATTTCTTCCATCATAGCTTTTTTGAAGTTGCCGATTTCTTTTTGTTCCTTTTCTACCTGCTCAGTTTCAAATTTCTGCCTTAAATGGTCGATCGTTTCTCCTTCATCCCCATAAGCTTCTTCTCAGCTTTTGCTGTTCAATGCGTCATCAGCTTTGACAGCGAGTTCTGACAGAAGTTTATCAGAGTCTTCTATATAAAAGTTTAAGATGTTTCTGAATTTTGCTGCAGATTCAGCATCATCTTTATGGATGCAGTATCTTAGCTCTGTGTAGTGCGCAGCAAAATTGCATTTTACGTTGTTTATATGGTCTTTTCCTAATTGGAACAGCTGGTCTAAAAAGTGTTTGCAGAAGAAGTTTCGGGAGCATAGGTCTTTTATGTAGACACAAAAGTCGATAAAGAGAGACCTGTCGCAGAATTTTGATGATAAAGAAAATTCATTGATGATGAGCTCAATAATTTCAGTTTTCTTCTGAGCTCGGTAGTTATAGTGAAGGATTGCTGCTAATAGCTCAGCTGATTTTTGCTTGACTATATAAGGAGCACTGTGCATATAGTTAATCAAAAGAGGCACAAATGAATTATAGTCTAAATAGTCAGCATGAGTCACAAAATCCTTGATTTCTGTCAAAATCATGACCAAATTCCTCCAATTTTGAGTCTCCATCATTTTTCGCTTTAAAACTTCAAGAAATTCTTGGCAGCAGCAAGTATGTAGTGCAATATTCAATAATTGAGGGATCACCATATACTGAGTAGAAGCATCTTTTAAGTACCCTCTCACGATCTCCAAAAACTCTCCAATCCTGCTTGTGCAGAACCTGACGTTGTCTGCCAGCTGTTTCGCAATGGTTTTTTTTATGTCAAAATTTTCTTCTTTTGCAAGCATTTTGAAAAAGCTGAATAATTTATCATTAAACCCACTAGCTACCAAAACAACTGCTGGGAAATTAAAAGCCGCCTCCATTTTCACTGTCTCACTTTTTGTTTCAGAAAACCCTACAAATCAGTCAATGCAGGCTAATCTTGTGGTTTCGTCAAAATGAAACCGTAGGCTTGTGATGATTTTTCCATAGTATTTTAAATAAACTTCTTTTAGTTTATCACTTTCACAGTTAAGCAGGGCGGTGTTGAGAATTTCATTGATTTTCATTAGTGCGCTATTTGAAGAGACCATATCGATTAGCTCACAAAAAATCTTTAAGGCTTCGTCAAGCACCTCTGGGACTTCGTCTCTGAATAATTCTAATAAATGAGGGATAAGCTCAGTCTCAAACTTATCAGATGGGATTGCTTTTGAAATTGCCTTAATGGCGCCGCACATCCGCTTTCTTACTAGATTAATCGGGTCTTGTGACATTGAGTAAATTTTCCTGACGAGGTCTTCATTTTGAGGGTGCTCAAGCCTTTCTGCGACAAACCCCAGCATTTCTCCAGCGATCGACCTTATGTGGTCTGGCTTGCTGAAATTGGCAAGATTGAAGATTTCTCTGAGCCATTTCCCAGAAATCAGGTTTTTCGACAATTGTTTGGTCAGCTCGCAAAACACCTGAACTCAGATATCTTGTAGAGAAAGCGTCTCTGTGTCAATTATTTCAAAGATCAAGGTCAGCAGGTGTTCTTCGTAGTCTTGTGGGAGCTGGTACTTTTCAAGGACCTGGATAAATGCTTTCCCAGCTTCTTCTTGACCAGACTCATTCCAGTATGGGAGTCTCATCTACATAAGAAATACCACTAGTTGTCCAACCACATCAAGAAACCTGTCGTCATCAATGTACAAATGTATCGCTCTAACGACCCATAATTTCTGATTCATTTGGCCATTTTCAAGAAACAATAGCGCTTTTTCGACCTCAGTCAGGTTTTCCTTTGTTGAAAACCTTTCTATTTCATCAGTGCTATGCAATCCAGTAGAGATTTCGCTTAAAAGCTCGATTGGGTCTTCTAATAGTCACTCGGACTTAAATTCCATTATTGGAAAAATATAAGCATTAGCTTTTCATTTATTAAAAAATCATGAGGCTTTTGAAAGAGGTTTTCCAGAGTGCAGGCAGGCAGCTAAAAAAATTCAGAAGGGAGTTTTATAAGCATCCTTATTTTCAGTCTTTAGGTCCTAAAGAAATGCGGGTTAGGATGTCGTGAGCAAAATTGGCCGATGGTCACAGAATAATGGAAGCTCTGTTTTGGTCTGGCTGGATCAGGTTTTCAGGCCATGAAAAGGCGGTCGGAAAAGACGCATTTTATTGGCCTTTTTACTCTAACCCACGGTATAACCGCGAAATCACAAAATTCATGTTTTCATTCAGAGCAGAAGACAGCTCGAATCGAAATATAAACAATCTGATGATCATAACAGGCCCTGAGTCTGCAGGAAAGTCTTGGCTACTGAAACACAACCTTGAGAAATTCCGAAAGGCCACTCCTAACAAAATCAACCCCTTTTTAGTATAGAAGTTTCTTTTCAATAGCGCGATAAGGCTCATTCCTAGGTTTTACCGGTTGATCTTAAACATATGAAAACTTGCTATTCTTTATTCATGGGGGAGAAAAATAGCCTAAATAAAGAATTCTGCCTGATCAATCTCGAGAACTTGAAGAGAGGCTGTGCGAAAAATTGACATTTTGGTTCGTCAAATGAATCTGACGAGCCAATTCTGGCCATTACTTGAAATGAAAAATGGTAGTTGCCAGAATTTTATTAATTTTTTGATGGCGAGTATGATCAGAATTTTAATAAATGGCACAGGATCAGACAACTTATTCCTTTCAAACCGATCTAATAATTCCTTTGGTAATAATTACAACTGCTTTATAAAAGTCAAAGTTTGTGCTAAGCGCTTGTTGCTCTTTACGAAGTTACTAATGACGCATATGGTTTTCGTTAGAAAATTAAAATGGAGTTAATAATTAAAAACTTGTTGATCGAGTTGTGTTTTTGCGGAAGGATAGATTTCTAAATAAATGATGCCAATTTAATTATGACTAACTGCTTTATAAAAGCCAAAGTTTGTGCTAAGCGCTTGTTGCTCTTTACGAACTTTACTAATGATATTAAAATTTTATTCTTATAATATTTTTAAATTTTTTTTTCAAATGCTAAAAAAATAAAATTTTAAAATAATTATATCAATATAAATAAATTTTTTATAAAAAATTTTTATAAAATAAAATAATAATTTTTCAAAATTTATTATATCTTTTATAAAATGGGACTTTAATTTTAACAATATTTTTTAATTGGGCTGTCTGATCCTGTGCCATTTTTAAAATTCTGATCATACTTGCCATCAGAAAATTAATAAAATTCTGGCAACTATCGTTTATAATTTCAAGTACCGCCAGAATTGGCTCGCCAGATCCATTTGACGAACCAAAAGTGTAAATTTGCAAATAGCCTCTCTTTAAGTTCTCGAGATTGATCAGCCAGAACTCTTTATTTTTACTGTATGACTCTCTTACAAAGAAGGAACATCAAATTTTCATGTTCCAAAGACCTTTTAGTCGAACCAGGAAGCACGCCTTATCGCGCTATTGAAGAGAAAGTTCTATATATATGGACCTGAAATCCTGCCATTCTTTGAGTTTTGATACTTTTCTTGACAATTATGAAAATACTTTTATTGACTATTTATCAGCGAGAAGTGTAGAAATGTTCAAAAATCAACAGGTTTTGACCCCAGAAAGTGTTTTTGACGTGTTTTTCTTTAACCATGATAAGCTGTATCATGAGTTGAAGCTTTTTGAAATCCTGCAGCATGCTGTCAAAGGTGAAGGACTGCTGTGGATTGACGAAGAAAGAAGAGAAGCTGTCAGAAATATACTAGGAAAATGGGGGAATAGGGTATTTTTCATGTAGAAATACAAGGAAACTCCGATATTTGACTCATGAAATGAGCTCTGCAAAGCATTAGCACCTCAGTACAAAGAGCTAGAAAGCCAGCATGCAAGAGAAGTAAAAAGCGCATTCAGCATATTCAGAAGCCTGCTAATCCAAGAAGAGCACGATGAGGCACCTCCTGCATATGAAGCTTCTTTATACAGAACTGGGCTAAAAATGCATGACTTTCTGCTTGACGTTATGAACCTGATTGGAGGATACCATCAAATGAGCTCTACCGAGGAAAATATTGAATATCCCCACGCCCTTATCGTTTTAGGTAACTCTTATATAGAAAACCTGCAGTCATTAACACACCTTGAAACCTGCGAAAATCGAGCCAAAAACTTTTTTGAGCACCTTGCAGTGCGGCTTTATAATGAAGAAGCCTGGAGAGACCACATCCCAGTGATCATCGAATCCAACGATAACGTCTACTTTAACACCCTGATATACGACGACCTCTCAATTTTCGAGACTTCTTTTACGTCTATTGAATGAAAAGGGTAGCTTTTACATAGCGTCGAAACCAATAGTGACATTCAAAACTGGCTTCAGCACATTTTCAATGAAAGACACTCAGAAATAATAGCAAAAGAAATCGGAGGGAACATCCACCATCTTAGGATCTTTACAGAAGGAATTATAAACTCCAAAGAAAAAGAGCCGAACTTCCTTGTGCACCTGAAATGCAAAGGCAAAGAGTGGGACGAAGAGTATAATAAATTCTTACATAAGGTAAACAGCCTCTACCTAAGGGACGAAGTAGCCCATCTTGTAGAAAAAAATACAATTGACCATACTGTAAGCAATATTTAGATCTTTAATACAATGGAAAATTTTATATGAGCAATTGGAGAAATTAGAACTCCTGAAGCAGTAGGCGAAGAAATAAAAAACATGTCCATCATGCGAGCCATGCTTAAAGCTGGGCTCCTTTATGACGAAAAGCACAATGAGTATATGCAAGTATCCAGCCATGTTTATCACCATTTCTTTAAAAGGTACACAGCTGAGATTTGGAAAAAAATGAGCATTGTGGATAAAATTGATTATAGGATGTGGAGAGTTTTTAACGGCTTCCGTTGGGTTGGTCTGCGCATAAAAGGTAATAGAGAAGAACACCAGAGATTTGAAACTATAAAAACCCAGAGAGATTGGGATGAGGACTTGTACTCATTTAACTTGGGCAAAAGAGAAGATCCACGTAGGTTTTCAAGGTACAGGATGATGGACGGAAAATTAAACAACATGCCTGCTCACTACGGCCCTCGCGGCAGATGGAAATTAATTTTGTCCCCCCGCGTCCTTTTCATGGGCCCTTTCCTAGCATTTGCACATGGTATAATGGGCTACCCTTACAAATGGCTTCACCAGCCTTACCAATACATGAAAGAAGGTTCTACTGAGGTCTCCCCAGTTACAAGATGGATAAAATGGCTCCACAGAAGGAGAGTCGTGCCAAGCATCCTGCCTGACTATAACGCTGAGTTCTACGGAGGCCAGTTTAAAGACGAGTTTGAAAAAGGACTGTTAAAGATCGCCTATATGGACAATAACCCCCAGATGGTCACCAGGACCATCAAATGGCGATATGTAAGAAAGTGGGCAAAAAACCTAAGAGAACAGTTAAAAAATAAATCCTAGCTTTTAAATCTGGGTGTGATTAATAACTTATAAATTTAATTTGCAGTATGGACCCTCAACTTAAAAGAGAAATGCCTTTGAAGCCAGCTTTGACAAGAGAAGAAACCAAAAAAATCATGGACCTCATACGGCACCTAGAAAAGCGGCCTGAGTGTTACGACTTTTTGAAGCCGGTCGACTTTAAAGGTTTAGGCCTCGACGATTACCCTATCATAATCAAGCGTCCTATGGATTTTTCTACTATAAAACGAAACTTGAAGACTGATAAATATAAATCTTTCCAAGAAGCACTGGCTGACGTGCTTCTGATTTGGGATAACTGCAAACTATATAACCAAGCTGGATCTGTATTGTCTATGTAGCCTATATATCAGCAAGCTGAAATTTTAGAAGACTTAATGAAAAAATACTGCGAAAAGAACGATATCAGGATCGAGAGACCTGTAAAAAGACCAAGGGAAGAAGAAGTGCCACCCCCTGTGGCGCCGCCACAGCCTGTGCAGGAAAATGCAAGTTTTGAGTCCAAAGTCGAGCTTGCAGAAAATGTTAGGAAAGTTTCGCATGAAATTCTTGCGGAAATTGTGAAAATTGTAGAAACCAACTGTAAATCTGCGATGGAAGAGCTGGGCAATGAAAGACTCCAAATAAAGGTGGACGAGCTGGACAGGCCGACTTATGAAAAGCTGAGAGTGTAAGGATTATGTAGGGTGATCAATGGATATTTGCAGCAAAACCAGGAAGGAAAGCCTGTGAAGAAGGCAAAAAATTAATTTATCTTGATGATAATCAATTTTATATGTGGAAATGAGGAATAATAAAATAGATGCAAAAAAATTTTATAAAAATTTCATGAGTTTATAAGAATATTTATCATTATAATAATAAAAAAATAGTAATATCTTTAATGTGTTTTATCTGCAGCGCCTGACTGCTATAATCGTATTTATATTAAAAATAAGTATAAAATAGATTTTTAAATGCATTTCAATTATTATTTCTATTAAAACTTAAATTTTTCTGTTCCTTTGTATAATATTTCCATAATAATTATGCAGAAAGATACATTGGCATACGAACTGATTCTTCTCGAGAAGGTTCTAAAAGTCTCTCTATCTGACAATCTCATGAGGAAAACCGGATCAAGCTTCACTTCTGACAGCGTCTTCCTCCCTGGGGTTTCCCGATCAATCCCTCAATCCAATCTTCCATCTCTCTCTGAAAACCTGACAATTTTAGACGAAATCTTAATGGAGCGGCTCTCTGTCCCCCAAACGCCAATTTTAATCTATTGTTCAGACTCTTATTACCTCACCAAAGAAGAGCTCGGAAAAGAATGGAGTGTAACTACACAAAGCCAGAGAAAAATCCTCAATTACTTACTTGAAATCCTGGTTTCTTATTCCTCGTTATCTCTATCAGAGCCTGAAATGTTCCCTGACCAATTCCCTCCTCTTCAGTCAGAAGGTATACAATTAAGCTCTCAGAGGATGTTGCAGGGTCTAGAAAAAATATCAGAAGAGTTTCTATTGAAGATGGTAGCCTATTGGGAAGAGCAAAACTTAGAGTTCATGCAAGCTTTGTTTCAGGCTGTTTTAGTTCAGCTTTGGAGAGAAGTCCAGAACAAAAGCCTTTTGGATGACCCAGTCCGCTATACTCAAGTATTTAAACAATTGATTTTTATGAAGCCAGTTTCTGCTTTATTTTTGCATTCAGAGCTGATTGATTGGAACTGGAATGGCTTGCAGCTGGAAACACAGTCACCGCTCAGTCCTTATTTCTCCCCTGGGTATTTTCCTTCTTTGCAGTCTTTTAACAAGATTCCAGGTCTGCCGCCCCCTAATGACCCAGTAAGGGATGGAATTAACAGACAGTTCGAAAAATTGAGGTCACGAGGTGAGTATGAGAGAATTTTACAAAAATTGCATGGAGATGAAAAACAGTATGCAATGGTCTTGGTCGATATCATTAAGCAGCTGATGAAAAATGACATGAAAAAGACCTTAAATTGGCTTGCTGGAGCTGTAGTGTTTAATGCTGAGAAAGCAAAACTAGGAAGCAGACTAGAAAGACCTACTATGAGGACTAGCTCAAGTGAAGGTTTTTGTATAAATGTTTTAGACGTCCTTTTGCAATTATGTAAGCCTTTTTTCGACCCGAACGATCCTAAAGCTCAAAAAATTGACCCACTTTATATGCTGCATGACAAAAAGATGAGCAAAATCAATGAAACGCCTATATGCACATCTCTAGAGAAATTGCCAAGAGAAGACAAAAGCTTCGGGACCATTACAGAGTTTTACTTTCTTTGTGCCCAGATGTTCCATTATGGCTGGAACCAAATCCGTCAGAATTACATGGACTTAAACAGAATATTAAACCAGCTAAAAGGAAAGAAAAATCCAGCCGCAGAAGAGGAATTCAAGTATTTTATCAAAATAAAGCTATGCTATGATGTGATTCTTTTAGACTCAGGAAGGAACTCAATGCTGCTGCAGCTCTGCAATTTGACTATGAATTTAGTAGTAAAGTGGGCAGGATTTCAAGGAACGCTGCCTCTGCCGCCTCCAAACCCTCTTCTTGGGATTTTGCCTGAGCATATTGTAGAAAACATATCAGAATTATTAATAATCATACTTGAGCTGCAGCCAGAAGGCCTGAGATCTCTGGGCTCTCAAGAAATTCTGAACTTATTGACATTTGCTACAGTAGTTTTGTCAAGTCCTTCCCACTTTTCTAACCCTTATTTGCGAGCCAAACTAGTCCAAGCTTTAAGTATGATCTTAGAAGAAGGCATTTTTGGGGACCTGCATACCTTAATTAACCTTAATGAAGTCGCCAAAAAATACCTGCTGCCTTCCCTGATCATTTTTTACGTTGATATCGAGTTCAGCGGTTCTCACTCCCAATTTTACGACAAGTTCATGTACAGGCACTATACAGCCAAAATATTCGCGTTTTTGTGGAAATTCGAGTACTATCAAAACCAGACCAAAGCTCAAGAAGGGGAACCTTTTTTCGCAAGATTTATTAATATGCTTATAAATGATACAACTTGGTGCTATGACGAAGGGCTAAAAAAGCTAATTCATTGTAAGAAGTTTAATGATAAAAGAAACACAGAAGGCGTTACCCCACAAGAAGAAGAGGAAAACTCAAAGGAGGAGGGATACTGCAAGTATGTGATGCAGCAAGCTAATGAGTCAATAGGGCTGCTTGAACAAGTCGCGGACTGGAATTCGTCACTATTTGTGAGTGACGAGTTCGGAGACAGAACTGCAGCGATGCTTAATTACTTTTTAGCTTTGCTGTGTGGGCCGAAATGCTTGGAATTAAAAGTGGAAAACCCAAAGCACTATAATTTTCTGCCAGAAGAGATGCTAGGGAATATCATAAAAATTTACCTACATATAGGGAAGCATGAGAAATTTTACCAGTGTATTATTAAAGATGAGAGATCTTATAGTGGGGATATTATGAATAAAGCACTTACTCCCCCTAATTGAGCGAAGAAGAAAGCTTTTTATGAAAATAATATTTGATATATAAGTGATAATTAATATAAGAAATATATAACTTATTCTGTTGAATTTTAAATAGCTGCATTTTAAAATATAAATTTTAATTTTTATCCTAAATTTCTACTAATTGGGGTTTTTTATTTTCGAAAAAAAAATTAACCCCTTACATTAACGAACAAAATTTTTGTTCGCTCATTGAGGCGGAGTTAGAATCTGCAATAAGAGGCCAATTCTTGCTTATGAATTGATTCAGACTTTCGAGCAGTTTATACAGAGGGTGAAATCAACTAGTCAAGTGCAGCAGTCAGTAGAAGACAAGTTAGGAGAAATACCAGACGAGTTTTTAGACCCTATTTCTTGTGAGCTTATGCGAAACCCAGTTATTTTGCCAAGTGGAAATCGTGTGGATCGGCCTACTATTGTCAGACATCTGTTAAGTGACCAGATCGACCCCTTCAGCAGAGCACCACTCACAGTCGAAGAGCTTGTTGAAGACACTGATTTAAAAGAAAGAATAAATGCCTGGATCTCCGAAAGGCTTAACTCCTAATACTAACTCTGCCCTATCCTCTACTGAAAGCTTGGTCAATGATGGGTTAAAAATCATAGCAAAAAAGATTAGGCTATAAATTTAAAATATATTATTTTTTAAGATATTTTATACAGAGTAAGAAAAAATAAACTATAACTTGATAAATATGCAGGACATAGGAAGGTAATCTCCAAATAGTCGGAAGCTTTTTGTAGGCGGCCTCGCTCCACACACGACAAAAGACACCTTGCAGAGCCATTTCAAGAAGTACGGGACAGTCCAGGACTGCATTTTGATGATGGATCGCGCGTCTGGGCGATCACGGTGTTTTGGATTTGTCACGATGAAAGAAAACGAGTCTGCTGACAGCATCTTGGCAGAAGAACAATTAATTGACGGCAAAAAAGTCGACTGCAAGCTCGCTGTCCCACGAGAACAAGGCGCGGCTGCGATCACTGAAAATCCTGCTCCATATCGGACCAAAAAGATCTTTGTGGGTGGGCTGCCTCCAGATGTGACGCAGGAGATGTTCATTAATTTCTTCGAGCAGTTCGGACAAATTGAGGACAGCGTCGTCATGTTTGACAGAGAAACAGGCAGACCCCGAGGGTTCGGCTTCATCACATTCGTAAGTGAAGACAGCGTTGACAAAGTCATCGAAAATAACGAAAACAACTATATCAGTGGCAAGTGGGTGGAATGCAAAAAGGCCATGCCAAAGCACAACCAGCAGGAAGAAAGATATGGTAACTACCAAGGCTATACCAACCAGCCTTATTATAACCCGCAGTACTCCAGCCAGCCTTACACGAACCAGTACCAAAACCAAATGTACTCTACCCAAGGGTACCAGGGGCAGCCGTATATGATGTACCCTTACTATAACATGGGCTACTACGAGCAGGCTCCAGCTTATGACCCGTATTGACAGAACCAGGCTTATACTCAAGAGGCCAGCGCAGTAGAGCAACAACACAGTGAAGAACAGATCAAGGAGAAATTTGTAGACGACCTATTGAACGACGCTGAGGTTAACCAGCAACAAAAGTATGAGTTATGTAGCGAAGATCACAGAAACAAGACATTTAACTAACTGAACAGCCATTAACAGATAATTGTTCTCTGTAAATCGTAATATGGGTGTCTTCTAAAAAAAGAAGCTTATAAATGGAAATTAATCTTGCGAATCTTAACGTGATAAAAAATGCTGAAGTGACTGCACAGTCTGATAGAGCTGCTGCGAGGAAAAAGCTGCTGGAAAGGGCCTGCAGCAGAAAAAGCCCTAGTCTTACAAAAGGGTTTATACAGAGCACAGAGCCAGATATGATGGCTGGGCAGACATTGAAATCGTCATCGTCACAAGAGAGCTTATTGTCGATAAGGTCGATGTTAGACACTCCATATGAAATACACGACTATAATCCACGGCAGCCACCTCAACCGATTTCTCTAGAGCCAAGACCAGACAAAAGAGCAACAACCCCCACAACAGCTGTAAAAACTAGGTCAATAACTCCTGCTCTTAGAAATGAGTTCCCTAGCCATCACATAAGTGAAAGTGACGCTTGGACAACTTTTGAGGCGAAAAACATAAAAAAGCCAAAAATGAAGGAAAATACTGTTCCTTTTAGTCTGATTATTTTAGAAAAATATTTATCTGATGTGTGTACATCAATTGCAAATAGTAAAAAAATCACGAATGAGATCTCAATGAAGGCTTATTCTATGATTGACGTCCTTAATGACTGCTATCAGCTAATTCCTGATATGTCCATTGAGTTTTATAGCTTAATGAGCGAAATTCTGCATGACATTATTGAAAGGCCAAACAGAGAACATTATACGATTATCGTAAACAAAATCTCTGAAGCTGCCTGCATTATACAAAATAACCAATTTATTGACAATCAACGATTTGCTACCAGAATTTCACTGAAAAACCTAAAAAGTGAAGATCGGCTGATATCAGATTTGACAGAAAAAATGGGGAAAATCACCCCTAGGATGGTAAATGTAACTTTTACATAGCTTTGGCGACGACTAGTAGCTCACGACGAAACAATTGAAGCTTTGTCGTATGCTTTCATGATAATTTTCGCTGGAGTTGACAAAAATATTGAAACTTTATCCTCAGGAAAAATTTTAAGTTCAAGAGTAAAAGAAAATGTTGTAAAATTGACTGCAAACCCTGGGCATGTCGTCCAAACTACAAGGAAAACATTTGAGTACATAAAAAACCACGCATTTTCACAAGGTAATTTTTATGCAGTTAACATAAAAAAAGCTAGAGAAATTCTTGATAAAATCAATGTTGACCAGGTCAGAAAGTGCGATTTAACATGTACAGCACTTGCTTTATATGAGTTTTTGATCACTACTGTAGAACTATGTGAAGCGACCTTTGAAAAACCTTCAGTAAAGGAAATTCAACCTAAAAAAATTGTAAAAACTGCGTCAGGATCTGTCCATAAATCAACTTCTCCTATAAGAGAAGTCCCTAAAATTAGCCATGAAGCTAAAATTGACGTAAACTATGTGACAGTCAGTGACAAGTCCTTTGGATGTGAACACAAAAGGACGATTTCTCAAGACAACGTTTTCCATGGAGGATATAGCCCTGTTGTAGACATCCAAGAGCTGTCTCGAAAATCCAGTGTATCAGTGCTAAGACAAGAGACTCCTAAAATCTTTACAAGGGAGCAAGATCCTGTTGCAATGGCTAAAAAAAAGCTTGATGAGACCATGAAAACGACCAAAGAAATCCTCAAGCAGTCTCCTAGCAAAAGAGCCCCTCTGCGAGTAGAGAAAAAAGTGATAAAAAAAGTTTCCAAGCTGGAAGACACAAAAAATTCAACCCCAATCACAAGCAGAAACACAACCCCCAAAAGAGAAACTCCAGTCAAAAAATCTATCCACAGTGACCCTAAGCCAAACTACACAAGGTCTCCTAGCCTTACATCTGAAGAATCCCCAGAACTTTCCAAGTCTTTTACAAAGCTCGAAACTTACGATTCTTCTTATAAATCAGCTGAGTTTGGCGATTTTATAGAAAAAACTTTTAGGGAATATCTGAAAAAAGCAATCAACAAGGACTCCTCCAAAATTGACCCATCCAAACGGCAGCAGCTGCTAGAAGAATATCAAAGACACTTAGGAATGGAAATTGTAAAAAGCCTGAACTCAAAGCTTGGAAAAGAGGACAAGCTAGAAGAAGAAATAATCAAGGCTCGGCAAGAAATTGAAGAAGTCAAGCAAGGAAGGGCTTCCCCAGTAAGGCTTAAGCCTAAGAAAATTAAATAATGTTAAAAATGAAAATTTTAGCATTTGCTTTATATATCATTTTTTCAACAGCTCAGAATGCTTGCTCTCCTTATAAATGTGTCACAACCAACATGAACGTCAATAAAGATACCTGCTTTTACTTCAATCACACAGATGAGGCATATTGAATTCAGCCCTGTCCCAATGCAACTGTGTATTGCCCAGTGAGCTATAATGAAAATTCTCCTATCCAATGTGAAGCTGCTGTCAAGCCCACAAAGCAAGCTTGGCCAGGCGAAAAATGCACGAATAATGATAATTGTTTGCCAGGCAGCACATGTAATGGGAATATCTGTGTAGGGAAAACAGTTGGAGAAGCATGCACTGATAATAGTGACTGCAACCCTCAATTGTATTGTGGGGCTAATAAACAATGCCAGCAGCAGATACTTGCAGGGAAAACTGGCTGCACAAATGATTTTATGTGTGTGAACTCAGCACTTTGCAATTATACAAGTGGGCAAGATCCTAGCAAGGCAAGATGCTTGAATGCTTATAGCTTGCTGCCAGGGACTATTATTGCGGATTGTCCAGTAAGCGGGATTAATCCTTTGTGTATTGCTGAGCTGTGCATTCAGAATAATGGGATTTCTTATTGTGGGGATAAGGTCGTGTCAGTCAATTTATGTTTAGTTAGATTTATGAAAAGCTCATTGTGATGGCTGAGGCAAGCCTTTTTCCCTTGTGATCCTTTATTTGTTCACCACACTGCGCTTTACTAGCTGCGAAGATTGCTTTTGCCGGAAGCCTTCGTTCACGCTGTACCACTCTATATTGATAAAATTAAAGAGGCTTGATTTTTGGTTGAGTCTCAAATGGAAACTCGAAGCCTAGGGCGCAATGCTTGTATCGCGTAAGAAACTTACCCGATCGGCCAAGAAACTAGCTTCTGGCACTAGTGAGATATCTTTTTCAAGCTTTGGCCTATTTCCCCATATGGCCTCTTATCACTGAATTCAACTTAGGCTTAGGAGCTCAGCACTGTCACTCTTGATCTTGCACTTTTGATAGTGTACATTCACCGAAATACATTTGATCAAATTGGTAATTTTTGATAGTATACGATATACCGAAAAAAACCGCTAAAATTTCGACCAAATGCACTTCGATGAAATGTACACTATCAAAAGTGCACGATCAATTTCATGAAGACGCCGCTCTCCCTTCTTCAAGAAAACTTTAATAAATAAGGATCCCCCCCTCATTTGTCCAATTTTCTAGTCTTTTATCATTTGTTCATTTTTCTAGTTTTTTTTATAGGAAAAAAAATTTTTTTTTAGTACCTCATTTCATTTGTCCAATTTTCTAATCAAAATTTTGATAGAAAAAAAAATATTTTTCAGGGCCTCAATTGTCTCATTTTCTAGTTTTTTTAAAGAAAAAAACTAAAATTTAGGAGATTCGAAAAAATCCAAAAAAGACTAGAAAATGGGACAAATCATTTTTATCTAGATTTTGGACAAATGAGGTCCTGAAAATTTTTTTTATCCCATAAAAAAAAAACTAGAAAATTGGACAAATGAGGGGGGGGGGGTCTTACAAATATCTGAATCTAGTCTCTTCCTTGAGGTCACCCCTACTTAATACCTACTGCTGGACATTAGAGGGTTGATTTGCCATGCATTTTATTTTTTTATAGGACTGTCAATCAATTCTATTCCAATTACTTGCAATAGCTATGTAGACTGTATGTCACTGACAGATCGGTTTGTAGGAGGATATTATGCTATTTATAATAAATTTCAAAACAATAAAATTTAAATTACATTTAGCCCAATCTTATCGGTATAATGATACTATTCTAACTGCAGCTGTGGCTACAATGCAGATGCAAGCGCTTATTGTGAGCTTTTCCCTGGAGACCAGCCATATAATGCAGCACGATTTTTGTCTGTGCTTCCCGATTTTCCCACCTTTAAAAATGGTAGATTGCTCAAGCAACTTGCATTGGCCAAATAACTCCACAAAACCTATTTTGGCAGGGGTTTTCCATTAGGATTAGCTTAGCCTTTTTTCTGTCAGTAAAAATCAGAAGCCCTGCCAAAATTGTGCTCGAGCTATATTCTCGATATTTAACCTTAAAACAGATTTGGCTTTCAAGCCAAGAAGTTAATTTGTGCAACACAGAAAGAAGAGATATCGGCCCATGCATGCAAAATTATTTTGCAGATTATGTTGAATTGGCTTACCAGTATTTATACGTTTCAATATACCCAAAAATTCAAGCAAACACAGACTGTGTAAAGGAAGTGATGAACACCAATTTTTGGGGACTTTGGCAGAAAATTGTAGACCAAGACGAGACATCAAGCTCTTTACTGAGAATTATAAGCCTAATAGCTTTATATTTCATTTAAACTTTTTTTGGATAATTAAAGAACTTGGCTATTTAAAAGTTTAATTACCATTTTTCTTCCAATTTAAATTAATTTCTGACAACATCATTTATCTACTTATTTTATCATGCAGAAATTCCTAATGCAATTAGAATTGAGTATTTGTCGCTATAGCATGCATCCTTTCTGAACTTTGATTCATCAACCAATATCATACACTTTTTGATTTATTTCATTTGTCAGTACAATTTTGAATAATTATTTGGAGTCTTAATCAGAGTCACTATTGCAGAATTTACAATAAAGAGCTTATTTATAAGTTTTATACTTCTTGATTCAAAAACAATATAGCTAGATAGGATGACTGGAACGGGGCTTTTAGACTTGCCGGCAAGCCAAAAATAAAAGTTCCAGTTATCCTATCTAGCTATATTAAAGCAATTTTAATAAGGCTAAAAAGAATCTAGCCTAGCCATAAACTCAAATTAATTACACTCAAACTTCTAATTAAACTATAAAATTATGTAAACAATTCTCTTATTTTTTATAATTTTTGACAATAATTTATTGAGGCTAATATTTATCTTTATATTTTCATATAATAAATTTCAGAATAATATAAAAATGAACTCTTCTGACGGATCTGGAGACAATGAACTTTTGCGAGAAAATCCGCCGAAAAACACGACATTTTTAATTATTCTGACAATTACTGCAGCTATTGGAGGTTTTTTGTTTGGATATGACACCGGAATTATTGGAGGAGCTAATCTTTATATTTATGATGACTTGGGTTATAAAACTCCTGTCGTCCTAGAAACAGTTGTCAGCCTAGCAGTTATTGGCGCAATGTTCGGTGCCTTAGCAGCTGGGCCTTTATCTGACATAAAAGGGCGTAAACCTACCATAATTGCTGCAGACTGTGCATTTGTAACAGGATCCATTCTGATGGCCAGCGCTCCTAATATATGGGTGCTTATGCTAGGACGCTTCATAGTCGGCTTAGGTGTTGGTTCTGCAGCCATGGTGGTCCCTATATATCTAGCAGAGTCAGCTCCTCGGGAACTGAGAGGAACCATTGTTAGTATAAACGTATTGTTTACAACTTCAGGCCAATTAATAGCATACTGTGTCTGTCTCTCCTTAGAAGACCACTGGCGATGAATGCTCGGCATCGGTGCAATTCCAGCCATAATTCAAGTTATTGGCATGTTTTTTCTGCCAGAAAGTCCAAGATTTCTTTACAAAGTCGGCAAGCTGGAACAAGGGCTAAAAGCATTATTACATATAAGGTACAGTTTATTATATAGAAAATATGAATATATTGAAGAAGAAGTAAAAGGGATCATGCAGTCAATTAAAGAGGAAGGAAACCATTCATATAAGCACCAGTTTAAGCTGCTTTATAAAAACTGCAAAAGGTCTGCAATGGTCGGAATAGGACTCCAATGTTTGCAGCAGCTATGTGGAATTAATACAGCAATGTATTATGGTCCCCAGATCATGCAAGTCGCAGGCTTTGACTCTTCTGGAAGAGAAGCGATCATTGCAAGTATCCCAATTGCATTTGCTAATATGGTCGGAACGTTCATATCTGTATGGTATGTAGACAGGCTTGGCCGAAGATCGACCCTTTTATACACAATTCCATTTATGGTAACTTTCTTATTGTCACTTGGCGCAAGCTTTGTTTTTATCACCTTTTTCAGTGTGGTTGAATTTATACAGTATCTCGCAGTTTTTTCTTTGTTGGTCTATATTTTATTTTTTTCTGTAGGCATGGGGACTTGTCCGTGGATCGTGAATTCGGAAATTTATCCTCTGAATTTAAGGAGTGCAGCGACAAGTGCGTCAACAACAGCGAACTGGGTCTCTAACTTTGTTGTGTCTATGACTTTTGCGTCAGCAATTTCTTTCGATGCAGGAAGAGTTGGGATATGAATCATACTGGCAGGGTTTGGGGTCATAAGCTGATTTTGGGTGTATAAGTTACTCCCTGAGACTAAAGGGAAATCTTTGGAAGAAATTTTGACAATATTTCAAACAGGAAAAGAACTGGATTAAGATATATTTAACTAACCTCTAGATTCGCAGATTTAATAGCAGATAGCAAATTGTTATATAAGAATGTGGCTCTTTTGGCGGATATCAGCGATTATATACGAGTTATGGTAAATCTAGAGAATCTGTTAGAACTCTTTTTAAATTTAAATTAAAGAGAAATGAGACAATTTGTTTTTGCTTTATTTTATTTTAAATGGCTATGTAAGGATATGGTCTTCTCCGAGAACTCTTCCTTCTCTGACATATTTATTATTATGGGGTTTGGCTTATTTAGTGTAGCTTCATCCAAAATGTCAAAGCATGTCTTACTTCATAGTTGACAGATTGGCCCAAGGATTCTAGGAGTCACAGGAATTTACTGCTTGAGATAACCGAGGAGGCGACCTTAGGCGGAAAATGCGCACAATTCAAGTATAAAGTGAGCCAACGCTCCCGTGTGTAGGTTCAGGATGATCCAGATAGGGTTGCAGAAGCTTTGTAATGCCTTGCCATTTTGGTGACGTCCATTTTAGTTCTTGGAATCGCCCACAAAACTTAAAGGATGGGCCTAGATAAGCCTAAAACATCCTGCTGGCATGCTAAAAACTGAGTAATTAAGTATTGAGCTTTATTTTTATTTCACATTTTAAGCCAAAAGCTCGAAGAAAGCAGCCCTTCTTTTGCTTATTCCTTTCTCTCCAATGATTTCTTGACTGAAAATCAAAAGAGAAATTGGAGAGGTTAAGCAACGACCTTTTATCGCTAGACTAGAAAGTCTTATGGCCATAATTTAATTATTAATTTCTCTCCAAAGAAAAGCCAGAAAAAATCAAGGTCGGCCCTGAAAACGTCGAAAGCGTTTCTACAAGTTCAGGTGCTCTCGCAGTCGGAGTTGAGCAAACAGACTCCTCTCTGTCTTCTTTTGCGTCCCAAATAAACTCCTCCCTACAAATTCTCGGCATGAAAATCGACTCCTCAATATCTTCAACTGCCTATGCCCTAGAGTCTTTAATTCTTTCAGATATCCAAGAAAAACAAGACGAATTGTCAGAAATCAACATGCAAATCCATGCTTTACTAAGAAAATCCAACAATTTGGCAACTGACTGCTCAGGTTTCCGCACATGTAAAGCATGTGCTTATAACCCTCTTTGTGTTTGGTGTTTGACTGAACAAATCTGTGTCGGCGGAGATGGAGATGGCCCTTTTAACGGTGAGTGCGCTTATTATGACTATAATGGATGCTCTGGGACTGGCTGTAAGCAGTATGATACTTGTGAAACTTGTTTAGGAGATTTGCAGTGTGGCTGGTGCATGAATGGAGGATACTGCTTAGAAGGAAACGAGCTTGACACTGGGTCTTGTGACATCAGCTTCTTTTTTCACACAAATTTCCCAGGAAAAGATACATGTCCTGCTATGAAAAAGAAAAAATTGCCTAAATATGAAAATTTTGATATTTATATTAATGGAAATCCTACAAGTAGCATTGATAAAGAAACTGAAAATATCGAAAGAGAAATCATTGAATTAAGGAACAGGGCTCGGGTAATAGTAGAAGAAATAGAAGAGCTTAATAGAGCTAAAGCTCAAGTTATACAAGAAATGGAAGAAGGAAAAGAAATTGAGATGCCTGATATTATAATTCCATTTTTTAACAAAGGACTCTGGAGGAAGGTAGAAACCTTTGCAAGAGAGGAAAATGAAAGCAATGAAGAAGAAGTTAATAGCAACACAGAGGACTTGAAAAAATATATTGAGAAAAAACAAAAAGAAGCTATTGAGAATAGCGAAAGGAAAATCTTGGAAACTCATGTGGTTGCTGCACCTAGTGTTGTGGGGATAAACGCTGAGGCTGAGAAAACTGGCAGAAGGAATCAAAACAGAGGGGAGCAAGAAATATATCAATAGTAAATTATGTAATTTAAAGGAATTTGATGAAAATCATATTTAGTTAATCAAGGGATTTTATTTCTTCTCTATAAATAGGATTTTGCACAATTTTTACCCTTCATAATCTTGACCAGGATTTTATATAAGTTTTTTCAGTTAATTTTCTTTGATCCAGTTAAAAAGAAAATCAGCTATAGAGAATGATTATTTGTTTATTATAATAAGCAATCCAATTAATCAGGAACTACTTTCTGTGATTGAGTAGATGCGCTGTCAGAGTCTGCAAAGTATTTTTTTGTTTTGACAGGTTTTAGATGATGGTGGCTCTTTCGAGTTTTTTCTTCAGAGGCAACTACGCTCTGCTTAGCCATATCTCCTAAATCAAAAGGGGTTTCTCCTATATGCTTTTTACCTGCATGATTTTCAATTGTTGTATCTGCGCCTACACTTTTTAAGCATTCGAAGGTTTCAATTGATTTCGTGTATGCTGCCAAGTGAAGCACTGTTTCTCCGTGACAGTCTGTGATGTTTAAATTTGGGCTAAGCTCCAATAGCTTCTGAATCGCGTTTTGTTTACCAAGTCATGTTGCTAACTCCCCCCCCCATCCTTGATCGAACGATTGACTGTAAAAATTCCTAAAAATTGGGGAAATTAATCCCCATCCTTGATCGAACGATTTTCATATCATGCAAAATTTTATATATATATAAAAATATATTAGTTATCAAAAGTTTGGGAAGATGTGCATAATGAAGTTGTTTTCAGAGACTTTGAGACGACAGAAAGCTCGGAATCAACTATTCGAAGTGATTTAATCATCAATCAGGGCTTAAAAACTCAATAATCTAATAAAGAGATTCTTTAAAATTTTTAAAAAAAAATTTTAATTTAATAAGAAACAAATTAAAATTTATACAGTTTAAAGGGGTAACTAATAAATCAAAATATTAAAAAATTGGTATTTTTATAGATTAATTCAATTTTTTGCTGTAAAAATAATTATTAAATACTCTTAACCTTCTTATTTAAAAATAAATAAAACAATATATATATATATATTTTATTTTATATATAAATTTTTTTTGTTCCCAAAAAAAATGTTTTTTTAACCCCCATCCTTGATCGAACGACGGCGAGTCGTTCGATCAAGGATGGGAGGGGGGGAGTAAGTGTAAAGGCGTTCAGTCATACTAAATGAAAAATACAGCTTCCAATCGTAAATCTAAATCACTTTGAATATATACAAAAGAAGGGTCATCGTTTATGATAGCTTCAATTATCTGTTGAGCCTGCATAATAGTTACTCTTTTGTTAGAAAAACCCTTTTTAGAGAATAAACTTCCCATGTTTCTTATTTTAAGAAAGAGCGATTTTATATAAGTCTGGTAAGATGGATGTATTTAAAATGTGGAGAAAATTTGGATAGCTGGACTTTTGAATTTAGCTATTTTAAAAATTAATTTTTAATTCTAATAATCCGTTGTTGCTTTTTTTAATATATGAATTTTAATTCTGTGTGGATCTATTAACGCATCAAAATAGCATATTCGTCCTCCATTTTAATGTTTCTGATATTTTTACGCACAAAAGATTGCTTTCCATTTTTCTTTACCAACTAATTTCTCCAATTTCTACGAAAATCTATCTTTCTGTGGATTTTGTGTCAAGAAAACCTAGGTTTTCCTTACTCCCCCCCCCCCCTCCGTGAGTGAACAAAACCATTAGAAAAAATCGCTATTTTTTGCCCAAAAACCCACCTTCGTGAGTGAACAAAAATTTTTTTTAAATAGAAAAAATTTTTATGGAAAAAAATTTTGATATATAAATGATAATTAGTATAAGGAAATCTAGAGAGCTAATTCTGTTTAATTTTAAAACGAATTGCTTTTTAAAAACATAAATTTTATAAATTAAATTAATATTTGCTTTCCAATTTTTGCGAATTAGATTTTTTTTAATTTCGAAAAAAAATATTTTTATAAAATTTTATATATATTTTGTTTTAAAAAAAAAAAATTAACCTCCCTCCGTGAGTGAACAAAATTTTTTTGTTCACTCACGGAGGGGGGGAGAGTTAGCAAAATTTAAAAAAACTTATAAGTTACCAATACAAATTTAAATAAATATATTCTGAGATTATTTTTCGAAATCTTGATGCTTCGTCAGCATAGCCATTTTCTTTTGGTCAACATTAGCTTCAAAGCCTCTGATAAGCTCAATCAGTCTGACACACATTGCTTTGACACAATTTTTGATCGTGATGTCTTTCATAGTTGAGGCTTCACTGATCTCTGCTAGCGTCTTCTCACAGTTCAGGATTTGTCCCACTATCCACACCGCAGCGCTTGCAATGCTAAGTGGGCTCTTCCCAGTGAGAATTTCCAGCTCAATTGACCTTTCAGCTATTGTTTTCGCAGCTTTTACCTGTAAAGGTGCAAAATTCAGTTCATTCGCAAATCTCTGGGCGTAGTCAGCAGCAGACCGATTTGCGCCCATTCCAGTGGGGATGAGTTTTTTTGTCATGGAGTAGCATCGTAAAATTTCTTTTTGGTCAACATTCGTGATTTTCGAGATTTCTCTGATTGACCTTGGATTATTTTTCCTGCTGGCGATAAAGACACAAGCGGAGACCATAGCTAGATAAGATCTCCCTTTAAGCCCTCTCTCTTCACTGATTCTTTTAAAAATCAACTTAGCTTCTTCTGCACATATGCCTTTTTATAAGATTTATTATTAATTTTATATAGAAAAATATTGGTTTTATAATTAGCTTTGAAGGATTACGTCATTTAAGTGTAAATTGTTGCACAGCTCACCTATCGCTGCAAAGCCTCTCACAAGTTGTTTGTCTTGTCCAGATTGTGAAGAACGTTGGCTCCAACGGGAAAGAGCAGAATCTGGGCCTCCAGAAATTACAGTATATATGCCGCGATCTGACAACAAGTCTATGTTGGCGCCTCCCACTCTTTTCGTATCGTCACCACCCCTTGATGTGGCGTCCTTCGAGAAATTTCTTGTTTCTAGGGTATCGTCAATAATACGGTCCTCCTGAACTCGCCCACATAACTGACACACTATATTTCCTTCTTTTGAATTAACGATGATACTTCCTACCGCTTTGCACTCAATACAACTCATTGAAATCATTTTATAATGTAGTTTAGTTAAAAGGTCTAAAGTGTTTGTGGAAGAATGGGGTATTGGGGTCATAAGAAAAAATTGGCAATTACGGTAAATTTTTAAATTAGGAATTTAAGAGACGTTGGAGCTATAAATGGATACCCAAAATGATGGGCTAACATTTTTTGGAGGTGGCCCAAAAAAAGATTTAAATGGAAACAGTCTCAAAGTCGCGGGTAAAAAACCAGAAGAGAGGAGCTAAAAGAATCAGTAGAAAAATAGATTGGAACTGGAAAAAATTTTGTCAGAAAATAAATAGTGAGAAAAATGGGAATATTTAGATTTTTAAAAAATTTTCTTAAATATTTAAAAGCAGTTATTTAGCTTTACCTCTTGTCGATTTTGTACTAGGCTTGTTCTTTTTGACTTCTTCCCATGCATTGTCTTCGTTTCTCTTACTTTTGTTATTCGAAACTTCATGCTTTGAAGGCTCAAAAGCTGGGAACATCTCATTATAAGTGTTCCCAAACTTTGTCTCAGGCTGCTGTGATTTTTCTGCTGCTTTAGGCTCGCTTTCTTTTACCTTAATTTCTGCTTCTTTAGCCTGCTCATTACTCTTTGGTTGAGGCGTGCTTGCAAGTTGCAGGAAAAAGTTATTCATTGGCACAAAATTTTCTGTGTTTTCTTTAGCAATTTCTAAATCAGGCGGAAAACACCCTCGAACTGACCAATTGAACATCTCAATTGTGCAGAACGGCCCTTGTACCTTTTTAGCTAAATCTTTGTAGAACCAAAACTTTTCAAAAGGCTTGGAAAATGGCATGAAGTAGGCTAAGTTGTCACTTCCTAGCATAGCGCATTCAGCAAGTGTTACAGCGAAAGGGTTTTTTATTGAGCACTGATAAGTTAATAGACTGGCGTCATAAAACGGTATTAGTTTAGATGCCTGCTGTGGCTGTATACTTTGAGAAGGCTGTGAAGCTTGTTGGTTTATTTGTGATTGCAGTAAAGCCTCTTCCTGTTTACTTTGTGGCTGGGTTTCTTTATTGCTTTTGCTCGGCTTTTCAAAAGGCTCCTCTATATCTTTGGCTTCAGGGTCATCCACTTCATCCCATTCAGGGAAAGCTTCATCTTCTTCAACCTGAGTTTTCAATTTTTCCTCAACCACAAGGTCGATTTTCCCGAACTCATCTTGGACATCATTAATGTCAATTGCACCATTTTCTGGTTTTTCAGGCTTCGCCTCAGCTGTATTTTGTTCTGTTGGTGATTTATCAGGTGAAGGGACATCTTTTGTCCCTGATTCAGTATATTTTTCTATAAATTTATTATAAAAATGGATTATTTTTCATATGACTTGTTTATTTATGATAAACAGGATATACCATTCAGGCACTTGTTCGACCTGCTTTTCTCTAGGCGCTGGCTTTCTGCTGTTTATCTCATCTCCGAGCTCTTCACGATAATTCGGATGCATTTCGATAAAAGGATGAAGCGGTGGTGATGAATAAAGAGGGAGGACAGCTTCTGTTAGTGGCACAGCTGGAAATGGACACTCGTAATAAGCATTAAGAATGGCTTCTCGTGTATATTTATGAAAAGCGTTATTTGTATGCTTTTTGTGTCGCCAGTTGCTTTCTTGTTTGTAGTTTGGGTTAAGCTTTCTGGGCCTTTGAGCGTCAGACATTTATATCTGAAAACTTCATCAGATATTTATTGCAATGTTTTGGCCTATTTTTCTTTGGAAATTAATATTCAAAGGCAAAATTATTTAAAAATGATATTGTTTCAATAGAGGCAGTTAAAGACTTCTGATTTTAATGGAATATTAAGTGGCAAAGTATGGAAGGCAGCGGGGTTTATAATACTGCAACTAGCAAATCGTTCCTCGTAGACGTAAATATCAATTAGGACTACTTAGAGCCAAAGTTTGGCAGGAAAAGATTTGACGTCCATAAGAATATGCAAAGCCATCATGTTGCCTATAACCGAAAAGGGATGGTCACAGATGTGCAGGTTAGAAAAGATAGTGGGAATTATGACTATCCAGCTGCAAGCTATTTTAAGCAGCCAGAAATTATTACTCAGTCCCCTCAGTCCCCCTCTTTAAATTGGAACAAAATATTGGTAAAGTTTCCGTTTTTTTGGTAAACTAACCCTCCTTTAAATTGGAACAAAATTCAATTTTATATTAAAACATTTTATAGATAAAAATCATAATTTTTATGTAAAAAGTTTTGGTATAAGTTAATGTTTCTTTTAACTAAATTTAAAATTTAGTTATATCTTGCTCTTTTTTAAAGAACAGAGTATAAAGAGCATCTTATTTAATTAAATTTTATTATCCTTAATTGCTAAATTTTTAAAGAATTAAAAATGTTTAGAAAAAATTTTAATTAAATAACTTTGATATAAAAATTGAAAATTTATTTATTTCTTGCTTTATTTTAAAGAATAGAGTATTAATAGCATCTTATTTAAACAAATTAGCACTTTAATCAATAATTTTTTTTTAAAAATTTGTTTTTATTAATCAATAAAAATAATAATATTTGGTAGATAGTTTTTTGATATCATTTAATATTGGCGTATTAACTAATAATAAAAAAATTTAGTTATATCCTACTTTTTTTAAAGGATAAAGAGTAAATAGCATTGTATTAAACAGATTTATTAATCTAATTCGATAAATTTTTGAAATTTTTATATAATTTTTTTTTTTATAAAAATATTTTCTTAGCCCCTTTAATTGAAACAAAATTTTTTGTTCCAATTTAAAGCAGGGAGTTAGAAAAACGTTTCCAGTAACCAAAACCAGTCGCAGACATACCAAGAAAAACTGCTGCAATCATATCAAAGAAAAGTAGGGAATAATCCTTGAGAAAACCCAGCAGAAAACAGAGCCTATTATGACGAGCCAAAATTCCAGCAAATAAACAGCCAGGAATATGAAAATGTCCCTCAAGAGGTACAAAAACAGCCAGAGAACGGCCAGGATTATAATGAGCTTGACGCTTTATATAACCAAGAAATCGAGTTATTAAAAGAGCAGCTAAAACAAAAAGAAAATCAGCTGAAATTATATCAAAATCCAGCAGAAACAACTCCATTAGCTAATGAAAATATCCCAAAAGAAATTCCGAATGAGCCTTATCAGCCCCAATATACAGAAAACAAAAGATCCAGCTCAGAAATCAGCTTCCAAATGAGTGCGAGGGACCAGAAGCGACAATTAGAAGCCATGGCGCGGCAAAAAGAAATAGAAAATAGACTTGAAAATTTAAGGAAACTCAGAGAAGTGGAGTACTTTGAAAGGCTGGAAAAAGAGAGAAAAGCGAAAGAGTATAAGGAAAATTTAGAAATTCAGGAAATGCTGAAACACCAAATAAGCCAGAAAAACGATTTATACCTAATAAATTATAAGAAATTATTATGGTCTATGTAAAATTTATGTATAATTTACCTTAATTCAGAATATATTCAAATCGTAATTTGAGCTCATCCTTATCCCCCGCATATTCTCAGACAAATATTCCAAGTGATAACGTCCAAAAAGCAATTTATGAAGCAGAGTCAATGTATTCTACTTCATTTCCTAGATATACCAAAAAAAGCCCAAAGCCTTATATATTTAACCCGATTACTGGACTATTAAAAGATACGTCAAAATACGTCCCAGAGTTCTTGTCTCCGATACTTCAGCAGTCCCCAGCTATGTATGCATCAGCATTTAACTCCCAGTCCAGACTTGCCCCAGAGCTAGCAAGCTCCTATGTTAAAACTAACGAAGCAACCCCTAATCAAGGCCCAAGTCCTGATACAAGCCTAGCTTATAAGCCAGACTATCGAGAGAGAAATGACGAAAGGATAAGATCGTTAAGCCAAAATGAGAAAAACTTGGCTGACTATGGCAGCATGATCATGCAAGGGAAATATGGTAGATAAATTAATATTATCATATTATATTGAATTGAGATATATGCTGTATCAATATAAGATAAATTATTTTTGCTGCATAAAAAAATTATATTAAAGGAAATATCAGACAAATAAGCTTGGCTACATAGGATAAGATCTGTTATATAGTATACTACTAGCTCGCGTAGATCATTGATAATTGAAGGGCTGATGCTCTCCTTTGGGACTTCTTCTTCGTTTTCTATCTCTACTCCGACGTTTTCAGGGTCTGAGGAGCTGTAAACCTTCACTTTTTCTCTTTCGCACTTTGAATATATTGATAGCCAAAATTTCCCAGTCTCTCCTGAGTTGAGTGTGGCTGGAATAATAGCGAATTTTCCGGGTAGGATGTCGATTTTGCAGCTGACCTCTCTGTGCTGTTTTAAAACTGATAAATAAACAATTTTTGTTTTATCAAACAAATTAGCATGTTCTTCTTCTGGGCTCAGTTTCATGATAGAGAAACATATAGTTTTCATTGTCCCGTCGAATGGAAACACTGAATTTTTCATGTATCGGCAGTCTTCTTGACTTAGAAGTACTGTTATTTCACATCTGGACCAAGCATGAAACACCCCTCAATATCAAACTACTTAGACTTGATAATAGGAATATAACAGATATACGGCATTTTCGCGCCTAAACTATTCAAGCACGACTTATAGCATATTTAAAATATATCGTTATTTGCAGATTTTTGAACTTTACCACCTAAGTGTGGATTTTTTTCCGCGTGTGAAAAGAGGATTCCACATGTGAAATCAAAAGGGCTCCACACGTGAAATCACCTTTTCACACGCGGAAAAAATTCCACACTTAGGTGGTAAAGTTCAAAAATTTGCAAATAACGATATTTAATACTTTATTTCATATCTCTACTATAGACAGAATTTTTATTTGGTTAGCAAATTTAACTCTTATTTTTGTATTAAATTTAAAGCAAGATATCATGTATTATATGTAAATAAGCTATTTAAACAGATTAAATTTTTTAAAAGGCAATAATTTAGCGCAATCGATGCTAGATATTATGTCCCTATGATGCATCATTATGTTTGAATTGATTTATTTGTCTCTATTTTTTTAAAACAGAATTCTACTGGATTCATTCTTAAAATGCCGATAATTAAGCGATTCCAGCTTATTCCTCTATTAACTCTATTGTTTATTAGTCGAAAAATTATTTTAAATATAAAAGTTATGTATATAGTAGGAATATGAAATAAAATATTAAATATATTTGTAAGCATGCTATAAATCGCGTTTGATTAGCTTGGAAGCAAATTTGCTGCAATATATGTTATATTTCTTATTATCAAGACTAGGTAGTTTGGCATTGAAGGTAGGGGGTTTTCATGTTTAACGACACATCTGGATTTTAATTCTAATATAAATTGAGGATTCCGTGACCAAAGTACTGAGTTTTCTTTATCCATAGGAACCCCACCAGAGGTTTCTGATGTCCAATCCCCTTGAAATTGGACTCCCCATTGCTTCTTGAAATTTGAGCATATATACACATGGCTAAATATCGATCTCCAATCTTTAAAGCTCATTAAAAATGTGCCATCATATCTGTTAATATCAAACGCTTCTTCATTATTTTTATCCAGCTCAGGCTTAATAATCCCAAAAAATTCTTGCAGTTCTTCGCTTTTTCGGCTCCATTTTCCTTGCCATTCCTTTTCATTCCAAAAATTCCTTAGCCTTAACAATCTATGTCTTTTTTTTGAATTTTTTGCCCGAGGGTTTTTTACAAACAAAATATCAACAATTGCATAGGCATATTGGCCAATTAATCCAGTAATTTCTCCATCAATAACAACATCATTTATTTCTGAATCAATAGTGCAGCCAACAAGCAGTTTTTCATCTTTGCATTTTTTAAGTAACGTCCAAAACTGATCTAGTTTAATTTTATCTTGTGAGAGCTCACGTGCTGATATTTTTATTTTTTCTACATTCATTTTGGTTAATAAGTGCAACGAGTCTTCTAGCAGTCCACCATTTAAAGCTTCATAACAGCCATATAGTTTTGCATATGCTTTTTCTATTAAGCTTATCCATAGCTCATTGGGATCTGAGCTATGGCCAAATATATATTGTGGATCTTTGGTATCTTTAGCGTACATTGGGATTCTGTCATCAATAATCACCCATTTTGAAGACCTGTCGATTTCTACACGGATTACGTAGAGTCCTTTTTTGGCAAATGCATGAAAGATAGGAGGATAGGTGCCTTTAGAAATCCCTAGGACTGTATTTACGTTTATTTGGTCAGGTTTTTCAAGCTTTTTTAAGAAGCCACAGATGAATTCTTCTTGCTGGCCAACAATGCTTAAGCCTCCAAGAAACCAGGAATTCCTAAGTGAGCCTTGTATGACTGTGTTTTTATTGCTTCCTCCATTAATGAAGACTGCTGATTTCAAGAATTTTGAAGGAGAAATTCACGTCAGCTCATCAGCTGGAGGATAATTACTATTCGGTGGGCTTCCTGTCCAATATAAACAAAATGCCCCATCTTGAATTTGCTCAGGACCAAAATCAGGGTCAATGAATTTTTTTTTCCTTGACGACTCTATTCTTTATTTACATAAATTATTTTATTTCTATTATATCTACTATTTATTACTATCAAGAATATCAATTCTGCACATCTTTTCAGTGCTGCAATTTCACTATTCAAAATCGTTCTTCACTCATCATTCGTTTTTGTAAAAAAATCTACATCAGAAAGCACATAATTCTGTATTTCTTCAATAGGGTTTACAAGCTGCTTTTTCATACTCCTTGAAGACGCTGAGGATTGTACATATTTTTCTTCTTCTTCAGTTTCTTTTATTTCTTTGATTTTTTCAATAGGTTTTAATACTGTTTGGAGGCTTCTGAACTCATAGCTGGAAATCATCTTGATGAAATTGACGTAATTTATTATCCCGCTTTGGTTGGGATCTGCGAACTCAATTAATTTGTTCATTTGGGCTTCTGTGATCCCAATTCTCAGTCTGTCAATTGCGAGGATAAAATCTGGCTCCTTGAGGGCTCCAATGCCATCTTCGTCTAGTCTTTGAAAAGTGGCTTCAATTGAGGTGATATAAATTTGGTGGGTTTTTATGTAGTCTTTTAGCTTAAATATAGCGCTGTCTAATGAGTCTTCAGGAAAATCATTTAAATTGCGGTTCAAGTCTTTTACTTCAGGTGGCCTTGTTCTTCTAGATATTTTTCGGCTTGTTTGTCTTTCAAGAACTTTGCTTTTTAATGATCTCAAGTATTTTACAAATTCCTCACTATAAATTCTATTTTCATTTTTTGAGTCAGCTATCTTTAAAATAATATTTTTTTCGTCTTCAGATAGCGACAAAGGTAGCTTGTCTAAGCACATCTTTAATTGGGCTTTTGTAATAACATGCCAATGCATCCCATCCAGTGACTCATAAAATTCTTCAGCCATTAAAGGTCTTTTTTTATCATTCTCTCCATTTAAATAGTTAGCCACTTTCATGATAGGCTCTTGTTGGAGTGATTCTGTAGATCGTAAAGGGGAGGATAATTCAGAATTAGGGGATGAGGGATGGCTAGAATCCTGAGAATAGTAAATTCTTGGACGAATTTTTTGCCTTTTTTGTGATGCTGCATCTGATGTGTTCCCAGAAGACCTAAAAGAAACATCATTATGTGCTTTTGGATCGTTGTTTTGGATCAAAATCTCAGCTGGCATTTTTGGAGTGCTATCTGGTGTTTTTTCTTTTTTTGGCTTCCTGTTTTGATAAAATACGTTTTCTATTGCATCAATTTTTGAGGGTTTTCTTGAAGATGAAGAACTTTCAGACTTTTTCGCAGGAGCTTCATTTTGGATTTCACTAAGCTTTAGTGGTTTAATAATTTTTTCGCTTCCAATCGACGATATTCTTGAGCTTCTTCGTGACGTGCTTTGAAAGAATTTCATGCTATGCGAAGCTGGCCTTGATCCTCTGCTGAGGCTTTCTGATTTACTTTTCGCCGAGTCTTTTTCAGATTCCGTGGGGATTTTTTGTTCAATTTTAATAGAGGATTCTTCAATTTTGCTTAATGGCTGAAACTCTATTTTTTCTTCTTCCGTTTTGACTTCATTCATAAGCTTCAAAAACTCATCAATATATATAGTCTCATTTACATGAATTTTGAAAGCTTCACTAATAGCCCTTATATCAGCATTTGACAGGATTTTTGGGGAAAATAATTTTTTCATAGCTCCAATGAGATCTGCTGTACTGATTCTACCATCATGATCGGTATCAGCATTAATAAAAAAAGTCTGCGGAGTAAAGCTTGTCTCAAGAAAAGCGCTGGTTAATTTTTTAAACATTCTGATTTGATCTTCAGATAAGTTGGAAAAGTCAATTGATGGCTCTTCAGGCTCAATTTCGATATCAAATCTAGATATCATCTCGTCATGGGTTATCACTGGCCCTTTGAAAAGTTTTACTGCTCTATTTAATAAATTTTCGTTGATTTTAGGGAAAAGTTTTAGAATTGTTTTGGTGAAACTTCCTATGCCAATTTTTTCATTATTCTGCCTGTCAGCTAGTTTGAAGACATCTAATGGGCTAAGTTTTAATGTGCTGAATATTTTTGTTAGTTCTTCAGCTGCATTTCCTGGCATAATTCTAGAAGTCTCTAGAAGCTCTTTTGCAGCTTTTTCTATTTCTGATTCATTTAGCTGCAAGTCAGATCTATAAGAGTCAATATAAGCAGCTAAACTTTTAATGGGAACACCATCCAGGTCTTCAACTTTCAAAAAATTATACAAAAGTTCGGATTTTTCATGAGAAAGTTTAAAAATTCTTGATATATCTTCTATAAACTGTTTTTCGTCCATAAAATCATTTATTTTTTCATTTGCAAAAAATTCAAGGGTTGGGGTATTTGACTCCTGTATTTTTTTGGCTAATTTTTTAAATAACTTTTTGGTCGATTTGTGGCTTGACGCATGGTTTATAAAGAAGTTTTCAATATCCTTGATACTAATCATACTATCTTTATCTAAATCAAAGAAGCTTAATAGCTTGATAATTTCTTCTTTTTTTATAGAAGGAAATACAGAGCCTAGTGCTTTCGAAAAAACTTGTATAGCAACTCTCCCTTTATTCTCTTTTTGTAAAATTTTTACGAACTCTGATACACTTTTACCATTTTCTTCTATTTTTTTAATAAGTCTTCTAATATCTTTATCTTTCTTAGGCTTGCTAATTTTTTCTTTTTTTCCGTCTGAATTGTAACGAGTCCTGGGTTTTCTTGTTTTAATTAAATTTTCAATTTTTACAGCTTGGTTTCCTTTATTCATGATTTTCATGAAGGTGTCTTTTGTAATTTCTCCAGTCATATGAGGATCAAGTATCCTTACTATAGAAGCAATTTCTCTTTGCTTAAGGTTTGATTCAATATTTATAAGGAAACTTTTTAAATCTTCGTTGAGAATTAGGTTTTTTTTGTTGGTATCAATAATTTCAAATATTTCTTCTGGGCTTAGTTTTCTATTTTCTATGAATTTCATAAAATTGGCTAAAGCATCGACTTCTACAGGCTTGCTCATCACTCGGTGATTTTCAGTCTCAACCTTATAAGCGGCCAAAATATCATAAAAGTCTTGAATTTCTAGTTTCCCTTTGCATTCTTCATCAAAAATCAAAACCAGCCTCGAAATTTCAGCTTTTGTTAAGCATAGCCTCAGATTTTCCAAAAAAGAAATAAAATCATCACATGAGATGACTTTTTTGTCGTCTTTGTCAATTGCCCGAAAGCACTGCTCAAATGTAAGATTTTTAGTTTTAATAGAATTTGAGGCTATTTTCATAATATATGGTTAGAAACTAACTAAAAATTTTTATAAATAAATTGTGATAGTATATTCTGATTGAAATTGCTATTAACTCAATAATGTGAAATTCCTCTCTGTCACAAAATGCAATATCTTCGTCAGAGACTTGAGTAGGAATGGCTCTACTCTGATCAATATATTCGTTTAAAAGTTCATAATACTGTTTCCTCATCACATATCCTCTTCATGCAGCTTGAATCCTTGTAGAACTTCATTGGTATACAATAGCCGTTTCTATAGGATCATTGAATTGATTCGACCTCATAGTTATTCCTACCTCAGCTTCTTTCGAGCTAATCGTAGATAACTTTAATTTTTCTCTTGAATTCTGATGCAATTCTATATCAGAATTCTTAGGAGTTTTGTCCTGCATCTTCAATGATTTCAAATTTTCAATTTGTTGCCTGGCGTCTTCTAACTCTTTAATTAATTTTTGGCAGTCGTCGTTATACAACTTTGAACTATCCAATTCGTCTTCTAATAATTCAATTTCGCTTACACAAGATTGGATAATTAGCAAGCAGAAACTGCTGAATTGCTCTAATAGCAGCCTTTTCTCTGAAGAACTTGCAGTGTCATAGTTACATCCTTCTGTGTATCTATTTAGCACTTCTTTGTAGCTCATCATATATTTGGTTATTTGTTTGGCTGCTTCTAAGCAAGCTTCTTGGTCGTTATAGTCAATTCTAAACACAAGTTCTGTCATATTTATTTAATTATTAAAATCTTGATTTTCTATATCCCACTCCACAACCCTTCTTTCAAAGCACGACTCCAAAGCACTTCCAAAGCTTAATAAAAGACATAAAACCGCAAAAACCGAAAAAATAACACCCAGCGTCATAACTAAAGTCTTATCTTGTATAATTTTGCATGAAAATAAATAAAACATCCCACTTACAAAAATCATAAAAAATAATGCCACAAATAGCGCAAGCCACGGGACACAGCTTTGTTCTTTCCCACATGGGCTGCACGTCGTTAAATAATGAAAATTCATTTTTAGCGGACATTTACATAGTTCACAAGAGGATAGCTCCATTTCATCTTTGTCACTATGAAGCAGTCACAATTTCAAGCATTCTTGATGGACGTATTTTTGTGTCCCATTGCATTTGCAAGGGGCAATTAAATCTTCTTGTTTAGAAGAATCAAGGCAGATTCGGCAAATTATAGGGGATAATGGAGCTAGAGGTGCAGAAGTGCGATTTAGAGAAATCGAGCTGACAGAGGAAGACTCTGCAGACTCATTTGGCTTATCGTCAAAAGGAAATACTGATACAATAGGAAGTTCTTGTTCACAGGGGAATTTCATGTTATTCGAAATTTCTTTTAATTGGGATGCGGCTTCAAATACATAGGTTTTTGTTGTGGTAATTATGCCCGGCTTTTGAATGTGAAGGGTTATTGGGGTGTTATTGGAAGCTTTTATAAAAATTCTAGGAGATTGAGAATAAGTATTGAGGACTTGGACGTGGTCGCCTGGGGTGATTTTTTTTGAGGACTGGGAGTTTGAAGATTGAGGAGATGATATGGAGCCAACTGAAACTCGTCGGGATTTGCGAGGCGATTTATAGAGAGCGGCTTCACTGGTGGCATTTGAAACAATTTTTCTGTGCATTTGACTATTATAAAGCAAGCAGGATACGGATCTTCACAATATGAAAAAAGATACGAAGTTTTCATAACTGAGTTTATAAAAAATATAATAAAATTTTCAATAAATTAAGCATTTTTTGCATATTTTTACAATTTAATTTCCATAAAATATCAAATTTTTTAACTTTTATTTTCAAAAATAAAAATTATATTTCTATTATTTTCTGCCAAAAAATAATTAAATAATCGTTAAAAAATTTCATAGTAATTAATTTAAAATGATTTTGACTGACTTATTTCTTAATATAATCCCATTTTTGTTTATGGATATTATATTCTGTTGATTCTTGAATTGTGCTGAAAATAAATTCTCTATAATATCATAAAATTTAAATGGGAAATTGCTGCCGAAATTCAAATGAAGAATCAACCGAAGTAAACTCTACCGTCACCAGAGACATGTTTCAGTTAAATTATATAATTGGTAGAGGAGCTTACGGGAAGGTCTGGAAAGCTCTCCATAAAGCTTCCAATACAGAATACGCTATAAAGGTCATGTCTAAGGCAAAAATTCTTGCCAAAAAGTGTATAAGTACAGTTTTAAACGAGCAAAAAATCCTGAAATTTGCAAAAAGTTCAACGCTCACGAATTGTCATTATGCGTTTTCTGATAGCCAGAACCTTTTTTTAGTTTTAGATTTAATGCCAGGCGGAGACCTCAGGTATCATTTATCTAAAAAATTGCGTTTTGACGAAAAAATAGTGAAATTTTGAATAGCCAACACCATAAGGTGCCTTGAGTCTATTCATGAAGCAAATATCATCCACAGAGATTTGAAGCCTGAAAATTTATTATTTGACGAAAAGGGGTATTTGCATTTATCTGATTTTGGTACAGCCATTATTTTGGGCAACAAAAATTCAAAATATATAGAAGGCACCTTAGGGTATATAGCTCCAGAGACAATTTTCCAAGATGTCCAAACTAAAGCGGTTGACTATTATGCCCTTGGAATCACTTTATATGAAATTATTGTGGGTGCTAGGCCTTATGAAGGGACTAACTTAAAAGAAATCGAGGAGAAAATAAATGAAGGTATAAGTCTTAAAGAAAGTCAAGTCCCAGCCGGTTGATCTAGTCATGTTATTGATTTTGTCAATAAACTGCTTGAAAAGGACCCTGAAAATAGACTAGGCTATAATGGGTCTTTTGAAGCAAAAAACCATTCATGGTTTTCCAATTTTGATTGAAAAAAGCTTGCAAATTTTTCTTTAAAAGCTCCTTATATTCCAAAAATTACTAGAGCAAACTTCAGCCAGCAAGTTGAATTGTCATTTAATAATGATATCGATATGGAAGCTCTCGCAAAGAGTAAAATTTTATTAAAGGATGAAGTCACGCAATCATTATTTGCTGACTATTATTACAACTGTGAAATTCCAGCGTCTACTGATGTTTCAAGAGTTGATATAAATTCCAATAAGATTTAATGGTAAAATATGAAAAGTATAATACAGGGGTTTTCCCTAGATAGTCCTTACAGACTGTGGATTCTGTTCCGAATTCTTTGGTTGGTCGAATTAACAAGTTGGTCCGACCAACGTAGTAAGTCGGTTTGACCAACCAAAAGATTCCGGATAGAATCCACAGCCCTGTAAGGGCTATCTAGGGGAAACTCCTATACTTTTTAATTTGTTTTTGTTGCTTTTTGCATGCCCTGTATGAAAATGCGTAGAATTGCCAACAGGGATTTGTGCTTTGTGGACAAATGATCTTATATTAGTAAATTCTCAAGATTGTCCAGAAGAAACTAGCTGCTCAATTTTGCAATTAAAAATCCAAAGAGTGTGGCAAATGGAAGGAAAATTATTATGCGAAAAACAAAAAGTGCCAACGTATTCAGAGTCTGTTAACTGTGGGGTTCGAAATATTTGGTCAAAGCATGTACAAGAGCATCCTATTCGATGCCATTGGGACATTAATTGTGAGCTTATGAATGAAAAGCATAGAAAATGTGTATGTGCGACTGATGGGAATTCATATTGCAGCATTGCTGAGGGCGACCAAGAATTAGACTATTATAATACAAATTGTGAGTTCTTGAGCTATGAAGAAAATTATTATTGGCATCTTTATATTGAACTATTCCCTTTACTTAATAATTTAGATAAGTGCTTTAGGGACAGATTTGAAGAGTTTGAGCTGCTGAACTATTTGAATATAACTCAAAAATCTATATAATAAAAATAAAACGATATAATAGTTAGAAAGGCCATAAGAAATGCTATTTTATAAATCAAATTCTCCATAAAAATGTCATTATTATAGAGCAAATAAAAAATTATTGCGCTAAATTTCAGGCATGGATTTAATATAAAACTTTTATTTTTATAATTATCCTTTGAAAGTTTGCAAAAAAAAAATAAAATTATTATTTTCGGATTTCTTAAGGATAGCATTTTTAATGGCAAAATTGTCATAAACGTTTAAAATGGCCAGCGGTGTGATTCATAATAATTTTGTCTAAAATGGGAAATTGTTGTAGAAGCCCTCATGAAGAGCCAAATGACGGACCTTTAACAGTCTCTAGAAGCCAATTTCAATTGAATTATGTAATTGGCAAAGGAGCGTTTGGAAAAGTCTGAAAAGCTCTTCACACGAAATCAAATACAGAATTTGCGGTAAAAGTCATGTCAAAGGCAAAAATTTTGGCTAAGAGGAGCATAGATGATGTGCTGAATGAGGAAAAAATTTTAAGCACACTTCATAGCCCAACTATTGTGAGCATGCATTATGCATTTTCTGATAGCCAGTTTTTATATTTAGTATTAGATTTAATGCTTGGTGGAGATCTGAGATTTTATTTGGCTCAAAAAAAAGCTATTTCGGAAAAAGTAGTAAAATTTTGAATTTGTTGCATAATAAGAAGCTTAGAATATATTCATGGGATGAATATTATCCATAGAGATTTAAAGCCTGAAAACTTATTATTCGACAGTAATGGATATCTCCATTTATCAGACTTTGGAACAGCTATTAATATTTTGGATCAAAATGCCAACCATATTGAAGGCACAATTGGCTATATATCCCCAGAAATGATTTCTTATGAACAACAAACGATTGCGACCGATTATTATTCCCTCGGAATCATTCTTTATGAATTGATAACCGGGGAAAGGCCTTATGAAGGTGCTAATCGAAGAGAAATTTCATTGAAAATGAAAGAAGAAATCAAACTAAAAGAAAGTGATCTTCCAAAAGGTTGATCAAGCGACATTCTTGATTTAGTAAACAAGGTAATTTATATACAGCTTATACAGAAGAATCCAAGAAATAGGCTTGGATATCATGGGGCAAATGAAGTAAAAAAGCATCCATGGTTTTCCGATATTGACTGATTCTCCTTGCATATATTATATTGGTATATTATTAATAACAATTTTAATTAAAATGCCATCTGAATCTATTAAATTATCTTTCTAAAAACTAAAATTTTTATATATGATTATTTTTAATTTTTTTTTTCGAATTCGAAAATTTATTAATAAAAATCGATAGAGGGAGTGAGTAAAACTCGAAAATGGGGCATTAAAAGCTCCATATATTCCGAAAGCCACCTCAGCGAATTTTAGAAAGAATTTAGAAATTTCGTACAATAGAGATGTGAATAATGAATCGTTTATTCGTTGCAAAACGCTACTGAAAGATGAAATTACTCAGTCACTTTTTGCTGATTATTACTATAACGAAGACATCCCTAATTCTACAGACGACTCGAGGGTTGAATATGATGAACCAGTTTCACGTAAAGGCTAATAGTAAATTATAATAGTTCAATAATTTAAATTGCCTTTTTAAATTAATTAATATTCTCCGTTAATTAAAATAATCTCACTTAAGCATTGTCTTCTATAAAATATAAAATGTATTTTAAATTATTTGATTGTTCAAAGATTAATTGGCAGTTTTTTATTATACGAGTCTAAATATTGAATTAATGAAACATAATAGCTCAATCATTTTTATTTGCAATAATTTTGACATTTTGACATTTATTATAATAATTGAATTAGGTTAAAAACGATAATTGATTTATGAAATTCAATTTTTATAGATTACTTCTGCTTTTACCCAATATGTGTTTTCCTATTGAAGACTTGGTTTTCAATATATAGCAAACAGAAATCCATTAATTAAGAATTGCTGGTGAAGAATTAAGTCCCTCATACTGTATTTAATAGAAAATTAATAGCTATATTGAAGATTGATAGGCTATTTGCTACTTTTTCAATAGCATTTGTCTCAGAGATTGCTCCTTGGATTTACAGAATGGAAATGCCAAAATCAAATTGTCAAAATATTATTATACTTAATCTAGGGTTTGGAATTTTTAGTAAAAATATGGAAAAGAGTAGAATATTTGATAAATTGGATTCTAACTTGAAAAATATAGGAAATGTTTGGGTAATACAGTGAAATTCCTGCTGCAGTATTGCTAACTCCCCCCCCCCCCTCCGTGAGCGAACAAAAAAATTTTGTTCGCTCACGGAGGGGGGTTAATTTTTTTTTTTTAAAAAAAATTTATATATAAATTTTATAAAAAATATTTTTTTCGAAATTTAAAAAAATCCTAATTTGCAAAAATTGGGAAGCAAATATTAATTTAATTTGCAAAATTTATGTTTTAAAACGCAATTTGTTTAAAATTAAACAGAATTAGCTCTAGATTTCATTATACTAATTATCACTTATATATCAAAATTTTTTTCCATTAAAATTTTTTTCTATTAAAAAAATTTTGTGTTCACTCACGGAGGGTGGGTTTTTGGGTCAAAAAATGGCGATTTTTCTAATGGTTTTGTTCGCTCACGGAGGGGGGGGGAGGAGTAAGGGCTTTTAAAGATTATAAATATTATTTCTTTAATTTGTGCTTTAAAAATATAAAAAATTCACCATATATTATATCCTTATAGAAATTTTAGCATATGATTTTATTCTAATAATTAATTGATATTTTTAGCTTAGGACTTAAAATAATAATCATTTTTATCATATTTTATAAAATTTGTATATAAAAATAATTAATATATGAAAATTATTTTTGTAATTATTAGTTACTAGGGTCAATACGATACCAGCTTGGAGTCAATCTCTCAATAACATCAGGGCTCACAGAATTTCTTTCTTCATTTGTCCAGTTAAAAATATCAGGCAGGGGATTCCCACTCGGCAGCCTACAATTTTGGTTTCTCAATTCATCAAATCAAGGGTGTAGCAATGCCTCTAATGCTTTAGGTCTTGCACTAGGCGAATACTGCAGTAAACTTGATACAAAATCAATTGCATTTTTAGAAGCGCCATCAAGAATCCTAAAAAGTGGGACCACTTTTACAAATGGGAATTATTCTGATTTATTATAATAATTTAATTCGATATCTAAATTATTTTATATTTTAAATGTAAAATAAAGCATTTACTTTACAATTAAACAGTTTTTTATAAGTTTTATAGCATATATTCTCTGTATTTAGGATTCATTTCATAAATTTCTTCTCTTGAAGGAGTTCCCATAATTTTAATAATCTCTATCAGCTGGGTAATCCTTGTGCTCCCCACAAATAGCATTTTTCCTATTAAAAGTTCAGCAGCTATACACCCAGCGCTCCATATGTCAATCGACTCTGAGTATCTAGTTGACCCGAAAATAAGCTCAGGAGCTCTATAATATCGTGAACATATATAAGCGATATTTGCTTCACCGCGAATAAGCCTTTTAGAGCTTCCAAGGTCACATAAGCTTACAATGTGAGTTTTGGAGTCAAGCAAAATATTTAACGGTTTTACATCTCTATGACAAATCCCTAGGGAGTGCATGTGCCCTAGTGCTCTGAGCAGCTGATACATATACAGCTTTGATACTAATTCAGGGATTTTTCTTCCTTTTTTCAATGAGTTTTGAATCGGTTTAAGAATGGTTTCCGGAAAATAGTCCATTACAACGTTTAAATATTCTCTATCAGTCCCTTCCTTGCTTAAGAAAGCATTTCGTAAAGTAATGATGTTATCATGGGTAAGAAGCCGCATGATTTCTAATTCACGGTTTTGGTATCTCGGGTCTTGACGAATTTTTTTAATTGCAACAAGTTCACTATTTTCTCGATTTATGGCTTTATAAACAACACCAAAAGTCCCAACAGCAATTTGGTCGACGATTTGGTATTTGTGTCACTGGTCGATTTTTAGCTCTTCCATGTTGAAGTTCCTTTGCTCTGTGGTTACCTCCATAATTATTATTAATAAACGTTTCACTTGATTAGATATTTTAATGATTTTATGAATTAGCATAAGTAAAAGATGCAATAAAGTAGAATAATTTGAGGATTGATGCATATGAAATCATTTAATATTAATCTTATTACAGAGTAGCCTCTACCTATTGGTAATGCAGTCACCAAGGACCAAGGAGGGGTTCATCCTCTTTGCGACGCGTTAGGCCAAGATGGGTTTGGATTGGATGGTGACGCCAGCGAGAAAAGGATCGACGCCATCTTGCTCCTCCTTCGGCCTCAGATGTCATGAGATATCCGAAGTCTTCACTCTTCCTTCTGGCCTCCTCCTTGTGCTGAGTGGGTAGACTATGGACTTTTGCAGCTGCTGCTTACATGGATGGAGGTTGCCCGCACTAAAACCCCAAAAATTTGAATTTCTCGCCTGGTCCAGCAAAAGGGAAAGCTGAATCCTGGGGTGTAACTCCCGGCTCGGTTCCTAACTCCCCCCCCCGTGAGTGAACAAAAAAATTTTGTTCACTCACGGAGGGAGGTTAATTTTTATTTTTTAAAAAAATTTATATATAAATTTTATAAAAAATTTTTTTTTTCGAAATTTAAAAAAATCCTAATTCGCAAAAAAAATTGAAAGCAAATATTAATTTAATTTATAAAATTTATGTTTTAAAAAAGCAATTCGTTTAAAATTAAACAGAATAATTTGTTTGCTATATAAAATAGGCTAAAGCATTTGCTGTAATAAAATTGCTATAGATAATGTAGAAACATGCTAAAAAATATGGAAAAGAATGGATATTAAAATAAAATTAATTGTTTCTATACCATCCGGGCGTTAATCGTTCTATAATATCAACACTCACTGAGGATCTTTCTTCATTAGTCCAATTAAAAAGATCAGGTGCTGGGTTTCCATTCGGTAATCTTATACCTTGGTTTTTCAGTTCATCAAAAAATGGATGAATTAGTGCTTCTAAAGCCTTTGGTCTCGAATTTGGAGAATACTGCAAAATTCCGCTTATAAAGTCAATAGCATTTTTAGAAGATCCTTGAAGAGTTTTATTGAGTGGGATAACCTTTACATAAGGAAATCTGTACTGGTCGTACTCAGGATTCAGCTCATGTATTTGTTCTCTTGAAGGAGTTCCAAGCACTTTTACAATTTCGATCAGCTGCGCTATTCTACTTTCCCCTGCAAAAATTGCATGCCCAAGCAGAAGTTCTGCAGCTATGCACCCAACACTTCAGATATCAACTTTTTCAGTATAACTAGTCGACCCAAAAATCAGCTCAGGAGCTCTATAATATCTCGAACAAATATAAGAAACGTTTGACTCATTTGGCTTAAGCCTTTTTGCGCTCCCAAAATCACATAGACTGACTATATGGCTTTTAGGGTCTAAAAGTAAATTTAAAGGCTTCACATCCCGATGGCAAATTCTTAAAGCATGCATATGGGCTAAAGCTCGGAGTAGCTGATAGATATAAAGCTTTACAAGAATTTCAGGGATTTTTCCATTTGAGGAAGAATTTGCTATAGGTGTTGCAATAGTTTCTGGGTAATAATCCATAACTAAATTAAGGTTAAGTTAACTTATTAAGTCAGGCGTTAGCCATTATGACAGCGCGGTCACCTAAGATCTCCCGTATGGGAAGTTCAACCTTTTTCGACTCCAGCCCCGAGGGTCTTTCTGCCCGAATGTGAATATCGCTGTCTCGTCCTTGCCTTGCAGCCTCAGTCTTGAGCGGCGGTTTATGGATTTCTGTAACCTTGATACGGGCTGTTGGAGTAGCTTGATTCATGGATCAGCTCCTTTGAGTCTATCGGGCGTTTAAACTGCTGTTGTTGGCATCTCCAATTCCAATCACAGGAAAGTTGCCAAAACCTACCGATCACATCTCTTGCGCCTATATATTCTCAGCTCAGAGTCTATCCCAGTTCACCGTAGCCATAAGGTCTGGACTGTTGTGCCAAGAGGCAGATTAGCACATGTCTCCATTAATATATAGCTAAATTAAGGTACTCCTCTTCTTCTTTGCTATAAACCGAACTTTTCAAGTTAACTATATTAGGATGTCGCATTCTTTGTAAAATTTTAAGCTCTTTAGTTTTGTATCTTGGATCCTGCTGAATTTTTTTAATAGCTACTAGCTCTCTTGTTTCTGTATTTATTGCTTTGAAAACTACTCCAAAGCTGCCTACTGCTATTTGTTCGAGTATTTGATATTTGTTTCAGTGCTCAGTTTTTTTCTCTTCATTAAAATCGTTATGATCTCGTGGATCCATTTATATTTCAACAGATCTTGGTTGCATATAACTTAAAATATTTATTAATTCCCGAATTTATTATTTTGGCACTATCTTTACTTAGATATCTAGTAAGAACATACGCAATATCATAAATATGGATCGAAGTCATTGAAACCAGCCTAATAGATATCAGCGAAGAGGCTCTCGTGGGGGCTTTAGTAGAGGAAGAGGTGGACCTCCGAGAAGAAACTCAGAGTGAAATGACCAGCCAAGATACCCAAAAAAATTGAATTATGAGAAATTAAGCGAAGGAATCCCTGATCCAGAGGAGCTACCGATATTTAGGCATAAAGAAAAAATCCTGAAGCAGCTCAATCAATTTAATGTAGGAATAATTGAAGGCGCAACTGGTAGTGGAAAAACTACACAAGTTCCTGGCTCTCCCCCTCCGTGAGCAAACAAAAAAATTTTGCTCGCTCATGGAGGTGGTTATTTTTTTTAAAAACAAAATATATAGTGAAAATTTAAAAAATTCATAATATTGAGGAGTAAAATTAATTAATTTGTAAAATTTATGTTTTAAAATGCAAGCTATTTAAAATTAAATAGAATTAGCTAGAGATTTCATTATACTGAATATCACTTATATATTAAAATATTTTATCATAAAAAAATTTTTATTCGCTTGCGGAGGGGCAAAAAAAGGGATTTTTCCAATGCTTTGTTGGGGGGTAAATATATCCTTGAAAGATGGCCAGATAGTAAAATTGTAATTTCTCAGCCAAGGAGGCTTCCTACGATACAAATTGCTACACGAGTTGCTGAAGAAATGGAGACAGAAATAGGTGAAGTTGTTGGATATCATATTAAAGGAATTAAAAAATATAATGAGAATTCAAGGATTATATACATGACAACAGGAATGCTCGTCCAGGAGCTTTGTGGATGTGAAACTATTAAAGAGCACAAAATACCATGAAACTTTGTAGTTATGGATGAAGTGCATGAAAGGTCTATAGAAACAGATTTTTTGCTGGTTATTTTCAAATATTTGTTAGCAAAAAAATCAAATTTTAAGCTGATTTTGATGTCGGCTACTATGGAGAAAATTATTGGAAATTATTTTGCACCAACTGAGCTTAGCAAGCTAGAAAATACAGATTTTTCTACTGATAGTGAAGAATGAGAAGAAGAGAAAATTGAGAAATTATCAAATCAGAATGAAAACAGCTGAACAAGCCCTGAGGACGTATGAAATAATAGTTGGGTTAATAATCCAACACCTGCAAGTAGCTATAAATCAAACATCGCTCGTATAGAAAACAGATTTGAAAAAGACCGCGCTGACAAAATTGATTCCTTATCAACTGATTCTCGTCTATTTAAAGTAGATCTAATTTATATAGATGAGCTTATAGATGCAATTGATAGAAATAACTTTAGAGCTGAAGGAAAATATGATAGAAATTACATAAATACTTTATTCATTGAAGACTCAGATACAAAGGTTGAAGAAGTTGATAATATTATTTTTGATATTGCAGCATATACAATAAAATATCAGCATTTAATAAAATTTAAACCAGAAGAAAGACTTACCTAAAAATGAAAAAAAATTATAAAAATTTAACACCTTAACACCCTAACACCCTGGGGAAAAAAAAATTGATGAGAAAATTTAGCACATTTTTGGTTTTTCTTCCAGGAATTCAAGAAATTAATTATATGTATGATAAGCTAGAAGACATTTGCGAGGATATTTTCTACGAGCTAGATATCTGCATACTTCATAGTTCAATTCCTGAAGAACAACATGAAAAAGTGCTAGAGCTTCCTTCTCCTGATAAAAGAAGAATAATTTTATCAACAAACATCGCCGAAAGCTCAGTGACACTTATTGACGTAAGATTTATAATTGATTTTGGATTTTTAAGGCAAAATGCATTCAATTCAAATACAATGGCTGATAACTTAGAGCTTGTCTGGGCAGCAAAATCTGTTATGAAACAAAGAGCTGGAAGAGTTGGCAGAGTTGCTGATGGTGTTGTTTTTCGACTAATGCCTGAAGGATTTTTCAATTTTAAACTTTATGACTACGCAAAACCTGAAATCCAAAGATGCTCACTTGACAAGCTAGTTTTAAAATTAAAACAATTAAATTTCGGTAATCCAAGAGATGTCCTTGGGAAAGCCCTACAGCCTCCTGATGAAGCAGAAATTGCCAAAACTGAAAAATATTTGCAAGAAATGGGAGGGCTAGATTCCAAAAAAAATATCACCCCATTAGGAAAATTATATGCAGATATGCCCTATGATATAAGAGTTACACGCTTATGCATGTTTGGGCTGATTTTTGGCTGCTTTCGAGACTCCATGGTAATCGGTGCCATTTTATCATTAGAAAGGCCACCATTGCAGCATCTCGCTAACTTACCTTCTAAATTTTCAAAAAAACACCCAGAAACCTACCAAGCAAGATATAATTTTGACAATGGCTGTAACAGTGATTTAATCAGCTACTTAAATGCTTACGATATATGGTACAGAGAGTTTGGCTACGAAGTCGAAAAAATTATGTTTAGAAACGGTCGAAATTTATATCTGTTTAGCAAGAATGGCCCGGAGTGTTTTAGTTTGCCATTTTAAATTTGGTAGCAAAAAACTATTGTATGCCAATAAATTTGGCAAGCCAACTATTCCCTGGCTAACCAAAAAATGCTCCTTACTCCCCCCCCCTCCGTGAGTGAACACAAAAATATTTTGTTCACTCACGGAGGGGTGTTAATTTTTTTTTTTAAAAAAATTTATATATAAATTTTTATAAACAATTTTTTTTTTTCGAAATTTAAAAAAATCCTAATTCGCAAAATTTTGAAAAGCAAATATTAATTTAATTTATAAAATTTATGTTTAAAAAAGCAATTCGTTTAAAATTAAACAGAATCAGCTCTAGATTTCATTATAATAATTATCATTTATATATAAAAATTTTTTCCATAAAAAATTTTTCTATTAAAAAAAATTTTTGTTCACTCATTTTTTGGGCAAAAAATAGGGATTTTTCTAATGGTTTTGTTCACTCACGGAGGGGGGGGGGAGTTAGTGGATTATTTTGTAAATTAGTATAAGAAAACCCCCAGTGACTCTTGAAGAAAAAGAATTTTGCAGAAATAATTGCTTGGACCCAAATGCTCTCCGTGAAAATTTAAATAATTATAAAGAGCTCGAAAAAAGATTTGAAGAACGAAAAATAGATAAGCGGCATTTTCAATATGACCAAGATTGTGTTGAAAAAAGAAGCCCCGCAAGTGAAGAAGTTTTCCGTATAAAGCTCTGTATAGCTGCCGCATATAGTGGAAAATATTTGCTTTCTAAATATGAAATTGATGAAGCCTTCACAAGAGAAAAACTGTGCCAAAAGATCGGGAAAAATTGTGAAACCTCTATTATGATTCCTGACATTCCAGACTTCATAACCCAAGTTGAAATAGAAAATTTAATAAAAGGAAATAGTGAGAGCCCTGAAAGAATTTTTATGAGCCATTCCAGCGCTGTAATTACATATAAAAAAAACGTAAGAGATCGTACCCTGAAATATGTATTATGGCTCGGTAGCTATTACCAAAGATACAATAATTTAGCTTGGCTTGTTTCTATGGATACTGTCAGAAACCCTGAAACTGGAGAGCTTTGGGAAGCATATCCATCCCGATACGCAGATTCTAAAATGCAAGAAGCCTTAAGGATCAGCAAAAGAAACTTCGCAGCTTCATATAAAAGAGAAAACATCATAAAAATCAATGAAAACCAGTACAGAGATTGTGTAAAAGCTACAGAAATCGCATTTTTAGAGAGGCCAGAATATCCTTATAAGTTGAGATTTTTTGATGTGATGACAAGATATTCCATAAAAATAGAAGAAGACTCAATAAATGCTGTCTGCATATGCAGAGATGAAAAACGAGCAGATAGAAAAATGGCAGTTTGCTGTGAATACGTGGAGAAAAGAAATTTTACTATTGCAAGAAATTCGACAATAATGCCAGAATACCCAAACCTGCCTCAAATTTTGACCTTGATATTTTCTCCAAATGCTGAATTTTTTGCAGATGATAAAAATACACGATATGACTCTTTTCGAGTCCATAACAGCGTCAATAAAATATTGTTTGATTTTGAATTCACTGGATATGATGTAGAAATTATCAATGAAATCAGAAAAGAAATCAGTATTTTGATTTTTGATGATAAATATATAAAGCACAGTGAGTTGTCAAATAATATCAGAAATAATATTAAAAAGCTGTTAAAAGCAGACAGAATTAGAATAGAAAGGGAACTTCCTAATTGGAAAAAACTGATAAATTGGAATAAAACTATTGAAAATCCTCACAAATTTGAGGATTTTGAAATTGATAACTCTTATAATGGGTATTTGCCAGCAATTAAGCCTCTTCCTATTGATGAAGACCCTAGACATTGGCAGCCAAATAGTGAGGAGCTATTTTCAAATGATTTATCAGAAATTCATTATAAAAAAGAACTGCTAATCGCTGATATCGAGAAAAATGGGAAAATCGCAGCATTGAGGCAAGCTGAATTTGTATGTGCTGTATGTAGCAGTACAATTTGTTCATATCAGTGTGTAAAACAATTTAACAAAGAAAATTTATTCATGGTTACTGGATACTCTGGGCTAAATGAAGTTGATACTGTAAATGATGATGATTTAGTCAACGAAATTTCCCAAAAATATGACCCAGAAAGGTGGGTTGTCTGCGCACGTGGACATACAATAGGCTGGGTTGAAAGAGATCATTATATTTTTTCTGAGAAATCTCCAGTCGCTGTTCTTTTTCCAACTTTATATAGAGTTGATTGAAATCCTGAACTATGAAATAATGATATGGAAAAACTATATATTCTGGCTGAGGAATATGCAAGTAAGGCTAAATATATGGAAATTTCTTCTTACTGCAGCATATGCATGATCCAGTTCAAGACTATTGAAAGCTTTAGCGTGCACGTAAATTTAGAAGAATCTCATAAACTGAAGACAAAAGATTTCTTAATCCCTTATATTTCATAAAAACTAATAAAGCCATTTTCATAATAAAACCGATCTATGTCTGCACGAACCTCCCCGTCAAACGTTTCAAAGAAATCAGGTATTTTTACCTTTGGAAGAGAAACAGTAAGACTAGAAAATGAGATCAATAATTTTACCCGGTACCTGGAGCATAAGCGGATATATATTAAAATGGCGACATGTGCCAACCTGCCAACTTGGCACAACGGTCCAGACCTTATGGCTACAGACTCCGAGTCAAGAATCAAGTGCAGCCTCAGGTAATGTGTATCCAGATATGTTTTTGCGCCTTCATGTGTTTGGAAATGGAGGTGGTCATCAACATCCTTTGGATCCAAGGATCCATGGGCATTCCTCTACCGAGAAGCTGGGGGTTTTAGCCCAAGTCACAGTGGAGCAGTTTTTGTCCTGTAGCTGTCGAAGAAAGGACTTTGACACCTAAAAGACTCCAAGGAGTTAAGCTACTCCAGTCCTTCACTTCAGAAATCCATAAGCCGCCCACCAAGACAAAGTGGAAGGTCTTTGGTGACTGCGCCACCAGCATGGCGAACGCCTGACTTTAAATAACCTAGAGCATGAGCGAAGATTATCATTGTTGCTTGACAAAGATTTAAAAGAAATCAAGCAAAATATAGCAAATGTTAAAAAAAGCAGAAATCCGAAGTCCAACAGTTCCAGAGCACAAGAAAAGGTAAAAGCGTTAGAGGTCAGATTAGACGCAGCGAATAAGCAGCTTGGAGAAGTTAGAGGACAAGCTAAAAAGCTTGTGATAGAAATTAATAACATGAGAAGAGCTTCTTATAGCTTCGCGACTGGAAATATAAGCGCAAAAAGAGAATTGGAAAGGGCTAGATCACAAATTATAGAGACTAACAAAGAATCAGCTGAGCTCCAAAAAACAGTTGAAAAATATAATGAGAATATTATGAGCACTCACAGCAGATTTGAAAGCAATCGAGACATTTTAGCCCAAAGTGTAAGCTTACTGAAGACTAATTTAATAGAAGACAGATTTGAAGGGACAAAATTCAGGCAAGGCTTTACTGTGAAGTTTGCGCAGCCTATAGCAGATGCTTCAGAAATGCATGCAATTTATAAAACCCAGTCCCAAAAATGGGCATCAAAATGTGAGAAAACGACTGCTGAAAGAGAAAGAATAAGGTCGCATATACATGAATTAACTTCTGCATTAGAAGAAATGAAGAGGCAAAGCAAGCTTACTAGTCTAAAAGATTTGGTAGAGCTATTTACAAGCAGTGTAAATGAGGACTCAAAATTAAGTCATTATCTATATTCTGTTCTATGTACATTTTTTAATATTTTAAGTATTTTTTAATTGGTGTTATTTTATTTAGATCTGTATATACAATTTCTGAAGAAATTTTCCAAATAAATGAAGAGGTAACTAAAAATAAAGAAAAAGTCAACGAAATTACTAGAAGCAGCGGTGAAGAAAACTTAAACTTTAATTATTTATAGAGAAGCAACCTGCAGGTCTGCAGGTCACTACTCGCCTTCACATACGCTGGGCCGCCTAATTCCAGTCTAAATACAGCCTTCCACTGCGTTGCTCCTCACTGATGAGGCTTGCACACATTACCATGCCGTTGGTCAAGAGGATTTTCTGGTCGGTCTGTCAACCAAAAAGGAACTTGGATCCCAGAACAGCTCCTAATATCATGGGGATTTTGCCCGGCTGACTAAGTCTCATCCTGAGGTCTTGCTGGGTGTCACCTTTCCAGCTCAAGCGAACCACCTACCCATGGATAAAGCCTTGATCTCTATGTGAGCATTCTAATCTGCTAAACCCATTTAAAGTAAGCGGTGAAGAAACCAAAGTTGAAATTATTGAAAGACACAAAGAAGCTTTGAAAAAGATGAGAAAAGAAAAAGAAATCGCCACAGGCAAGCTAAAAGGATTAAGAGAAAAAATTACTTTTTTGCCAGATGGGTTTAAAATGATGACTGATGCGCTGGTAAATTTAGGTATTAATCATGAAATAGATCTTCCAGATTTAGATGAAGACACTGTCACTAAAGTTATGTTTGCTCTAGAAGAGTCAGTTAACTCTATGATGTACTGGAGAAACATTACAATAGAAAAGCAGCCTGAATCTACGAATTCTAAGCAGACTCTTAATGTCAATGAAATTGATATCGAAAAACTAATAGAAGACGACATCCCGAATCTTCCAATGTCCACAAAAGAATTCCAACAAAAAGCTATAAAATCGTTCAGAAAGCTTTCAGACCAGTAATTTAATTATTATCACACTTTTTTTAACTCATTTAATTCTTCACTAATTCGGTTTATGCTTTTCTTTAAGCTTGATAAGGGCTTTATATCTTTTTTAAAAGAATAATTCATTTGTCTAGTTTTTTTTTTAAAACAATTAGCTGTTTATTAATGGCAGCCTGCCCATCTTAATATGAATATTTGCAATTTTATTTTATTTTTGTCTTTCAACGCATTATTGATTTGTTCTATCACAATGCTGAGGTCTGGTCTACGCAAGCATTCCTCTTGTGAATTTATAAAGTTTTGCTGCTCATACATCGATCTTGTTATATAAAAATCTTCTTGGTCCGGATACGCCTCAGTCGAGCTTGATACAATTTCTGTGGAATCTGATTGACTTTGGTTTAAAATATCAATAAAAGTTTCGATAGGAGCTTCATTATAAAACTCATTCATGCGTAACGCAGCATAATTTTCACATTTTTTAATTTCTAGGCACAGTTTTGTGTTATTCTGGATGCCAGCTTTTTCTAATGTAAGGTATTGATTATCAGATAAGGAATGAAAGCAATAAGAGCCCTGCTGAATTTCTGTAAGGACTTTTAGGTCACAATCCTCAGAAATGCTTAGGCTATTGAGTAAAAAAGATTTGAGCTCCATAAGGGTTATGAGGGGAGATACTATAAAAGGCTTCCAGTTATAGCAATCCAATTCTTCTGTGCTTGAGATAACGCAAGCTTGAATGTTTATGGAGTTTAGATCAGATGTCATTATATAATTTGGTAATTTTTATGAACAATATAAAGATGGTTCGGTTGGGATAAATCGGTTTTGTGGTGATTTTGTTTAAGCAGCATTTTAAGTAAATTGAAGGTAATTTTTTAAAAATATAATTAATTCCCTTGAATAGCCCTGTAAGGGCAGGCATTTTTAGCCGGAATTCCTGATTTGGTTTGACCAACAAGCGAGTTGGCCCGACCAACTTTGTGCGTTGGTCCGACCAACCTCAGAAATTCCGGCTAAAAAAGCCTGCCCTTACAGGGCATCAAAGAGAAAATACTATATTTTCTATTGAGAAATATTTATTTTTAATAATTAGATTTTAGCTAAAAAAAGAGCTAAATCCAGATTTTGTAGAGAATATTAAAATCTGAAAAATGAAATGGCTAAAAATTAATGGTTATTTCCTTAAAAAATCTGTTTCGAAGCTATTTTAAGTATTATTTTACATTAAATATTCAACGAAAATAGCTTGTGTGTCCAATTAATCATTTTTCATATCAATTTTCTTCAAAAAAAATGACGGTATTTTTTTAACTCTGATAGGAAAATAAGGACTATGTGTCCGGTTCTCAATACTGATTGAGTTTGATCTTTCTTTGTCTATTAACGAGCCTTTCCTACTTTTCGGAGGTGTATAAGTCGGGAGTAAATTACTACTTACAGCAGCTCCAGAACACAATATAGTTTTCGCTTTCTTTTCAGGCTTTGGCTTTTCTATATATTTAAAAGACCTTGCCTTAGGTGGACTCAGAAATAAAATGGTGACGTTGACGGAAATTGGACTCCGAGGCTCACCTCCTATGGAGCTGGTAGGACCCATTGCTGATGAAGCTGAAGATACAGGTCTCATTCCTGTCCTAAGTAGGCCTTCAGTTGTGGGAAAGCCGTGCGAAGAGGAAGTTTTATTTCTCCCCCGAAGGTTTTCCCTGTCCCTGCCAGATGGGCTAGACAGGCTTTTCCTACCACATGGTCTTCCTTCATCGGAACCATCGGGGCACTCAGACAGAAGTGGCTCTGTCCAAAGGAGCTGATCCCTTGGACAGGTGATTTTGACCAGAAATCAAGATGCCGTAGGGTCTGGGAGTATGGCCACATCAGAACCCGACCTGGAGTCGTCTTTCGAGCTGAGGTGTTGAGGTCCGCTGGTTTCGCCCACGTATGGCCTTTTAAAACTAACTAACTAACTTAGGTGGACTCCATACCCTTCAGCCTTCATTTATTTCTTCATTTTTTCTATACAAAACTGGTGTTAAGTTTCTTATTTTCGGCCTAGAATTCATCAACTCAGGTCTATAATCAGTTTTTGCTAAATCAAGCCTTCTCAAGCTTGAAATAGCAGCTTTGCTTGCTTTTGGGTACCCTCTTTCAGTGTTCATAAAAGTTTCATCAATATCTTTTTTTCCTTCATTTAGAGGTCCATTATTTACAGTTGACATTATTGATTCTCTCCTATGTGTCCATCAGTCGACTTTATTACCGACACTTTCTTTCAATAAACTTATAGTCATTTTGGTAAGGAGTCTTATACATTTTTTATTAATTTAAAATTTATTAGGTAAAATTTTGAAAAAAAACTATTTTCAGTCATTTTTGGAAATCCATGAATCAGTGCATGTGACGTGATTTTCATCGCTTTTACATAAGTTGAAGCAATTACAGAAAACTCTAAAGGCTTATTGAAAAGTAAAGAAGATTCTCCAACTCATTCCCCAGCTACAGCTAAATCATAATTAAAACAGCTCATAGTTCGTGACATAAAACCTCATGGATGCTTTTTAGACCCGCTTAAATTTACTTGTTTGCATTCTCCTTCTCTTATAATAAAGCAATACCCTGGAATTTCGCCTTCTTTTAAAATAATTTCTCCACTTTTAAACTCTGCATCAGTAAAAAGGTTCAAAATTCTCTGTTTGCCTGATTCACTGATTAATTTCCCTCCTGGTATTGATTTTTCAATAAATTCTATAGACTTCTTTTTTTCTAAAAAGCTAATAAATTCGCTCATAATTTTCATGTATTTTTCAATTGGGATTTTTATAATAAAAGAATTTTCTTCTGCAACTGCATTGATTCTCCCATGGATTTCTTCAGCTAATGGGTTTGTTTTTCCAAAAATATTCATAGGTTCGATTATTAATTGTGATAGTCCTGGGCTGCTTATGGCAACTTTTCCAGTCAAAACCATAAAAAAATCTCAAACTTTGTCTTTAATAGAGATAATTTGGCTTCCTTTTTTGTGTTCAAATAATTCCATACATTTGCACATCTGAGTAAAAATTACTTGAATTTTTTGAATTAGTGGTAGGGGTTTTAAAATATCTATAGATTTTATAGCTTATAAATTTGAATTTGCGAATTATTTTTATGAAAAATATAATTTTATAAAGCCAACTTATTTAATTAAATTAATTTTACGTAAAATCGCAGCTTATTCATTTGCGCTCGACTTCTAGGCTCACTCATAAGTGTTTGTTTAAAATCTTCAATTGCTCTAGCTGATAGTGCCATTATTAGTTTTTAATTGTTGATTATTTAATTTTACCCTAATGATGAATATCTAGGTATAGGTGAAAATCCAGGAGACACAGAATTGCTGAATCTGTTTCGATGCCTTTTCGCTTGGTTAATCATATTTTTAGTTAGTTAATAAAATTACTCAAATCAATTAATTTTTGTCTTCTCTGTGAGTAATTAATAGAGAACGATCTCCACTCTGAGCAACGAGTCGGCAGCTATTCAAATCTTAGAACTTCATTAGCCTCCAGCTCTTAAGAACTCTCTTTTCCATTACCACGCACACTTGGTAGAGTTTCTGTTGACCAAGACTCTCAGAGAATCAAGGATTCCCTTTACTGAGCCCGAATAATGGAGCTGTCCTTTACCAGGTCTTACCATTTTAACTATGATCATACTTTTAATTTTTTCCTGATAATTCCTTTGAGTTTGCTGGTCAATTTTTGCTTTAATTTGCATTGCTTTATTAATTCTCCTTCATTAAATGTGCAATAATTTTTGATCAGGAATAAAGGGATTAATTAAATAATTCTATATAAAATTCTTCTTAATTTTAGTTCTTATAAAGATAGTAAATTTTATTAATTTTAAAAATATATATTTCTAGATTAAAATTTCATTAATTTGAGATCTTATTATAATAATAATAATAATAATAATAATTATAATTATTATTATCTATCAAAATAGAATTTTTCTAATAGCTCTGCTCGCTAAACAAAGAGAGACTAAGCAATTTCTGCCTTTTATCAAATTTTGAGTAAGTGGAGACAATTGATTTGGTATCACTTGATTTCTTTTCTAACAAATTTTCGAGCTTTTTGATATAGAGCGATCTATAAATATCGTCAACTTCGATTTTTTCCTCCTCTTTTTGCTTTGGAATTATAGGGCTTTCCACCTTTGGTGGTTCTTCTATATCGTTGCTTTTATAGTCAATTTCAATTTCTTCGTTTTCTTTATCTTCAATAATTATGTCGTTATTTTTAATTTTTTGGCCTCTGGCAGCTCTTTCGAAGTTTTTCTTGAGCTCTTTTGCTTTAATTTCTTGATTCCAATAGGAAGTTAATAATTCTTTTTCTCTTAATTTTTTATCCTTTTTTAGTTCTTTTTCAATATCCAATGACTGTTTTGCTCTTGACAAAAAGTCTAAATCAAGCTCTTTTTCTCTAGCTTTTTGTTGTTCAAGTTCTTTGGTTTTGCTTTGAATTTGTAATGTAAGATCTTTTTTAACTCCTCGCTTTATGGCGAGTTCTCTTTCCCTTCTTAATTGCTTACTTATCCATATCATGAACAAAAATTTTTATTCTCTTTATAAGAGAAATATATATTTTTTTGCAATAATTTTAAAAATACTCTGATAAATTTTAGAAAATAAATAGAAATTTAAAAGATTATTAAATTTATAATTAAACATTGCAGTAGTATTTTTTTATACATATAGGAATTTATTTCCTAAAACTTTAGATTTCTCACTATATTTATATACGGAAAATTAGGAGTTTCTGGAATGTTTGGGTACCCATGAAAATCCTCTGAGATCCCAGGAACTTTAAATTCCTCCTTTTCTTTAAGCAGACGGTTTTTCTTTTCATTGATTTGTCGTTCCAATTCTAAAGCATTTGACTTATTTTTAAGTTTTAATTCAGATTTCAGCTGCAGTTCTCTTTCTTTTTCTTTCGCTGATAGAATTTGCAGTTCTTTTTCATTGTGGACTGCAGATCGGATCTTTTCTTCTAAATTTTTCAATGTTGATTTATATGCTTCTTCTTGAGCAGAGTCTATAGAAGATGATAATAAGCTTCGCTTAGATACTGATGAAGGGTTTTGCTGGCTTCTGACTGAGATGAGAACTGGATCCATCATAACTGATTAAAGTAATAAGAATTGCAAAAATGCACTAAAAAGTAATTTGAAGTAAAATTGAAAACATAATAAAACAATATTGAAAATGACATATAGAGTATTTTATTAAAATAATTATTAAAACAGCAGTAAAAGCTAAAAGCACGTATTTTTAAAAGCTAAAGAATTTTAGATTTTTAAATCTTATAAAATTACCTTGAAAGCCTATCTTATAGAGACATGGTTATTTTTTATCACAAATGTGCCAATATCTTATTTCAAACTCCTTCTATCCTTAACCGAGCTGATCTGTCAAGGATGGGCATAAAAAATTTTAGAAAAAAAAAATTTTCTATTTTTCTGAAATTTTCATACTTTTTTTCCCTATTTTTTAGTAATTTTCAATAGTGTTTTCGATCAAGGATAAGCGAGAATAAATCAGATAATTAATTTTTGACACAATTTTTATCATCTTCCTTAACTGCTAATTCCAAAATTTCTCCATTAAATCTTTGAGCCAAAACAGTTATTAGCAAAGTTCTTTTAATTTCTGCTTACAATAAATACAATAAACCAATTTTATCATGCTTTAACTTACCTTCAGAATTTATACATATATTTTCAAGGTGTTATTGCCTATCAAGTTCTACAATTTTTATAAATTTTATTATTTAATCTAAACGACTGGGTCTTCAATCTCCAAGCACTTAACTTCTTGTTGGAATTTTTCTTGTTCCTCTGGTGTTAAATCGTTTTCAAGGCCAAAATAATTTCTGATTTCTTCTGGGCTCTTTCCATCAAGCATAGAAGCTATTTTTGCTGCACATAGATCGATTAATGGCTTAATATCTAAATAGTTGGAGGCTGAGAGAAGCTCTAAAACAACATCAGGTCGGAGTTTTATAAATTCAGAATCCCAAGCCGGTACTGACTCCTCGAAAGCGTCAGCTTTTAGTGGCCTTTCAATATCCAGGGGTTGAGAATCTTTATAGTGACGAAGATATTCAATGACTTTTTCTAAGATTGGTCCTCTTACGTTAGGGAGAGGGATTTCTTCTTCAGTCCCAGAGTCTTCAACGACGCTTTTGATGAGTTGAGATTGGAGAGCTATTCCTACTTCCACTTCAAAAATTTGGTCCTCTCTGCTCTTCAACTTAAGTTTGGTATCAGCCATTTAATGATTTTTTAGCTAAATCCCCTGATGGCTTATAGCGACTTTTAAGCTATTGCTTGCATTGAATAGGCTTCTTTGTGGCAACTTGAAAATCTTGCGAGCTACCTAAAGGTGGCAAGCCAACTCCAAGTTGACAAATCTTTGCAAAAGGATGCGTTTTTGTCAACTTGAGTTGACTTTTCACCTTTAGGTGACTTGCCAAAGCTCAGTTGCCACGAAGAAGCCTACTTCAAGGCAAGCAATAGCTAAAAAGTTATTAAACAGAAATTTTAGTATATCAAAAGATCATACAAAATACAAGCTTATATTCCTATTAATTTTTTAAAATATTTAAGTAATATTGGAAACAGTGTCTCCTGATATTATTTTTATTCGACTTATTCCATCTCAGCCCATTTATTTTCTTCTCTCACTTGTGCTTCCTCTTCAGGGGTGAAGTCGTTTTCAATATTAAACGTTCTTCTTATTTCTTCTGGTGTTTTTCCTTTCAGCATGGAAGCAATTTTAGCACAGCACAAGTCTAACAAAGATTTTATGTCCAAATAATTTGCGGCTAAAATAAGTTCAAAAAGAATCTCATGCTCAAGCTCAACAAAGGCAGCGTCCCAAGCTGGCACCACTTCTTGCATGACAGCAGATTTGAGAGGTTTTTCGATTTCTGGGGGAACAGAATCCTTATAGTGTCTGGCATATTCGATCACTTTTTCAAGGATTGCAGCTTTTACGTTTGGAAGTGGGATTTCTTCGTCAGTGCCAGAATCCTCGACCATGTTTTTGATGAGCTGAGACTTGCAGGCAACACTTTCTTCGACTTCGAAGGTTTGGCCTTCTTGAGATTGGAGCTTAAGTTTGACTTCAGCCATGATAATGATTATAAATACTGATTTAGATTGCTTTGTATGAAATGGAGGGGATTATTGAGAAATTAAAAAAGAATTATGTAAAGACTTTATTTAAAGGTCCTACTTTAATTTAAATTAATTTTTTTTCTGACGTAAACTTTTATATAGTTAGATTTATTTATTTATGAAACTGATTTTTGTGGATTTAAAATCTGGCTATTTAATACGGCAAAGTTACATAGTAGCTTTTATGGTGCTTGGTTTTGTAGCAATTATAAGCAAAAATTAGATAAATGATGATCTGAATTAATGCTAAATAAGGAAGAGATAAAAAATAAAAATCTGAAAAGCATTTAAGAATCCAATGGATAAGGTAACTTAAGCGGTAAAATCCTAAATAAAATGCATAGTTTGACGTCACTTCAACTTCTTTAAGTCTTATAATCATGATTAATTGCGGGGTAAATGATATTGACTCTAAAATAAAAGAAGCTAATCATAACACGTCTTCTGTGTAAAAACAATATGAAATAAATATGCTTGAAACCAAGTAAATATAAATATTCCCGATATCATCTGATTTATCATAACTTTTGCTTATTTTCTCTGAGTATTTTATCAAGTAGATTATATAAATTGTGAGGAAAAGAAATAAAATTTTCATGATTGAATGAAAAATTCTCAAATCTTGCAATAAAAATAAACTTGTATATCGTAGCAAAAAAGACATTAAATAAAGGTACTGAGTTTTCAATGAGACGCCTACACAACTCTGGTTTTTCTTCATTTGATAAATCAAGATATAAAAAGAATAGAGCCGAATAAAATCTCCTATTCTTAAAAATAGGTACATATTATTTATATGCTTTAAATAAGCTTAATTTACTAAGAAACCATTAAGTCAATTATTGAGTATAAACAAATAAATATTTAATAATTAAATACTAAAAGACTCGACTATGCCATGAAGCCTAATTGTTTATTAAAATTATAGTATTTTAATTTTTAAGAAATGAACCTAGATGCAGCAAAAATCTCTCATCTAAATTTAGAAGAAGCCAAAATTGAGTTATCCAACTTTATCGACACACAAATAAATTGAACTTCCTTTGAAATAACTCTTAATGAAGCAGACCATCAGAAATTTGCAAACCCTGCTCTCAAAGCTATAGAAACTTTGTATTCTATAAAATCAAAATGCAGTGATTATTACAATAAAGAAGCAGAAAAAATTGAAATGAATAAAAAACATGCGGAAAATCTATTTTCTAAACTTATAGATCAGCTGAAATATTTAATTGAAAAAGTCAATTCTACAAAAAAAATCTCTCTAGAAGAAGCAAGAAGGCCACTTGATTGTATTCTTGCTTCTATAAGCAGGACATCATTAAATTTTTTGCAAGAATTTGAAACTCTATATTTAGATTTTTCGAATAATTTTTCAGAAATAAATAATTTGATACAAAATTTTGATTATTTTGAAGATATTGGCTATAAGATTGAAAAACTTTATTTGCCCAATGAATTTCCATTTGAAGGATATACGTGTTATAATTTTTCTAATGGAGATTGGTATATAGGGCAGTGAGGAAACCATAAATTTAACGGCAAAGGTGCTTATTATCATATTGAAACTGATACTTATTATGAAGGTGAATTTGAAAATAATTGTTTAATAAAAGGGAGAAATAGAGATTCTAGGGGCAATGCTTATTTAGGATCTTTTAAAAATAACTGTAAAAATGGCCAAGGCATACAAGTTTATGCAAATGGCAACATATATGAAGGAAGCTGAGTTGATAATTACCCAAATGGGGAAGGAACGCTACACTATTCTCTTGGAGGCTCTAGCTCAGGAACTTTTGATAATGGAAAACTGAATGGTAAAGGACAAGAAGTATATACAAATGGTGATACTTATGAAGGAGATTTTGTCGATGGTTTAAAGCATGGGCATGGGATTTATAAGTATTCTTGTGGAGATTATTATGAAGGCCACTGGCAATATGATCTAAAAAATGGCAAAGGAAAATTAGTTTATCATAAGAAAGGATGCTACGAAGGAGATTTTCAAGACGACAAAAAGCATGGATTCGGCAAAGAAATTTCCTTCAAAACCAAAGAAGTCTATATCGGCTTCTTCAGAAACGACACCAAATCTGGGTTTGGAAAACTATCACAATAATCCATGGCAGGTGGCTTATGGACGCTTTAATTTCTGAAGAATAATTTTAGTTATTATTTTTCCTTTTCTTCAATTCTCCAATGAAATCTTCAATTTCTTGAGCTGTAACCAAAGCTCCTCCGATTTGAGGTCCTAAATTTTCTCCATCATATAAGCTTCTAACTTGGGTCATCCCAATTGCTAGCATTAAAAACGATAAAAGTCCAATAAACTCGAGAATTCCTCTTTGGCTGTTTACTCTATCAATGGAAGTGTCAGCCATGTTTACGTAACCTTGTATGGTGTTTCTATAAGGGTCTTCTTCAGCAGTATTATGCTTATCTAGAGTTCTGAACTGATTAAGTAGATTGTAAGAGTGGAAAGGTCCGTATTTATTGTAGTAATAGTATTGGTCTTCGTCATCAGTGTCTCGATGCCATGAGCCTTCTGGGATTTTTACATTAGAATGGTGGACGTGGTGACCGTGCTCGTCATGATGCTCAGCAGCATGGTGGTCGTGATGGGCTGCTGGTTCTGCATGGTGAGACCCACCAGACATAAATCTTAAAAGTGGCCTCAAGCCTAGTCTTGTAACCTTTCTTTAGGATAAAGCAAAAAATTTTCCCAATATTTTTTTTTAAAAATAAATTTTTAATTGTAAAAATAGGTAAAATAATAAATTTATTTATTAAAAAAAGTATCAAATGTTTATATTTGTCCCAATTTATGATGAGAAGTAAGCATATTTATTATATTATTTAAAGATTAAGCTTTTTAAATTTCCACGATTTTTTTGACAATAATTGAATTTTACTATGTTTTTAGTTTAATCTGAAAATAGATTCAAAAAAAGCATTAATGATTGCTTATGAAAGATACAGCTCTCAAATAAGGCAGCCTAGAACTGTAACTCCTCAATTCAGTCCTTCTCCAGTGAATAAAGTTTTGCTGCTCCCACAGCTTTCCAAAATTACTCAAACCCCTTCGTTCCCATTAATATCCGGCAAGCGAAACCTCTCAATGCAGCCAACCAAGACAAAAATCGAAACAAACCCTATATCAAATCGTCCATCAGAGTGCTTCAAGCTAAGCGGCTTAGAAGATTTTATTATTACCAGAATTCTTGGGAAAGGCTCTTATGCTATCGTTAGATTGGCTATAAATAAAACATCATCAGAACAATTTGCTATAAAAAGTTACGATAAAACCAAGATAAGCTCAACACAAAGCAAAAAAAATTTAAAAACTGAGATAAAAATACTGAAATTTTTGGATCATCCCAAAATTATTAAACTTTATGAAATCAGAGAAACACCATTAGGCGCACATTTAATTTTGGAATATTTTAATGGCTGCTCACTTGAAGATTATGTAAAACACCGGCGAAAATTAGAAGAGTATGATGTAGCAGATATTTTTAAACAAATTTTGTCAGCAATATCCTATTGCCACATGCTGAAAATTGCACATAGGGATATAAAACTTGGAAACATTCTGATAGATTCTCACAAACAAGTAAAAATGATCGATTTTGGATTTGCGACCCACACATTAAGGAGAAAAAAATTCAGCGTGAATTGTGGGACACCTTATTATATGGCTCCAGAAATTGTATTAAAAAAAACTTATGACCCTTTGGCTGCTGATATTTGAGCAATGGGAGTTTGCTTATACGTGATGCTTACTGGAGAAGAACCTTTTAGAGGAAAAAACCAAAAAGAAGTTTATAGAAAAATTGTTATGGGAGTATTCACAATACCGAAAAATTTAAGCAAAGGCTCAAAAGGACTGATTAAAAATCTTATGCAAGTAGACCCAGGGTGCAGAATTTCTGCAAGTCAAGCTTTGCATGATTCTTGGCTTAATTCTTACTCAAAGCGGCAATCCGACACAAAAATAGGTTTCGACACAAATTTTTTATTATCAGATACAGAAGAAGAAGTCCATAATAAGCAATTTGGAGAATACATTAGAGACAATGTATTTAAAGAAAATTTGTAAATCTATTTTATTTAATAAAATCAGCACAGTTTTGGCAAATTCTAACTTTTTTAAAATAGCCTAGTTCTGGCAAGCTAATTCGTGTCGTGGAATGCCACTTACAAACTGCTGCTCCGCATTTCCTACAGTGATGCTGCCTTAAAAATGTAGTGAATTTCTTCTCGCAGCATTTACAGGTTTTGCTTAATATTCTGTCATCTCATTTTGGCCTTGTGATTTTTTGACAAATTTCGCTTCACTGCAAAAATTCAGCTTGATTATTGAATTTAAATTTCCAATTTTTTAATTTTCCTTTGTTATTAAAGCACTCAATTATCATTTCCAACGTCAAAAGGTCCTCAAATACCAATTTAAAATGCTTACTAATACTCCCATATAAAGGAACATACGATCCTTTTTCCTTTGAAAACGTTATTATCTCATCATTCAAGTTTACCCATTTTCTCGAAAATTCGTTACTTTTAGAGCTTCATACGTAGACAAATCCTTCAATTTTAAGTGTTTTTCTGTCAAATTCTTCATGTCTTCTTCAGCTCCCACTCCCCATCTATATGAAATATGTCGAAATATATAAATTCAAATGGTCTTTTTAATTTTTATTATCCCATTTGTCTTTGCTGCTGATTTAACACAACTAAAACTCACAGTAGACAATTACCAAGTTCAAGCCTCTACAAATTACCATTTTAGCTTTAAATATTCCTCATCTTTAAGTTCCTCAAGCAAATTCAGCATAACTTTTCCTTCAATTTATACAAACCTCCCTCAAGGCTCAGTCACATGTTCTGTTCAAAGTTTACAGTCATCATGTACTTATTCTTGCAGTTTTAGTAATTATGTATTGACTATCTCCAATTGTTTTCCGCCAACTTCTACGAATGTGAATATTGATATAAGTAATATCAGTAACCCAATGACAACTACATCAGGGAGTTTTACTATAAATACCCTTTCTAGCTCTGGCAGTGTCTTAGACCAAGGCTCAATTTCTTTATCATTCAACGCCGCATCTTTAATTAGCGCTCAATTACTCCCAGGAACTCAAATAGTAGGGGACTATTCTACATGGACAATTAGCATGCAAACTACTTATACAATTCCTTCAGGAGGGCTTATTTATATAAATTTTCCAACCTGAAATTTAAATATGGGGAGTACTTCGTCACTGTATTATTGTGATGGAAATGAAGTCTGCGCAGGGGTTTCCAGTAATAATAATTTAGATATACAGAGCTCTATTACTTGTACATGTACAACAGGCGTAATTCAAGCATCTTTAACTCAATCTACTAGTGGCAGTATCAGTTTTACTATTTCTTCTATTAGAAATCCTCCAAGCACAGCGGCTGTGTCTGGATTTTTAATACAAACAGGCTACAATGGTGGATATATAGAGACCTCTGCTAGCTTATCTGTATCAGTGAGCACCCCTAACACTATATATGGGACTTCTTTAATAATGGGCTCTCAATCTATTAATGCTCAGACTTCTTATCAGTTTAGTTTAGCTTGCCCAACTCCTATCCCTTCTGGGGCAAATATGGATGTTACATTTCCGTCTGATTTTATTGTAAATTCTTCAATAACAACTAGCATAAATCCATTTTTTGGGCTGCAACATACATTGACATATACAATTTCGGAAAACTTAATATCGATTTCTTCAGGTTTTTCAAGCTATTTAGCAGAAAAATCAACGATTACTTTTAGCGTAATAAATGTGCAAAATCCATCATCTACAAAACCATCTGGATATATTATTATGAAAATCTATACTAGCTCAGGAAGTATTTGTTTATCAGATAATTCTGCTACTAGTTATAGTGTTACTGCAGTGGCTGGGGGGCTATCTAATGTAAAAATAACTAATGAAGTTAGCACAATTAATGCAGACACTTCATATATTTTTGAATTCTATGGTGGAGATCCTATACCTGCTGGAGGTACAATAAAAATTACAGCTCCAAGCCAAATTTCTTTTACAAATTATGACGCAAAAAACTGCAAATCTGTAGACGTAAATAGTGTTTTAGCACAAAATGCCCAGTGCTCAGTCACCGATAATCAATATTTATGGGTGACTAATGGTTTTCCTAATGGCTATACCTCAGGTCTTATAAAATTCCAAGCAGAAAATATCATAAACCCAATGCTGCCAACTTCTTCTGATAATTTTCTTATAGAAACATATACAGATGCTACTTTTTTATATAAAATAGACAGTGATAGCAGTATAAGTATATCAGCAACCTCAGATTATTTGACAAGTGTTACAATAACCCCTAAATCTTACGTCACAGGAGATATTACGACCTATACTTTTGCAATCCAAACAAAAAATACAATCCCATCAGGGGGGACAATTTTAATTAATTTCCCGTCACAAATCATTGCGAGCGATCTTACTTCAGCTTGCCAAAATTTTGTGGGGTATGACTCAAATACTATATGTGTTAATTCTGAGTCGTCTATACAAGTAAATCAAGGCTTCCCTAGCAATTTTTCGCCTGGGTTGCTATCTTTTGATATAGGGTTAATAAGAAATCCTAAACCATTTACATTTAAAATAAGATTAAGACAATTTAGAAGTAGGATTAGGTAGTTGTTGACTATTTATAGAAAAAAAGTATATAACGACACAGTCTTCTGACACTTTTCAAGTATACACAAAATATAATAGCATGATTTTGGATAAGCTAGAAAGTGGAATTACAGTGACTATGACAACACCTCATGATTTATTAACTCTCGGAACAAAATATCAGTAAAGTTTTGATTTTTTGAGTACTCTTTTTTTCTTATATTTTCTGGGACCAATCCCCATCAACGTACGTACGCTATGGTTGCCCAGCTCCCCTAACTCATAGGTAGCAAGTGTAAGCTCTCATCGGTGAGAAGCAACACAGTGTGAGACTGTGCTTAGACTGACAAGCAGGCGGTACAGGGTTTTACCCTTAATAGCCCTATAAGGGCAGATGATTCCCGTGGAATCATCAAGTTAGTCCAACCAGCAAGTTAGTTGGTTCAAGTTAGTTGTACCGACTCGATGATTCCACCGGGAATCATCTGCCCTTATAGGACTATTAATGGTAAAACCCTATAAAGCGTTATGAGGTTAAAGCGGCTTGACCTTGAGCCTACTAATCTTAATTACTTTTAATTTTATAAAGAAAATAAATTTTTTTTTAAAAATAAATAACCTCCCATTAAATTGTAACTTTTTTTCGTTCAATTTAATGGGGGAATAAGTGCAGCCATATCTATAACTAGTAATATTATTGCTACAGAAAATGATTATACTTTTACTATAGCACCTTATAATACTATGTATAATAACGGGTATCTTCTGATAACCTTTCCAAGCGAAATTTCTCTGCCTAGTAGCCCAAACTGTGATATCTCTGGCAGCATAACTACATCGGTAGCTTGTTCTATAGTAAATAGCCAATTAAAAGTAGTTATAGGACTTTCATCAGACACTACTTCAGCTTTTAGCTTTATTTTGCATAGCATAATAAACCCTTCATCTACCAAGCCATCTTCTTCTTTTACTATAGAAACATTAATAAATGGCTATAGTATTGACAAACTCAGTAGCAAAATCACAGTCCAAGCCACTCAGCCTGCATCATTCCCCAACCTCCAAATTTCTCTTTCAGATTCAGGGATTTCTGCCACAACCTCTTACAAGTTTACCTTAACAACTTTACATACACTCCCAGCAGGAGGCTATATAGAAGTAGCTGTCCCTTCCCAAATCACCATTACTTCTTCATGCCTAATCGTTGAAATAAATACATCCTGCACTATTACCAGCTCAAATACTATTCGTTCCTTATCAGCTTCTACTGATTATCCACCCACAACTATTTCTTTTACCATTTCTGGGCTCAAAAATTACAATATCGCCACTACTTCTTCTAATTTTATAGTCACCACAAAAACCTCAGATGGCTACTCTATAGACCAAAACAGCTTACAAACGGTCACTTTTACGTGCTATTCTCCTTGTGAAACATGTGATAACCTCCCAAATACGTGCACAAGCTGCATTTCTACGTCTTCTGAGCCTTATTTTTGGAGCGGGGCTTGCCATTCAGCTTGTAATACAGGATATCTTGATATAGGGAATTCCAAAACTTGTTCAGCTTGTAATAATACCTGCGAAAATTGCTCAGGATCTTCTGATTATTGCACTTCGTGCAATAAAAATGGGCAATATCCTTATTTTTATAATAATGAATGCTTACGTGTATGTGGGAATGGACTGTATTCTGACTCAAATTTTATTTGCCAGCTGTGTGATGATAATTGTGATACTTGTGCGACAGATTCTAAGAGCTGTTTGACTTGTAAAGGATCAAATATTCTATATAAAACCCAATGTGTGGAATCCTGCAATGCGGTAGGACAAATTATTATAAATAACATCTGTTATGACTGTGACACAAACTGCTTAACCTGCAAAACAACCACTACAACTTGCTCCACTTGTCAATCCAGCCATTATTTATATAAAAACACTTGCTATTCTACCTGCCCAGAAAATGTGACTATTCCTTCTGGGACTGACTGTATTGACTGCCAGAGTCCCTGTAAAACTTGTAGTGACGAAATTTCCCAATGCACGTCCTGCAATTCTGGGTATTTACTTCTAAATAATTCCTGTGTTGAGGACTGTTATGATGGCTATACAGAAATTAATGGGATCTGCCAAGAATGCTCCAATAAATGCGAAACCTGCAGCGTTTCCACCTCAAACTGCACATCCTGCAAGGCAAACCAATTCCTCTATGAAAACAGCTGTGTCTCTCAATGCCCTTCAGGCACCTCAATTAAATCCGGAAACCAGTGTTTTTCATGTGATTCCTCCTGCAAAACCTGTGCAGACTTAACCACGTCCTGTACAAGCTGCTATGACCCTTTATATTTATATAACGGTAACTGTGTAGAATCTTGCCCTAGCTATATGGTCGTTATTAATGGACAGTGTACAGGCTGTGCTGAAAACTGTTTAAGCTGTGACGCAAATTATACGAATTGTTTACAATGCTCAGATAATTATTATCTTTATAAAGGATCCTGCTTGTCTTCATGTCCTGAAAATTCAACTGTAAAGAATGGGACGGACTGTGTAGCTTGTGATTACCCTTGTGTGACCTGTGAAACGACAGCTAGCAGCTGCTTGTCCTGTGACTCTATATTTTTGCTATATGAGGACACTTGTGTTTATACATGTCCTAGTGGGTATTATGCAGTTTCAGGAGTTTGCCATAAAAGTGACGTAAACCCTGGAGAATGTGCAGCAGGGTGTACTGAAGAATTATTAAAAAATTCAGTTTGTGATGCTGCATGCAACGTAAAAGCGTGCAATTATGATGATGAAGTCTGCTTAAAGTATCCGCCTGATAATTCTACTGTAGAATACGCAGAAAGTTTGGCTGTAAAAGAAGTGCCTTTTCCATCGTCAGGGTTAGGCATAATAGGGGTAGGAATTGCTGTGACTGGAAAAGTGTTTATTGCAGCCAGTTCAATAGCAGGGGCAGCTGTAAGCATTTGTGCAGTCTTGGAGACTGTATCTTGGCTAGCTGTACTAGGAGAAGTCAGTGTTAGTGATGGGACGCATGGACGAGAGCTGCTAAGCTCTGATCCTGAGGTCCAGATTACCCTGGTAATTTTAATAGTGCCATTGATTTTTCATTTTGCGCTGAATATTGTATATTTGATTGTGTTTTATTTCATGACTTGGAAAAAAGATGCAGCGTTTAGAATATGGTGTAAGGCGAATGGCTGTGCAATAATCACGTATTTATTTTTTAGTGGCTTGATTTCGTTTAAATTCATAAGACTTTGTACATGCAAATTTTTTGGATTGAAGTCTTGTAAAGCTAACCTTGAAAGAAAATCCAATCTGTTAAAGCCATTTCTTTATACTCTTTACATCAGCATCCTTATAGTCTCTTTCCCTCTCATTGGCATTTGTATATGGATTTTATTTGTGTATTCTACAGGTAGCTATGTCTATATTTTAGCCCTTGACAGCTTAGGGATTACTTCAATCTGCCTTTTCTTTTCAATTATAGATGCTATCTCCTTGATAATCCATATGAAAAAAGAAAGGTCGCTAAAGACCTTAAAATCCTATAGTGTTAACCCTGCTTTAACAACTGAGTCCTTAGAAATTGACGCTGCAAAAATTTTTGACAGTTTTAAAGATACAGCAACAACTCTCGATCTGAATAAAATAAAATCATTTGACCCAGAAAAGACAGGCGATTTTGATACTTCACGAGACAATTACTGGGAGCTTCAAAGCACAAATAATATCTCTCCAACTGAAATTTTGGCTGACACCAATAGGATTCATGAAGAAGAAATTTCTAAAGAATCATCCAAAAATGACTGGATTGACGAGAGTTTTGCACAAAATTTCAAAATAAAGCTAGATGAAAGCAGCTCACATGAGTTTATTGATGAAGAAAACGAGCCTCAGTTATTTGATATCATAACAGATGAAGTTTTTATTGATCTAATAAATGCAGAAATCGATATATATGATTTTGAATGCATAAAAGTCAAGCATATTCCTTCATCATTAAGTATTCTTATTAGAAAAGAGTTTAAAGGTGGCGCTTTTGATAATGGAGAAATCTTAAAAGGGGAATATACAGTACAAGAAGTAAATAGAAGAGATGTGCATTATGGGATCATCAGAAGAGGGAATGAGCTAGAAAAGGTCAGGAGAAATTTTATTGGGGCTGAAATAGTTGATATCCAAATGAGATCTGGGGATAGGTGAATGATAGGAAGAACTGTTAAAAATGAAGGAGATTTCGATTTTTATAACTGCAGTGTTGATAGAAATAATCCTGAAATTGTGATTGCAAGCCATGCTATTATGGGGTACAAATGCAATATTAAGAAAACGTTTAAAGGAGCTATAAGAGTAGACCCTGATACTAATAGACCGATTATAAGTGCAAAAATAATACAGGATTATGAAGGAATAGAAATTGATGAAGTGGACCCACATTTGGCTTATTTGACTACTGAAGAAGGGCTTGTGAAAGTGAGAAGAACGTTCGTAGGAGGAATTGTGGTGGGTGTTATAAATGAGAGGGATAAGGAAATTTTTTCTCAAAAACAGTTTAAATTTGGCGTTTCTGAAGAAAATATCCTTAAACTATATCGCTTGCACTGTTATAGTGTGCCTTGGCACTGGTTCTTCAAAGTAGCTCTGATGAGCTGCCTAAAGGCGACAAGTCAGCTCTCGCTGATGAACTCAAATCCTTTTGCAAAGATTGCTACCTTGGAGTTAACCTTCGCTTTAGGCAGCTCATTAGAACTACAAGTTACTTTGGAGAAGCCAACGTCAAGGTGCATTATAACAGTACAAATGCTATATTATAAACAGTTTCAATACCAATTAAATTGATTTAAGTTTAACTCAATTTCAATTACCATATTATAGAGGAGGCCGATTCTACTAAACGTGATTCAGAAACTCCTCCCCATTCTGCATTTGCATTTCCAGACTCTGATAGTGACTATTTGGTTGCCAAAGACTACGAAGATATCATGCCGACTCTTGTGCTTTTAAATGCTAAAAAAGCAAGCGTCATGCAAAAATACAGGAAGCCTAAAGCCAAATTAGAAAAGAATAAACTTGAAATTGAGATCCCAGATGATCCAGAACTAGAAGAGGAAAATAAATCAGCTAATTGTTAACTATTAATTAATTATTTGACAAATTCTATCTTAAATTAAGCCAAAATAAAGCATTTCTTTTTGTAGTTATAGATTATAGAAAGTATAATTATGGAAGAAGATAAAGTTAAGTTGAGAAGCCAGGAAGACCAAATCTTTGAAATTGAAGAATCAGCAGCTTTTAAATCCCAAATTCTTAGAAGCATGATTGAAGGGTTTGATGGAAAAGAAGAAATCTCATTACCAATAAAAGCAGCTATTATAGAAAAAATACTCCTTTATCTTAAACATTATAAAGATTTAGAACCTCCTGTAATTGAAAAACCTTTGAGAACTGCAAATCTGGAAGAAATTCTCCCAGCTTGGGATGTTGATTTTCTTAATCTTGAGACTGAAATGATTTTTGAGCTCATCCTTGCAGCAAATTTTCTATGTATAAGTCCATTGCTGGATTTATTGTGTGCAAAACTTGCATCCCTTCTTAAAGATAAAACCTCAGAAGAGATTAGAAGCGCATTTCACATTAAGAATGATTTCACACCTGAAGAAGAGGCAAAAATAAGAGAAGAAAATTTATGGGCTGAGATGGAATAATTAGCCTTATTTTTATAAGTAAAAATTTTTAAAATATAAATTTTGCTTATCATTACAATATTTTGAAATGTATTGATTGTAAAAGATAATTTTAAAAAATTTTAGCACCTTTAAGCTTGCCCTTGGACAGTTTATAGCCTTAAATTATTTAACCAACTTGAGCCACGTTTTACCGGAAATGATATTAGAGATTTACACTTAACTAGCAGCCCTAAAAAATTTTATAATTAATTCTACTACTTTTTCTACCCCTTTGCTTATTCAAATAAATCTGCCTAATTCAAAATATTATAACCAAATTAACTCCATAATAAATAAAACGCATTTTATCAATGTTCTATAATTTTAATAAAATAGAAGAAGTAAAAATCAGGCTCAGAAGTGCAGAAGGGCACATCTGTGAGGTCGAAGAAAGTGCAGCTCTTATGTCCTCGTTTATTAGAAGCATGATAGAAGGATTTAATGAGGTAACAGAAGTATCATTACCAAATATTAATTCAGTTGTTATTGAAAAAGTAATTGAATATATGAGACATTATAAAGATAAGGATCCTCCAATTATTAAAAAACCTATCATTTCTTCAAAAATGGAAGAAAATACTTCTGCTTGGGATGCAGGTTTTATAGATGCTGATTGAAATATGGTTGTTGATCTTATGACAGCAGCAGACTATTTAATGATGATACCATTAAGAGATTTATGCTGTGCTAAAATGGCTTGTAAATTCAAAGGTAGAAGTATTGATGAATTAAGGGCTGAGTATCATATTGAGAATGAATTTCCATCAGAAATGGAGGAGAATCTTGAATTTCAGCATCCATGACGTTTGGAATAAGAGAGGTTTTAATTTAAATTGTTGAAAGAATATGCTATTTAAAAGCTTCTAATAAATAAAATTTTAATTGAATTATTTTAAAATGCAAATTTAGAAGCATTAAATCAAAAATATTGAAATGGTATTAAATGATATAATAGTGATTTGATTGGAAATATTTATTTAATAATAGCAATATATATATTTCTGTTTAAATTATGATTATTTGTCCTATTTTAGCTCGGGATTCATAAAATCAAATCAAAAATTGGATTTCACGCTACGAGATTGTAAGAAAATAATTATCTTTAATTATTTAAACTTAAACATTGAATTGCTTGCTTTAATTCATTAGAATTAACATTAGCTACTTATCAAAAAGCCCCCTGTAGCCCATCCATGACGCTTCATCACTTGGTAGCCAGACTTCACAGGCTTGAACTTATTTCTCCTTTCAGACAAGAGCATGTAATTCTCCCGGAGGTCAGACGACTTAGGAGACCATGCAGAGCGCAAACGTAGGCTTATAGGTTGCCATCCAGAAAATTAGAAAAATCGAAATATCTAATTGTTTAATACAAAGTTTAAACTCGATATAGCACCTTGTATCATTATAGGAAACTGTCCTAATGCCTAGTGCGTACCAGACATTGATATTCTGACCCTTCCCACCACATAAGGAACAAGACTATCATGGATGTGAGCTACTGCTCTTATTCTCAACATAGCGGCTGAGAAATTGGCAATACCCTGCTGGCTATGCATTATTAAGCATCTTTTCCCCTTAATTAAGGTCTTCAATGCTGTAAGATAAATTTAAATAAAAATATTTCGTCTTTTTCGATATAAGACCCCCTAAGGGCTATTCACAATAAAATGTAAGGTATTTTGATATTTAATAGCTATTATATTGAGTATGGACAAACTTCTTTTATACTACAGCCTTGCAAATATCATAAATCGAATATTTTAAAATGGTATTTTGATAATAATAGTTACTTTATTTAAATAATTAGATATTATTCATTTTTAGATATATTTGTCTATATGCATCTGCTTAAATTATAAAAATTACACCTGTAGATTTACGCTTCATCTGGGTATCCTTAGCTGTTACGCTAAGCAGAGGAAACAGAAATAGCTAATTTATAAGTCTTTAAAGCCAAAAGCATCGTTTTCAAGATTAGCTGGTGTAACTAAGCAGACCTAGCCTAGGAAATTTGTGCACCCAGCCAGCGTCAAAACAATATAAACATTAATCCCGGCAACCCCTATTTGCATTGAGTGGACAGGCTTAAATTAATTAAGTTTTATGCCAACCAACTCAATCTGAAATAGATGGCTTCACAATTGATTTATTAAATTAGTTTTATAGTAAATTTCAATAGATTTCTGTTATAATAGATGACGATTCTCAAGCTTCTTTTAGGTGAAGAAATCAGACGAGTTGGAAAAGCACCAGAGACCATTAACGAAGTGAAATCAAGAACATCAAAAATATTCGGCATTGAAGACCCTTCATTTCGATATAAAGATGAAGATGGGGATTTAATAACGATTCAGACACAAGATGAGTACCAAGATGCACTAAAATTGTGCACTGGGACTATCAAGCTCGAAGTTCTGGATTTTTTTTTAAAAAAAATCCCAAAAAAATCCATAAATTTTATAATAAAAATATTATTTTCCTTCTGGATTCACAGGTGCTTTTAATGAAAAGGTCTACTTTTATGATGAGCTCTTTTACATCAACTCCTTCAGATACATTTAATGCTGAATCTATGGAGAGATCTCTTAAGCATTTAAATAGAACACAAGAAATTCAAAAAGGAGAAACAGAAAAATATGAAGCTGCAAATAACAATTATTCAGTGACTATCCAAACTGAATCAATTGTATATAAAGAAGACTCTACTGAGACTTCAATAACTATGGACAAAGGCACAGATGCCATATTTACGAGCGATTTTTCAACTCAATGCGAATATAATAACATTGCAGATTTTCAGAATTTTTTGCGAGAGATTATAGGGAATAATTTGCCTAAGCCTGGAATTAGGATTAAAAATAATTTGTGCTCAGTTTGTGGGTTTATAGTACATGGAGTGAAATATGAGTGCAAATTTTGTAATATAAACATGTGTGAAATTTGCGAAAAAAATACTGAACATGTGCATCCTCTGCTAAAAATAAAGCCTCCAGAAGCTTTTGTGCCTATAAAGCCCATTGAAGTTCATCAGAAGAAGTCAGTTAATATAGAATATGTCCAAACCAAAAAACCTATTGATGCAGAGTTCGTCCGGACAAAAAAACCTATAGACTTAGATGCAATTCCCAATAAAACACTAGAAAATCATAAGCCTCTTAAAAAGCCTATAGAAATCGAAAATTTCTCCCAAGATGACTTTGCTGAAGCTGTAGAGACTAGAAAACCTCTTGAATCAGGCGCCAATAACACCTTTGTAGCTTTATCTAAAAAAATCCCAGAAGAAACCAAAAAATATATAAAAGAATCTCCTAAAAAAGACCCAGGAGAAAATTATGTGGTACTTGGCAGAGATTGTAAAGAAACCCCACGAGGACATCGTGAAAATTTATCCGAACTGATAAAAAAACTTAAAGTAATGGGCTTTAATGACGAAAATAAATCTGTAGCAGCGCTCATTAAAGCTAATTATGTTATGGAAATAGCAACAGAATTTTTATTAGACCAAACGTAATTAATATTTTGCTCTTAAATCCTCTAAAATAACTAATTCATGATCTTTGAAATGTGTTCTGTACCAATGCTGCATAATTAAAAATGGGTCAATGTCGTTTATATTTGTAACTCCTTCTTGAGAAACCATATATGGAGACAAGATATTTCCAATTTGGGTCTTTCCAGGCTCACTTCCGCCCTTTATTAATAAATGCTTATACAGCAAATTTCCAGCCTCTGCATTTATTGCTGATTTTTTAAACGCAGTTTCCCAGATAACTGCAGATAAAGCATTATCCAGCACATAGGTGTAATAAGAGCTGCCATATTCTGCTAAATGATGCAAATTGCAGTATAGGGCTTTCCCTTGAATAGCCCGATAAGGGCTGGCTTCATCACGTTATCGGGCTATTCAAGGGAAACCCCTATACCAATCTCCTCCGAATTCTTTGGTTTCGAAAAAACCATTGAATTTTTGTAAGGCTGCGTCAATGTTTTCTTCAGAGTGGATAAGTAAGTCAAATAGAGAAAATGATAGCTGGATATGGTTTTTTAAAGCTTTAAATATATAAATGGAATCTGTCATGTATAAAAATATATTATTAAGCATAAATAGAGAAAAGGTATATCAGGGATAAAGGTTTTCAGAGAAATTATATATAAAGGTATAGCTCATTAGGAATTTTTTCATTGTTTAGCTTGTGTAATGCCCAGCGACTTACGTAGTTATAGTCTGTGACAAATTTTTCAAAAATATGTGAAGGGATTTCTGCTAAATCTAATGGAACTCTTGTCCCAGAAAATGCTTGGAACTCGCTTTGGCTAACAAGGGAATGGATTGAGTGGCCAAGTTCATGAAAAAGTTCTATTAAATTGTTATAAGTAATCCCTTGATTTTTAAAATCGTCTAAAGTCACATATAAAGATTCTTTACTAAAAGCAGGCCGAGAAAAATTGCATGATAGAACACTGATAGGGATCTGGTGCTCATTAGAATTTATTGAAACCTTTTTAGGGCAAACTATATTATAATTTGAAGCTCCTCTATTCGCCTTATTATTTCTCTGGAATAAATCCATGTACAAATATCCTATTAATGATCCATTTTTAGAAAATGCTAATTTCACAATATCATTTGACCAAGCCTCATCAGTATTTGCCATACAAATTTCGATACTAATCCCAAACAAGCTTGAGCATAATTCTTTAATTCCTTCAAAAATGTTAAAAAATGTAAAAAAATTTTCATCATTATAATGTTTTGTAAAATTTTTTAATTTTTGTGTTTTTATTTCGTCAATATATCTTTGAGAATAATACGAAATATCTCAGCCTTCCAGTTTGACTGGGTTTTTTCTTGAAATTTGTTCATTTAAAGCTTTTCTATCAAGGATAATGTCGTACTCGTTTTTCAGCTTTGGCTCTAGATATCCATGACAGGCTACCAAATTTTCTATTAGTTCTTTAACATTTCCTGAAAACATTTTATATTGCATGGAATATTCTGCGAAATTTTCAAAGCCTAAAGAGTTTGCTAGCTGTTTTCTTTCACTAATCAGGCTCTTTAAGACTGCTTTATTAGAAATATTTACATTTCCGCTTGCTTTTCAGGCCCTTTCTCTAATTTTAGGGCTTTCTGAATGATTTACAATGGACAATAAATCTTCTTTATCATATTCAACTTCTATTAAATCATCATATTTATCTCCTAGGCGTTCTGGTATCAAACTCATAGGAATTGATTCAATTTCTTCAAAGGCAAACAAAAGTTTTGCTTTAGAAAAATCAATATTATTTAAATATTGTGACTGAAGCTTCAGTATATTTAAACTATGGTCTTTTACGATAGAATCAGTTAAATGAGTCCCTTCTTTTTCAAATTCTTTTAATAGAGAAATCGCAAAAAGCTGCTGGGATTGAGTAAGTGATGGGAAAAGAAAAGAATTTTTAAGGGAGAGAAGAGAGGTATAGAGACCATGGTCTTTATTGAGGTCATCAAATAAGATAAACATTTGGTTTGTAACTGTGTCAGAGGCTTCTTTTCAGGATTCATGAGGAAATAGATCTGAAATGGCTTGGCTTATGTCGCCTGTTAAAGAGGATAAATTAGAAATTTCATCGAGGTCGTAGAGTTGTTCTAGGCAAGGAGGGCGAGATTTGATTAGGGATTGAAGTCTTTGGATTTCGTGAGAATTTTGTTGGAATAAAAAGAGCAAATCTGAAGCTGCCTTTAAATAAGGTAAGCCAAATTTACCCATTTTTTATAAATTGATACCTTTTAATGATAAAAGCATAAAAGTTCTTTTGTATTTCAGTAAAGTCTATTAGTCTTTCTAAATTTATAAATAATTAATCGGTAAATTAAGCTAAATGAAGTAAAAAATTATTTATTATGTTAATAAAATGTAAAGTTGCTTGCTATTGCCAATTTTCTTTGTAAGCACTTGATTTTCTAATTTATTATTAAATTTAAAATTAAATTCCATTTTTCTGTGCAGCCTGATATTGTTGATAAAAATATGGAAGACGCCTAACAATCCGTAAGGCTCTCTCCACTTCTCAAATCGTTTAATTCATGAATTTAATTCCTTTGCTTATTCCTTACTCCTTTTTTGTCAGCGAACAAAAAAAATTTCCACTCGTTAGGATTTAATTTAAAATAGCTTTAAATATATTTATGCAGTATCGAAATTTAAAAAAAAATCCCAAATTGTAAAAATAGAAAGTAAAAATTAATTAAATTTATAAAATATATGTTTTAAAATCCAAGCTGTGCAAAATTCAGCAGAATTAGCTAGAGATTCCATTATAATATTTATTACTTATATATTAAAAATATAGAAAATTCCCTTTAATAGCCCTATCAGTGGGTGAATTGCCAGCTGAGTTCATAATTTGGTCGGACCAAATTGTAATTTTAATGGGCAATTTACTCACTGATAGGGCTATCTATTGGAATTAAGTATATTTTTTCATAAGAGCGTTTTATATTAAAAAATACTTGTTCGCCTACGCTCACAGAGATACGTTTTGACCCAAAAAATAAGGGAATTTTCTAAAGGTTTTGTTCGGTCACAGAAGTGGGAGTTAGAGCTTTCTGAGACCCTACACTTCCATTACCTATTCTCTTTGAGCCTCCAGAAAAAAACGCTTTTAAGTCCATAGACTTTTCCCAGAATTACTTATGAAAATCGGAATAATAAAATATTTTAGCGATCGCTAAATTTGCCTGTTTATAATTAGTTTTGATAAAATAAATATATCCTAATTTATTGATCTTAAAGTGTAGAATTATTTTTTTTCTTTACATAAAAGGAAAAGGATTATATATATTAAAAATTATTTAATTTATTTTTTTCAAAAACAAACTATGACGCCTTACTTTTATTATAAAACGAGGAGAGTAAGATAATTTGACACTAGAAAATGCTATTTATGTTGAGGAAAAAGCCTTTTAAGCCAAAGAATTCATATTTTCATAGTCGGATGGATATTACTAAAAATAATGGGCAATAAGACATCTAACATAAAGGCAAGCCAGATTGAGGCTATTTTGTCGCCAGAAGAGCTAAGACGGGCGAAAAACGCATTTTGCATATTTGATCAAGCTGGCCTTGGAGAAGTCGAGATCGGAAACATTGGGAGAATGATGCAAGGACTTGGCTGTTCAGTGTCATATGCTGAAATTAGTGTCATGACAGAAAAGGCTAACACGCATATAAGTTACATTGCTAATTTAATTTTTAAACCTAATTAAAATATAGATAATAATTTTTGTAAATGGTAGAGTAAGATAAAAAGATCATTCACCCTGAAGCAGTGGCTCCAAATGCAAGCCCGGCGAAAAATAGAACAACAATTCATAACTTGGCTTAAATTATTATTAGCGAGCAATGTCTGCTTTTCTTTTCCCTTACGTCACTCAACTCTTTGCTGATGCAATTTATGGCCTAAAGCCATGTGCTCGCCTCATTCGGATGAGGGGAGGTAGAAACGCTTGGTCGCCACGCCGCATGTCATGGGGTTACTTTTCCGAAAATTCGAAAAGCGAATTTTCTCGTCAGGCTATAGGCCAAACTGAAATTTGTAGCTCAGGTCACAACTCCTGGTATCGTGTAGGAAATTGCTTGAGTGGTCAAGCGAAAGCCCTCTGGCCTTGCTAAGCTATCTTTTTCCAACTTTCAAGTTCCATACTAAAAGTAAAACCTTGCTATGGCATGAGCTTGCTTTTGGTCAGCCCTACATTGCGCTCCACCAGGCCAAGTAAAGCCTGGCCTGACATTCTTATCAGACGTTGCTCTCCCTTCCATAAGGTCCCTGAACTACCGCATGGTAACAGGTCTGATTTATCACCATTTATTATATGGAGAACAACAATTCAAAGAGAAAATTGTTGATGCTTATAAGGACTTTGAAAGGTGCGGATCAAGCAAAATCAGTATAAATGATGTCAGAGAAACTATGGCCTCATTTGAAGGGAATATTTCTCCAGCAAGAGTCGAAGAGATCCTAAATCCCCCCTCCGTGAGTAAACAAAAAAATTTTGTTGACTCACTGTGGTTGGATAATTTTTATTTAATTTGTAAAATTATGTTTTAAAATGCAATTTTTTAAAATTAAACAATATCAGCTAGAGATTTCACTCATTATATATCAATTTTTTTATAAAACATTTTTATATCTCACGAAGGTAGGTTTTTTGGCAAAAAATAGGAGTTTTTCCAATGGTTTTGTTCGCTCATGAAGGAGGAGAGTAAGGGAATCTGTACAAAATGAACCGTTAAGTCCAAGGTTCGATGAATTTCTTAAAGTTGTTGTGGGGAAATAATGATAAATTAATAGAATTTTTATATATTAAAGCAAAAGAAAAGCTTTTAAAAAAATTATTTGAAACGGGTTGTTTTTTGAGATTAGGAGACAGATTTGAAAAATGGCAACAGCTCTTTAGGAATATTATGATAAAAACTTGGGTATTATAAGAAAATAATAATATTTTAGATTATTTTATTAAATACAATGTTTAGCCAATTAATTTTAATTAATTAAAATCATTCTATATCTTCAGATAAATTTTAGAAAGAAAATAGGCTTGTTTTGTTAAATCAAATATTTCCAGGCTTATTTTTCATCAAAATTCAAATTTTTAAAATACCACTCTAGCCATAGAAATTTACTTTACAATAATTTAATTTTATATTTACACTTAAATCCAGATTTAAATATAAAATATAAAAGAGTGAAAAACTTTGAAAAAATTATCATAAGCCTATTTTTATAAACAAATGTTTATCTCAGATTTTTAATGGATTATAAATTTTCCACTTACTCCCTCCCAGTAATAAGCCCTTTTTTATTTATTTGTAGGGCTTTGAGCACCAAATTATTAATAATAAATTTTATATAAATAGATCTAAATTTGCTTATTATTTAATGTAAATGCCCAAAATTTGATTTTTCACATTTATCTAAAACCCCCTAATAATAGTAAAATTACTATTTAATTTTTGTCCTCAAATCCCACGAATGAACTTGAATTTTTTTTTATTAAGAAGAGATTTAGTATAGTAATTTCTTATTTTCAAAAATAATTAAATCCAAATGGAAAGAAGAAGATCAGTTGATATTTCAGACAAGGATCTTGAAAAAGCTATCTCCACAATCGAAGAACTAAACGAAATGATGTAAAAAATATATAGAGACCATTTAGAGCAACAAAGGGTAGAGCAAGAAGAAAACGGAGACTACTTAGAAGCTGACATTTCATATCACAGGATCTTACAGCTACGGAAAACAGTTGCTGAAAAACAAAGGTCAGCCTTAAAATCCCGTCAAAACACTGAAATGATTGAAGTCGAAACAAATTATTCAAAAGAGTACTCAGACTTAGTCCAAGCATGGCAGAACGCTTTTTCCGACTATAAGCAGGCATGCAAAGAAACTGAAGCTTCATTAATAGCAAAGCAGGAAACAGAATTCGAGGAAGAGAAAAAAAGACTTGAAAATACAGTTCCTATGATCCCAAAGCATTCACCTGAGTATTCTTTTTTAAATAATAGTAATTTATCAAGCACAATATCTGATCCTTTTTTTCCTAAAAAATTGTTTCATTAGATTATTATAAATTGGCTTAATTTCAAAAAAAAAATATTTAAATTTATCAAAGATCTTGCAGACCCTTGTAAGAAATAAAAATTATCAAGAAGCTCACCGAATAAGAAATCAGCTAAATAATTTGGACTGTGGAAAATCAGATGAGTGGCAAGAAGAAAGATCCAGGAAAATTGAGCTGAAATTAGACTGCATTAGAAGAAGGCATGAAAAAGAGCTTGAAAATGCAAAACAGAAAGTAAGATTAGGATTTGAAGAGTTAAAAAAGAAGCAGGCAGCAGAATTCGCAGAGTAAATTTTATATAGACTTACGAAGAGATACCAGAACTTAAAGAAGTCGCTCACAAATCAGCAAAAACTGCAAGCAAATAAACTGAATGATACGACTAAAAGACGTGGAACAATGGATGTGCAGAATTTGGCTAGGATGCTTTCAAAATCGAATTTGACGTCAAGAATTATATCCAGAGAGGGAAGTAAATTAATATAATTTAAACATAGAGTCATATTTTACTGGAAAAAATCCATTATACCTTGATTAATATTTTATTTTTAGAATCCAAAATAACAAAAATAGATTCTGTTTGAAAATAATTTAGCCTATTAAATATGGCAAATCCTCAGAAAGTCAGCCTATTTCAATACAAAAATAAAGAATTTTTCATTTATCTATTGATTAAAACTTCCTTAATATAAAAATTCCCTTAATACCTGATCATTATTTTCCAATATTATGATAGCGTCCTAATAAGCCATGAAGATTTAATAAACGTAATTTTTTTTTGTAATTTGGACTATTATAATATGAATAAGCCTCAGTCTATCGTAAAACTTACACTTCAAGCAAAAGAATTAAGGATAGAAGACCCTAATTCTAACTTACTGCTCTTATTTAGTCAGAAAGTTTTCTTTACGAATGGATTTATTTTAGATTATTTTTTTCAGTCAAAATTTGAAAATGAAAATATAATTTGGAGATTTCACCATTATAATCATTTCTGTATATAAAAATGCTTGCTTGCAAAGAAGGGTATTTTTCTAAAAATTTAGTATATTTTCATTGATTTTATATGCCAACCAAATTTTGGGGAGAAGTAAGCACAAAACCTGCTGTAAAGTGTTCACTAAAACAGATAATTCAGAGAAATGGGAAGAAGCTGGCCACACTGAACTTATCGAATTTAATATAAACCCAGAATATAAAAAAGAATTTAAAATTCAAGTCACCTATAAGAAATCCAAGCTAATTAAAATAATCCTTTACGATTTCTTTGGAAACTACTTACAAAAGATTGGGAAAGTTGCCTTCACTTTGTCTGATTTGATGATTAATGGATCAACGACATTTAGCATCAAAAATTATGGTGAAATCTTTGGAAAACTTATAGTTCATAGCGAAATTCATCATCTAACCCCTCTTATGTTTTTTTATAAATAATTGTTATTTTATTAAAAAAAATAATTGCTATTTTATTTAAAAAAAATTGCTATTTTATTTAAAAAAAAAAAAAATAAATACCGACCAAATGAGTAAGTGAACAATTCAAATTTCAGATCAGAGGGGAAAATTTGGTAAATAAAGATCCGTTTAACTTCCGTTCGCCCTATTTTAAGTTTTATCGGCTCAGAAAAGGCCAAGAAAATTTCCAAATTTACAAAAGTGAGGTTATTGAAGAAAGCTTAAATCCAGCATGAAATCAGGTTAGTTTTCATTTGTATGATGTTTGTGGAGATAATATACATACCCCTCTAAAAGTCGAAGTATGGGACTCTAATCCTATGCTTGAAGATGTTTTAATGGGGGAAGGATAAACTATTTAAAAAGAATAAGCCTTTTATAGAGAAAAATAGTAGCTTTTTATAGGGAAAATGAATTATTGGTAGCAGATAATGAAGATTTATTCTTTATAAATTATTATATACCTCTGCAGATCAATTGCTTGGAAAAAAATCAATTACTCTGAAGAAAAATAAAAAATTCAAAGGAAAAATTGAAATAATTCGTGCAGAAGTATTGGATCAGAAAATCAGAAGTTCTTTCTAGTTTGCACAATCCTAAATATAAAGATTATTTAGTTAATCTTAAATTTAATTAAATAAATGCTTTGAGTCAAGGTTCTAATATTTATTTTTTGCATTTCAATCAAAAATAAATAAATAAATCCTATTTTTTTAAAAATAAATAATACACAATTTTGTTTCTTTAACTAAATTACTTACTCCCTCTCCGTAAGTGAACAAAACCATTGGAAAAATCCTTTTTTTTGGGTAAAATCAATCCTCCTATTTGGACAAACATTTTTTAATATATAAATTTTTTTGCAATTATTTATAATGAAATCTCTAGCTAATTTCAGCTTATTTTTAACAACTTGCATTTTAAAGCATAAATTTTACAAATTCAATTAATTTTTACTTCTCAATTTTTATGAATTGGATGTTTTTTAAATTTTGAAAAAATTTTTTTATAAATTTTTTTATAGAAATTTTTAAAGAAAAATTAATCCCAAGGAATTAGAATTCTCCAGATAAATTAAAAAGCATTACAGAGCATTAGAGTTATCTCTTATGGCCCATAAGTTCTATCACTTCTTTCATACCACCCATGCAAGCATTCATCAATCGTCAAATCCACCTTTGCCTGATAATCCTGCAAAATTCTCATCAATTTCTGAGGAACGACACAGGTTTTATCTTCAAATCTTCTGTTTTCAATGCATCTTTGCCTACAATTATATCCATTTGGATTTTTTCTAAATCATTTAAGCTTTTATGTCTCGAATGTCCATGCTCATATTGAATTAACTTATGAGATGTTTATAAGGGAGTGATCTTTAATTTCAGAAAAAGAAGAAATGCTTGCTGGATCACAGCCGACTGCAGAAAAATGGATATATATCAAAATTTCAAGATTTTTAGCACAAGCTTAGCTATACGCTTAGGGATTGTGACGTTAAACTCATAAAGATTATCATAGTCTCTTATATAAGGAATAGCCTCCAATTGTATTTACTACGACATTAGCGTTTTTTAAGACCTGGTCTAAGATTCCTGAGTCTTTTAGGTCGTGTTGCTACCTGAATGAAATAAATTTGAAATTTCCTTATATAGTATTTAAATCAAATTTGATAAAAAATAAAATAATAATAAAGAAGATTCTATAAAGAATTATAATATTTAATTGATTATATAAAGAAATTAGTATATTATGATGAATAGACAGCCAATTTAGAAGATGTTTGGCATGGAATTTATATTTTTGCATGGATATTGGATAAAAGACCTACCTCAGTTCGAGCTGTCTTAGAGCTTGCCCAAAGACAACAGCCTTTATCATAGAATTCGAAGAGCGGTCGTTTATATGCAGAATCAATGAGAAAATTGCTCTTTTTAAAGCTTCTGATATCATTTTTATATCAAAATAATTAAAAAATTACATTATAATTATGATATACTAACGCTCCCACAGCTTTCTATCATTAATAAGCTATATTTATTAAATAGAACACTGACTTTTATATAAAGAAAATTATCAGCCTAAGCTATACTAAATAAAAGCCAAAACAGAATTGTAATAAGACCCACAAGTTTCATGGGAGAAGACAACCGACGAAGAAGATCCTGCATATCCGTCACTAAAATAATGCACGTCCAAAGGAAAAGTGACTCCCAGCATTTAGCACTTCCAAAAATTTCCAACCCTCGGCTACGACTTGGCTCATTAAATTCTTCGCTGGACTGTACCGAATTTTCTTCACCAATTCAAAAATCCTGCGCAGAAGGATACATTATGTTGGGACAAGTCCCAACGATAAAAGAAGGAATTGACAGAATTATTGAGGAATGTGACAACTATGATCCTATAAGCAAAACCATTCTAATGAATGAAATTATAACCCAGAGCTACTTTTAGCTTGCCGACTCTATAGAATTGGCTTTAAAATTATGTTTTCTGAGTCAACCAAGAGAAGATTATCGTTCAAAGCAAGCTAAAATCAGCCCTGGGGTATACTAAAAGTGAAGCAGAAATAAAAGAAGTTATGAAAGAACTTAAAAAGCTGGATTTGCCAGATATTAGGAAAAAATGAAAGAAAAAAAATCCGAATGAAGTTTGTATTAAGAGAAAAGATATGAAGAAAATTATAGCAGGGCTTAGAAGAGAAATTAAGCTTGGCTATGAATAACAGGGGAAAGGGAAAGCGATATTTATATTAAAAATTTAAATTTTTGTGAAATTTTGAGGTTGATATGAAACCGATATGAAGAATTTTACAGAAGTTTAAGAATAATTTAAAATATTTTTGTTTAAATAAACGGAGGCAGTTTCGGGGAATATCCTTGGAAAATCCTTAATTATATTATTTAATTTTTTGAAATAAAATCCTAATTATTCATCATAAAAGAGATTTCTGCGGAGTTTTACCTTAAGTCTCTTATTCATTTTTAGGTTAATTTAGATCTGAACATTTACTTTATTTAAAAAAAATTATTTAATAACCAATCATATGACTAAGAATAATTTTATCATATCTGCTGTTTCATAAATAATTATGACGGATCGCTTGCCGGGCAAATACCTTGAAAAACTCCACACAAAGCCTTGGTTCCATGGAGGTCATGTTCCAGAAATTAAATATTCCTACAGTGTCGCAGGTCTAACACCCTCCCAATATCCCATTAAAGTCAGATCTCTACTTCCAGGTGTTTCAGCTGAGAAAAATCCTCGAGCTCCAAAAAAAATTTTTCCAAACGCAGATGATCCTAAGCCTCCTATAAATTTTATAGTAGTATTTTATCTAACCTAAAATCTCCCTTTTTAAATAAAAATTCACATAAAAAAATACCCTCCTTAATCATCTGAATCCGCATAGAGAATTCCGTGAATATTCATTTCTCAGAGAAAACGAAGTCATAGTCACAATTGAACACTGTGATAATTGTGAATCACATTTAGAAACTACACGGCACGACCCAGAAAAATACGCAGGCTTCGCGCAATCCATAAAGAGTGGCGTATTAACACGTTTCCCCATGGTAAAAGTCTTGATCAAGCCTATATCTAAATGTGACGACAACACAACAAACCAAAGAATGGGCGCCTTTGAAGTTCAAATCTGTAGTAAAATTAAAGGGATTATTAAAAAAGATACCCTTCATTCTAAGCTAGCTACTCGCAAATGGCCAGATATCAGAGAAGTCATAGGGAAAATGGCCAATTATCTGCCGACTTGTCAATTATTTGTCACAATTTATGATTACAGTGACCAAGAAAAGTTTTTAAAAGGGATAAAAGTAGTTGTTAGACCAAAAGCACTGCCTATTGCTATACCAGCCTTATCAAGACCTAGAAGTGCTAATTTTGCCTCTATGAGACCACAGTCAGCAGGGACTACAATGTCAGTTAGAAGTATTAGATTTTCTTCAAGAAAAGAATCAAGGCCTACTTCACATTATGCTAACAAGCCAAAACCGACTGAAGTAATTTCCTATGAGCGCACCACAGACCGCGACGGGTCTTGTCTTTTTGCAAATATACCACTTGATATATATGAAATTGAGGTCTGTGAAACCAAAGAATTCAAAGGAGCTACCAAGCTTTTTAATACATTTGAAGAGCCTTTACAAAATTCTAGCTTAAATGTATATATTGCTGTACAATCTCGCGAGATTTCTGCTATAAAAATCGTATTAAAAGACCCAGAGCTGAAAACTGAAGTAGCTGGGGCTATGGTAAGGATTTCCCGTGGTAGTGGGGAAATGTATTTTGTCCCGGAAATGAGCCGCGGAGTTTATGAGCTGTCAATACCTAACCCCTGTGAGCGATAAAACCATTGGAAAAATACCTCCTTTTTGGCTAAAAAATATTTTGATATATAAGCTATTAATATCATATGAAATATCTAGCCAATTCTGTTGTATTTTAAACTGCTTGCATTTTGAATTAAAATAATTTTTGTAAATTGGGATTTTTTTGAATTAAAAAAAAATTTACTGTATAAAGTTTTTATTTAAAATTAACCTCTCTGTGAGCAAACTAATATTTTTGCCGCTAGGGAAGGGGGGAGTAAAGGAAATTATGATCTAAGTATCCAAGCTGAAGGGTACCAAGAAATAGTCAAAAGTATTCAAGCAAACCAAGCTGAAATCGTAATGACTGAATTACTAAGGTCCCGTGAAAACCGTGAGGTCCAAATTATGACCTATGATGCTCTTAGTGGGGAGCCTTTAGGATCAGTCTATTTAGAGCTCAGAATCAATGAAAATAACTCCCCATTGGAAGGTCTAGCAAAATCAGGGTCTTTTACTTATCTTTTAGATGAAATCGGGATGTTTACACTATCAGCTTCTAAACAAGGCTATATGGACGCTCAAGTTACTCTAAAAGTCTCCACAAAAGGAAACACCATTATTGCTGTTGGATTAGTCCCAATTCCTCGCCCAGAGCTCTCCTATTTAGTTTTTTCCTGAACCCGCTGCAGTGATGATTTAGAAATAGAAGCAATTGGAGATAATCTTCTTTTATCATTACGTTCACCTAATGGAAAAGGCTGCCAATTCATTGACATGCTAAAATCCCATGGAATCGCTACAATTTGTATTACCCCAGAATGTGGCGATTTAAGGGTCATGGCAAAATCATTGTCAAAAGAATTATTATTCCTAATAAAAATATAGTTAACTACACTGACTGGCACGGGGTGCTTTTGGCTCGAAACTGAGCCAAAAGCACCCCGTGCCAGTCAGTGTAGTTCACTATAAATATAGAAATATATAAATATTTTTATTTAATTTATATAAAAAAAGGATAGAAGGAAAAGATAATGATAAAGCTCCGTTATTAAGCTCAGGATTTAGTGTAAATTATTATGCGAGACAGAAGCAAGAATATAATATAATACCAAGCTATGGGAAAGGAAGCTGGTGGGATATAGGGGTTTATTTTAAGGACAGGAATGATTTTATAGAAACTAATGTAATCACAGATGAAAAACTTACCCATTGGGGAGATTATTTTTCGGTGTTCCACGAAATCATTAATTTGGCTGAAAGCTCAGATTCAATTTCAGCAGTTTTTGGATTTGACCAGAGTGGGGTGTCTAAACAAACGGATTATGGGAGGGACAAATTTGTGTCACCTGAAATTTTGAGAAAAATTTTATACTATAAAAGTATATTTTTATGCAATTGTTTTATATAAAATAGATTATTTAAAGGTTAATTTCAATAGGAATATCAATAAAATGTAATGATGATGGGTTACAGTATGCAATGAGAAGCTTTATTACTCCCAATGGAGTCAGTTTGGCGATGATTAGAAAAAGATATGAAAAACATAGAAAATTCCAGCTGCAAAAGCCATCAAGATTTCAAAGTGTTGATACATATGCAAGGTTTTTAGGAATGGATTCTATTGAAGACAAAGGGTATTATTGGATAGCTCAAGAAGCTTTAGGGGCGAATTTGCCTGAAGGATGGGAAGTTGTGTCTGATAGCCGTGGATATATCATCAATTTTATTAAAAAGCTAAAATACCAATTTCTTATAAAAAAATAAACGATTAATATAAATTTGTATATTAAATATCGCCATATCCCATCAGGGCAATATTCTACAGACCACCCAAATCCTAATGACGAATATTATAGAAATAAATTTTTAGATGAAAAACAAAAAGCTATTAAAGAAGCTGAAATCAGCAAAGAATTTTCTAGAGAAGAAAGATCGTTACTAGAAGAAGTAAAATTCAGCCAAAGCCACGAAAAAGAAGAAAAACAGTCAAGTAGCAGTGAAGGAGAACAAGAACAGGCAGAAGAAGCAGAAGAAGAAAATGTCCAAGAGTTTATAGAAATTGTGAATAAACAGTGCAAAGAACTGTGCGATTTAGTAGAAGAAAAAATGACCCAGGCCATGCAGACTGGGATTGATATTGATATAGATACCAGAGGAGCTTTATTAGAAAAAATTTTAGAATATGCAGAAAATTTAGAAAAACTATTCTGATTTATTTTGAATTCATAACAGGGTTTTTTTTAGTATTTTATCAATAATTTATTGATAAAATTAATTTAAAACAGTATAAAATCAGAAGTTGAAGATAAAGAAGCTTTGAATTTTGTAAAAAATTGGATTCTAGAATTTGGGAAGTTACATAAAAGCTTGATCGATTTCCATGTAGATGGAGAAGCTGTAAAAGGAGCAGGTCAGAAAAAAGAAAAAAGTGATAAAAAACATAAAAAGAGTTCAAGCAGTTCTAGTAGCTCAAGTTCTAATAGCTCTAAATCTCATAGTAGCTCTGAATATGAAGGCGACCAATACGATGAAAGTTACAACGAAGATAAAGTTGTTTAACCTAATATTTTAAAAAAATCATATTTCTAGTCTATATACTTTTTGCAATAAATACAGATATTTTTTTAAAAAAAAATTAATATAAGCTTATTTATATAAAAACTATATAAAATTTATTAAAATTTTTTTTTCTAAAATAATCCAGTATTTTATTTGTATTGTGTTTTCTGTTCATTTAATCATAGTTAAAATCTCCCTAGCTGGATATTTTTTCCTAATTTTCTATTGTAATAATATCAGAATCTACTTAAAAATAAAATGGAGACGAGCTCATCACTTCCACAACTGCAAACAAGGTCTTCCCTTTTTACATCTCCACGAAATAATCTCCAATCCTCTCAAAATCGGCCTCTTACAGGTGCAAGCATGATCTCCTCTAATGGAGTGTTTGGTCAGTCCGCTACAACATTGACACGAAGTGTAATCCACTGGTCGTTTTCCAAAGCGAAACGTTTCCATGATGATGCCAATGATACATCTGAAGTCCCTATTCCTAATTTAGGAAGTACTTTATCTCCTAGAGCTACAACTCAAGGATATGGAGGAAGGTATCAGTGAAAAGCTGTCGAAAGTCCTCCTCCAAATGCATATGAGCCTAAGTCAAATTTATTTTCAAGGTCAGATTTTTATTATAGAAAATATTTTCTCTAGATAAAATCCGCCTTTTTAAATGTATTTTTCTATTTAAAATCAATTTTCTGATATATAATTGCCTTGCCTATAGCAAAACTCAATTTATATAATTAAAATAGCCAAGGTCAGGGCCTATTATGCATAAAAGATTAAATTCAGAAGAAACTGGAAGAGAATCATGGGATTGCCACAGAGATATTCCTGGGCCTGGGCAGTATGAAATATCCAGAGAAGTTTCTGGGAAAAATAAAGGATTTTTGTTAAAATCCCGATGTGAAGCAATAGATTCCAGAAAAATTGTGCCAGGGCCGAATTATTATACGCCAAGACTGAGCTTAGCATATAAAAATAGGTTTTCAAACATTGGCTTTGGGTTTGGTGGAAGGTATAAATTCACAAATAAAGAATTATCAATGGTGCCTGGTCCAGGGACTTACGAAGCATCTTCTAGATTTGATAAAAAAAATCCGCAAAATCGGCCTGGACAAAAAATTATACTAATTATTATAACCCATCCCTTACTTTATTCTATCCATTTTTTTTCTAAAATCCATCAAAAATATCATAAAAAGCCTCTAGAAAATGTATTTATGCCTTAGACATATCTAATATTACTTAACAATAATCTTGTTATTAATTTTTTGGTTTCCCTATTTTGCTTCCAATTTGTATGCACGACGACCTTTTCGCCCCTTTATTTGCATTTCTCGGCAGTTTACTGCTCAACTCAACCGTAGACGCCCTCGTTGAGAAAGTACTCGTATTAAGCGTCGAATTTTCCAAACTATCTGTACTTTGTCATGAGCACATCGAAATATCTGACCCCATCCTTGAATGTCCCCTACAACTCATAGGCGTCAGCGCATCATGGAACGAAAGTCCCAGCATATCAATTTTTTGCAAATTTATTCCTGTTACATTTTCCTTCTTTTCCTCAGTTTGTGTGGAATTTTCTTTTTTTAAGGATTTTTCTTCTAATTTTTTTAGAAGTTTTTCGTTTTTTTCTCGTTCTTTTTCAAGAGATTTCTTGAGAATTTCATAATTAATTTGTTGAGTTTTGGCAAGAAAGGCACCGAAATCTGTAGAAGAAATGCTGCCTTTGTGAATTAAGGTGAGAAGCTCAAAATTGAGGTCTCGTAGCCGAATTCGGTCTTGGTTTACAAGGTGAAGCAAAGAGGCCATTTCTTTTCATTCTTGAAGAAGCTGGTGGTCGTATTGGAGAGAGGAAAGCCTGCTGTGCTTTGGATTGTCAGATAAGCTTGGGATTATAGGCTGTGGTAGAATTCGTTGAAGTTCGGGGAAATTTTCTTCTATGGAGTGTCCTGTAAGTAAGCAGCCAAGTCGTCTGGTAATAGTTTCATCGATTTTTTGGGAGATAGAGTACACGTTTTCAAACATTTGTTTAAATTAATTTTGATAAATGAAAGTTTTTTTCTTTCAGAGATAGAGGATTATAGGAATTTTGCTATTTTGAGGAGACTAGAAAATGGATTTTTGGTAAAAAGGCTATTTTGTGATATGTGAATATAGAAATAATAAATAATGATTAATTTTTTAAGAATCAGGTAATTGTTTTAAGGTGAAATCTATCATTTTTATTATGATTATAATAAAGATTTATCAAAAGCGAACCCAATATGAACTGATAAAGTAAATGGATAATAAGGTATTTTTCTTTCAAAACACAACAATTTGTAAAAGCCAAAAAAAGCTAAAAAAAGTAAACAAGTCTCGAAAAATATCGAAAAAACGAAAAAGTTATAATCGTCATGGGTGTTATTGGCAAAGAAGAAAAGTTCGTTGGAGCTATCATCATCATAACGAATATGAGCCAGGTCTTTATGAGAAAACTATGAATGATATTGATAAAATGAGAGAAAAAAACAGATTTCTAGCTAAAATCATAGAAGAAAAGCACTATATTAATAAAAACCACGAAATTCCTAATAAAACGTTTGATTTTAAAAAATACGCACACACAAATTTTGATCCTATGATTATGGAGAGTTTACAATATAGTCTCTATTTCTGTGAAACTTTAGACTTTTAACCTCAGCTATTTCTATTATTTTACAACAATTGTTTAATTATAAATACTAATTTATACATGATGTTTTCTAAAAATGGAAAACAAACTAAGAAAAGATCAGGTATAATAAAATCTAAAGAAAAAAGACTCAAAAAGGCCAAAACCAAAAAAGATCCTGAAAAACGTAAATCAACAGGAGGCCTCTATTATAGATACCTTCCATGGAGAACAGCAAGGCTTCACTATCATGAACATGAAACTGTCCACTATGAATGATCTCAATGATACCATAATGGCCCTGGCAAAACATCTAAAAGTTATAATGGTAAGAAAATTTCTGCATTACTTAAAAGTATAGAGGAAAATATTAAATCTCTTGAAAACTTGGACAAAATTTTGGATAATAAGCATAATAGCTCAATAAAGAAGACAATTCCCAGCAAAAAAATTAATTTTTATGAGTATTCAAAGTCATATTTAAAAAGAGTTAGCATGAAAGAGCCTTACAATGCATTTTACCTGTGTCATTTAACAGATTTTTAATTATATATATAGGGATTCGCTAATATATATACATTAAAGTAACATTTCGAAATACACTATGCATAATTATAAGATTTTTTTATGTTGGAAATGTTAAAGACGCTTATTCCTGCATGAAATTGGGGAGATAGTTTTTATTTTATTATTACCAAATTCATTTAAATCTGCATTTTTTGGAGTAGTTCAATGCGGTCTCGGCCTAATATGTCGTTAATAAATTTGATATCTTCTTCAGAAAGTTTCCATTCATCCTCAAAGAAAACACTTTCATTATATACTTGCCATAAATTATAAGCCCTATTAAAGTCCTGTAAAGCTGCTTCTTCTTGTCTGATATTATTAAATACTCTAGCTCGGCTGCAGAAATGCAAAGGATTATTGGATTCAAATTTGATTGCCTCATCATAGCATTGTATTGCTTCTTGCAATCTCTCTAAAACATAAAGAGCATTGCCGCTATCATTATAAAACGTGGCACTCGTTGGATTGAGTTCGATTGCTTTTTCATAGCATTCGATTGCTTCTAGATATCTTTTTAAGCCATAAAAGGCGCAGCCTTTATTATGGTAAAAAAGACTTTCATTTGGATTGAGTTTGATTGCTTCTTCATAGCATTCGATTGCTTCTAGATACCTTTTTAAACCATAAAAAGCGTTGCCTTTATCATAGTAAAAAATAGTAATATTTGGATTTAGTTTGATTGCTTTGTCATAGATTTCAATTGCTTCTTGATATCTTTTTAAACCATATAAAGCGCAGCCTTTACCACAGTAAAAACCAATATCGTTAGGATTGAGTTTAATTGCTTCATCAAAGCATTCAATTGCTTCTAGATATCTTCTTAAACTACCCAAAGTGTAGCCTTTGCTATCGTAAAGAGAAGCGTCATTTGGATCTTCTTTGATTCGTTCGTCATAGCGCTCGATATCTTCTAGAATTTTTGCTAATTCGTGTAGACTCATGCCTTTTAGGTCTCATTCATCCCTATAATGAGGATCAAGGGCATAATTCTGGTTATATTTTATTGATTCAATCTTTTTACCAACTCTTCTAAGTAAGTAATTTCTACTATAATAAGCTAAATCAATAATGTTTTTTTGATCTAAATTAAAATAATAATATTCTCTGGATGATTCATAAATAGTTGAGATGTATATTCCTCCTTTATTATATACACAATACACTTGAGAAGACTCACTATTGATTATTGATTTTCCTATTCGTCTTCAATTTAAGTAGCTTCCAATTTCGCTTTCATAGATTCATCCAGGGCTTTCAATCAAATATAGTCTCTCTGCATTTACCAGGATCTTTCTTCTATACTCTGCGAACTCATAAGGAATTGTGGAGAAAGAGTCGATATCAATTGAATATAAGAAAAGATTTCTATTTTGACATCCAGAAATCAAAATATTTCCATTAAATATTATGCTATTGCACGCTAAATCAGCTTTTGGCATTGGGGATAATTTAATTCAGCGATTTTGATCCAAATCGAATCTAATAGATAGAGATAAATAGGGTCTAGTTAATCTTCCAAAACAATAGACGCTGTTGCTGAAATAGATGCATGGTGAATCTGGTAAAAGAGTTCCAGATAGCATCATTTCAACTGCGCCATTCACACCAATTAGCATTGTAATTCCAGAAAGTTCATAATTACTAACACAAAATAGCTTGCCATTTGGAAGCTGAGTTAAGTAGGTAAATGAGTCTAGTTGTGGTGGAGTCTGCAATTTTTTGACTTCTCCAGTTTCAGTGCTATAAATATATAAATAAGTTATATCTTCTTCATAATCACTTGCAATATTATAAAGAGATGTTTTTTGCTGATAAGCATTAAGATAATCTTGGTAAGCTTGCATTAATTGTGGATCGTGAAGGCTAGAATTGTTCTGAATTGCTGAGCACATTGCTCTGAAATCTATTTCTAATTCGCGATTGTTTGGTCTACTCAGAATCTCTGTTGTTTTATTTCTTAAGGTGTCTATAACGTTTAAAGCGCTTTCTGCCATTGGGTTATTGTAGAGATTATTAGAAATAGCTAATTGAGAATTAAGCAAGCTTATCTTTCTTTCTAGGCTTTTTTTATTGTCTTGATAGCATGACTCGGTATCGATACAACCGCTTATTGAGTTGAAAGCCTTCTGCAAGTCAAGAAAAGCACAGTGCATCTCTTTTCTGTGATTCCTGTGGTAGTCCGCAATGATCTGCAGTTTAAAGAGCGTGCCAGCTATTGAAAACTTCTTGGTGAGCACTCATTGAGCAGGATCTAGTATTCTTTTTCTTCAGCTCGACACAGAAGTAATATAAAAGAATATAAATTAAATATATGTTTACTCTCTAAACTTAATTTACGTTTTATTTATTCTTTGTTGAATAAAATTCTAAATAGAAAGTTCTTTTTGCCTTCCATTTTTTTTCATCTCTATTTCAAAATCAATATTTTGTTTGAAATAGTAAATGGTAACTAGTAAAGCTTCCAAAATCTAGATTTTTCGTTTTTAGATTGACAAGCTAGATTCCTTTTTCCACAATAAATGATTTCACCTGATCTTGACCTTTAAATTTTTGCATTTTTTATACTTATATAATTCAGAGTCAGTATTTAAGTGCAAGAATAAACTAAAATCAATTAATTCTAATTATCCGGTTTCAAATTTATTAGCATTATCGCTGGATAGAAGCATAAGGCATTGAATAAGGTTGCGAAATCTTAAATTTTCAGCAGTTTATCTTTTTATTAGATAGATGGCCTTTCTTAGTTATTTATTTTATTCTAACCAAATTTATTTAAATCTGCATTTTTTGAAGTAGTTCAATACGGTCTCGGCTTAATACGTCGTTAATAAATTTGATATCTTTTTCAGAAAGTTCCCATTTATACCTAACGACTACACTTTCTTGATATTCTTGCCATAAATTATAAGCCGTATTAAAGTCCTGTAAAGCTGCTTCTTCTTGTCTGAGATTATTAAATACCCTAGCTCGGGTGCAGAAATGTAAAGGATTCTTGGGCTGAAGTTTGATTGCCTCATCATAGCTTTGTATTACTTCTTGATATCTCTCTAAAACATAAAGAGTATTGCCTTTATCATTATAAGCTTGGGCATTGTATGAATTGAGGTCGATTGCTTTTTCATAGCATTCGATTGCTTCTAGATATCTTTCTAAGCCATAAAAAGCTTTGCCTTTATTATGGTAAAAAAGACTTTCATTTGGATTGATTTCGATTGCTTTGTCATAGCATTCGATTGCTTCTAGATATCTTTTTAAACCATAAAAAGTTTTGCCTTTATTAAAGTAAAAATCAGTATCATTTGGATTGAGTTTGATTGCTTGGTCAAAGCATTCGTTTGCTTCTAGATATCTTCTTAAACAACGCAAAGTGCTGCCTTTTTTATAGTAAAAACAAGCTCAATTTGGATTTTGTTTGATTCATTCATCATATTGTTTGATATCTTCTAGATTATTTGCTAATTTGTGTAGACTCATGCCTTTTAGACTTCATTCATCCAGATAACAAGGATCAAGCTTTAAATTCTGGTTATATTTTATTGATTCAATTTTTTTGCCGACTCTTCTAAGGCAGTAATTCGTATTATAAAAAGTTAAATCAATAATGTTTTTTTGATCTAAATTAAAATAATAATATTCTCTGAATGATGGATGAATAGATGAGATGTATATACCCCCTTTATTATATACACAATACACTTGAGAAGAGTCGCTATTGATTATTGATTTTCTAATCCGTCTTCAATTTAAGTAGCTTCCAATTTCGCTTTCATAGATTCATCCAGGGCTTTCAATCAAATATAGTCTCTCTGCATTTATCAGGATTTTTCTTGTACGCTCTTCGAACTCATAAGGAATTGTCGAGAAAGAATCGATATCAATTGAATATAGCAAAAGATTTCTATTGTTCCATCCAGAAATCAAAATATTTCGATTAAATATTATGCTATTGCACTTGGAATCAGCTTTTGGCATTGGGGATAATTTAATTCAGCGATTTTGATCTAAATCAAATCTAATAGATAGAGATCAATAGGGTCTAGTAAATCCTCCAAAGCAATAGACGCTGTTGCTGAAATAGATACATGATGAGACTTTGCACGAAGTTCCAAGTGGCAGCATTTCGACTCCGCCATTCACACCAATTAGCATTGCAACTGCAGAATTTTCATCATTACCTAAACAAAATAGCTTGCCATTTGGAAGTTGAGTTATGCAGACGCAAATATCTAGTCACCGTAGTCCCTGTAAGGTTTTGACTTCTTCGATTTCAGTTTCAGTGTTATAAATAATTAAGCTAAATTTATTGAGTCTTGCAATATTATAAAGAGATGTTTTTTGTTGATAAGCATTAAGATAATCTTGGTAAGCTTGCATTACTAGTGGATCGTGAAGGCTAGAATTGGTCTGAATTGCTGAGCAAGTTGTTCTAAAATCTATCTCTAATTCGCGATTGTTTGGTCTACTCAGAATCTCAGCTGTTTTATTTCTTAAGGTATCTATAACGTTTAAAACACTTTCTGCCATTGGATTATTGCAGAGATAATTAGAAACTTATTTGAGAATTAAGCAAGCTTATCTTTTTTTCTGGGCTTTTTTTTATTGGCTTGATATAGGTACGTCCTCTTATTGAATCGAAAGCCTTCTACACCTTTCTTCTTCCTGTGGTAGCCCACAATGATCTGCAGCTTAAAGAGCTGATAACTATTGAAGACTTCTGGTGAGCCTTCGTTGCGCAGGATCTAGTATTCCTTATCTTCAGATTCGGCTATGATACTGTATCGAATTTTATATGAAATTGGGGGAGATAATTTTTATTTTATTCTAACCAAATTTATTTAAATCTGCATTTTTTGGAGTAGTTCAATACGGTCTCGGCCTAATATGTCGTTAATAAATTTGATATCTTTTTCAGAAAGTTTACACTCATCCGCAACGAAAACACCACTTTCTTGATATTGTTGCAATAAATTATAAGCCGTATTAAAGTCCTGTAAAGCTGCTTCTTCTTGTCTGAGATTATTAAATACCCTAGCTCGATTGCAGAAATGCAAAGGATTATTGGGCTTAAGTTTGATTGCCTCATCATAGCATTGTATTGCTTCTTGGAATCTCTCTAAAACATAAAGAGTATTGCCTTTATCATAATAAAACTTGACACTCTTTGGATTGAGTTCGATTGCTTTGTCATAGCATTCAATTGCTTCTAGATATCTTTCTAAGCCATAATAAACATTGCCTTTATTATGGTAAAAAAGACTTTCATCTGGTTTGAGTTTGATTGCTTTGTCATAGCATTCGATTGCTTCTAGATATCTTTTTAAACTATAAAAAGCGTTGCCTTTATTATTGTAAAACTTAGCATTATTTGGGTAATATCTTATTGCTTCGCCAAAGCATTCAATTGCTTCTTGATATCTTTCTAAACAATAAAAAGCGTTGCCTTTATTACAGTAATTAAGTATGGTAGATAATTTATCGGCTTTTTTGACACTGGGTATAATTACTTCTAGATTATTTCCTAAATCTTGTAAACTATTGCCTTTTAGACTTCATTCATCCAGATAATAAGGATCAAGCTTAAAAGTCTGGCTATTTCATTTATTGCTTTAATCTTTTTACCAACTCTACTAAGTCAGAAATTTTTACTATAATAAGCTAAATCAATAAGGTGTTTTTGATCTAAATCAAAATAATAATATTCTCTAGCTGATCGATCAATAGTTGAGATGTATATTCCTCCTTTATTATATACACAATACACTTGAGTAAACTTGCTTTTGATTATCGATTTCCTAATTCGTCTTCAATTTAAGTAACTTCCAATTTCGCTTTCATAGATTCATCCAGGGCTTTCAATCAAATATAGTCTCTCTGCATTTATCAGGATCTTTCTACTATACTCTGTGAACTCATAAGGAATTGTCGAGAAAGAGTCAATATCAATTGAATATAAGAAAAGATTTCTATTTTGACATCCAGAAATCAAAATACTCCCATTAAATATTATGCTATTTCACGTGCTACCATCTTTTGGCGTTGGGGATAATTTAATTCAGCGATTTTGATCCAAATCGAATCTATAAGATAGAGGTAAACCACTTTTAGTAAATTTTCCAAAGCTATAGATCCCAAAGCAATAGACGCTGTAGTTAAAATAGATACATGTGGGATCTTCGCTAAAAGGTCCAGGTGGCAGCACTTTGACTCCGCCATTCACACCAATTAGGATTGTAATTCCAGAGCCAGAATAAAATAGTTTGCCATTTGGAAGTTGAGTTATGCCGACGCATTGGTCTAGTCGCAGTTTTCTCTGTAAGTTTTTGACTTCTACGGTTTTAATTTCAGTGTTATAAATATATAAATAAGTTTTATCTTCTTTATAATCACTTGCAATATTATAAAGAGATGTTTTTTGTTGATAAGCATTAAGATAATCTTGGTAAGCTTGCATTACTAGTGGATCGTGAAGGCTAGAATTGTTCTGAATTGCTGAGCACGCTGTTCTGAAATCTCTCTCTAATTCGCGATTGTTTGGTCTACTCAGAATCTCAGCTGTTTTATTTCTTAAGGTGTATATAACGTTTAAAGCGCTTTCTGCCATTGGATTATCACAGAGATAATTAGAAACGTATTTGAAAATTAAGCAAGCTTATATCCCTTTCTTTATTGGCTTGAGCATGACTCGGTATAGGTAGATCGGACATCATCGAATTTTATATGAAATTGGGAGATAATTTTTTATTTTACTCTAAAAATTTATTTAGATCTGCATTTTTTGGAGTAATTAATGCGGTCTCGCCTAATATGTCGTTAATAAATTTGATATCTTCTTCAGAAAGTTTCCATTCATTCCCAGCAAAAGCATCACTTTCTTGATATTGTTGCCATAAATTATAAGCCGTATTAAAATCCTGCAAAGCTGCTTCTTCTTGTCTGAGATTATTAAATACCCTAGCTCGGGTGCAGAAATGTGAAGGATTCTTGGGCTGAAGTTTGATTGCCTCATCATAGCTTTGTATTGCTTCTTGATATCTCTCTAAAACATAAAGAGTATTGCCTTTATCATTATAACACTTGACATTGTATGAATCGAACTCGATTGCTTTTTCATAGCATTCGATTGCTTCTAGATATCTTTCTAAGCCATAAAAAGCTTTGCCTTTATCATGGTAATAATAACCATATTTTGGATCTAGTTTGATTGCTCCGTCATAGCATTCGATTGCTTCTAGATATCTTTTTAAACTATAAAAAGCGTTGCCTTTTTGATAGTAATTATTAGAAATATTTGGTTCTAGTTTGATTGCTTCGTTATAGCATTCGATTGCTTCTAGATATCTTTCTAAACTATAAAAAGTGATGCCTTTATTATAGTAATTAATAAATTCATCTGGATATTTTTTGATTAATTCGTCATAGTATATAATTACTTCTAGGTGTTTTCCTAAATCGTGTAGACTCATGCCTTTTACACTTCATTCATCCAGATATAGCCCCTGAAATATTTTAGATCATTATTGACCATCCATTTTAATTTCCAAAATTAATTTGTACTTATCAGCTTTTTTGAAAACTAAAAACGAAAATGGCAGATCTCCCTTTATGGTTTTAAGGTGCCTAATCAGACTTATACTACTATATAAGGCAGGTGCCCTTACCATATTTTTTCTGGTGGGTATTCTGCTGGGGTATAGAAATCTATTAAGATGTATGAGCTATAATAAGGATCAGGCTTAAAATTCTGGTTATTTCATTTTATTGCTTCAATCTTTTTACCGACTCTTCTAAATCCGTAATTCTTACTTTCATAAGCTAAATCAATAATGTTTTTTTGATCTAAATCAAAATGATAATATTCTCTAACTCCGTTAAAAACAGTTGAAATGTATATTCCTCCTTTATTGTATGCACAATATACTTGAGAAGAGTCGCTATTTATTTTTGATTTTCCTATTCGTCCCCAATTCATGGCACTTCCAATTTCGCTTTCATAGATTCACCCAAGGCATTCAATCAAATATAGTCTCTCTGCATTTATCAGGATCTTTCATTTCTTCTCTTCGAATTCATAAGGAATTGTCGAGAAAGAGTCAATATCAATTGAGTATAGCAAAAGATTTCTATTGTTCCATCCAGAAATCAAAATATTTCCATTAAATATTATGCTATTGCACTTGGAATCAGCTTTTGGCATTGGGGATAATTGAATTCAGCGATTTTGATCTAAATCAAATCTTCTAGATAGAGTTCAAGTGGATCTATTAACTTAACTTAACTTATTAGGTTCTGTATTTAACGCCATTCACGGGGTGACCCCTCCCAGAGCTTCCCGCTGCTTCTTCGCCGCATAGGGCCCGCCGACCGTCTGGGGCCAGTCAGCCTCGATCTCCAGTACGCGCCTCCGGAGCAGTGTTGCCGACTAAGGCGGAAGTGGATCTATTAAATAATCCTCCAAAGCAATAGATGCTGTTGCTGAAATAGATACATGATGAATCTTGTGAAGGAGTACAAGATAGCAGCGCTTCGACTCCGCCATTCTCACCAATTAGCATTACAGTTCCAGAAGATCCATCATTACCAAAACAAAATAGCTTGCCATTTGGAAGTTGAGCTAAGTAGTTAACTGAAGATAGCGGTGGTGTAGCCTGCAATTTTTTGACTTCTTCAGTTTCAGTGTTATAAATATATAAATAATATTTATAATCTTCATAATCTCTTGCAACATTATAAAGAGATGTTTTTTGTCGATAAGCATTGAGATAATCTTGGTAAGCTTGCATTACTAGAGGATCATAAGAATTGTTCTGAATTGCTGACTCCCCCCCTCCGTGAGTGAACAGAAAAAAAATTTTCACTCACGAAGGGGAGCTAATTTTTTTTCTTAAAAACAAATTATATATAAATTTTTTATAAATTTTTTTTTGAAATTTAAAAAAATCTCACTTCTATAAAAATTGAAAGAAAGTATTAATTTAATTTGTAAAATTTATGTTTTAAAACGCAATTGTTTAAAATTAAACAGAATTAGCTAGATATTTCATTATAATAATTATCACTTATATATCAAAATTTTTTCCCATAAAAAATTTTTGTTCACTTACGGAGGTGGAGTTTTGGGCAAAAAATAGGGATTTTTCTAATGGTTTTGTTCACTCACGGAGGGGGGATGAGCAAGTTGTTCTGAAATCTATTTCTAATTCGCGATTGTTTGGTCTACTCAGAATCTCAGTTATTTTATTTCTTAAGGTGTCTATAACGTTTAAAGCGCTTTCTGCCATTGGGTTATTGCAGAGATTATTATAAATAGTTATTTGAGAATTAAGCAAGCTTATCTTTTTTTCTAGGTTGATTTTTATTGGCTTGCTTACGTTTTCAAACCCTTTTGAACTCTAACTGTTTTCATTTATTATAATTAAAGTCCATTCCTTACTCCCCCTCTTTTAGAGAAAAATTTCTATTTTTTGCCCAAAAATCATCCTCCATGAGCGAACAAAAATTTTTTTAATTAAAGATTTTTATGGAAAAAAGTTTTGATATATAAGTGATAATTATCATAATGAAATCTCGAGCTAATTCTGTTTAATTTTAAACAAATCACGTTTTAAAACATAAATTTTACAAATTAAATTAAAATTTAGAATCCAATTTTTGTGAAGTGGGATTTTTTTGAGAAAAAAATTTTTATAAATTTATATATAAATATTTAAAAAAAAATTAACCCCCTCCATGAGAGAAAAGATTTTTTTGTTCTCTCACGGAGGGGGTGGAGTAAACGTTTGCTGACCTGCACTTCATTTTAATGTATATTCACCCAAATAATAAATATAGTTATAATAAGTGAGCATCATTGAAAAGTAAATATGATATTGAAAAATTCACAGAATATAAATATGTAACCAAAATTATTGAAAGTAGGAAATATTAAATACTGTAATAAATTACAACATTCTCTAGCTACCCAACCGCTGGCTATGGGCATAGGTTACCCTTATCATCCAATGTCACACCGCACCATTTTCTTGCTAGCGTCATCGAAAAATGATATGTAAGCAATCTCTCAGGAGATTCACCCGACCATATATATGCCATAGAAAAATTCCTGCCATATGAGCTGTATTAATAAAACCGACTTAGTAAGACTCCAGATCACACCAATCTTTAGCGCTTCTCATTAGAAATGAAACTGCAGTGTTCAAATAAGCTATTGAAAACCAAGCTCTTCCACATACGATAAAATAAAAAGTTAAGCATTTCCCCCAGCCAATTGAGTTAAGGAAGACATTTATTTGTTGAACCTTTTGATTCTCTTTGTCTGACATGTAATTTTAACTATAAATATTCTGTTTTATATTTTAATGTAATAAAAAATAATTTTCAAAGAAATAATGAATAATTCAGAAGAGCGCTGAGTATTAATTGATATTAATAATTATTATAAAATCATGATTAGCCATTAAAGAAATGCTAGCAAATAATGACAAATTAGGATTAGTTAGCACAGAAAATTAATTTTTAAATCTAATTTACTTAATTTATTAGTTTTTTATGCATGGATTTTTTACCAGCAATTCTTCATATAAACTTTCATTAGCAATTGGAGATGCAAATTTTATTATTCGGAATAAAATGTGGCCACAGGTAAGGCCTGTCGTGATTGCCCAAAAAACTCCTATGCTATATGTCATTATTGCAAGCATGAGTAGATATGATAAAGTAACCCATAGAAAAAATAAACTCACATTTCCTAAATTAAGCAATATTGTAGTGTAAGCACTTTTAGGGACTTTTTTTAGATAGACTGCTAATAATTTAGCGAGGAAACGCACAAGTTCTAATCCAATTGCTGCCAAAAACAAAGCAGCAATTGTTATTGCATATCTAAAATCATTATCAACATTTCAGCTGAATTCATTTTACCTATCAAAGTAGAGCTTGAAGTCATTATTATGGAATGTCATTTGCATAGTCATGCTCATATTCATAATTGCGCAGAAGCTCATATCTTCCATTTCTCCTATTTATTTTATTCTTTTATTCGATTAAAATTAACTGGCCATATCTTTGACGATTTATTTTACTATTTTTAAGCTACTAGCAGCATGGGTTTTTTACTCCTAGTTCTTGAGATAAGCTTTCGTTTGCTATAGGAGTTTTATGCCATCATTCTGAACAAAAAATAACCAAAAGTGATGCCTGTGGTGATGGTGCAGAATACTCCAGTGCTATAAGTCATTATGGCAAGCTTTAAGAGATATGCGAGGGAAACCCACAAAAAATAAATAATGCCATAGCCGAAATTATAGAAAATCAGATTTTGAATTGCTGTTTGGGCTTTTATTTGGTAGGCAGTGATCAATTTAAGCAGGAAATGTAGAAGTTCTAGTCCCATTGAGACAAGGATTCTAGAGACCGCCTGCTTTGTATACTCTGCTCCCTTTTTCCCAGGTCATCCCTGAAAAAAAAGCTCATTCCCCCCCTCCGTGAGCGAACAAAACCATTAGAAAAATCCCTATTTTTTGCCCAAAAAAAAAACCACCCTCCGTGAGCAAGCAAAAATTTTTTTAATACAAAAAGTTATTATGAAAAAATAATTGATATATAAGTAATAACTAGTATAATGAAATCATTAACTAATTCTGTTTAATTTTAAACAAATCGTATTATAAACATAAATTTTATAAATTAAATTAATATTTGCTTTCAATTTTTGCAAAATTTTTTTTTATATTTCAAAAATGTTTTTTTTAAAAAAAATTAACCCCTCTTTGCTCGAACAAAAATTTTTTTGTTCGCTCACGGAGAGGGGGAAGTCAGCAGCTTCTGTAATTCGAGGCAGGAAATAAAAAATACTTGAGCAGGCAATTACCCTATTCTATTTCAGGCACTGGATGCTGCTGTCAATCTGCGGATTTATGCTGTAGCAAATCGCTGCAGAATATTAAAGGTTGCTGGACCAACACTAACTTCAGAAGTCATGCTAAATATAAATGGATAATCCTCACACTAGAGGATAGATCGGATATCATCGAATTTTATATGATAGGGAGATAATTTTTTATTTTATTCTAACCAAATTATTTAAATCTGCATTTTTGGAGTAGTTCAATGCGCTCTCAGCCTAATATGTCGTCAATAAATTTGATATCTTTTTCAGATAGTTCCCATCCATTCCCAACGAAAGCACTTTCTTGATATTGTTGCCATAAATTATAAGCCGTATTAAAGTCCTGCAAAGCTGCTTCTTCCTGTCTGAGATTATCAAATACCCTAGCTCGATTGCAGAAATGCAAAGGATTGTTGGGTTTAAGTTTGATTGCCTCATCATAGCATTGAATTGCTTCTTGATATCTCTCTAAAACATAAAGAGTATTGCCTTTATCATTATAAAACTTGGCATTGTTTGGGTTGATCTTTATTGTTTCGCTATTGATTATTTCTGCTTCTTGATATTTTCTTAATTCAATTAATTCAGATACTTTCTTCCTGCAAAAATCAGCATTGTTTGGATTGATTATAATTGCTTCGTCATAGCATTCGATTGCTTTTAGATATCTTCCTAATTCATTAAAAGCAGAACCTTTCTTCCAGTAAAAATCAGCATCATTTGGCCTAACTTTGATTGCTTCTTCATAGCATTCGATCGCTTCTAGATATCTTTCTAAGCCATAAAAAGCGTTGCCTTTATGATAGTAATATTTAGCTTTGCTTGGCTTGTGTTCGATTGCTTTGTCATAGAATTCAATTGCTTTTAGATATTTTTTTAGACCATAAAAAGCGTTGCCTTTATTAAAGTAAAAAAGAGTTTCATTTGGATCTAGCTTGATTGCTTTGTCATAGCATTCGATTGCTTTTAGATATCTTTCTAACTCCCCCCTCCGTGAGCGAACAAAAAAAATTTGTTCGCTCATGGAGGGGGGTTAAATTTTTTTTTTAAAAAAATTTTTTTTCGAAATTTTAAAAAAATCTTAATTTGCAAAAATTGGGAAGCACATATTAATTTAATTTATAAAAATTATATTTTTTAAAACACAATTTGTTTAAAATTAAACAAAATTAGCTTGAGATTTCATTATGCTAATTATCACTTATATATAAAATTTTTTTTTATAAAAAATTTTTGCTTGCTCACGGAGGGTGGGTTTTTGGGCAAAAATAGATTTTTCCAATGGTTTTTGTTCACTCACGGAGGAGGGGGAGTAAACAATAAAAAGCGTTGCCTTTATTATAATAAAAAAAAGCGTAATTTGGATCTTCTTTGAGTTTTTTGTCATAATATATGATTTCTTCTAAATAATTTCCTAATTCTTTTAGACTCATGCCTTTTAGACTTCATTCATCCAGATTATAAGGATCAAGCTTAAAATTCTGATTATTTCATTTTATTGATTCAATCTCTTTACCTACCCTTCTAACTCCCCCCCTTCTGTAAGCGAACAAAAAAATTTATTCGCTCCAGAGGAGTTAATTTTTTTTAAAAAAAATTATATATATCGTTATTTGCAGATTTTTGAGCTTTACCACCTAAGTGTGGAATTTTTTCCGCGCGTGAAAAGGTGATTTCACGTGTGGAGCCCTTTTGATTTCACATGTGGAATCCTCTTTTAACACACGGAAAAATTCCACACTTAGGTGGTAAAGTTCAAAAATCTGCAAATAACGATAGAAATTTTTATAGAATATTATTTTCCAAAATTTAAAAAATTCCCAATTTGTAAAAATTTAGAAGTAATATAAAATTTATGTTTTAAATGCAATATGTTTAAAATTAAACAGATTTAGCTAGAGATTTCATCGACTAATTATCATTTATATCAATTTTTTTCCATAAAAATTTTTGCAGGTCTCAGAGGGTGGGCTTTTGAAATTTTTTCCAATAGCTTTGCTCTGGAGTAAGTAAGTAATACTTACTATAATAAGCTTTATCAGTAATGATTTTTTGATCTAAATTAAAATAATAATATTCTCTAACCGATCCGTTAGTAGTTGAGATGCATATTCCTCCTTTATTATATACTCAATGCACTTGAAGATTGTTATCGATTGATGATTTTCTAATTCGTCTCCAATTCAAGTAACTTCCAACTTCGTTTTCATAGATTCATCCACAGCATTCAATCAAATATAGTCTCTCTGCATTTATCAGGATCTTTATTTTATGCTTTTCAAATTCATAAGGAATTGTGGAGAAAGAGTTAATATCAATTGAGTATAACAAAAGATTTCTATTTTTACTTCCAGAAATCAAAATATTTCTATTAAATATTATACTATTGCACCAGCAATAAGCTTTTGGCATTAGAGATTAAGATTAAGTTGTGCCGTTCGCTTTCGCAAGGGCCGGATGATTTGCACCTCTACACGCTCATCATCCCTGAGGGATCCCGGCGGACACCCTTCCCCGCCGCCGCAGACGAGGCTTCGCGCACCAGTCTTGACTTCCATGGCTCCTGGAATCTAAGGGCCAACCACCTAGGTCGAAACCTCCAGTTTCTCGTTAGGCAAATACTGTCTTCAGGGTCTGAGGGTCATATCGCCCAACAGATATCGCCGACCCTTGCCCTTTCCAATGGTTGTACCGGAGGAAAAAATCTAAGTCCAGGGATTAGCTCCCTGGGCCCGAGGAAAACCCAGCCCGACTATACATAAAGGATTACCGATCCCTTTCCGCCTAAATCCTCAACGCTGGGCCGTTGCCTGCTGCTGTTTAAGAAATAGGGTCGAGAGGTCGGGTGGTCTGTCGTCACCATTTTTATGTATATTGGCATTGGAGATAATTTAATTCAACGATTTTGATCCAAATCGAATCTGCTAGATAGATTTCTTTCACCTTCAAAGCAATAGACGCTGTTGCTGAAATAAATAATTGATGAGACTCCGTGAGGAGCTCCAGATGGCAGCATTTTGGCTCTGCCATTCATATCAATTAGCATTGTGCCAGAGCATTCATCACTACCAAAACAGAATAACTTACCATTTGGAAGTTGAGTTATGCAGGAGCATGAGCTTAGTGGCTGTGGAATTTGAACGGTTTTGACTTCTTCGGTTTCAGTTTCAGTGTTATAAATATATAAATTAGTTCTATTTTCTTCATAATCTCTTGCAATATTATAAAGAGATGCTTTTCGTTGATAAGCATTAAGATAATCTTGGTAAGCTTGCATTAATAGTGGATCGTGAAGGCTAGAATTGTTCTGAATTGCTGAGCAAGTTGTTCTGAAATCTATTTCTAATTCGCGATTGTTTGGTATACTGAGAATCTCAGCTGTTTTATTTCTTAAGATGTTTATAACTTTTAAAGCGCTTTCTGTTTCCTTGGGTTTATTGTTGAGTTCATTAGAAACAGTTATTTGAGAATTAAGCAAGCTTATGTTTTTTTCTAGGTTGTTTTCCATTATCTTGTTTATGTTTTCAGGCCCTTTTGAACTTTCACTGTTCGAACTTATTATAAAGGAAGTTGAATCTTTAACGTTTACTGACTCGACACTAGCTTTATCATGAATTTCAGGAGAATTTTGCATATTTCTTTTTTCTAGATATGCCCCGCATATTTCTGTAAAGAAGGATCTATTTAGACTCTCTAGCTTTTATTTGAAAATATAAAACAGCTTTGCATCGTTGTATCAATTTCTGTTAGCTATTGTCATCAATTTTACTTTCAATAGCTTCTTAAGGCGGTTAACTCAATAATTCTTAAATTGGATTGTTCTGATTTTAATAATTTTGAAGCTTGATTAATGAGTAAATAGATATTGAAAAAATCACAGAATACAAATACCTAACCAAAATTTGTGAAAGTAGAAAATATTAGAAGATTATGATATTTTCTAAAATAAATTTAACTTTAAAAACTAATTGCGAAAATGCCTAAATCTTAGATTTATAAAGTCTATTCCTTATTATTTTTTTATAATTATATTTAATAAGCAGCATAATATGGAGCAGCCAATATTGAAGCAGAAGAGATCAGAAATAATAAAAACCAGAAAAATTAAAAAGCCAAAAGGTACAAAAAAGAAAGATTTTTCAAATAGTAAGTATAAAAGAGCATATGAAAACTATACTCCATGGAATAAGCTGCGAGTTAACTATCACAATAATGATTGAAATAGCAGCATGGACTGAGGGTACCGTAAGAGTCAATATATTAGGACAGGAGGCTATAATGCAAAGAAAACCACAAAATTGCTTGGCGAAATAAAAGAAAAAAATAAAACTCTTGAAAAATTTTATGAGATTCTTGATAAAAGGCATTCCAATATAACATCAATAGTTCCTAACAAAAAATTTGATTTTTCTAAATATTTGAAACAATATTTGAATTCTTCAGCTATGAAAAACGTTAACCATGCAATTCATTTATGCACTTTAACAGATTTTTAAATAATTCATCTGTTTTGCAATTTGACTATTATATTATTTTAGGTTAAATTTCATTGTTTACAAAAAACAGATTTAATAATTGCGTTATAATGATTATTATTTTATAAGCTGTTTAATTTGAAGTAATGGAAAAATTCTATTAACTGAAAACGACTTACTCCACCCCTTCAGTGAGAGAAACAAAAAATTTTGTTCAGGGTTAATTTTTTTTAAAAATTTTATATAATAGTAAAAATTTTTTCAAAATTTAAAAAAACTCAATTCTCAAAATTGGAAATCAAATGTTTATTTAACTTGTAAAATTTATATTTTAAAATACAATTTGTTTAAAATTAAACAGAATTAGCTAGAGATTTCATTATATTAATTATAGCTTATATATCATTTTTTTTTCGCTCTAGAAGGGGGGGAGTTAGCTGTTTAAAGTTCATTTAAAATTAATCTATATTTAAGTAAAGCTATACTCTTGTTAATGAGAACAACTCCCAAAGTAATCAAATCAACAACAGTAAAACACTTATCGTAAAATAATTTCTATAATTAAAGTATTATTTTCAGAATAACTTTACCTAGATTAAACTTTGATACTTTATATTTCATCCTCTACTCCTATTATAATAATAATAATAATATAGAGAGTTTCCATAAAATATATGATATAGAAAAAGATTGAAAGAATATAGTTATAGATAGATGTATTATCTTACTCTGTGGCTTTGTTTCAGGCCACTGTCCTGTGTAGAGTTGTAGAAGAAAATCATCACGAATAAAAAATCATAAAATTCCTAGTGCAAACCATAAAATTATGGTCGTATATGGATTAACATACTATCTATGTTTATGAACTTTAGATTTCAAAAATAATTCTTCCAGGCCCTATTCAAAATTTATAAGTAGTTTATAAAAAATTGCGCATTAATTAATATGATAATTAATCTTTATTAAATTATTATTTAGAAATCAAATTTAACGTTTTAAAAATCTTTATAAAAAGATATAAATATGGAGCAGCATGCATTTAGGCAGAAAAGATCAGAAATACTAAAAGTCAAGCAGACTAAAAAGCCAAAAAGCACAAGAAAAGACCCTAGAAAAAGGAAAATAAAGTGCAGAAGGAATTTTCGCTTCACACATAGGAAAAAAATTCGACTTGATTATCATAATAATTGTATAGAATACTAATGAGACTGATGGCGTCATAATGGCCCAAACCATACATCGAGCAGCTATGATCTAAAGAAAATTTATATATTACTTGCTAACTCCCCCCCCCCCTCCGTGAGCGAACAAAAAAATTTTGTTCGCTCACGGAGGGGGGTTTAATTTTTTTTAAAAAAAAATTTATATATAAATTTTATAAAAAATATTTTTTTCGAAATTTAAAAAAATCCTAATTTGCAAAAATTGGGAAGCAAATATTAATTTAATTTGCAAAATTTATGTTTTAAAACGCAATTTGTTTAAAATTAAACAGAATTAGCTCTAGATTTCATTATACTAATTATCACTTATATATCAAAATTTTTTTCCATTAAAATTTTTTCTATTAAAAAAATTTTTGTTCACTCACGGAGGGTGGGTTTTTTGGTCAAAAAATGGCGATTTTTCTAATGGTTTTGTTCGCTCACGGAGGGGGGGGGGAGTAAGATAGATAAAAAGTTGAAGGCTCTTGAAAAATATTATGACGAGAGACCAGTTATAGATTGATCTTGACTTCTAGCCTCTCCTCCCCTGACATTTTCAATTTAGATAAAACAGAAAAAATCAATTTGACTTGTCAAATTCATAATGATCAACTTGCCATTTTCATTTTTCTTTTTCATTTAAAATGAAACTTTAAGGGAGAAGGGGGGTCAAGTTCGAGCCATAACTGCTCGAAAAGTATATGAAGCTGTTGATAGAAAGCATGGCTCGAAAAGGCAGGCCGTTTTTTATAAAAAAGAAAAATTTTCAAAATATCCAAAACGCTATCTTAATCTTGCTGCTCTAAAAGATGTTAACTATGCGTGCTACTTATTTAATTCAATTGATTTTTAATGAATTTGCTTTTTGAAAAAGCTTAGTGCGATATTGCTGCTATAATTTATATATTAATCATTTACATAAACAGTCATAAAAGAACTGCCTTATTCATGTCGCATTTTATATTGAGCATACTAATAGTCTTTTTGTGAGTTTGGATCTCGCTGAGGTGCTATATTAAGACAATATTGCTGGAACTATCACTCCTTTATTCACCTTGAGCATTTATAATTGAAATAAAATTTACTGAAATAGATCAATGCTAAATTTAATTGACGGTTTATAGAATTCTTGTTTAAAGGAAGTATTTCTAGTAAAAATTAATTTTATTATATATACCTAATTTCAATGAATAAAACCTTACTTACTGATGATAAAATAAGAACTGAAGTATACCTACTGATGGAGCATGTGGGCCAGCGTAATGGGTAGTGAAATTGCTCCTAGTATGCGAGCCTATTAGATAGCGCTATCCTAGGTTAGGTTAGGCTAGTTTCTAAAGACGGTGTTAGCCTTATTGATGGTATAGTCACCAAGACCTCCAATGAGGGAGATTCTACCGCTTTTTGACTCCAGCCCAGAGGGTGTATCCTTCAATAATCGGTGCCACTTCCGGTGCCTTCTGTCTATTACTTGCCTTGCGGCTTAAGTCTTGAGTGGGAACTTATGGATTTCTGAGATCCTGCGAAGAGCGATTGGAGTAGCTTGATTCCAAAGATCAACTGGAGTCTGTTGAGTGCATAAGTGCCTTTCTTAAACAGCTACAGAAAAGGACTGTTCCTCTGTGGCTTGGGCCGAAACTCCCAGTTTCTTATTCATAAGGACTTTGCTGAGCAACTCCATTCCAACCACAGGAAAACAGCTAAAATCTATCCGGATGCACATCTCTTATGTCTGCACTTGATTCTTAACTCGGAGTCTGTCCCAGTTCGCCAAAGCTATAAGATCCTGGTTGTTGCGCCAAGAGGGAGGTTGGCAGGTGTCACAATTTTAATGTATATGGCGCAATCCTATGTAGCTAATAACTTGGACAGCTGGTTCAGGAAGAAAATCCAATAGGGGAACCTTCTATTTTCTTCATTTGAGCTCCGATGCTTATGAAGACTGCTTTTTCGGACAAAAAAAGGCTAATGGCTTTACTGACTTATCGTAGATTCACTGTAAACTTAATTTGCTATTTGCTAATAATTATATGATAAAAAAATTATTTATTGCTATTATGTATATTTAAATCTTAATGATAAATGATTGCTATTTATAGATTTTAATACTCCCATTAATAATAAAATCATTTTCAACCCATTTTATCTCCTTAAAATAAAAATTATTATATAAATTCATAGAATTCTTTTTATAAATTGCTTATATATGCTGATACAAGCAAACTATTTCAATTCCTTTTATCAAATAAAGTTTTTTATGCGGATAAGTTGATATAAAGATGGAGTATCAATTAGGCAGAAAAGATCAGAAATAATAAAACTCAAGCAAAACAAAAAGCTAAAAAGCAAAAAAAAAGCAGTACCTAAAATTCGTAAAGAAAGAATTCCAACTACTAGCAACTTTGCTCTGCGAAATAAAGCTAGGCTGAAATATCATAATTGAAATTATGGGTATTACTATTCTTTATTTTATAGTGGCCTAGAAACTCCATTTGGTGGCGATGACGAAGAGGAAATTGCTATAGTAAATACAAGCGTACACGAAAACGAAAAATTATTTAAAAAATCTGATGCTATTCTTAATACAGAGTATGAATATTTGAAACCTATGATTCATTATAAAAAATTCAATTTTTACAATTACTCAAAAACATATTTAAAGCACGTCTCTATGAAAGATGTTACTCATGCATTTTTTTTATGCTGCCTAATGGATTTCTAAGCAATTAATAAAGATATTATTATTTTGAGCTATCAGAAGGGTTATAATAGCAGTTTATATATAATTTTATGAGGTTTGGTAATACCATGCATAAACTAAAATGATAATTTTTTATTCTGAAAGCTTATATCCTTAATTATTAATGGAGCGCCATCATAACTAAAAACGAAACTCCTATAAGGCTTGCCAAGTCATCATTATAAGCCTTTTTCGCCATCTTGTACCCATAATTCGTCACAGAAAGCACGCAGTCGTCAGCCTCTACTATTTCTGGATAAAAATACGCAGCATAAAAATAATAGGTATAAGCCGCCGCATTATCCTTATCCCAATGTGCTTTTACACAAAGTAGATCATATCTCCCCATAAGGTTGCATTTCAAAATCTCTTTGCTTTGGGTCCATTTAGTTAAATATTGTCTAAATTTCGCCATTGTTGGGTCCCCAGAAAAAAGATTGCAATACGCCTCTGCGTTATAGTTATTTGCACAATCACAAGCTGAAGTCACAGAAACGCCTAGTAAACTGTCTTTATTGCTTGTGCAGCCTGTAGTTGCATTTATCATATTAATAGGGTCATTATTGCAAAGGACAGGGAGTCCTTGGCTTGAAGTGACTGATTCAAGGCACATATATGAATTCCCAGAAGGTGCACAGTAACCAGATGGACATAAATCGTTATACCCAAATGTATGAATTCCGTCTAAAAAATCACAGCTGCCTACATAGTCGTGATTATTGAACGAGCCAAATGCTTTGCATTTTCCAACTGGGACATTATTGACTGTTGAGGTGTAGTTGCATATTGCATTATTTGCGCAGAGCTTATAGGATGTGCATTCCCCATCTATTGGAATCTGGGCTTGGCAAGTTCCTTGAGTAGCTTGATCAGGGATATATAGCCAAGAACCTATTTTGGATCACCTTGGGTTACACTTTGCCAAGTTAACCCCCCAGGTTGGCAAGTGTCAGTATATTTTTCGTTCTCAACTTATGAGGTTGGCATGGCAAACTGATGTTGCATAAGTCAGCCCAAGTTTGATGCTGCAAAATGTAACCTAGGGCGATCCAAAGCAGGCTCTGAGCGATAGCAGTATGTCCCTGACTCGCATTGCTTGGTGTTTTGGCAAGCCTGGTCTAAACTGGATATAGCTTTGCATACGTTGTTACTCTACAAAGAAAATATTTAAAAAAAATAAAAAATATAAATTGTTTTTTTAAAAACAATTAGTTTACATTTATGGGAATTTAGAACATCCTGAAGTATAAGCTGTATTGCACATGTAGATTTTTTCGCAATATTCTCCTGGCAAAGCAGCGTTGAATGATGTATAAGTCTCACATGTATAATTAGCATGTGGATCGTTGGCATTTTGCGTATCTTGCTTGCAATATTGTGAGCTTTTACTACATGGATCTGCATACCACATGCTAAATTCTGTATTATAATATAGGCATGTATTTTTTGAGTAGTTTTGGGCTGGATCTTTGCAGGCATAACTTTCACAATTTTGATTCCCAGTTCCTTTTTCAATAGAGAAAGAGGATTCTGATGTGAAAGTGAATCCCTGGGACTGTTGGAAAAGAAAAACTGAGATAAGAAGCAAGTTCTGTTGAATTTGGATAAATGCCATTTTATTATTATATTTGGGGAAAAATAAAAGATTTTTGAGATATAGAGGTTTCCTCTATATAGCGCTAAAAGCGCAGACATTTTCCCAGGAGCTTTCCAAGTTCGTCGGACCAAATCGCTTTTTGGTCCGACCAAGGCATTGATTTGGTGCAACCAACCGATAAATTCCGATCAGAATTTATCGGCCTTACAGCGCCAAACATAGGAAACTTCTATATTTAGCCTGACTAATTTAAATAAATTTATTTAAATTATGTGCCTAATTTGCACTCTTTACAAAGAAGATATTTAATAATTAATTTTTATTGTGTTCTTTACGGGAATGATAAGACTATAAAACATCACAATTTAAGATATAGAAGTTTCCTATGTTTGGCGCTGTAAGGCCGATAAATTCTGATCGGAATTTATCGGTAGGTTGCACCAAATCAATGCCTTGGTCGGACCAAAAAGCGATTTGGTCCGACGAACTTGGAAAGCTCCTGGGAAAATGTCTGCGCTTTTAGCGCTATATAGAGGAAACCTCTATATATATTAGCTAAACATATCTATTTAAAGCTAAAGAGTTTATTTACTTATTTACTTACTTACTTAGGTATTTAAAGTGTCTTGATTTCTTCAGCAGGATGATTTAGGCATGCTTAAGCCCATCCTTTTAACTCCCGACTGGTGACGTCACCAAGCAATCTTGGACCGGCTAGCCCGACCAAGCCATTCTATAAAGTTCCGCCCTCAGCTGGGCCAGAAATCCCGCACCGGCAGCGTTGCCTCGCCCGAACTTGGCTCCTGCACGTGTTACGCCTAAGGGTCACCCTCCTCGGTGTGTCAAGCAGAAAACCCAGATGTCCTTAGCATCCTGGACTAATTGAATACCCTATACGGTATTCCATATTGGTGTTGCGGATAAAAGGCCACGTGGAAAACTGAACCCTATAATAATAAAAAAAGCGAGGGAAGGAATAGTTCTCGGAGAGAACTAATTCCGCACTGAGCCATTTTATTATTATAAAGAGCTTATTTACAATTTTATAAAAGCTATATATATTATTTATAATTTGTCATTTTTATATTTTATATTAAATTTTATCAAAGTAAAATTTCTATTTTAACTTATAGATATTTAGAATTTATACTGATGCAATCTATACCCTATTTGTTTACATATATTTAACGAATTGAGTTTTATTCTAAATGCAGAGCTCACATATTTTTGGTGCTAAAACCTAAACGTAAAAAATCAATCAAATATTTAAAATAATGGAAAATCAATTTTTCAAGCAAAAGAGATCACAAGTAATAAAAACTCAAAAGGATAAAAAACTATTGGAGAAGAAAAAGAAAAGAAATAAAGGTAGAAATATCAAGATATATCATGGTAATAATGATAGATCCCGCATATGGAGATATTGGAATCCAAATGGGAATAGGAACCCAGGCAGTTATGATTATGATAAAATAAACAATCTTTTTGAGCAAATTAAGGAAAGGCAACTATCTCTTGATGAACTTGATAAAATTCTGACTGAAAAGCATAGCGGCTGAAAGAAACTAGCACATCCTGACAAGAAATTCAGTGTCAAGGACTACTTTAAAAAATGCCTAGAGCCCACTTATATAAAGGATGCTGAATATTGCTTGTATTTGTGTAATACATTTGATTTTTAAAATATGCTCGGATACGACAGTAAATGTCCTGCGCTAAAAACTAAACTAAAACTAAAAAATTAAATTATGGCCATTAGACCTTAAAATCTAGCCTTTTCGAACCTGTGCTAAAGAATTACTAGATGCCCGAGCTGGTTCTCCAACTCTAGTTAACGAGCCAATTCGGAGAGCTGCCCAGCAATTCTCTAGCCGAATACAATCTACTGTCGTATCTGGGCTATAGGTCAATTTATGATAAAAATTTTACTCTCAATTTCCTTCTTCTTTTTTAATTACAGTATATCAAAACTATCCAGAAAAATTCCGCATATTTTAATCATTGATAACTGAGAAGAGCAATAAGATATACTCAAATTAAATAAATTCCTTACGTAACAATTTTATTTAAATTTACAAAAATGATGAAAAGAGGAGACACAAAAAAGAACCCTTCGCAAGTCCGCACAAAAAAGCAGCTAAGTCATCCTCCAAAGCCAGTGCCAAAGCACCCAGTACAAGTAAGCTTATCTTCTGTCATTTGTATCCAGAGATGATGGCGAAAAATGTCTATGAAGCTTGTAAATTTAAATTAGATGAGCCAAAAGATCAATAGGATGAAAAATCAGTTTAAGGCGAGGCAAGAAAGTTTAGAAAATGATGCTAAAGAAATTCAAGGGCGGTACCATTTAAAAAGCAATTCTTGCAACCAAAGCACTTTAAACACTGAAGATTCTAGGTCTGGATTTATATATAATGATTCCAGCATGAATTACTATAAAAAAAATTTTTTGCCTCCAAAAACTCCTCCAGCAAAACATGAAGAATCCTCAATATTAAGGCCAAATAGCGTATTTTCTAATTCAATTTGTGACAGCTCTGATCGCATGACTCCAGACGTAAGATCCCAGACTTCTGAAAAAGCTAGCAATTTGATGAATTTTTTAAATGAATCAGAAAATGTATTCAAGCACCAAAAATCTGAGACTTCTAGTAATATAGAGTCCATTACTTATAAATTAGAACTAGAAGATGCTGCCAAAACAATTTCGTCTTTAAAGGAAATAATTTTTAAACAAAAGCAAAAAATTATTGAAAAAGACCAAGAAAAAATTGAAGAAATAGAAAGAGCATTGGAAAATCAAAAAAAAGAATTCGAAGAAGTCATTGAAAAAAACGTTAAGTTTATTGAGCAACTTTTAGCTGAAAAAGAAATCAGACTGAAGCAACTAAATGAGCTAAACGTGAAAATAAAAGAAATGGAAGGGCAAAATTATATCGCAATGCAAGAAATGAGAGAAAAATTCCAAAAAGAAATGAAAAAAGGGAAAGATGCAGTTATAACGACAGAGAAAATAAAGAGGGATTCATGAATGAAAGAAAAAGCGAAAGAAATCAAAGAGCAGACTGCCAAAGGGCTTGAGCCAGAAATTTCGAGGCTTATAAACGAGCATAAAAGAGTTATAGAAAAACTAAAAGAAGAGCATCAGCTTGAAATGCGCCAATATAAGCACGAAATTGAACAAAATTATGAAAAAAGGCTTTTATCAGTAAGAGAAGAGCAAAAATCGAAGCTCGACGACGTATTAGAAAGAGAAAGGGAGCACTATAAATCACGCATTAATGAAATGCATATAAAGCAAGAAGAAGAATTCCAAAAAATGCGAAAAAACTGAAGCGAAGATGTTGCCACAGAGCATAAAAGAAATCTTGAGCTAAGAGCTCATGATGAAACTATCCATCAAGAAAAACTGAAAAAAATTGAAGAAGAAAATCAGCAAAAATTAAGGGACCAAGAGAAAAAATTCCAGGAAGATTTAGAAGAATTAGAAAGAAAACATGAAAATAAAATAAAAAAACTGAAATTTGACTATGAAGAAGAAAAAAGAGAATTTATGGATTTACATCAAAATAGGATGAATAAAGATCTGGATACCCAAAAAAATGATTTGAAAAATGAGTTAATTAGACAGCGAGACAGAGAATTAAAAGAAATAGTAGAAAAATTAGGAGAAGAGCAAGTCGCCTATAAAAAGCGAATTGATAAAGAATCGGAGTCCAAGATCAGGACAATGCGAGAAAAATTTGAATCAGAATTCAACCAATACCAAGAGCTCGTCAATAACTTAAAATCCAAAATTGATGAATCAAGCCAAGCTAAGCGAAATTTAGACGAAAATTTTGATTTATTAAATAGAAAAATCCAAGACCAGGAATTAATGATTTTAAAACAGAAAGGCCAAAAAAAGCAACTGAAAGAGCACATAGAAAATTTAGAAGCAAGGATACAAAAATTCAAAGCAGGAGAAAGCGAGTATGCAGAAGAAGTGAGAATTCAAGAAAGGAGGCAGCAAAAGAAGCTGCAAGAAGAGCTTGAGTACGCGAAAATGGAAATAAATAGATTAAAAGCAGTTCATGAAGAAAAAATTGAAGAAATGACACAGAGAGAAGCTGAAGAACTTGAAGAAATTGAACAGAGGGTCAAACAGACCATTTCAAGAAAAGATGAAAAAATAAGGGAATTGCAAGAAGACTTGAAGTTTATGCAAATTAAGGCTCAGAAGTTAGAAGAACTTCTAGAAAAGCAAAGACGTGACTTATCTATAATGTAACTAAAATATTATTTCTTAACCAATTTTTATTATGATATTTTCATTTATAATTCTAAGAGCTAAATCTTTTATTCAAGATTTTGCATTTGAAACGCATTTAAATTTATCAAATAAATAGATTCTATACTAACTAACTGATCAAAGCTCCATGTATAATTTTTTAAGTTTATAATTTTTATAATATCAAAAGAAATTAGCAATTTTCTCCAGAAAGTTCTTTTCTCTCCTCAAAAACCTTTAATAAATAATTAGCTTAAATTCGAATTCCCAATTATTTTTTCAACTAATAAATTATATATGGGCGCAGCTTGTTGCCGAAAAAGCGTAGCTGAAAACGAAAGACTTATGTCTGAAAAACTCAAAGAAATCAACGAAGAAGAAAAAACTGAAGTAATTTCTCCAACTCGTACAAGTAAAGGGTATATTTCGCTTGTTAACAACTTCAAAAACCCTAAAAAAGAAAAGAAGGCTATTTCAGGAATCGGTGGCTTTGAAAATTTAGGGAAAACTTGCTATATAAATGCAGTGCTTCAGTGCCTTTGCAATACAAATCCATTGGCGGATTATTTCTTGAGTGGGTTATTTAAAGAAGAGATGTGCTTTCAAAACAGAGATAATTCATCCGCAGAGCTGATTTATGCGTTTGCAGAAATCATAAGAACTCAATGAAAGGCAAATTATGACTGTATAGTGCCTAAATTGCCCACTAAAAATTTTTTTCATAGAAAATTTATTTAATATTTTTTTTAATTTTTTTTTTATTTTTTAAAGAAGAAGGTTAAGCATTTCGTTGAAATTGTCCAAAAAAATACTCAATTTGCACAAGAAGAGGAGCATGACGTTCATGAATTTCTTACTTTTTTTATGGGGAAAATGAATGAGCTGCTCAATAGAGCCAACACAAATTCATCTTCACCAGTCCCCGAATGCAATGGAGATACAGATGAACACCAAGCTGCACAAGCCTGGCATGATCATTTGAAATCTACAAGTTCCGTTATAGTTGATTTATGCCAAACTGAATTAATGAATCTCTTTCAGTTCATATTTATTATAAAAATTGGTGATTATAAAAAAATTAATTTAATACTGTATATTTCATGGGCAATTAAAATCAACATTAAAATGCACACAATGTGACCAAATTTCTCAAAATTTCGAGCCTTTTATGTCAATTTCTTTACCTATAAGTGCTAATAAAGGCACCTCACTAAAGCAATGCTTAAAAGATTTCACAAAAAATGAAAGCTTAGAGCAAAGCTGGTTCTGCTCAAAATGCAACAAGCAGGTGACTGCCACGAAAAGTTACAGCATTTGAAAGGTTCCGCCGATTTTAATTTTCCAGCTAAAAAGATTTCATTTCACCCCAGAAATTCAGGAAAAAATTAAAACTGATATAAACCAATCTGTATTGAATTTTAATTTAAAAGCTATAAAGACATAAATTATATTAAAATTATGTATTAGCTATAAATTTCACATATAAATAGTATAGGATTTCCTCTAAAAAGTCTTGACTTAGCTGAATATGTAGCTGGCCCACAAAAAACTCCTCCAAAATACGACTTATACGCAGTCGTTAACCACTCTGGAAAATTAACAGAAGGGCACTATTTCACTTATTCCAAAAACAAAAATGACCAAAGATGATACAAATTCGATGACGATATGGTCGAAGAAATGAGCGAAGATGCTGTAGAAAGCAACAAAGCTTATTTACTATTTTACTATAACGCAACCCCAAAAGAATTTTTCAGACAAAGCAGAACTTTACCACAGTTTTGGCCACATGTCTTAACTAGTGAAGTATCCCCACCTCTGCGCATATTTTTTATTTAAAAATATTTGCCTTTGCTATATTTATTTTTTACTAGTATAAAAATTAAAATTTTTCAGAAAAAAAAAATAAAAGCCACACCTCCCATTATGAAAAGGCCTCAAACACTTAATATAAGCTCAATTGTAGATAAACAGAATAAAAGAAGAAACAGTGAAGATATAATGGAATGTCTAAATCCTCCGTCGTTCAGTTTTTCTGGCGTCAGTGCAGAGAGTTGGGCTGGGGTCGATAAAACAGGCGCTGAAGGAGAAATTTTGTTTAAAAAACTTTTAAGATAATTGTAAAGTTTTTTATAAATGGTAATTAAAAGGAAAAGAAATGATGTCCCAGATCAAGTTATAAAGAAACTGTATTTAGGGTCGCTTGCTGCTGCAAATAATCATACAATTTTGTATAGGCTAGGGATTACACATGTGCTTACTGTTTGCCCTATTAGACCTTCAAAAGTGCCGAACGTGACTTATTATGCCACTTTGCGTTATTTTATTTTTTATATTTATTCTTAACTAAGATTATAAATATCATAGAAAAGTATATCTAGTAAGCATTAGTGACGATCCCACAGTAAATATAATTTTTTAATTGAGCGAATCTATAGTATTCTTAAGGCTAATACCAATTTTTGTATAATAGTAAACAGATAAATATGATTTATAAGCTAATTTACCAATAAATGTGTATTTTATCGAAACTTGACGAATGCTTTGAATTTATAAATGCTGCAATTAATAATGGAGGGAAAGTGCTAGTGCATTGCTTTCAAGGAGTTTCGAGGTCTGCAACGGTTGTAATCGCATATTTAATGAAATTTCATAATATGAGGTATTCAGATGCTTTTGAGCATGTAAGACATACAAGAGAAATTATTGATCCGAATTTTGGGTTTAGAAGGCAGCTAGAAGAGTTTGAAGGAATGGTTTTTAGTGATAAAATAGCTGCAGCAGTCTAACGTGTAATTAAAACGCTATAGATTTACTTATTTGTAATTTTATGAAAGTAAAATAAGTAATTCTGAATTTTTATCATTTTTGATTTATTATAATGAAAAAATATAAAAAATTGGTTGTTGGTCTGCTTGAATACAAAAATTATTTTAGAAAAATTTTTCTATCTAGGTGAGAATCTCTATTTTATAATCTTTCAACTCGCAATCATATGATTTTTTTACAACCAAATCCAAGAGCAATATCATTGAATCACTACAATCTTTCTTTTCAATTTACAGATTTTACTTCAAATCCCCCAACAGAAAGCAATGCCAATTCTATTGACAACGTTGGGACTATTCGATTTGCTGATGGCAATATCTATACTGGGGAAATAGTAAATGGGCTTATGCATGGAGAAGGAAAATTAGTATATCCAAGTGGCGCCTATTATGAAGGTGAATTTTTATATGATAAATTCGATGGATATGGAAAATTTATTTTTGCTTCAAAAGATATTTATGAAGGCTATTTCAAAGATAATGTTTTCCATGGAAGAGGAAGATATATTTACGCAAAAGGAAATATTTATGAAGGAGATCATAAAAATGGGGAACGGAATGGCAGAGGTGTTTATATTTTTATATTTGGGGATAAATATGAAGGCGAATTTAAAAATGACAATTTTGATGGAAAAGGAAAATATTTTTATGCCATTTACAATATTATTATTAAAAGGAAATAATTTAATAAGCTGCTAGTTTTGTATTATTTTCAATAAGAATTAGATATTCCTGCTAATAATAAAGAAGGCAGTTTACTAAAAAAAGGATAAATTTAAATATAAATACTCTTTAAATTTATTTTATATTGATTAAAATGCTTTTGTATACTCTGATGGGACAATTTATGTCGGAGATTTTAAATGTGACTCAAAACATGGGATAGGAAAATGCATTTATAATGATAAAAGTATATATGAAGGAGAATATTGTGGCAATATGCCAAACGGAACAGGAAAATACATAGATGAAAACGGAAACACATATACAGGACTTTGGAAAAATGGAAAATTTCAATCCAACGAAGCTCTAATTAAGCTCGAGCGTTAAATTAATAATAAACAATTAATTTATCACAGAAGCTCACTTCAATAATTCCCTTCTGTGGATCCAGTATTAATTCCATAGGAATAGTTCCTCTGTGGCTGCAGTGATTTAATTCTATATCTAAAAGATATTGAGTTTGTCATGTCTCTTTCTGAATTCCTTCTCTTTGCGTTTCTGCCATTAACTTTTTTAATGAGCTTAATGTTTTCTTCATTTTTTTCTTCATTTAAATTATGGAGCTCTAATTCTGTAAAAATCAAACTTGAATTATTCAAGTTGTTATGAGTGCCAAAAGGACTTTTTGGAAACGCAGGAATTCTAACAACTGAAGTTTTTGGCTGGTAATATTTTCCTAGTGCATCTCGTAAATTTGTGCTGCTGCTTAAAGGAGCAATATAAATGTTTTGGTTTCTAACTTCACCCATCATTGATTATTAAAATTTCCTAAAAATTGAAAATTAGTTCCATTCTAATTGTATAGTTTTCAAATTTTAAAAATGAAACCTCTTAGCTGGCTCCGTGCAAATATTTTCTTCGTGTGACATTTCCTCGGATATTTTTTATTGAAATTTTTTTACTTGCGATAAATTTGATAGAATTTTAAAGATCAATTGCCTCATGAGAAAAATTTAGGCCAAATCAGAGGAAATATCATGTGAGAAAAAAATTCCTATCAAATGGCTGGCAACGCACTCCTAATATACTTAATATTTATATCTTGTGACTATAGAAAATTGTTTAATATGGGGAAATAATAAATCATATAAACTTTTTTTTAATCTACGTTCTTGATGGATGATAATGGTCGCTTCCATCAAGAATAGGGAGGATAAGCGATTTTCCTAAACTTTCAGAATCAAACTGAAATCTCATATATTTGACTCCATTATTTTGCATAGGAAAATTCAAGCTAGCTGTTTTTCGATGATTTATTTTGATTTTTTCATCTGTTTTCCAGTCATTTTGCTTTATATGCTGCTTCATTTCTCTGTTTCTTCGTTCAAGCAAGTTTCCAATATCGCTTAACTTCATTCAAATTAATATTTTTAACTGCCATTTTCATTATTTTGAAAAATCATATAAATCTACTGAACTTTTATACATTTAATATCAATCTCACAAAATATTTAAATAGCCACTTAATTCGTAAAATTTTTTTAAATAAATAATTTTATTTAATTATTTAAAAAATACTGATAATTATATTATAACCATTTCAGGATTTAAAAATAATAAATAAACCAAAGAATAGTTAACTATTTAGATATTGTTTGTTAAATCATAGGATTTTACATTTCTTATCATCCCCCTCTTTTAAATTGGAACAAATTACTTATAAAATTTCATTTTTGGATAGATTAACCTTTGCTAAATTATTTTTTTATTGCTAAAAATACTATTATATATACATATAGTTTAAGGTTAAATTATTTTTATTTTTAAGACGTTTAAACAAAGTTAATTTAAATTGATATTTTATAATTAATTAAAAATTTCATATATTTTTTTTCAAAAAAAAATTATCCTGTAAATTGAAACAATGCTTGGTTCAAATTTACAAGCGAGGAATTAGATGAACTCTTCTAGATACATTTGAATAATTTCTACGACTATCATAAAGAAAAACATAAACATAAAAGCTCTAATTCTCTTGTTGGAAATACTCTTTTTTCTTTCTTCTTGTGTTATCCCATTCCCTTCTATATAAACTACGCCAGGCCCTTTCACATTGGCTTGAACCCATCATTAGATCAGATTAAGATGTGTCTCTATAATCCCCATTCATGAGCACCATGTGTTCTACGGTTAACTTGAGCCTGGGCCGAAACCCCCGATTTCTCGATAGAGGCATTTTCTCTCTATAATCCGAGTCATACGGACTTTGACGGGACCAACACAAGAAATCAGCTTACCCAACCCTGCTTAGCTTGGCCAGATCACCCCTTCCACAGGACCCTTTTAAACTGGAGAGACTGTAGCCCCTGAGAGTATTGTCTGGCCTGTCTTTCCTTTGTCCCCTGGCTCAGTACTAAGAAAAAATTCAACCGCTTATGCGATTCGGGACAAATCACAAAGCAGCCTAGGCAGGTAAGTGCCCTGCCTTCATCGGACACCCAGCCTGGTCTTTGGCACTGCTGGCAAAAAAGATGCAAAAAACTGCAGTTCGAGCTTGGCCACTAATTAGCAGAAATAATACTGGGCCTCTGTCTTCGAGGCTAGCCCATCCTTGGGCAGCTCTTTGCAGCAAAAACCACATCCGATATACATAAGGACACTCGCCAAGGTGAAGACGGTCGCTAATTACCTGCCATTTTATGTATATTTTGAACCCATCCATAATAATAAGAATTTGCGAACGAATTATTTTCTGTATTATTTGTGATCCTTATATTTTTTGATCACGCTACAATTGAATTCTTCGAAACCAAAATTTCTTCATCATTGCTCAATCTTTTTTCTATTAAAGTGCAAGGGGTTTGTAGAAAGATAATTCCATCACCTGACCCTTCAATCCATAATTCTTTTCTCATCTGCATATCTTGACTTAAATGGTTCTTTATTGAAATTTCTGAAGTATAAGCTAGTAAAGCATCAAATCTAATTATCATTTTTCCATCAAAAATCTTGGGATTTAATCCGAATATTTTGCCACCCATTGTTTTGCTGATCCCTACATATTCTAAAGCTCCTTCTTGGTTTTTTATTTTGTGAATAAACTCAGGATTATCGTAAAATAGGCTTGATAGAGATTTGTATCAGGAATTTTTAGTTTTTTTGATTTTTAGATTTTTCGACATATAAACGATATAAGGGAGGTTAGTGAAAACTGATTGATTTTGGAGTAAAATTAGCTGTAAGGTTTGGCTGGGCTCTCCGACAAGCTGGAAGTTGTATTGGTCCTTTTTAAATATGTCTTGCATACGTGTAATTTATTTATTCATTTTAGTTGCATATTTATAAGTTTGGCTATATAAGGATATGGCTAGTGTAAGACTATTGCTTAGCGCTGAAAACAAAGTTTCCTATAAGCTTATAATGAAAAATAAAGAGCATAGATTAATAATCATTATAAAATTTTATACCCTATAAGCATAGTCATAATTGGGATATATGATATGAGATAACATTACTGAAAAGTCTATTTGGCAGCATCTAAAATATATAGGTTTTTGTCTATAAGTAGCCCGATATGCGCTTAGGATGGAGGGTTGGTAATTGTACCATAAGAGGCTTATAAAGTTGGCTTGAATACCTGATTTGGCCTTACCAATTTGAGAGAAACTCTCCATGCATGATCCAATATCAGGCTACTCATAGGCAAAGCCTATATCTTATTATATAAATTTGATATCAATAGTATCCAAAAGAGATTAGAACTATTTATGAATATAAGAGATCACTAATTTTATCTAAAATAATATAATTCGATATATTTCACTGAATTTATAAAACTAATAAATAATTGAATATGGCTAGCAAGAGTACATTTGAAGAAGAAAAACTAAAGCTTTTACTCCAATCTTTTAAGAAAGAGCAAGTATTTTTGCTCGTTCTTAAAGAGGTTTAATTTTTTTAAATAAATTTATATTAAAATTATATAAAAAAAAATTTCGGATACTGAATTTCTTAATTACAAATTTCGAAAAGATAATTAATTAATATATAAAGATTATGCTTAAGGAGATAAGCATTCTAAAATATTATTTGTTAATTATATATAAAAATATTTAATATAAAATTTTATATATTAAAAAAAATTTACTCTTAAGGGTTTTTTCATTAGTTTTTCTCACTTATAAAATGGGGAGTTAGAAGAAACCAAAAGAATTAACAAAAAAATAATGAGAGCTAAAGAAGATATTAACTTCTACGAAACAAAACTATGGGATCTTCATATGAAATGCTATATGGAAGGTAAAGATAAATGTGTCCAGAGATACGACCAATATTTCCTTCAATATAATAGACTAAAAAGACGCAGAGCAGATGTTCAATCATGTTTTGAAAGATGCATGGGAAATATCACTTTAGAGGAATACCAAAAGTTTGACTTAGTTGATCAAGATAGTTTAGAAAAATACAAAACATATAAAGACTGCAGTAAACCATGCCTTGAAAAATCCTTTGAAAATTACGAAAATGAACAAGATTTTTTGAGAAAAACCATTAGCAAATTGAGTGAGGAATTTTACCCAGATAATAAATAATTTAAGTAAAATTTCTTAATAGAAAACATACTCTTTTCAGATAGTTTATTTAGATAAGAAGCTATAAGGATTAGTTTGCTATAAATTAAGCTCTAAAACTGCTGAATTATATAGAATTACTTAATTATAAATTCTGTTCTTCGAAATACATAGTGATAAAATGGAAAAATCCACATATCAAAAAGGTTTATTGCAACAAGAAGACCTTTCAATCAACTCTGATGGAATTTTTGAATTTGATAGGCTTTTTGAGACCAAACCAAAAGAAAACTACAAGTGTTGGCAGGTAAAATACTATAGACCTTACTTCAATGTAGATACACGTACAGTTTTTCACAGGATATTTATCTCAATAATTCCTATTGCACCGTCTGGATTTTTTGGCTCTGCAAAGCCAGATGCATATGGCCCGTTTTGGATCGCGACCACAGTCATTTTTATGCTTTGTGCATTTGGAAATATTGAATCAGCAATTAACTACAATACAATCGGACCACATTTATCTAATTTTTTGGTGGCAGCTTCAATTATTTATGGACTTTTAGTTGCTTTTCCTTTAATTTCTTGCTGCTTACTATCAAATGTGGGATTTATTTATTTGGTTTCTTTATATGGGTATTCTTTTTCTTTGTATTTATTTATTTTACCAATTTGCATTTTTACGTCACAGGTTGTAAGAATTGTGCTTACACTGTCAGCGGGGTTATGAAGTATGGGAGCTTTAATAAAAAATTTAGTGAGTGAGAATAATATTAATGGGAAACTGAAAGCAGTTATAGCGGCTATGCTGTTCTTAGGTGAAGTTTCAATTGTTTTGGTTACAAATTTAGTTTTTTTTAAATAATGCTATTTAGGATTTCTAAAAGTATATAAATTTAAGGAATTCATATTTAATTCTACTTTAATTTGAGGAATTAAAGGAGATTTATGATTATTTTTGGATTTTTTATATCTATAAATGCTATCAGAACTAGCCATTTTTGTGAATAAAATTCTAAAAGCTTATGGTAAAATGAATGAAAATACCTATTTTCATAATATTAACAATATTTCATTTATAGTTAGTTTTCTTAATAAATTACCTGAAAATAGCTTTGTGTTAATTTTTATTAAACTCATCTTACACTATTCTTGATATTTTTTAAAAAAAAAATAAAACAAATTCTCATATCTTCCACAATTTGCTACTAATATCCTTAATTTTTTATCGATATAAGCGTTCTTCTTAATTAATCTACATTTTACCTGGATTTTAATCAGATTTTATCTATATTTTCATTCCTAATTTTATTTTTGAATCTTATAGTAAGCAGCACCAAACTAAGCTAATACACACACAGTTAAGGCCTTTCATTCTATCTATTTGTTATTTTATAGGTATTTCTCTCTGATTTTAACGAAAAACTGCATTTCGCTATTTTTATTTTGAGGAACTTTGTTCTAGAAAAGTTTGGAAATGGCAAAGTTAAGCTAAATTTTAATTATTAATATTTTTCTGAGTAGATAATTTATTAGACTTGTTCAGTCTAGCCAATCCATACACTAGCAAAACCAAATTTCCTTTGAAATTTAAAACAGTTAAGCTAAAACTATATATATTTTCTTTTGATTGAGCTTAGCATCAATATAAATAAGAATTTTATATAAACTAAAATAAAAATATACTTAATATTTACTAATATATATATGGATCTAATATTGAAAAGTGAGCTCTGCAACATGTTTATATGGCCTTATGACAACGAAATTCCACATCTTCCTCTCATTGGTGCCTTTGGAGATGAATCTTCTGCTGAAATTCAGCCCTCTTTTCCTTCAAAAATTCTTAATTTTGTGAAGGTTGATTGCAGTAGATTTGCCAACCTTAAAAACACAGTAATCCGGCGAAAAATTTTGTGCGAGATATGCGGAAGATCATTTAAAAACTACAAAGGTTTAAGGCAGCATTCAGGAAAACTCCATAGTAAAATTGAAAAAATTCATCAATGCGAAATTTGTGATAAAAAGTTCAATAGCAAATTCTGAACTTGAAAATTTATAGGAAATTTTTTATAAAAAATGGATAATTTTGTTTATTAAAAATTAAAATTCTGTGCGAAATATCACATGGAACAAGTTCACCAAGACGTCAAAAAAGTCAAATGTTTGCAATGCGGATTAACTCTTTACAACAAGTATGCGTTCAAAAAGCATAGCATGCTTGTGCATCCTTCAAGCATGCTCGACGAGTAAATAGAAAAAAGTTACTAATCTCATTATATTTAAGCATTACTACATGTAATTAAAAAATGCATATTTTATTATAGGGATGATTTTTATAGGTAATGTTTATCCTCAATGCCAATATGGATTGCTGAATATAGAAATTCAGCTGGTGCAATGAAGAAGGAGGCATATGGTTCTTATTGCTGACACAACAGAGGAGGTGACCCTTAGGAATATATGCACTGAACCAATTAGAAGCGTTGTTAGCGTGACCTAAAAGACTTTCTGGCCCTTTTCCTGTGTACTCTGGAATACTTCCCAAGCAAGTCGTTCATCAGACCATTTGGGATCTATAAGGGAAAATCTGATTTTAATGCTTGCAGAAGAGAGTATCTCTTTTTATAATATGAGTAATTAAATTAAGTTATCCATATTTTATTACATTTAAGTTAACACATTCTAATATGGAATCAGTAATCACAGCTGATTTAAATATGGCCTATTTTATGTTGAATTTTATTTTCAGTATGCTGCTCAGCATTTTTAAACTTATTTCAAAATATTCGTGAGATTTTCATGGATTTATTGCATTAAGCCAATTCAAACTATTTTTTTAAGTGGTAAGACTAATTTCTATTGGCGACAAAAAACAAAATTTTCTTGATTTTTTCTACAGAGATACTGACAGAAAGAAAAGAGAATTCTGAGAGAGCATAGATCAATGTTTATTTTTGTGATTTTAAAACTGGAGCTTGATCTTGAGATTTTTATAAATTTCGATTCTGGGTTCATTTATTTTAGTTTTGAGCATCTCACCTTAATTTATTTGGATTTCTAGCTTTAGCCTTGAGAATATTTAAGGGCAGAGACAAATAGGAATGAGTAGTTATATATTTCTTGAATGGCTTTTGATAATAAGTCTGTGCTAGAGAAAGCTCAAATTATTTTAATTGTTAAGTCAGAAATCCATATAGCCTGTTCCCCGGCTATAGATCGGGCTATGCCCGATCTTTGCCGAGAAACCCGGGGGGTTTGTCTGCATCACTTCGAGGTGACGAGTCAACTCCCCGAATTGGCAAATAGCCACCATTAAGTGATTTGCCAACTCGGGGAGTTGACTCGTCACCTCGAAGTGACCCCCGGTTTCGGCAAAGATCGGGCATAGCCCGATCTATAGCCAGGAACGGGCTATATTTAAGAGCCAGAAGTCAAATTCTCAGTATAATAGAGAAAAATATTCAAGAAAAGGCTGAAATGTAAAGTTTTAGATAAAATTCTTGCGTAATTCTTTCAATTTTGAGATAAAATAATTAAATAGAAAAATCCAGAAATACCTGACTAAAATGGAATTTTTTTGTAATGATCGAACTATTGGCAGTTTGATATAGACCGATTATTCATCAATATAAGGGTAGTTAATGATTATTTGCTAAAAGATTATATAAAAAGCTTGTTTAAAATATCAGAGAGAGTTTTAAGAGATTCGGAAGTACATGAAACAAATAGATATTAAATCTTGAAGTACGAAGACCCAAAAGCCATATGATTATTATTTATTTTCCTAACAAAGGTATTATGCTGTGTGTTAAGTAAGACTCATAAGGACTCCCTTTCGCTGCTTTTTTGACATCTTTTCTTTCCAAGTCTAAAAGAGCTAAAGCTTGTTCAGCAAATTTAAAATACCAATCTAAAATTTGTTTTTCCCCTTGTCTCATTAAGACACAATTTCTTTGATTTTCAGTTAAATCTTCTCTTAATAAAATTTGAGCATCTGATTCTATTTCTTTTTATTTAAATAGAAGTTCTAATAACTATTTTAAATATTAAAATACATAGAGAGAATAGAAAATGTGGCTTTAAATTTAATATTTTGGTCTTTAAAGATAGGCTTATATTTTTCCTAATAAATTTTTATTTTTGAATTATTTTTTAAAAAAATTGCAAATTCATTATAATGAATATAAAGTTTCAGGGTACAAATCTATGCCATTTTTAGCTAATTTTTGCACATGCTGCAGCACTCTTCTTTCATTTGCCAAAGAAATTGGCTTAATTTTTCTTGGTTTAAACCCTGGCTGCTCTTCTTCTTGGCATTCCTCCATAATCCTCGGCAAAATCGATATATCATTAAGCTCCACAAACCTCAAAAACCCTAAAAAGTCACTAAAAATGTTTTCTTTTTCATCAGCCTGCACCCTAAAAGTCTGTGACAAGCTTCCATCAATTAAATTTCTTTTTGTCATCAAATTCGGGTCATCCTCCCTCAGCTTGCATTTAAATGGGTACTCATTGGCGTCATTATTCCTCACAATAAATCCATAATTTAATAAAAACCTTGAGTTGCATTTTTTCCCATAACTGTCCATAACTTCCAGTCCTCTTTCTATATCTTCCATAGCTTCAATAACAAATCCATTTTTTGAGTCTTCATAAGACCACGTGGTCTGTCTTGGTCTTCTATGGTTTAACATATCAGCCAGAGGTACAAAGCCATCAGTTTTATTCCCGTCAATCTGCATGCCAAAAATCCTAGAACTGACTCCCATTCTGATTTTAGAAAATTCAAATAATGGAAATTCTGCAAACTCAGGGACAGCTTCTACAATAGCGTTATAATCTTCTTCTATATCTTGAATTTTTTCGTTTACTTGGTCTAGAAAAGGAGAGCCAGTCAGCCATTCTTTGTCTTCTTCTGTATAAAATATTGGAAAATTAGAATAAGACTCAGGCAAAATGTCTAAATAAGGCTTTCACCAGCTTTCTTCTTTAGCTTTTTCTTGTAAAATAAAGGACGATAAAAAGGAATGTTTAGGAGACAACAAGTTTAGATTGGCTGCGACCATTTTTTGCCCAATTGGGGTTGCTTTGGCCATTTCTAAAGTAATGATATGAGTTCTTGGGATTATTACGATGGTTTCGTTTTTTGCAATAAAAGTGGTACTGTGGACGCCTCTGTAGTCTTTTGAATAAAATCTTAATTTTAGCTTGGGGAATTGGGCTCCTCCATCAAGCAGCCACTTAATCAAGTTATCAAATTTGACTCTTTCTGGGTGATCTAAAGGAAGAGCTGTTTCTATTGCTAAATCTTCTTCAATGCCTTTTTGCAAGATTAAGAGTTCTTCAAAGTCAGGCTTAATTGTAAGTCCACGATGCACAAAATCAATGGCTTCGTGGAATCTGCTTAACTCTCGTAAGGCTAAAGCCATACGCAAGTAACCTTTGATTTAGTATATTTAATATGATGGTGGCGACAAATGTGTCCTTGAAGATGTACCATTTTTGGCGCCAAATTGCTTTATAGCATACGCAAAGGCTCATGCCCTTTAATCCTAACCCTTGAATTGCCTAGAGTGACTTATGGGTTTGATAAGTCTTGGAAATCAGCTAATGGCAATTCCAGTCAAGGTATTAGTTATTCGGATAGCTTTTGGGGCCGTGCAAGTTCTAGAGGGCCGTAATTCTTTTTTCCTACGTGTCACATCCCCCCAGGTGGTTGGCTGGAGGCATCAGGTGGCTTTGCCTCTATAGCACCTGAATGACGTGGAGGAAGAGGATTCATAAAACTATCGAGACTCAGGAAATCGGTCCACCCAAGGTTCCTGAAGTAGACCGCTGTTGAGACAGGGTTCATATGACTGAATTCCTCCAGCAAGCAGGCTCCGATGGTCGTAAGGATGTGGAGCATCAAGTCTGGAATTCTTTAAACTTTTTAATCCTAATCTTATCTTTGATTCAGCTTGGGTCAACTTCTATTGCTTTAGCAGAATCTGTGATGGCGTCTTCATATCTATGGAGTTCTATATAAACTGATGCTCGATTTGTAAGCAGGGTGGCATGGTTTGGGTCTAGTTCTAAACCTTTTGAGTATGATTCAAGAGCTCGTGAAAAATCGCGCATATTAAAGGCAGAGTTACCTTTTTCTTTGAAGGATTCTGGGGTATCTCTTTTCTTCTTACCTTTGCCACCCATTTTTAGGTTTATTAAGAGAGTTAATCCATTGGAAAAGTAAAGAAGAAAAATAAGAATCATAAATAAAAACTCAGCAGCTCTTTAAACATGATATTAGCTTCTTCTCTCCATAAGAGGGCAAAATAATTTACTCTCTCCAACTGGATTTATTTTAAAAAAAAAATATTATTTAATCAATAAGTAAATTTTGGAAAGGAAAAATTAATTTATGTTTTAGAATGCAAAATTTAATAATTATCACTCATATATCAAATATTATTTTTTTTTTAAAAATTTATATTAAAAACATCCAAAGGCTTTTCTTGCTCAGGAATGGCAGAGGGGAGCAAGTAATAATTATGCCTTCTAGAATATCGCGCATTTTTCCTTATCTTTTCCACCTTTATCCCCCTTTACTGCCTTTTCTTTTGCTGCTTTTATATTTTTTGTCGCCATCTTGGGACTAGCCATTCCTTGTGATACATTATTGGCAACTCCTACAGTGGTGGCTCTGGTTCTGTTTTCCATAACATTTTCTACACATGGGGTTTGCGCTGGGGCACTCTCATAGGTTGGCTTCTTTTTGGCTGGTTTTTGGGTCTCTACTTTCATTGCCATACCAGTCCCGAATACAGAAATTGCTAATTTTTTAGTTTGCATATATCCTCTATTAAATAAAATTTTGTTTTTTTTTTTAAATTTAAAACAAACTTTATGATATATTTATTGAAAATGTGATAGTTACACAAGTAATCATCTACCAAAACACTAGTAAATTGCTCTTTATAGCTAAATGTTGGATGCTCTGAGTATCCTGGGAACACATTTGTCCTACGAATTCCAAGGCCTGGAAAATGATATTCACAGTATACATTGTTTGCATGGGATAAAGGAATATTTCAGGCTTCTTGAATTTCTACACGGAAATTTATAAGTGATCCTACTAATTCTTCAGGCGATTCTGGGCCTTCATCTAGCATTTGGCCATCTTCGTCTGTAGGGACGATGTTCATTTTCAATAATCCTGCATCTCCTCCACTTGTGCTGATGATTAATATGTTGAAAGGATTATCAAAAAGCAAGCCAAGCGGTTTTAATGAATAATCTGTATTTACTTGAATATTTATAAATTGATATATAAATCAAATTTTAATAAAAATTATATAAATTAAGTATAATATCCTTTTCCTAATAAATTTTCTTCTGGTGGATCCCAGAGTGGATCTTCTTCAGGTGAAGGGTCGGTCTGCTCATCCAGCATTTCTCTCAACATGCACAGCCTGTCTTCAAACTTTTCTACATCCCACAGCCAAATTAATCCATAATCTTGGTTTTGGACTTCAACCTTAAGCTCTTTTTCCCAGTAGTCTGGCTCTAGGTCTTCTTCTTTTTCAACTTCATCAGGGAGAATATTGATAATTTTTACATTGAATTTTACATGACGGTTGAGGTCAGTTGCGATTAAATTGGCTTCATTTACCAGAGGGAAAAGCTTGGCTAGCCTTGAGTGAAGCTGACGTTTCTTATTTACTGGCTCAGGCTCATGAGCTACTTCTGGAGCGTGCTCAGGATGATGATTTTCATGGCTCTCGTGATTTTCATGGCTTTCATGGTTTTCTTGATTTTCTGGGTGGTTTTCATGATTTACTTGGCTTTCAGGGATATAATTATTTCCTGGCTCATTTCCAATGACATCATTTTTAGGTTCTTCCTGCGCTACAGGTACTGGTGCAGTCTTAGTTTGTATAGGTGTAGGAAGTTGCTGAGGCATCTGGGGCATTTCTTTTTCAATATCAATCTGCTGGGCATTGCTTTTTTCTTCAATCGCGAATTCATAATCAATATCATTTTCTTTTATATCAGCTTCTTCCCCAGGGATTTTAAATAAATAAATCTGATTGGTGCCTATAATTATCCTGTCTAAATGTTTGAGTATTATTTTTTCAAACACTTTATTGCCGTTTACAAATAAATATTCACTGCAACTAGGGTCAATTGGCTGCAAAGTAATATTCCCGTCTTCGTCTTTGTCAAAAGTGCAATGTCTTGGCCTTACACTAGAATTTGATATTAAAATATCAGGCTTTGGGTTTCCAGTTTTTCTCCCCACGACGATTGGTACATTATCAAAATTATATACAACTTTTCCAGACAATAAATGGTCTTCATTAATATTCGTAATATGAGGCCCAGATCTATCAATTTCAGGCTCAAAATCGTCTTGGACTGCTTCTCTTTGTTGCTGCCAGCTGATCCTTTGTGCTGAAGAAAATCTTTCATTGGCTTCCAATTGTTCTCTGAGTTCCCTTAGTTTTTCAATTCCTCCAGCTTGGTCTATAAGCCGCTTAAGTTCATCATTTTCTTGTGTAAGCTCCCTAATAATTTTTTCTTCTGGAGACTCATTGACGACAGCATGGTTTTTGATTTTTTTAGCTCTGTCTGCATATCTGAGGGTTGACAAAGTTTCTTCATAATTTACAGTTGCAGGGGAAAGAGCACAGACCATGACAGTTTTGCTGTTTCCTCCTAAGGCGTTTTGAAGAATTCTAGTCAAAGCTGAGTCTCTGTAAGGGATAACGATGCCTTTTTTGTCTTTTCCTTGAGATTTCTCAGCAAGAGCTTCTATAACTGAGCCTAAGACGACCAAAGATTTATTGATAGCGCATCCTTCTTTAAGTCTTTCTCCTGTAGCTCCTGTTTGTCCAGCTTTTTCACTGCCTGCAAGATCGACTAAATTAATCACAGAAGCTTTTGTCGTTTTTGTGTCCCCTTTAACTATAATCTGCTTAAACTCTATCGTAAAAATCGTATGAGCTCTACTGCTTGTGGCGTTCATCTGCGTAGACCCAATCGACCTATTTGTATTCCCTTTCTCCATCAGCTTTTCAATTTCCGCATACGAAGTAACAGGGTGTTTTGACAAATTTTCTACGAAAACGCCAGTTGCTTTGCTTTCTCTGATTTTTATGCACTTTTTCCTCAATTCTCCATATTTCATTAAAAATCATTATTTATATCTATTCAATTTCCCTAGCATAACCCTCCTTGTGGCCTCTGAGCTACTGGTATAAGCAAATCCTGCACCTTTTCATTATAAATTTCAAGCATGCTGACCATAACTTCATACATCAAATTTGGGTCATGATTTCTATCAATTCTTACAAAAATTTCTTCTGAGCTCACTGGAATGATCCCTTTGTTAGCCCCATATCCTACCATTGAGTAAGATTTTCCAGATCCAGTTTGCCCATATGCAAAAAGGCAACAATTGTAACCCTCCCATGCATTGTTTAAAACTTGTTCTCCGAGCTCTTGATATACGATGTTCTGGTCAGCGTATCTATCGTCAGCTCTTAACAGGTAGCCGTCTTCACGTTCGGTGAAGCCGTCATGGGACCAAAAAGAATAATCGAATGAAAAATCTCTAGGATTGCCAGTTTTGGGGTCAATGATGATTGTAGTTTGGCCTTCCATTTTGATGCATAACTGAGGGTTTTCTTAAAAAAACCAATTTTTTTTTTAAAATATTTTACAGTCATTTTTTCAGTAAAAAAAAAGACTCTATAGCTGAGCACCTAGGTCTTTTTCTCTTGTATTGAACGGCCGAACTCGGACAGCAACTTTTACACTCATATTTATTATAGTAAACTTTTTGATTAGTTCTCTTATTATTTGATTGTTAGGATGAAGAAAAATTCAAGTAGGAGAATTTGTAAGAAATCAGAATTTAAGTCTGTGGAAAATATGAAAATGAGGATTTTAATATGAAATAGTGACGTAGGAGAATTAATACGATTGCTTATTAAGGCTGATTGAATAGGAATAATTTAGAATTAAAAGAATAATGAATTAGAGAATTAAATTAAAGCCCAAGAAGAGCTTCAGGGAGATCTTGGTGTCTGGCAAGCTGATAAATTGCCCTTATAATCTTTTCTTGCTTTTTCACAAAGGACTGCTCCATTGATGTAATTGACCCAAATAATTCTCTTCGCTGAGCAGTGGTTAGCTCTTCCAGATATTCCACCCTATTTTCTATCTGTGGGCTACTTTTTTCTCTGATTTCTTGGATAATTTCATCAGAAATATTAATTTGTTCTCTTTTAATATCATCGCATTTCCCATCAAATTCTTTTCTAATTTCATAAAAAGATTTTCTGTATTCTTCTGATAGTTCTTTTAATTTCTTTTCTAAATCAATAAAATCACCTTTAAATAGCTGTAAATCAGACTTAGTGGAGTACTCAAGAAGCTGTTTTTCGAGGTTTCTTATATCAAAACTAAGATTTTTAATGCTTTCTTGAAGAATTTCTACGTTTTCTTGGTTTTTTTCTTTTTCATTCAAAATTTCATTTGAAATTTCATCAGGCAGAATTTAGAATTAGAATTAGAATGTTATTGAGTAGCTCCCGGCCAGGACCGTAGGTCCTTTTCTTCCTCCTTTTGGTCGTCTCGCTTGCTTTCCTTGCCCTGCTCCCAGTGTACACCTAAGTGCCACAGGCTACCACTCGGCTCCTTCCGGTCATGGGGCTGGTCATGAGATTCCGGAAGTAGGCGGACTAGGGTTAGAGCTAGAGATTAACTCCCTAGCTCTTATCGGCATCTGCTGTGCCGTCCGATTTGGGCGCCAGCAGTCCCTAGAGGAAAACCCCTTTTTTGTCCCATGTCCCGTCGGGACGATCCAAAAATCGTCATTGCTGGACCGGGAGGGAAACCTAGCCGGGCACAAATACCAGTACCCATATCAGACCTTTCCCTGAGTGGATTAGCTTCAGGCCGCAGCAAGGTCCCCAATCACACTACAGGTTCGGGGGAGGGACAGGTCGGTGTCGTCGCCATTTATTTGTGTGTGAAATTTCATCAGGCAGTTTATTTAATTTTTCCAAATTATTTTGTATGATTTTTTGCTCTTTATAAAGACTTGCAACATGCTGTGAATTTGTCTCCACAATTTTCTGCAGCTGGGTAATAAACTGTTTTAAATCATTTTGAGCTTCACTCGCCTTTGCTCTTCCCGCTTCAATATCTCCTGCTAATTTATCTTGGTTTGCTTTCAGTGTTTGTATATGCTGAAAAGCTTGTTTCGTAGTCTGTGTTAGTGCAGCATTCAGTTGATGATGGTTTTCTTGTGCTTGCCTGTTGTTCATATTAATTTCCTCAAATTTCTGCCAAATTTCTTCTTTGTTCATCTTTATTTCTCCCCTCATTTCTTCTCTTACCCCATCTAATTCTTCTACTAAAGCATCTGCAAGGTCTGTAAAAGCTTTTTTTAGGGTCATTACTTGGCTATTTAATGTATTAAAATGCTGCTTTTCAATCCTTTCAAAGTTCATTGCATTAACTGTAGCTTCATTATGGACGTCTTGCTTTAGGCCGCTTACAGCTTCTGATAAGCTTTGGATTCTTTCCCTCACGTTTGACGGGTCCTTTGTTTTTGCTTTAAAACTTTTAGTAGGCTGAAGGTAAGTTTTCCACATTTAAATTTTAGCTAAAAATTTTGAATAAAGGACCATTTCTTAATTTTTAATAATGGGCAATATTTGTTGCTGCCATCCTGAAGTAGTCCCACAGCCTAAGCAAAATGAAGATATTTTGGTGATCCCTGACAGTTTGGAATCCAGAGCTATAAATGTCAGAAGTTTTAAGGTAGAAAAAGTCCTGGGGAAAGGATCATTTGGGAAAGTCATGCTAGTTACGAAAAAAGATACTGGGAAACTATATGCAATGAAGCTTATAAGTAAACAGAGACTTTTTGACGCGAAAAAGAAAGCTCATGCTCAGACTGAAAGAGAAGTGCTATCACAAGTGAAAAGCCCTTTTGTAGTAAAATTGCATTTTGCTTTTCAGAATTATCAGAAGCTTTATTTAGTTTTAGATTTTATGCAAGGTGGAGAACTGTTCTTTCATTTAAGAAAGCTAAATAAATTCACAGAAGAAATTGCAAGGTTTTATGCAGCTGAAGTATTGCTAGCTTTAGAAGATTTACATGATAAAGGTTTCATCTATAGAGATTTAAAGCCTGAAAATGTATTTTTAGATGCAGATGGGCATATAAAACTAGGAGACTTTAATTTAGCGAAAATTTCATCTGAAGTGAATAGGTCACATACTATATGTGGAACACCTGAATATATAGCGCCAGAAGTGCTAAAAGGGCATGTCCAAGGCAAAGAAATTGATTATTGGGGCTTAGGGATTCTTTTATATGAAATGCTAAATGGAAAATCGCCATTTTACGCTAAAAATTATGATAAGCTTTTCAAGAATATTATAAGCGGAAAACTCTTTTTCCCTGAAACTTTTTCTGATAAAGCTAAGGATTTAATATCAAAACTGTTAATTACAGACTATAAATAAAATGGCTATCGGTTCGAGAGAAATTGGCTCTGCCAATTTTCTCTCAAAACTTCTGCATGGCAACAGCCGTTTAACTTTGGGGATAGCCAAAGGAACGGCTCCTCAGTGCATTCAAGAGGCTCAGAGTTTTACCCCTCAGCACATCCCCACGGGAGGATGACCCTTAGGCGGAAAACGCGCAGGAGCTGAGTCAGGATGAGCGACGGCAACGCACCGGGTGAGCTGTGCGGCGACTTTCTGGGACGAAGCCTTATAGAAGGCTTGGGTGTGGGCTGACCACACATATTCCAAGATGGCTTGTGTGACGTCACTGGTCTTGCTTTGACCCTTTTTAATTAAGGGGTGTAGGCATTAGACACCTTAAAAACCAGGTTAATGTAATGTAATGTTAATTACAGACCCAAAGCAAAGGCTCGCAAATGCAGCTGACATAAAACCGCATCCATTTTTTGGCGGGATGGATTGGGATTTTTTAAGACGCAAACTAATGGAGCCGCCTTTAAAGCCGATGATTAGAGGTGATAAAGATACAAGAAACTTCAACGTGGCCAATATAAAAGATGAAGCCAGCCCTCCCCCCAATTGGAACACTCCTCAGCAAGAAGCCAACGTGTTCATGAATTTTACATATGTCGAGCCAGCATTAAAATAATCTTTTTGAATTCAAAAATAATTTAAAATAATTAAAATATTTAAATAAACAGCTTCCATTTTCTATAATGCAGAGTGAGCAAACAGAAGAAGCTAACAGTAATTGACATTAAGATTATAACTACCACCGTCACAGTGCTCGGAAAAACATCATATACTTCCGCTGCTCAGACAAACGATGCCCAGCTAAATTGCACTATAACATTTTAACGAAAGAAATAACGTTAAAAAACCAGCACTTAAATCCTTCTGAGCATAAAATCCCCAGATCTAAACAGTCAAAAACTATGGACCAAATCATTAACCAGCCACAAGAGATTATAAGCCATACAAATCACACTGATTATGATTTGGAGTGCCATGAAAGATTTGAGCTCCCCAGAAAAAGAAATAAAAACGAGCCACTTATTAATGGGCATCAAATGGCTTTAATTAAATTTTCGACTATATTTATATTAGCTAGCTTTATTAAAAAACTAGCCTCTTATCTGTATATTTATGCAAAAAATAATAGGAATTTGGTAGAAAATGGGTAATAAATAGACAGAAATGGATTAATGAAGAGAATAAATGTGAAGAATTCCAACACATAATTTCAAGAAAAAGAATAATTAAAAATATGCATATTTTGGCTGAGATTGGGAAAACAACAGAAAGAATCATAGAAATTGAATGCTTGGCTGAGGACAGAATTAAAGTGCAAAAAATCATTACTCAGTTTTTCAAAGATAGTACTCTAAAGACTTATAAGCAAATTTTCGATAATCTTTAATTTATCTTAGCCATCGTAGTTGTAGATATATTTTTTTATGAAATCTTTGACCATTTTTTTGTATTTTTCACGTCTAAGAGACATGTCTATGAACCTTGGCCTATTCCCCTCCCTTCCTTTATGAGAAAGTTCATGTTTTACTTCATATTCCCTAAAATAAGTAAAATAATGTTTTGAAATAGTTGTATTGTAAATTTGAGCCCTTGGATATATATAATTATCATAAATTTCATAGAATTCGTCAACATCAATTACCCCATTTTCTCCTACGACCCCAAAAATTTTATCAGTGCCTATATCAGTCAAAATAGCTCCTTTCATGCTAATTTCCTCACTCCCCCCCCCTTTAAATTGAAACAAAAAATTTTGTTTCAATTTAAAGGGGGGTTAAGAAAATTTTTTTATAAAAAAAAAATTTATATATAAAAATTTTTTCAGAGATAAAATTTTATAATTTCATGAAAAATTAATTCATAAATTTCTCAATCTCAAAGTGTAAACTTGCTGAAATGGTATTCTTCTAACTCTCCCCATAACAATTGGACAAAATAGAGTTTAATTTCTAAATCTTATATGTTTGAAGCATATTAAATAGGGTATTAACGTATTTACATATAAAATAATGATTTTTACCTATAAAATTTTCTATTATAATAAAAAATTTTTTGTTTCAATTTAAAGGGGGGGTAATTTCCCAAAAAAGTAGGAATTTTACCCTATATTTTGTTTCAATTTAAAGGGGGGGGGAGTCAGGGTTTTTTGTCAGGATCTTTTGTTGGTTTTCATTTGAATATCCTAAAAAATATTTATCCTCATCTTTGGAGTAAATTTTGGGATAGGCTGCTTTAAGTCTTAATGCATCCCCATCAATTTTATCACATTGCATTAGTGTGTAATTATTTGAGGATTTTGCAATGGATTTACAAGATGTAAATTTCCCATAAAATCCTGGAGATTCTGGGTAAAAATTTCCTGTTTCTTCTGTAGTGACTGTGCCTATAATTAAAGGCTGAAAATATAAAATATGAGCAGTATTTGTCCCTGAGCTTGTTTTAAATGCGCCTACGGCGCATGCAGACTCTGCAAATCCTCTTCTTAAATTTTCATAAGGACAATCCAGAACGTCTGAAGTTTTGATGTCCTTTCTTTTAAACATATTTTAAAAATATAATGCCATTTATTAATTCATATAAAGGATTTCCACAATTTCAGCGACAAGTTGCTCTAGCATCATGTCTGCAAGGTCTAGCCTTACCTGAGTCTCTTCAAATTCATAGTCAACCCATTGCTGCTCATTTTCAACGACTTCTAAGGTGAGTAATTTTGCTAGTTTTTCGTCACGGATTTTTTTGAAAAAAATACTGTCTGGACTTAGATCGGCTGTTGGGATTATTCCAGCCTTGATTTGGTCGTACTCTATGATGCGGTCACGAGTTTGGTTGAAAATTTCGTATATATTTATTATATTTGAAGTACTTGGGCTTCTGCTACTTCATGGCATTGGTAGGCCTTTTTCCCCATCTTTTCGATGTTTTTGTAATTCTTCATTAATTGTATCAAAAATCATTTTGTTATGTATTGACTCAGCTACATCAAGACTATCAATTTTATTATCTTTTTCTAAGACAAAGTATATTTCTGGTGATAGAACTGGGTCATTTATTACATCAGGAGTCTTGATGGACCCGATTTCATTTTCTTGCATTTTTGAGAGCTGGTCTAAAGGATTTTTTTCTATCGGTGTCAGAAGTTTTGCTTGGACTTCTTCAGAAATTTCAAAATTTTCTAATACAAAAATCAGCAATTTCTCTGTATATGACTGAACGTAATTTTCATTTTTATTTAAAGATTCCCTTGAATTTTCTGTTGAAATATTTATATTCGCTACTTCATGTGGCTGGTTTTTTATTTCTTCAAAAACTAAATCAAAAAGAATAAAATCTGTTATTTTTACAAGAAAATCTGGAGAGCTCATCAGCTGTTTTATAGCCTCATATACATATAAAGATAGAATTTGGTTGCAAATATTTTCTAATGCATCAGAAATTATCATTTCTTCACATTGTTCTTCGTTAAATGGCTTAGAAATTTTCTCTTCAAATTTAGCCATGTCGATTAAATTTTCTGGGTTTGGAGTTTCTATTGATATCTCATTTTTAATATAATATTTTAGATAATGGTAACTTAATTATCAGATAATATAAAATTTAAGGGAATATTTAAATTAAAATACAGAAATAGGGTTCATTTTAATGAAAAGGGCGCTGTCAAAGATCAATGAAATAAAATATATTTGCACTTGAAGTCTCAGGGGAATTTCATTCTTGGATAAAAATTGCTGCATTTTTATTAGCAGGAGAATTCTGTTTTGATTCACTATCGCTTAATATATATCTAATGCCTTCAGGCTCTGCAGCATCATATGGAGAGTTGTCGCATTCAATTAAACTTGAGCTTTCATTTTTTTCTTCACCATTAGCTGACTCATTAGAATTTAAATCCAAAGAAATTTCTTTCTCAATTTTTCCATCTTTATTTTCAATTTCTGTATCCTCTTGAAATGAACTAAACGATTGTGAATATTCTTCAATAAATTCCGCTTCAATTGGCTCAGAATATAAAGAAATATCATTTTTATCAAAAATTTGAATATACATAAAAATGGTGACGACAGACCACCCGACCTCTCGACCCTATTTCTTCAACAGCAGCAGGCAACGGCCCAGTGTTGGAGATTTAGGTCGAAAGGGGCCGGTAATCCTTTATGTATAGTCGGGCTGGGTTTTCCTCGGGCCCAGGGAGCTAATCCCTGGACTTAGAGTTTTTCCTCCGGTACAACCATTGGAAAGGGCAAGGTCGGCCAATCTCTGATGGGCAATATGACCCTCAGACCCTGAAGACGGTATTTGCCTAACGAGAAACTGGGAGTTTCGACCCAGGTGGTTGGCCCTTCGAATCCAGGAGCCATGGAAGTCAAGACTGGTGCGCGAATCCTTGTTTGCAGCAACAAGGAAGGGTGCCGCCGGTATCCCTCAGGGATGATGAGCGTGTAGGGGTGTAAATCCCCTGCCCTTGCGAAAGTGAATGGCACAATCTAATCTAATCAAATCAAAAATTTGAGGGCCTGGAAACTTTTCTACTGGCATAGGGACGAATTCTGGAGAATCTCTATCCTCTGCTTTTACTTCTGGACTGATAGAATTAGTGAATTTTAAATCTTGACTGCTTATAGAACTGCTAGTAGGCAATTGTAACGCTTTTATTTGCTCAATAAAACTATTAGAAATATCAGTATGCTTTTTATCAGGATAAGGTGTAAATTCTTCTATATCATTTAATAATTGCTTTTGCTCTTCTTTGGCTTCTTCTATATCAGTATCTGGCTTTTCAATATCTAGCTTGCTAACTCTGACACTTTTTACTATCTCTGAATCTGTATTTAAATATTCATCATTTTCTTCAAAATCAATTGCTTTAATTAGTGATTTTTTTTGGTTTTCTTTAATTATGTTTTTTGAGCTGTATTGGCTCTGTAAATGGCTTGAATTATTAATTGGACAATTTATAATAAAAAAAAAATATGTTTTTCGATATTTTTCTTTCTTCATGGGAATTTTCTAGGCTATCTAAAAAATCTGACTTCGCCTCATCAAAAATCTTGCTTATTGAGGAGTATCTTTGCTCTATCAACTCCTGCAAAAATTTCATTGTTTCTGTATCGTTTCCTGCTTTTTTTGCGATTTTTTTCATCTCTTTTAAGTCTTTTTCTTTCATTTCGTTTAATTTTTGTTTCTGGCTCAGCTTTCATTGAGTTTGAGACTCTAAAATTTCTTTGAGTTTTCTTTGATTATTTTTGTCAGTTTTTTTATCATTTTTTTCTTTTTCTATGATTTCGTGTGAAGATGTTGCAAGAACTGATGAAAGTTTGCAGAAGTGTGAGTCCATCCTTGCTGAGTCTTCAAATTGATTTTTTACAGGAACTGGAGAAAATCTAGCAAATTGTGATCCTGGAGAAGAGATTTCCCATTTTTGCAGATTTGAAGGCTGCTGAAAATTTCTTGGGCTTATAAGATCAGATGGCTAGCGGGGATTACTTAAATTATAGTAAAAGGTAGTTTTTAGAGAACAATGACAGAGGAATTCTGTAAACTAAGTGAAGCGGTATCTTTGTAAACTATCAAGGCAGAAACTCAAAAATTTAATTTTATATTGAATTTAACGGTAATTTTTAAAAACAAAAATCGGAAATATCTAAACTATCGAAAGAGGGCGTTTGCTAAACTAAGTCAGAACGGCCTTTTAAAAGAAACATGAGCAAAGTTTTTTTCCAAATTCTAGAGAAGATAATTTAAATAAATTATGGATGTGGAACCTGCAATTTTTAATAAAAGCTTACTTAGTTATTTGCTTAAATTCCAGTTAGAGTAGTTATCTGAATTACGTTGAGCTACATTTTATAAATTTTTACTATTTTTATGCTTTTTTTGTGAGATAATTTTAAAATATATAACTAACCTCTATATATGCTGGCTGCTAACTAAATATTTGTAAAATATAAACATATAAATGAGATAAAATTAAACATGATTTTTGCGTGAATTTATCATAACTACTATACACTTTGACGACATTCAAAATTTCAAAAAATCTTTTATAAATTACTTAAGGAGGACTTAATTAACTTTGTTTGCTAGGTTCTTTTCGAATTATTGGTAAAAACCCACTATAAATACTGACTAGGAGAGACGTAAAAAAAAATATTTTAATAATAATTTTACTTAAAGAGGACTTAATTAAATTTGTTTGTTAGGTCCTTTAAGAATTATTGGTAAAAATCCACTAAAAATGCTGACTAGGAGAGATGTAAAAAAATTATTTTTAAATTTTTTTTTATGATGTTTAAAAAGGTTTTGGTGCAAATAACGAAGAGGATCTTGAAAACTATGCTATTTACTTCCAGTAGCTCTTATTGCACAGTGGAACAAAACGTTAAGAAAGCCTTTATTTAAGACTTAAAAGTGGATAATTTTAGTTAGCTTGGCTATTTATAAGAGTTAATCAGATTATTCCTTTTGAAATATAGTAAAATTATTAAAAATAATAATTTTTTTTACGTCTCTCCTAGTCAGTATTTATAGTGGGTTTTTACCAATAATTCGAAAAGAACCGAGCAAACAAAGTTAATTAAGTCCTCCTTAAGTAATTTATAAAAGATTTTTTGATATTTTGAATGGCGTCAAAGTGTATAGTAGTTATGATAAATTCACGCAAAAATCATGTTTAATTTATCTCATTTATATGTTTATATTTTACAAATATTTAGTTAGCAGCCAGCATATATAGAGGTTAGTTATATATTTTAAAATTATCTCACAACAAAGGCATAAATATAGTAAAATTTTATAAAATGTAGCTCAACGTAATTCAGATAACTACTCTAACTGGAATTTAAGCAAATAACTAAGTAAGCTTTTATTAAAAATTGCAGGTTCCACATCCATAATTTATTTAAATTATCTTCTCTAGAATTTGAGAATTATTAAAATGGCGTGATCTGACGTGGACTCCTGGTGACCTGTGAGTTGATCCAGGCCCAGGAAAGGCGAGCCACATGGCGATAGTTCTCCGGGGTGGGTTTTTTGACTTGGGGCTGACCCTTGTCCTTTTTTCCTTACCTACGAGTTAACCCTACTGGCACAAAAGTCCCGATACCACTCCATGAGAGCATTATCGAACCTGTGATACGGTTCTGACAGGTCATGGAGAAGGCAGAAGGCGATTCCCCTATACTCTGAGCCCTGTCAGAGGTTAAAGGAGTTTTCTGCTGAGATTCGGAGACCCTGACCGGATGGGGGGTGGCTTCCCCGAAGACCTTCGACGTCACCATTTTTTGGTGACGTCAGAAAGGGAAAAAGGTGGTGTGAGGATAGCGCTTAGCGTCGCTGCGAAGCTATTCGTGGGACGGCGAGGGGCTGAAATAATCCCTTAAGACCCGCTATAACATATTTCTAGTCTAATCTAATCTAATCTCTAGAATTTGGTAAAATACTTTGCTTATGTTTCTTTTAAAAGGCTGTTCTGACTTATAGCGCTTTCCCGAGGATGGCGCGGAATGGCGCCATCCTCGGGAAAGCCAGGAAGGCATCCACACGGGAACTGGGAGTTCCACGTGTGGATGCCATTTTGACATGTGGAAGTTTGGATCCCACATGTCAAAAAATGGCATCCACACGTGGAACTCCCAGTTCCCGTGTGGATGCTTAGTTGACTTTCCCGAGATGGGCGCCATTCCGCGCCATCCTCGGGAAAGCGCTATAATTTAGCAACATCCTCTTTTGATAATTCAGATTTTTCCGATTTTTTTTTAAAAAAATTACCGTTAAATTCTTATAGAATTAAATTTTTGAGTTTCTGCCTTGATAGTTTACAAAGATACCGCTTCGCTTAGTTTACAGAATTCCTCTGTCATTGTTCACTAAAAACTACCTTTTACTATAATTTAAGTAATCCCCATTAGCCAGATCAGATTCTTCTCAGCTACTTCCATTAGCAAGATTATCAGGCTTTCCTATTTTCTTTAGAATTTTTTGTACCTCTTCATCTTCATCTTCAAACGAAACTTGTCCATCACTTCCATAGAATCGCTTTAATCAGCTATCATCAGAAGCATCCAAATTATTAAAAAATCTCCTTAATGCTTCCCTTGTAAGCCAACCTCTTACCCATGCTTGAATTTTTATTGCAGCAGAATTTTTTAGATCTTCCTCACTGACTGAATATTTAGCGTTTTCTCTGGCTCGATCCACCCGGTTTTTTAAATCATTTAACTTTTTATGGATTTCATTTTTTCTCCTTATAACATCAGAAGACTGAAGATCTTTAGTTTTTATTTCTTCACTAGGATCATCTGTGTAGCTAGGGGTGGTTTCTTTTACTTCCAAGATTGGCATTGTAGCATTGAATAGGGGTAGGGTTGGCTCTTGATGAACTCGCCGTTCTACTATGTCACTCACTAGTTGAGTTGCATTTTCTTGTTTTTCGTTTGATTGGTTATCAGAGTAATTTCCAAAAGCTTGGCATTCTCTTCCTTCTCTATTATAGCTCTCTGCGCTTTCTGGGGGCATCCCATACATAATTTCTTTAACTTCTTCATCTTCTGGATAACTTGTTACTTCAATAGACTCTTGTTTTGGCTTTTTCTTTAAAATTTTATTTCTTATCTTTTCTTTTTTCTTTTCTTTTTGTTTCTTTTTTTTAAATTTTTTTAAGTTTGCTTTCACATGAGATTCCAGACGATTTAATTGGAAAATCCTTTTGCTTTCTTCTTCGAGCTGTTTTTCATAATCAAGCTCTTTTTGGAGTTTTCTTAATTTTTTTTGGGTTTTCATAAAGATCACTATTTCAGGATCAGACTGTTTAATTTTTTTCTGTAAACTTTTAGTATCAGTGGTAGCAGTTGGTTTCGGAGTTTTCAACTTTTCTGAAGGCCGTCATTTCATATCATCTAGTCCAATACTTGCTTTCCCAAGCTGCTTGCTTTTTTCTCTATTTTCTCTATGTTTTTTCCTTATTTCTTCTACACCTTTGCGAATTTGTTCATCAATTTCTCCATTAATCCTTCTTTCATCAGCACCCCATGGTATTTTCGGCTTAAATTCATTTTTCTTGAACCTTAAATTTTCAATTCTTGTTTGTTTATTAAGTTCATCTAACTGTCATTTATTTTTCTGTTTTTGTACAATCTCTTCATATTTTTTCTTTTCTTCTAAATCTTTACTCAATTTCTGTTTTCTCAAACTTTTGCTAATAATCCTATCAATTGATATTTTATGGATAAATTCATCAATGACAAGTTTTTCAGTTTTTATTTCATCACTATTAATCTTAGGTTGAGGAGTTACTGAAGGTTTTCTCGAAATTTTCTTTATAATTTTACTTGATAGCTGTTTAGGAAAATTGCTGGAAATTGGTTTCGTCACTTTTAGAGGTTCTGGTGTTTTTGATATAATTTTATGCTTGATTTCTTTTTCCTTTTTGTTGGAATCATTAGGTAAAATATTAGCTTTTTTTGTCAGCTGAGGCGATAAGCATTTTACCTTGGGTGATTGAATTGCAATTGGGAAACGGCTTGTGCTTTCAGATGATGGAGAAATGATTGATTCACTATTAATTCGGCGTCCAAGAACTGAGACTGATGGGGCTCTAGTGGTTCCAAAAGATTTAAAAATATCTGTATGGTCTAGTCCTAACAAACTTGGAGATCATAAAGAATGAGGAGAAATTGAGAGACTAGGCTCCAGCGATCCTGCTTCTCTAAACATTTTTTAAATAAGATTTTTCACATTTTATGGCTATTTTATTAATATTGCTTGAGCAAAGTGGGAATTTTTCATAAGTTTGAATGAAGGATTTAGCTTAGTTTTCAATAAAATAATGTTAGAGAAATATGACTTATAAAAACTTCCTCCTTTTTTCTTGAGGATTATATTTGATATTATAATATACAAAATTATGATTTATATTAGATGAGATTAGATTTATGATTAAGGAAGAGAAATAATTGATAGCTGATATTATGCTAAAAACATAAAAACTTATAGCTGCTTATTTAAAGTGCGAAGTATACTTTAATTAGCAATTGAGCAAAGAATTATGATATCCTTTATCGATAATGCTTACTCCCCTCGATTTGCAAATAAAAAAAATTTATTCGTCACGAGGGCGTTAATTTACAATAATTATATATAAATTTTATATAAATTTTTTTTTTTAAAATTAAAAAAAAATCCTAAATTCGAAATAATTTAAAGCAAATCTTAATTTAATTTTTTAAATTTATTTTTTAAAATGGAGTTGTTTTTGAGATTTCATTATAAAATTGTCAATTATATAACAGAATATGTTTTATAAAAATTTTTTTGTTCTCTCACTAAGGTGAGCTTTAACCCAAAAAATAGGGATTCGCTCACGGAGGAGGGATTTAGTTAAAATTCAATAATCATTTTATCAGGTTTTGTTATAGAATAAGTTTATCATCTCATTTAATTTAACTATTCTCGATAATTTTTGCTTTTATTTCAGCAATCCTCTTACTCCCCATCCTCTATACCGAGAATACAATTGGAGATGTGTCTTACTCTTTTGAAAAATTCACCACTATATCAAGTAGAAAAATATTTATATAAATTATTTTGACATCCAAATAATGCCTATTATAAATAAACCTCTAGATTTTTATTAAAATATACAGCTTCTTTCTCAAACATAAAATTTATAAGCCAAATTTTCCAAATTTGTGATTTTTTTAAATCTCAAAAATATTACCTCTCTGCAAGAGAGTTAATATCTTAATAAATTATTTCAAGGGGGTTGATTCCATACTTAAAATCACATATTACTCCTATATCCATATTATAATCGTTAAAAAATTTATGCAGTTTACTCCAAAAAAGTCGTTTGATATATAGAGGTTTCCTCTATATAGCGCTAAAAGCGCAGACATTTTCCCAGGAGCTTTCCAAAGTTCGTCGGACCAAATCGCTTTTTGGTCCGACCAAGGCATTGATTTGGTGCAACCTACCGATAAATTCCGATCAGAATTTATCGGCCTTACAGCGCCAAACATAGGAAACTTCTATATCTTCACTCCGCCAGAACTCTTCATCTAGCTACAAAAAGAACACAAAACTCACAGAAAACAGTGGTGGAAGATTTTATTTTTTAAAAAAAATAGCTAATCTTCTCACATTTAGTCTATTAAAAAAATCAGTTGTAAGGATAAATAATTAAAAAAAATGCCTAATTGCTATTAATTTAGCCCAAGAAATTGGTACAAAGAACGTTTTCTTAAGCCTTGCTATACAAACTATGGAAGATTCATTCCAAATCGTATCTCTTCAAATCTCCTTAATGCATTTGAAAAGGCAGGCCAAGAGAATTCCGGAAATGTAGTTACAATCACTGAAAAAGCTGGAGCTTTTTCTACCTTGCTAGACAACCAATTTTTTGGCTCAGACAAGACAAATTTCGATAATTCAGTCTCCACAAATTTATTCCGTTATAATTCCCAATCAGCCCAATTGCGAGAAAACAAAGAAAACCAAGGATTTGTACCTGATATAGTTAACAATGAAGAAACTAGCCCAACACAGAGAATTGTCCCAAAAGTCCCTTATAAAGTACTTGATGCACCTCAGCTGTTAGATGATTTTTATTTAAATGTTGTAGATTGGTCATCAGCAGACACTTTGACAGTTGGGCTGAATATATAAGTTGTAATGAATAGCCCACTAAAGACGATTTTTGGTTAGCTAGCTATTTGGTAATCCATTTTTAAAATTTGCTAATCAAAAATACTTTTTAGTAGACGATTTATGTTAAGCACATATAACTCAATTTATCTATGATCACCTGTAACAGGAGCAGTATCTAAATTATCAGCTATTCAGTCCATTTTAGATCATAAGTCTTTTATATAATTTCTCTGAATTTTTATAATAATTTTTTTAATAAATTAATTATTTAAAAAGTCTCAATTTCAAAAATAAAATAATATAAAATTTAATAAATAAGGGCAATGCCAAATTATCTACATATCAAAACGATGTAGTTGCCTCTTTATCATGGTCCCCTACAGGCTCCCATCTCGCAGTTGGCACGACATCAGGAAAAGTAATGCTTTATGACGTCGAAAGAAGCAACGCTGTTCGAACTCTCCCAGGCCATGCAGGAAGGGTAGGAGCACTAGCATGGAATGGTTCATTACTTAGCTCAGGTTCCAGAGATAAAAACATCTTACATAGAGACCTGAGAAGCTCCAGTAAATTTACAGCCAAACTTCAAGGACACAAACAAGAAGTCTGCGGACTGAAATGGTCCTTTGAAGGAGACCAACTTGCCTCTGGAGGAAATGACAATAAACTAGTAGTTTGGAGCGCTCAAAGCATTACTCCAGTCGCTAAATTCAAAGAACACACAGCAGCGGTAAAAGCAATTGCATGGTCACCTCATCAGCATGGACTTTTGGTATCAGGTGGAGGTACTACAGATCGCACTATTCGTTCTTGGAATACTTTATTATCGCAAAATGTATCATGCATTGACACACAATCACAAGTCTGCAATTTAATTTTTTCTAAAAATTCGAATGAACTGGTATCCACGCATGGATATTCTCAAAACCAAGTAGTGGTATGAAATTACCCAACAATGCAAAAAATCGGAGTATTGACGGGTCACACGTCAAGAGTTTTGTATCTTGGTTTCCAAAAAAGGATTTTATTCAAATACATATACTAAATATATAATATAAACACTCTTGCTGGTTGCATTTTCCTATATTTATATAGTAAATAGAAAAACAAATAGCTAGCCGAGATATTTTTATTGGAAAGAGGAATATATTTTTAGAATAAATTAAGCTTAGATAGGTTAATTGTACTTAATCCTCGATTGGGATATAAGAGATTTTATACTATTTAATCGTTTTAAAATATTTTATGCTTCTTTTTGAAAGAGTTTTATTTAAAAAGTCTAAAGTTAGCCTTAAAATTTGATTTCACTGATTATGAATACTAGGTTGCTGTGAGTAGTGAATTGATTGATAATATTTATAATTAAAATATGCCATTTCCGACAAAATTCTTCTCTTGCATACTTTAATTGAGGTTTAGTTTCACCTTGTGAATCTATCCTTGCTGAGGCAGGGAAACAAGAGCCCCATGATGAGCAACGTGGGACTAAGGAGTAGTAATTTCATAAAGTGTAGCGATCACAGGCGTTATAATATGGGCCTTTAAGGTGCCCGACGAGCTCAAGTGAGTTGAAAAGTACAAAGAAGAGTTGTCGACACCCAAATTTCAAGACTAGCGCCCTCATCTAATCCAAGTCAAGTATGTCAAAATTGACAGATAGGAGGAAATTGATGTTGAATCTCAAGAACAGAATTGGATGTGGCTGCACCAGAGGCCACTGGGAGTAGACCTTAAGCAATAATAGATAACGTAGATTGAGAATATTCTATAAAATCTCTAAAAATTTCTATGATTTTAAACTTAATTTCTACAAAAATTTAATTTCAGCTCATATAAGAAGGGAGAGTTACTAGACAAAGAAAAATTAACTTTATTTAATTAGATTCAGCTATTGGAATATCAATACCTAATCTAATTTTAATAGCATACAGAATATATATAAAAAACGTATCTTACAATGTCAGCTGACTCGCAAACTATTGTGACAGGCGCTGGCGATGAAACTTTACGATTCTGGAAAGTTTTCCCAAGACCAGATTTCGGACAACGTAGCAGTAGCTTGCTTCCTGCAATGAGCGAGCTTAGATAACATTAAATTAATGAAATAATTATTTTTTTATCTTAATCTCTAATAAATTTCTCACAAATAATCCCAAAGATAATCCCAATTTTCATATAAAATTATTAAACAATTTACTTTCAAATCCAAACTAATTCCTCCTGGTATAAGTCCTATATCTTCAAAAATTCCCAAAGCTTTGTCCACCATCGTTGAAGCATCATGAGGTTGTGCAGGAATAATCATAGTATTATCAGACTTCGCAAGAGACGAAAACGCTTCAATATACTGTTCAGCCAGTCTCAGCTTTATAGCATTATGCCCTCCACTTTCTTTAGAATTCTTCGCAAGCACCGAAACTCCATCAGCGATTGCTTTGGCTTTTACAATAGTTGCCTGCGCTTCTCCTTCAGCAGCCAAAATTGCAGCTTGTCTTTGTCCTTCAGAAATGTTTATACTTGACAGTTTTTTCCCTTCAGAAGTAAGGACATCGGCTCTTCTTTGTCTTTCAGCTTCAGCTTGTAGCTCCATAGCTTTTCTGATATTTAAAGGAGGAGCGATATCTCTAATTTCATATCTCATACACACAATTCCCCAATCTTCTGCTGCATCATTAATAGCGTCCACGATTGCATTGTTAAGGTGTTCTCTTTCTTCAAAAGTCTTATCAAGAGTAAGTTTCCCTAATTCACTTCTCATAGTAGTTTGGGCAAGCTGGGTCATTGCAGAAATAGGGTCTCCTACACCATAAGACGCTTTAAAAGGGTCCACAATTTTGAGATATAAGACACCGTCGAGCTGGATAGTAACGTTGTCTTTTGTAACTGCAGCTTGGCTACTGATTTGGTAGACTTCTTCTTTTAATGAGTGATAGTAAGCATCACGGTCCACAAATGGGATTATACTAGGATCACAAATTTGCCTAGAATTGGCTGCCTTTTTTTCCTTGTTAAAATCTGAAAAATTAAATTTTTGAATTTTTTAACAAATTAAACTGCCATAGAATGGATTATGGCAAAACAGACGCAAAAATAGGCTAGAAATGCTTTCAAGGTATAATAAGTGAAATCCTGGCTGAAGAGTTTTATAAAATTTGCCAAATCGTTCGATAACGACAGCGTATTGATGTGGGACTATTATAAAGCCTGGGATAAAACTTCGGCGATTGAGAGATCGAGCTACCCTTTTAGCAGCGAACATATGATTTTATAAACAAAAGGATTTTTGAAACAAAAATATATGATATTTTTATTGCTAATTTATGTGGCATATAGAAGTTTATGAAAAGAATAATAATTAGATTGAGCTCAGTGCTCCAAATATATGGGAAATATAACAGAAAGAATTTATGATAAAATACTGTTGTGATCTGAAATTTATTTAAAATTAAAATTCATATAATATGCTATAGAATTAGCTACTATCTATAATTCTTCTAATTTTTTAGCTTCCCTTGAGCAATGTATATAAGGCTGCTCTTCAATTTTCGGCTGCTCCAGCATACTCCTCAAAGTAATCATCAAAAATACAGCAAAAAGTGTTAGGCCTGATATAATTGCCCACATTTTCCAGCAATGCCTTTCTCCTTCACTTGGACAATATTCTGACAACAAAATTCCTCCCATCAATCCAGAAATAATTAAGCTAAGTGGCAATGGAGACGCTGCGACTGCTAAGAATACGCCTTCTTTGCCTTTTGGAGCAATCTGTAATGTATAATCAATCAGTCTTGGCGCAAAAATGCTTTCAGCAACAGATGCAATAAATACAAATAAAAATACTGTAACATAGCTTGAGTCAAAAATAAACACCAATGGGGAGACTGCAGAGAGAAATCCTCCTAATATCAATAAGGTGTAATGGCTGAAATAATAAATCAAAAATGTCATAATTGGGGCGAAAATTATCATGATAAGCTGATGCAAAGCTAGCATATACCCAAAATGAGCTCCTTGCTCAATGTCTCGGTACATATAAATTGATAAATTTATTTCTAAATGTAAATAAATAGCTCTCACTATGACTATAAGCATAGTCAAGCCAGTAAATCTCCAAAAAGATTTTAATACAAAAATTCCTCTGGTATGCTCCCAAGCCGATAAATGCTCTTGATTTACTTCTAAAACTCTTTCCCCTGCAGAGTTATACTCAATTTCTCTTAATAAAAAGCAAAGCCCTGTGGCCACACTCATACAAATTCCTCCAGTAAATAAAATATACCAAAAAGAATTTTCATCCACTTTTCCTAAACTTATAATAAAATCCACCAAAACTCCGCCAATAGCAGAAGCTCCGAAAACTATTAAGTAAAATAGAGAATAAGCCATGCTTCTTGCTGATTCTGTTGTATATCGCTTTATTCCTAGCTTGGCCGAGGGCACACTTAATGCGGTGCTTGCTGTTATACAAAGAACAATTGCAGTTACTTGTATAGCTATATCATTTGAAAAAATTATTATCACAAATCCAATTAATCCTACCATATATGCCGTAATGATTGACTTTTTTACGCCATATCGATCTGGCATATGTCCTAAAATTAATGCATAAATGACTGTTGAAATTCCTAAAGAAGCCATAATAATCCCAGCTAAGGTGTCATCCAGCCCCTTTACCTCAGTTGCGTAAATTGGGCCACATATAGTTACCATCGCATATCCTGTGTATCCAAAAGTATAAGCAATTAATAAAAGCCAGAGATCTCTAGGTGATGAAGACAGATCTTTGATGCTCTGTAGGAAAAGTCTAGTTTTGCTTGAGAATTCTGGAGAGTCTTTTAGCAAGTATTCTTTCTCAGATAATAAAGGTGAAGATTTAGTCATTTTATTTAAACAGAATAGTTTAAAATTAAATTCTGGAAAAGAATAATTGTGAGGACTATATGAAAATAAAGAAAATTTAACAGAAGTTAGAACTGTAGAGGAATTTTGATTAAAATTAATTTTTTGATGATAAGGAATAGGCTAATTTACTGTAAACATGAGAAATTTAATTAGAATAAAGCCAGTTTTAAATATATAAAAAATTAGATGATAATAATTTTGTGATTGAAAAGGAATGGAAACTAAATATATATAAATTCTTAATTTAATTAATTTAAACCTTGGGTAAAACTAACAATTAATTCCTTTAAATTGAAGCTGGTTCGCATTTAAGATTGGCATGATCGAAGCCAATAAATTTTGATTTGCTCTTTTAAGTTCCATACAGATATCCCAGAGTCTAAGCATATCTTTCCCATCAGCAAGCATTTGGGCATATCTTACTAAATTATAAGCATATTCTTCTGTATATCCTATAATATACGCAAATAATGCTGCATAATTAATTTTTCTATAAAAACTTTTCACCTATAAATTATTCCATTATAATTCTAAAAAATAGTAAATTCTTAATAAATCAGCATAATTTTTTCAACCTGAGTAGCTGCATTTCCATCGTTGTAAGTGAAAAATCATGAAAAGTCTGCAAATCCACATTGAGGACTTCTTCAATGCTTCCTGGGTTCCATCCACTCATCCTTTCATCAGGTTTCTGTATAAAAGTAGGATCTTTTACTCTTGCCCAAGCATGGAGTTCTAGATCATAAATATAGCCTTCCCCAGCTTGATTTTCTATTAAAACCTCTCCATTTTCTTTCAATACAGCTTTTACAATAGGCCCTGCAATGCTTTTGATATTACTTTCTAGATGAATGCTCTGGTTTTTTATATTCCAGCATTGGACTTTTCCATCTTTTAAGATCACGATTAAAAATGCACCATTGCTTTCAAAAAAATCAACTGCTCCAATGCATAATTCTGGCATTATTTGTCTTCCAGACCCTGTAGCAAAACAATATAAAAATCCTTCAGCGGTGATTGCCGCTATAAATACATCACTGCCAGTCAAAACATTCGCAGTATGTGGTAAATATCGTTGCCATAACGTTTTATTCCCTTCTCTAAATCTTATAATAGATTTAAACTGGGGGTGTGTCTTGACTTCCATACATTCCACAACCATATCTGCATCAGCCGAAATCAGCTGTGAAATTTCAAGCATCTTCATATCACAAATCCCATCTGTATACGATTTTGAAGTACCTTTATTAATTACTTTTGAAAAAGATGCGAAAAAAGGAATAGAAAAGTTTTGAAGGTCTTTGAAATCGGGAACTGGCGGAGCGTTTGGACTGGTCATGATTATAGGATTACGGAGCTGGGGCTGAGGAAAATTTGGGCTACTTATGAGAGAAGCTTGAGGCAGTTGTAGAGAAGAAATTTGAGGAAGCTGCTGTGGGGATTGTGGAAAACCGCCACCTGTGGATTGTGGAGTGGATAATAAAACAGGCTGAATTCGACGTTTGCCGCCTTGGACTCGTTCTTCCTTTTGTTCATTTAGAGGTTGCGGCTCGATCCTTTTGTGATGGGAATGCGAATGTGGGCCACCAATTGGAACAGGAGGGCGGCTTCCATAGAGAGAAAACATATATTGATTCATTTCTTGTTGTGATAAAGGAGTTCCAAGTTCTCCATCAAGCCCTATTGCAGCGACTGTTCCATCACTTGAGCATGCTAGAATCATATTGCCGTCGTTTGACCATGAAATATCAGCTACTGAGCATGCAAAAATATCTTTGATTACAACAGGCTCATTATCTCCGTTTTTCCAAAATGACACAGCAGAATCATAACCTCCTAGCGCTACAATTCAAACAGGATTTTTATCACTTTTATATAGCACTTTGCTGGCTGCTGCTACAGAAATTGCTTGGAGATGCCCAACGAGGTATTTTTCTATTTCATATTCGTCACTTTTTAAAACACTTGCTGTATATTTATAAGCTGATTTTTTGGGGCCTGGCAATATTAAATTTAGCCCATCTGGGGTATAAGAAAACCTCTTTAAAGGCTGGCTTGAGGCATGATTGAAATTTTGAGAAATTTTTTTGATTTGTTTTCAGTCATTTGTGCTTCATATAATTAATTGCTTATCTTCTCCTACAGTAGCTAAATATCTATCCATCGGATCAAATGCCAGTCCGCTTATATAGCTTTCATGGCCATTCAGAATCCTTGCCGGAGCTAGCTGTTTCGATACAATATTTCACAAAATGACTGTATTATCAACACTCCCACTCGCTAATAAAGTTCCTGACTCCCCCCCTCCGTGAGTGAGCAAAACCATTAGAAAAATCGCTATTTTTTGCCCAAAAACCCACCCCCGTGAGTGAACAAAAATATTTTTAATAGAAAATTTTTTATGGAAAAAAATTTTGATATATAAGTGATAACTAGCATAATGAAATCTAGTGCTAATTCTGTTTAATTTTAAACAAATTGTTTTTTAAAACATAAATTTTATAAATTAAATTAGCATTTGAATTCCAATTTTCGCGAATTAGGATTTTTTTTTAAATTTCGAAAAAAAATATTTTTTATAAAATTTATATATAAATGTTTTAAAAAAAAAAAATTAACCCCTCCGTGAGTGAGTTATTTCATGAGAGTTCTTTAACATCTGACGAATGGCCACGTAAACTTAAAATGCAGCGCCATTCTTCTAAATTATCTGAAAGTCCCGCCTCGACTTGTTCTCATATAATAACAATTCCATCATCAGATCCTGATGCAAAATATTGTGATGACGGGCTTCACCTCACACAATTTACAGGCCCACAGTGTTGTGTTAAAATGGACAATTGGACTTCTTCTTCTTGTTCGTCATTAATTGCACTTAGCTTCCAAATGATTATTGTGTGGTCCATAGACCCAGTAATAAATCTCGCCCCAGCAGGCTCTATGTCTATGCTTAGAATTGGGAGTTTGCGAGTGTCGCCATGGAAAATTCATTCAGGTTTAACAATCCACATTATTATATTTTCAGGCCCTTAAACAAAATTCTAGCAGAATAGATAAATAAAGCAAAAAATCATATTGATAAGATGATTTATAATTTGACATATTAATGGAGGAAAGCAAAGCCGCAAACAATGAGAACGACAAGACCAGCTCAGAAGACCAAGAAGAAGCTGAAGATCTAGATCAAAAACAGAGCGAGACTGACGAAATTGATAATAGATCAATTTTTGTAGGGAATGTGGATTTTAGCGCCAGCACTGAAGAACTTAGAGATGTTTTTAAGGAATGTGGAAACATCGAAAGGGTCACGATTCCTCTTGACAAATGGACTCATCATCCTAAAGGATATGCATATATCGAGTTTTCGGATAGAAGCAGCGTTTTAAAAGCACAAAGTGTAAATGAAAAAAGCTTCAAAGGAAGGAAGCTGAAAGTTTTGCCGAAAAGAACAAATATTCCTGGACAGTCTAGATCTAGATTTCCTAGGTCTAGGGCGAGGATGAGAGGAGCTTATGCCTATGGAAGACCACGCTATTCGAGGTTTAAGCCATATTAAAAAAATTAGCTATCCTATATGCAGAAAATAAGGACTTGCAGCCATTTATATAAATAATTTTTTAAAAAAGAGTCTAATAGGATAGAAATTTCCTAAAAATCAAAATTTTTTTATTAATTTTAAATTATTGATTTTCAGAACACTGTTAAGTTATTCTTAAGCTCCTCTAGGTGGCTTTGGTACTGTGAAAATAGGCTTCCAATTTCCAAACTGCCCGTTTGTAATATTCTCAAAGAATTCTTTATCACCTTCGTCCATGACTTCTGGCTCCCATGGTTTTTCATCTACTTATTTCTTACGTTTGCATTTTTCTAATAATCTCAATTCTGCTACATGAGACTGAATTAAACCTTCACAATATCCCAGTCCTATTTTTCTTTCAATTTCTTCAATGTCTTCGTTTTCCTCCACAATTTTTAGGCGGAATCTACAAGTTTCTTCAACTAAAATCCTGTAGCCCCAGTCTTCTGGGAATTCTTTTAGCCTTTCTAAGGTAATCAGTAGAAGTTCTTTGAGTTTTCTTCTTGGATAAGGCTCTACAGGTAAAGGACTTACCCCCCCCCTCCGTGAACGAGCAAAACTATTGGAGGAATCCCTATTTTTCGACCAAAATCCACCCTGTGATCGAACAAAAATTTTTTTATGAAAAAAAAAATTGATAAGTATTATTACGAAATCTAGAGCTAATTCTGTTTAATTTTAAACAAATTGCGTGCTAAAAAATAAATTTTAAAATCAAATAAAGATTTGCTTTTCAATTTTGCGAATTAAAATTTTTTTAAAATTTCGGAAAAAAAATTTTATAAAATTTATATATAAATTGTTTTAAAAAAAAATTAACCCCTCCGTGAGCGAACAAAAAAACTTGTTCGCTCACGGAGGAGGAGTTAGGGAATTTGCTTTGGTGTTTTCGACGTCAGCCCATGGGTTATCATAAGGATCATCCTCAAGCTTGGCTCTTTTTTCTCTTGTTTTAATGTCAGGTGTTGCAAAAGCACGGAATAAAGCTATAGGGGTTTTCCCTATATGGCCCTATAAGGGCTGTAGGTTCTCCATGGAATCCCTCTTTTGGTCAAACCAACTCAGTGTGTTGGCTTGACCAATTCACGGGTTGGCTAAACCAGCAGAGGGATTCCACGGAGAACCCACGGTTCTTATCGGGCTATATAGGGAAAAACACCTATATACGGCGAATGGCATTTGATAGCCTAACTCCCCCCCCCATCCTTGATCGAACGACTCGCCATCGTTCGATCAAGGATGGGGGTTAAAAAAAATTTTTTTGGGAAAAAAATTTATATATAAAATAAAATATATATATAAATTTTTTTTTTATTTACTTTTAAATAAGAGGGTTAAGAGTATTTAATAATTATTTTTACAGCAAAAAATTGAATTAATTTCATAAAAATACCAATTTTTTATTTTAATTTATTAGATACCCCTCTAAACTGTATAAATTTTAATTTGTTACTTATTAAATTAAAATTTGTTTTTTTAAAAATTTTAAAGAATCTCTATTTTATTAGATTATTGAGTTTTTAAGCCCATGTTGATGACTAAATTACTTTGAATGGTTGATTTCGAAGCTTTCTATCGTCTCAAAGTCTCTGAAAACAACTTCATTAGGTACATCTTCCCAAGCTTTTGATAACTCTTATATTTTTATATATATAAAAAATTTGCATGATATGAAAATCGTTCGATCAAGGATGGGGGTTAATTTCCCCAATTTTTAAGAATTTTTACAGTCAATCGTTCGATCAAGGATGGGGGGGGAGTAAGCATGTTTATTATTATTATTATTATTATTTAGCAGGAGAGTCTGAATAATTAACGAAAATTATAGATAGGATGAGGTGTAAGCAAATGATAATTGATTTGTAAAATTTATTATGAAAAATGAATGACAAAAAATTCAAAAAAGATCTAGATGGGTTCTATCCCTATATACGATAATGGAAGATAAGGTTCAACAATTAAATACAATTTTAGACAACATTGGCTGAGGAAGATATTCAACTTTTAATTTTTTTGTTTGTGGAGGTGCTTGATTAACACTAAATTACTTGAATATTTCAATATCGTTTTTAATGAGAACAGCTCAAAATGAATGAAATCTTGAATCATACCAAGTTGGACTTATAAACGCAACCCATATGCTAGGTATTTGTATTGGATCAATATTATTTGGATTTATAGGTGATCGGTATGGGAGGGTTTTTTCATTTATAGCTTAAGGGTAATTATGGACTGTCCTGAGTTAAAAATCCTCGGAAATCGCTGGTTTTATATAAGGCATTTGTCAGCTCTCTGTAATAATTGGTCAGCTTTTACGGGTAGGATTTGTCCACAATTTTCCCAATTCATAATCATTCCTATGCTATAAAATTTCTGGGTTATTAAGCATCGCAGGTTCCGTGATTTTAGCATTTTCGCCAAATTATGAAACAGCTGTTCCACTAATACTTATAGCAGGAATGGGAGGGGGTGGCGAAATCACAGCTGGTGGACCTACTTATATATAGCCCCTGAAATATTTTAGATCATTATTGGCCATCCATTTTAATTTCCAAAATTAATTTGTACTTGTCAGCTTTTTTGAAAAGTAAAAAACAAAATTGACAAATCTCCGTTTATGGTTTTAAGGTACCTAATCAGACTTATACTGTATAAGGTAGGTGCCCTGTACATATTTTTTCTGGTCGGTATTCTGCTGGGGTATAGAGATCTATTAAGATGCATGAGCTATAGAAGCTTGCCCACCTAAAAAAAGGTGGACTTTAGTTTTAATTTCCACTTGCTGAGTTATTGGCGCTATGTTTGCTGCTTTTATAGCATTAGTTTTTGAGCTATCTAATAGTTTTCAAGTATGAAGAGGGGTTTATCTTGTAGGAGCAATAATAGAATTTCTTTGGTGGATTCCCAGATTGTTTTTATATGAATCCACTAGGTTTTTGCTAATACATAATAAGATTGAGGAATGCGAAAATGTGCTAATTTCCCCCTTTAAATTGGAACAAAAAATATTATTTTAATTCAAAGGGTATAATTTTTTTAAAATATAAATTTAATGCAATATATTTGAATTTTATCATTTTTATAAAGATTCATCAAAGAATAATTAATTCAGCACAAAAAAAATATTCTATTGCACTCTTTTTATTAAATTAGATCAAAACTTATTTTTAAAGGGGCTAATTTAACTTAATATTGAAAAATTTATTGATGTTTTTATTATTCAAAAGAGGGAATAAGGTGAAAATAAACTAGAAAAATTGCAAGACATAATCGTGCTGAAATATCTGTAAATTTCGATATAAATGCAGATGAAGAATGATATAATGAAACTATACAATTAGAAGGGCCAGTTATAACTCGATTTAGAGAAAAAAATGCCTGAGAAGCACTTAGACTGATTTTAAGCAAAAAATACATCAGAAATACGATGCTATTTGCAATTGTAAAATAAATGTAGACCATTGCTCTAAATGAAATATCATTTAGTACTTTGCTAGGGTTTATGCCCATTTTTTTAGATAGAGTGCACGCAAAGATAGAAAATGATGCCCAGCTGTATTATACACTAATTATTCAGCAATCCGCAAGTCTTCCTGGGATTTCTTTGTCATCTTATTTAATAGAGACGAGATTAGGACGAAAATGAACTGTTTCTTTGTCATTTTTATTTATGGGATTATCAATTTTCTTGTTTTATAGTGCTGTTAATTATCCAATGTTATTGGTATTTTCATCAATACAGACTTGTTTTAATTATATAGGATATTCTGCATGGTATGCAATGGTTTCTGAGTTTTATCCTACAGGAATAAGATCTGGAACACTTGGGTGGCTTAGTTTTTGTGATAAATTTTTCGGCTTAATAGCAGTTTCTATTATAGGTGCGCTTTTGGGGCTTCCTGGTGGCTTAGAAATATCAATTTTTATCTGCTCATTTTCTTGCATTTGTTCAGGAATAATAAGTATGTTTCTCCCAGAAACCAAAACAATTAATTTATTATAAATAATTGCTTAAGAAACCATGAGAAATAATTATATAATGTCTTTTCTTTAATTTTAATTAAAAAGAAACATATCACATAATTGTTCTTTGAAAATCTATTTTTCTTTGCCATATTTTTAAGATTTATGAATTCATGTTTATTATTATAATATGCGGATCCAATGAAGAAAAATCTATCCGATATAAAACTCTTTAAAACATTTGCCTTATTATCCTCCAAAAAATTTGCAAAATAAAATTAAAATTAATATAAAACCTTTTTTATTATCAAATTCATATAAAGCTGAATCCAAAAGTATTTTTTGAATAAAAATTATCATAGCAAAAAGTAATATAAATCAATAAATGGAGAGCCTGGGGATGGATATGAATATGACTATGAACATGAATATGTACATGGCCATGACTTTTTATAATGATCATAATTTTGTTGTCTTTTTTGACAGGTAAATCTCACTTAGTTGGCACGTTGACAATGATGCGAAATATGCAGGGGCTATTATTCTTCTATTCCTCGTCTCAATGGGACTAGAATTTCTGCATTTCCTGCTTAAATTGGTTACTGTCTATCAAATAAAAGCCCAAAAAACAATTCAAAATCTGATTTTCTATAATTTCGGCTATGGCATTATTTATTTCTTGTGGGTTTCCCTCGCATATCTCTTAATGCTTGCCATAATGACTTATAGCACTGGAGTATTCTGCGCCATCACCACAGGCATCACTTTTGGTCATTTTTTGTTCAGAATGATTGAACATAAAACTCCTATAGCAAACGAAAGTTTGTCACAAGAACTAGTAGTAAAAAACCCATGCTGCTAGGAGCTTAAAAATAGTTAAATAAATCATCAAAGATATGGCCAGTTAATTTTAAATCGTATAAAAGAATAAAATTAATAGGAGAAATGGAAGACATGAGCTTGTGCGAAAGTATGAATATGAGTATGACTATGCAAATGACCTTCCATAATAATGACTTCAAGCTTTACTTTGATAGGTAAAATGAATTCAGCTGAAATGTTGATAATGATTTTAGATATGTAATAACAATTGCTGCTTTATTTTTGGCAGCAATTGGATTAGAACTTGTGCATTTCCTCGCTAAATTAACAGCAGTCTATCTAAAAAAAGTCCCTAAAAGTGATTACATTACAATATTGCTTAATTTAGGAAATTTATGTTTATTTTTTCTTTGGGTTACTTTATCATATCTACTTATGCTTGCAATAATGACATATAGCATAGGAGTTTTTTGGGCAATCACGACAGGCCTTACCTGTGGTCACATTTTATTCCGAATAATAAAATCTGCATCTCCAATTGCCAATGAAAGTTTATATGAAGAATTGCTGGTAAAAAACCCATGCATAAAAAACTAATAAACTAACTCCCCCCCCCCTCCGTGAGTGAACAAAACCATTAGAAAAATCGGCATTTTTTGCCCAAAAAAACCACCCTCCGTGAGTGAACAAAATGCTTTTAATAGAAAAATTTTTTATGGGAAAAAATTTTGATATATAAGTGATAATTTAGCATAATGAAATCTAGAGCTAATTCTGTTTAATTTTAAACAAATTGCGTTTTAAAACATAAATTTTATAAATTAAATTACTATTTGCTTTCCAATTTTTGCGAATTAGGATTTTTTTAAATTCCGAAAAAATTTTTATAAAATTTATATATAAATTTTTTTAAAAAAAAAAAATTAACCCCCCTCCGTGAGTGAACAAAATTTTTTTTGTTCACTCACGGAGGGGGGGGGGAGTAAGTAAACTAGATTTAAAAATTAATTTACTGTGCTAACTAATCCTAATTTATCATTATTTGCTAGCACTTCTTTAATGGCTAATCAAGCTTTTATAATAATTATTAATATCAATTAATACTCAGCGCTCTTCTGAATTATTCATTATTTCTTTGAAATTTATTTTTTATTACATTAAAATATAAAACAGAATATTTATAATTAAAATTACATGTGAGGCGAAGAAAATCAAAAGATTCGACAAATAAATGCCTTCCTTAACTCAATTGGCTGGGGGGAAATACTTAACTTTTTATTTTATCGTATGCGGAGGAGCTTGGTTTTCAATAACTTATTGAACACTGTAGTTTCATTTCTAATGAGAAGCGCTAAAGATTGGTGTGAACTGGAGTCTTACTAACTCGGTTTTATTAATACAGCTCATATGTCAGGAATGTTTCTAGGGCATATGCATGGTCGAGTGAATCCTAGGAGATTGCTTGCATACCATTTTTCGATGATGCTAGCAAGAAAATGGTGTGGTTTGATGTCAGGTGATAAGGGCGGCCTGTATCTATAGCCAGCGGTGGGCATTAGAGACTTAATAATTCCTAGAGACTGCTGTAACTTGCAATATTTAATATTTTCTACTTTCAATAATTTTTGTTACGTATTTATATTCTGTGAATTTTTTAATATCATATTTACTCTTCAATGATGCTCACTTATTATAAATATATTTATTAATTGAGTGAATATGCATTAAAATAAAATGCAGGTCAGCAAACGTTAACTCCATCCCTTCCGTGAGCGAACAAAAACATCTGTTCTCTCATGGAGGGGGGTTAATTTTTTTTTTTAATATTTATATATAAATTTTATAAAAAAATTTTTTTTTTAAAAAACTTCTTGACAAAATTGAACAGAATTAGCTCGAGATTTTATTATAATAATTATCGCTTATATATCAAAATTTTTTCCCATAAAATTTTTCAATCAAAAAAATTTTTGTTTACTTACGGAGGGTAATTTTTGGCAAAAAAGAAAATTTTTTCTCACAGGGGGGAGGGGGGACTTCATTGATAATAAATGAAAACAGTGAGAGTTCAAAAGGGCTTGAAACGTAAGCAAGCCAATAAAAATCAACCTAGAAAAAAAGATAAACTTGCTTAATTCTCAAAAACTATTTATAATAATCTCTGCATAACCCAATGGCAGAAAGCGCTTTAAACGTTACAGACACCTTAAGAAATAAAACAGCTGAGATTTTGAGTAGACCAAACAACCGCGAATCAGAAATAGATTTCAGAACAACTTGCTCAGCAATTCAGAACAATTCTTATGATCCACTAGTAATGCAAGCTTACCAAGATTATCTTAATGCTTATCAACAAAAAACATCTCTTTATAATATTGTAAGAGATAATGAAGAGGATAGAACTTATTTATATATTTATAAAACTGAAACTGAAGAAGTCAAAAAAATTCAGACAACATTAATAACTTCAATTACCTTCTTAACTGAACTTCCAAATGGCAAGCTATTTTGTTTTGGTAATGATGGATCTTCTGGAACTGTAATGCTAATTGGTGAGAATGGCGGAGTCGAAGTGCTGCTATCTGGAACTCCTTCATATGATTCACCATGCATCTATTTCAAAAACAGCGTCTATTGCTTTGGAGGATCTAATCAAATGATTTCATCTCTATCTATGAGATTCGATTTGGATCAAAATCGCTGAATTAAATTAACCCCAATGCCAGAAGCTGATTCCAAGTGCAACATGATAATATTTAATGGAAATATTTTGATTTCTGGACGGTATAATAAATATCTTCTATTATACTCAATTGATATTGACTCTTTTTCGACAATTCCTTATTGATTTGAAGGGGATAAAAAAAAGATTCTGGTAGGTGCAGAGAGAGTATATTTGATTGAATGCAGTGGATGAATATATGAAAGTGAAATTGGAAGTGCCATGAATTGGGGACGAATAGGAAAATCAAAAATCAATAGAGAATCTTCTCAAGTGTATTGTGCATACAATAAAGGAGGAATATACATTTCAACTGTTTTTAAATTACTCCCCCCGCTCCGTGAGTGAACAAAAAATTATGTTCATTCATGGAGGGGGGTTAATTTTTTTTTAGAAATTTAAAAAAATCTCACTTCTATAAAATTGGAAAGCAAATATTAATTAATTTTATAAAATTTATGTTTTAAAACGCAATTTGTTTAAAATTAAACAGAATTAGCTCGAGATTTCATTATACTAATTATCACTTTATTTCAAAATTTTTACCATAAAAAATTTTTCTATTAAAAAATTTTTGTTCACTCACGGAGGGTGGGTTTTTGGGCAAAAAATAGGGATTTTTCTAATGGTTTTGTTCACTCACAGAGGGGGGGGATTTAGTTAGAGAATATTATTATTTTGATTTAGATCAAAAAACCATTATTGATTTAGCTTATGAAAGTAGGAATTACGGACTTAGAAGAGTCGGTAAAAAGATTGAAGCAATAAAATGAAATAACCAGAATTTTAAGCCTGATCCTTATTATAGCTCACACATCTTAATAGATTTCTATACCCCAGCAGAATACTGACCAGAAAAAATATGGTAAGGGCACCTGCTTTTTACAGGATAAGTCTGATTAGGCACCTTAAAACCATAAACGGAGATTTGTCATTTTCGTTTTTTAGTTTTCAAAAAAGCTGATAAGTACAAATTAACTTTGGAAATTAAAAAGGATGGTCAATAATGATCTAAAATATTTCAGGGGCTATATCTGGATGAATGAAGTGTAAAAGGCATGAGTCTACACGATTTAGGAAAACGCCTAGAAGAAATCATATACTATGACGGATTAATCAAAAACAATCCAGATTGCTCTCGGTATTACTATAATAAAGGCATCACTTTTTATTGTTTAGAAAGATATCTAGAAGCAATCGAATGCTATGACGAAGCAATTAAACTAGATCCAAATAATTCAAATAATTACTATTTTAAAGGCAACGCTTTTTATAGCTTAAAAAGATATCTAGAAGCAATCGAATGCTATGACTGAGTAATCAAACTAGATCCAAAAGATGGTTATAATTATCATAATAAAGGCAAAGCTTTTTATGGCTTAGAAAGATATCTAGAAGCAATCGAATGCTATGAAAAAGCAATCGACCTCAATTCATACAATGCCCAAGCTTATAATGATAAAGGCAATACTCTTTATGTTTTAGAGAGATTCCAAGAAGCAATACAATGCTATGATGAGGCAATCAAACTTCAACCCAAGAATACTTTGCATTTCTGCAGCCGAGCTAGAGTATTTAATAATCTCAGACAAGAAGAAGCAGCTTTGCAGGACTTTAATACGGCTTATAATTTTTGGCAAGAATATTGGTTATTTGGATGCAAAGCTGTTTTAAATTTTCAATTAAAAGTTAGAGAGTCTAAATAGATCCGTCTTTACAAAAATATGTAAGGCATATTTAGAAAAATAAATATGCAAAATACTCCTGAAATGCTTAATAAAACAATTATAGAGTCAGCAAACGTTAAAGATTCGACTTCCTTGATAATTAGTGAAAACTGTGAGAGTTCAAAAGGTCTGAAAACGCAAACAAGCCAATACAAAAAAGCCTAGAAAAAAAGATCAGCTTGCTTAATTCTCAAATAACTGTTTCTAATGATCTCGATAACAAATACAATGAAACAGAAAGCGCTTTAAACGTAATAGACAACTTAAGAAATAAAACAGCTGAGATTCTAAGTAGACCAAACAATCGAGAATTAGAAATAGATTTTAAAGCAACGTGCTCAGCAATTCAGACCAATTCTAGCCTTCACGATCCACTAGTAATGCAAGCTTACCAAGATTATCTTAATGCTTATCAACAAAAAACATCTCTTTATAATGTTGCAAGAGATTATGAAGAAAATAGGACTTATTTAATTATTTATAACACTTAAACTGAAGAAGCAAAAAAATTGCAGACAACACTATTAGACTTTGTCACCTGCATAACTCAACTTCCAAATGGCAAGCTATTTTGTTTTAGTAAGGATAAATTTTCTGTAATTGCAATGCTAATTGGTGTGAATGGCGGAGTCGAAATGCTGCTATCTGGAACTCCTTCACAAAATTCATCATGTATCTATTTTAGCAACAGCGTCTATTGCTTTGGAGGATCTAATCAAATGACTTCATCTCTATCTATGAGATTCGATTTGGATCAAAATCGCTGAATTCAATTAACCCCAATGCCAGAAGATGATTCCGAGTGCAACATGATAATATTTAATGGAAATATTTTGATTTCTGGACGGTATAATAGAAATCTTTTATTATACTCAATTGATATTGACTCTTTCTCGACAATTCCTTATGAGTTCGAATGGGATAAAAAAAAGATCCTGGTAAATGCAGAGAGACTATATTTGATTGAATGCTGTGGATGAATCTATGAAAGCGAAATTGGAAGTTACTTAAATTGAAGACGAATTAGAAAGTCAAAATTCGATTATTATTCTCAAACGTATTGTGTATATAATAAAGGAGGAATATACATCTCATCTATTCATCCATTACTCAGACAATATTATTATTATTTTGATTTAGATCGAAAAAAAATTATTGATTTAACTTATTATAGTAGAAATTACTGACTAAGAAGAGTTGGTAATAAGATTGAATCAATAAAATGAAATAGCCAGAATTTAATGTTTGATTCTCGCTATCTGGATGAATGAGATCTAAAAGGCATGAGTCTGGGCAATTTAGGAGAGCATCTAGAAGATATCGAACGCAATGACGAACGAATCAAAAAATATCCAAATAGCGCTATATATTACTCTAACAATGGCTACATTTTGCTTGGTTTAAGAAGATATCTAGAAGCAATTGAATGATTTGATGAAGCCATTAAACTCAAGCCAAACTATGCTAATTTTTACTTTTATAAAGGCAACGCTTTTTATGGCTTAAAAAGATATCTAGAAGCAATTGAATGCTATGACTGAGCAATCAAACTAGATCCAAAAGATGGTTATAATTACCATAATAAAGGCAAATCATTTTATGGCTTAGAAAGATATCTAGAAGCAATAGAATGGTATGACGAAGCAATCGAACTCGATTCATACAATGCTGATTTTTACTATAATAAAGACAAGGCTTTTTATGGTTTAAAAAGCTATCTAGAAGCAATCAAATGCTATGACGAAGCAATCAAACTCAATAAATTCAATCCAAACAATGCTGATTTTTACCCGAAGAAAGGATATACTTTAAATAAATTCGGTAGTTTTCTCGAAGAAGCAGAAAGACATAATAAAGAAATTAAAATCAATTCAAGCAATGCCAAGCTTTATAATGATAAAGGAAATACTCTTTGTGTTTTAGAGAGATATCAAGAAGCAATACAATGCTATGATGAGGCAATCAAACTTAAGCCCAACAATCCTTTGCATTTCTGCAATCGAGCTAGGGTATTTAATAATCTCAGACAAGAAGAAGCAGCTTTGCAGGACTTTAATACGGCTTATAATTTATGGCAACAATATCAAGAAGGTGATGTTTTCACTAAGGATGAATGTAAACTTTCTGAAAAAGATATCAAATTTATTGACCACACATTAGGCCGAGACCACATTGAACTACTCCAAAAAATGCAGATTTAAATAAAATTTAGTAATAATAAAATAAAAAACTATCGCCCTATTATCATATAAATTCGATGTTAGGGTGTTAGGGTGTTAGGGTGTTTAGGGTGTTAGGGTGTTAGGGTGTTAGGGTGTTAGGGGTGTTAGGGTGTTAGGGTGTTAGGGTGTTTAGGGTGTTAGGGTGTTAGGGTGTTAGGGTGTTAGGGTGTTAGGGTGTTTAGGGGTGTTAGGGTGTTAGGGTGTTAGGGTGTTAGGGTGTTAGGGTTGTTAGGGTGTTAGGGTGTTAGGGTGTTAGGGTGTTAGGGTGTTAGGGTGTTAGGGTGTTAGGGTGTTAGGGTGTTAGGGTGTTAGGGTGTTAGGGTGTTAGGGTGTTAGGGTGTTAGGGTGTAGGGTGTTAGGGTGTTAGGGTGTTAGGGTGTTAGGGTGTTAGGGTGTTAGGGTGTTAGGGTGTTAGGGTGTTAGGGGTGTTAGGGTGTTAGGGTGTTAGGGTGTTAGGGTGTTAGGGTGTTAGGGTGTTAGGGTGTTAGGGTGTTAGGGTGTTAGGGTGTTAGGGTGTTAGGGTGTTAGGGTGTTAGGGTGTTAGGGTGTTAGGGTGTTAGGGTGTTAGGGTGTTAGGGTGTTAGGGTGTTAGGGTGTTAGGGTGTTAGGGTGTTAGGGTGTTAGGGTGTGTTAGGGTGTTAGGGTGTTAGGGTGTTAGGGTGTTAGGGTTGTTAGGGTGTTAGGGTGTTAGGGTGTTAGGGTGTTAGGGTGTTAGGGTGTTAGGGTGTTAGGGTGTTTAGGGTGTTAGGGTGTTAGGGTGTTAGGGTGTTAGGGTGTTAGGGTGTTAGGGTGTTAGGGTGTTAGGGTGTTAGGGTGTTAGGGTGTTAGGGTGTTAGGGTGTTAGGGGTGTTAGGGTGTTAGGGTGTTAGGGTGTTAGGGTGTTAGGGTGTTAGGGTGTTAGGGTGTTAGGGTGTTAGGGTGTTAGGGTGTTAGGGTGTTAGGGTGTTAGGGTGTTAGGGTGTTAGGGTGTTAGGGTGTTAGGGTGTTAGGGTGTTAGGGTGTTAGGGTGTTAGGGGTGTTAGGGTGTTAGGGTGTTAGGGTGTTAGGGTGTTAGGGTGTTAGGGTGTTAGGGTGTTAGGGTGTTAGGGTGTTAGGGTGTTAGGGTGTTAGGGTGTTAGGGTGTTAGGGTGTTAGGGTGTTAGGGTGTTAGGGTGTTTAGGGTGTTAGGGTGTTAGGGTGTTAGGGTGTTAGGGTGTTAGGGTGTTAGGGTGTTAGGGTGTTAGGGGTGTTAGGGTGTTAGGGTGTTAGGGTGTTAGGGTGTTAGGGTGTTTAGGGTGTTAGGGTGTTAGGGTGTTAGGGGTTGTTAGGGTGTTAGGGTGTTAGGGTGTTAGGGTGTAGGGTGTTAGGGTGTTAGGGTGTTAGGGTGTTAGGGTGTTAGGGTGTTAGGGTGTTAGGGTGTTAGGGTGTTAGGGTGTTGGGTGTTAGGGTGTTAGGGTGTTAGGGTGTTAGGGTGTTAGGGTGTTAGGGTGTTAGGGTGTTAGGGTGTTAGGGTGTTAGGGTGTTAGGGTGTGTTAGGGTGTTAGGGTGTTAGGGTGTTAGGGTGTTAGGGTGTTAGGGTGTTAGGGTGTTAGGGTGTTAGGGTGTTAGGGTGTTAGGGTGTTAGGGTGTTAGGGTGTTAGGTGGTGTTAGGGTGTTAGGGTGTTAGGGTGTTAGGGTGTTAGGGTGTTAGGGTGTTAGGGTGTTAGGGTGTTAGGGGTAGTTAGGGTGTTAGGGGTGTTAGGGTGTTAGGGTGTTAGGGTGTTAGGGTGTTGTAGGGTGTTAGGGTGTTTGGGTGTTAGGGTGTAGGGTGTTAGGGTGTTTGGGGTGTTAGGGTGTTAGGGTGTTAGGGTGTTAGGGTGTGGTGTTAGGGTGTTAGGGTGTTAGGGTGTTAGGGTGTTAGGGTGTTAGGGTGTTAGGGTGTTAGGGTGTTAGGGTGTTAGGGGGTTGGGTGTTAGGGGTGTTAGGGGTGTTAGGGGTGTTAGGGTGTTAGTGTTAGGGTGTTAGGGTGTTAGGGTGTTAGGTGTGGGTGTTAGGGTGGTTAGGGTGTTAGGGTGTTAGGGTGTTAGGGTGTTAGGGTGTTAGGGTGTTAGGGTGTTAGGGTTGTTAGGGTGTTAGGGTGTTAGGGTGTTAGGGTGTTAGGGTGTTAGGGTGTTAGGGTGTTAGGGTGTTAGGGTGTTAGGGTGTTAGGGTTGTGTTAGGGTGTTAGGGTGTTAGGGTGTTAGGGTGTTAGGGTGTTAGGGTGTTAGGGTGTCTAGGGTGAGGTAGGGTGTTAGGATGTTAGGGTGTTAGGGTTGTTAGATGTTATCTTTTAGATAG